AACCCTAATTTTTCGGTGTCGGCCGGTTTTAGATTAACATCTTTTTTTCTTTCTGATTAGGAGAGAATTTAGCATCAAATTTACACTAGGATAGGGGTTACAATACTTGTCAATATATCACCAAAAGTAGAAAAAAACAAATGGTCTCCTCGCAATACTCACAAATCTTGAGCAGCTAATACGGTTTATTAATTAAGTGTGAGTGGGATGAAAAGGATATCTAATCTCAAATCACAAATGGCGCTGCTTATCAATGATGACCAACGTGAACCGCAAATGTTTGGTACGGCCTAAGCAGCCTAGCTAGTTTGCGTTATATATATTCTTTGTTTCGTCAAAGAATGCGACATGGAGGTTTAAACCTGAGACCGATGATTTGTAAATCATCAAGATTCTTTTTTCCGGGACTAGACTCCGGTGTTAACCCACCGTCCATCAATTGAATTAGGAAAATATGTATTAACACATTAATTATTGCAGTAGGGATATGGGATGCAGATTGATAGGAGCTTGATGCGACGCAGATTCATGATTAGCATACATTAATCCATAACGTTTTGATAGGCACCTTATAAAATAAGAAGATTAAACTCTGGGAACTGTAGAATACATATATTATATCATTTATATACGACATCACATGCATGCAGATCAATGAGTCATGACAAAGTGACAATGACCGAAATAAAGGAAGAAGAAAAAAAAATTAATCCAAGGAACGCGGTGGTATCTTGTTTGTTTTCAACTTTCACTCGATTATAATTTCCAAATGCTTTTTTGCTCCTTCACGTTTTCTTTAAATTTCTACTTTCTACCAAACAATTATATTACAGGAATATAATATATATATATATATGGCTGGTGGTGGGGGTGGTTTGGTGACTTGTGAATGTGATGTTACTTTATCCAACGAGCTGATTCTGGAGTTTCAATTGAAGCTAGGATCCATGTTTTAGGCTTTTAGCCAGTCACTTTCGTTTCTTTTCTTTCTTTTCTTTCTTTTCTTTCTTTTAGGTGCAATGCAAGATAATGCGGCACAGTGCACACGCGTTCATCTACAATAGCTACTACAATCCAACACAAACCAAAAAACAAAAACAAAAACAAATCTAGAACAGCTGCGATCCAATAAATATATACGAGTTATTGGATCATAATCGTGGGTTTAAGGCATATTTGCAGCTCCTTTCTATATCAAATTTTAAAGTTAAAGAAAAATTATGTCTGTCTAAGTAGGTCTAAAGTCCGTCCCAAATTTTTTGAAATTCTCTCATACCTACATAACCCAAAACAAAATAGACTTTTTCTGAAATTTCAATAGAAACTTTCTGATTGGAAAAATTGGCCTAAAAGTTACCCGTAGTTATTTTTCAATCATGAGTCCGTGTCTTCTGTTTATGTACAGACAAATATCAATTCAAGATTAAGAATTTAGAGTTCAAATTAGCATTGGTGCAATTAATACGTATCGTTCAATTCAGTGCGTAAAATATAAATCTTCTTTGATGATGGCACAAGGATAACCATATATGATAAACAATTTATGCTCTTTTTGGGTCATTATTTTTGCGTCATTATATTATAAAGCCTCCAAAAACTCCAGCAATAAAATATTAAAATAAGATTGAAATCACGTTCTTGCAAGTGATTTTGAAATTTCAAATGGTCCAACTTGCTTTTTATTTCTTGTCCGTTTTAGCAACAAGGATTTATATCTATATTTAACTATTTATAAATAAAATCGTATGCCTAGCTAAGCTAACTAGGTGGGTAAAGAGCGACCCAACTCCACCAGTTGTGCCGCGGATATGGTAGCTTGGACCCCATCCTAACCTATAGCCTATAGCCTATTGACACACCACCAACTAAGCAAACATTTGCAATTTGTTTTTAATTATACATAATACATTATTATAATTTTTGACCAGGTAATAATTGTTCTGAGAATTATAATAAATTAATTACCAAATAATAGAACCGGTGGAGGCAATACAGGGAGATGGTGAGGGTCCTTACTGGTCTGCACTGTATGCTGAGGAGGAAACCGCAACCACTCGATTGATGACATTACAAATTTTGGATGTTTGACTACTCGTGAAATATTTCTCTATTTCTATTGTATTGCCCTGTTCTTTCTATTTTTCTTCTTTAATAAGTAACATGAAGAATGCGATAGGAAGAAAGGTACAATAAAACGGGTAGATAAGTTTGATCAATTCAACCATAAAAATTCAGATTCCCTCACAATTTCCAAATAATTTAAGGTGCTTTGCTTTCAAGCTAAATTCCACATCTGATTACTAATTCAACTTAGTACATACAATAAATTTTACTTATGGGACTTGAGCTGTAAGTATGGGTGCAAGTTGGATTGGAATTTCCTATTCCGATCCGAGAATTTCTAAATTTGAAAAGCTCAAATTAATTTCGACATTCAAAAGTTCTGAAATCTGAAATTTTTAAATAAAAAAAAAGAAATTGAAATTGGAATGTCAAGATTCCGAAAATTCTAAAAATGGATCGAAACCCTTTGGATCGAAATTGAAATCCAGTTATTATGATCCGATCTGTCTGAAAATTTAGGATGATGTACGTAGGTCAAGATTTATTGAAAGCAATGAGTCCAGCAGGGTTAAAGGATCCCTAATATTTTAAGGGCAGAGGATACTATTATTATATCTGGGGATACACCAAACCAGTCAATTACGGGTCCCACAATCCCACAAGTGGACGATTCAAAAGATTTCAAAGCTTTCATGTTTGTTATTGTAACCATCGATCGATCCCATTGCCCCACGTTACCTAATTTGTTATCTACATAAAATCTTGTGAGATGACACTGTGGGGCCCAAGTCCCTACGTCTCCCTTCTAAGAGTACACGTGCGTTCATACGGTATCTCACACTCGCATGTGGGCCCTGGCCTTGTCGATGCTTCAAAAGAGGTGCAACACTGGAACGTGAATCAGGCGATCCTCGCTCTTTGACAATAAACTTGTAATTTGGAAAGTGGGGTTGAAATTGACGTGCTTGAGGCTTGAGGTTTTTATTTTTTTTTTTTTTTTTTTTTTTTTTTTGTGAATAAACTAAGAGATTCTGATATCAGTCTTTGGATTAATTAAGTAATGGGAAAATGGTATTTTAATTTGAGTAATAATTTGGTCCATAAATAAAGATTTATAACTTTATTAGAGACAATAGAATGATTATTGTGTTTTGTATGGACATAAATCTTCCACGTCAGAGGTTTTTGATATGGACCAGATATTCCAACGTAGCCCGTGGCTTCCAAACTACTGTTTTCTATTCATCCAGTGAAACCCATAAAAATTAGAGTGGGGCAGATCTCCACTCTTTCTATATTCGAAACGAAATTGAATAATTGGAGATGAATATTTGTTTTATCGGTAACGAAGAAGAAAGACAAACAAAGGTGTATAAAAGGGGATTAACTTTATTTTAAAAATAGTTTGTGAAAATGATAACGAATTTATTCATAACTTTTAATCATGGTGTAGCAATACCCGCTTCACTTGATGCATGTCATCTCACATGCGCTATGCATATTAATCATGGTAAAACTTTAAGCATTAGTCGGTGGTCTCTTTAAAGGCTCGTTTGCGAGTAATTCTGGATAAACAAATAATCACTTTAAGTCCTACAAGCATCTCAAGGAAACATTTATCATGAGGTTTTTCAAAAAAAGGCACTTTTACACACATGTAGCTCTAATTTTCCGTTAAATTGGTAAAGAAAACAGATTAAAAGTTGATGATACGACTTGTGTTTATATGGAGTTTTTGTAATGTTAGTCGTGTAAACATTATTTCAATTATTGGTGTTGTTCAGTCATGGAAGATGATGTTTCATGGGTGTAGAAAAGGCATGAAAAAAATTGAGAATAGGGGAATTGGGTAAGCACAAGCACGTACATCATTGCAATAGTCGTACAATATAACTATTTATGTACAATCATACATCTATATATATATATATGTCTTCACTATCACTATTTAAGATATAGCCTCTTGTTTTGGTTGCTTGAATAAAAAATATATATATATATATATATATAGTTTTTGGGACTCAAAATTTCCATTAAAATGAATCAAACTTCATAATACTCTTTTGGTTAAGTTCCTTATCAATCTTAGACCAAATAAAACTCTCCCCAATTCGGACTAATGTGTATATCATTTGCAAGATGAACGATTCCTTCAAGTTTGAACATGATGCGCAATGGGCAAAAATATACAAAATTTGGATGTAAAATTCAAATTGAATTGAATTAATAAAGAACTTAACCATACTAGTGGTGTTATCACGTACGAGACTGGCATTGCTAATGAGCCACACCAGAATGATAATTTGTACGTGTTTCACCACACATACACATAAGGTATGAGATTCATTAACTCATCAGTATGAATATCATCAAGTCACCATACATCCGACCCGTGCAATATTAGGCATCCCACATAACCAAGTGGCATATAATATAATATATATATATATAATACAAATAATAATAATAAATATTTATTGGACTAAAAATATATATTGAAGCGTGTGGGGGCCATTTTGGCCGGGGCAGTCCTGCTTGCTTAAATATGAGCCTCCCGTACTATACTGAGAGGTTGACGGCGATTTTTCTAACTTATCTTTTTTCTATTCCCCTCTCTTTCTTTCTTTCTTTCTTTCTTTCTTTCTCTTCTTATTAATTTGATTCCTTTTTTCAATTTCCACTTCTCTCTCTCTCTCTCTCTCTTCCGTAGGAAAATTGAATTGCAATTTGCAACTGTACATTGATGAGACTAAAGCTTTCAAGCCCCTCCCCACCCTTCAAAAAGTTCAAAAACTACGCGTCCTTTCCAACACTCACACTCACACGCACAACCAAACACCCCAAAACCCTAATCTCGCTCTCTCTGGCATCTCTCTCCAGATTCATGCTCAATTTTCACAGCCGATTACAATCTCAACCGATCCTGGTCGATTCTCATGGACGACAACAAAGACAACCGCGATCCAGCTAGAACGACCGAGTTCACAACTCAGTCCACCTGGCCACTCGACCCGGACAGCGCCTACTTCTTCACCAGCCACGACGTCAGAGACAACACACTCCTCACCGAATTCGGCTGGAACTTCCACCCGGACGGCTCCAGACCCGACGGCTTTTCAGAACTTGACCCGATCGGAACCCGCGACATGTCCGATTTGGCGGCAACTAGTAGCCAGCTTGTTGCGGACTGCTTACGACCCGCCGACAGCAGCAGCAGCAGCACCGCGGCGTTTCGGAGCTCCGACCCGGCCCCCGTCGTCGGATCCGCTTCAACGAACCCGTCCGTTTCTTCGACATCCAGCGAGGATCCGCCGGAGAAATCTACGGGGTCCGGCGGCAAACCACCGCCCGAGATACCGTGAGTGGGTTTCAATGATTAATGGCTTAAATGCGTAATTAACTTGTTTTTCCGTGGGCTAAGCTTGTGCCAGGTATCTCCTTACAAAACCAATCAATAATTGAATTCGAAAATGAAAAAGAGAGAGAGTGAGGGAGGGAGTGAGAGAGTTTGGGTGCAGTCTGCAAAAATCTGCGTCCGTACGGTCTAGAAAGTAGAAAATTCCGCGCACACAGAAAACAGAAACACACAACAGAATATTACTAACAGCATAATATTCATGCAAGTTGGGGTGGCATTTTCGTAATTTTGAACACGAGAAGGGAATTGAGCGAAATTAAAGGGCTGCAGTTTTTGTGCACTCGAACACTGCCGTTTTTACGGCGGGAATGGCGTGCCATAACTTTTCACGCTTTTGGGGAAAATAATTCTGTGTCTGTTTTTTTAATAAATATTAGTTCTCGCAAATTACTAAAATGTTTAGAACGAAGATACTAATTAATCAGCCTTTTAAATAATTTTTAGTTATTATTTTTATTTTTAAAATCTTTGTTCTTGCCGTAGTGTCCTAGCATTTGCGTCATAAATTATGTGATGAATGCATGCGACATTATTGTCTCCAAGTTGCTTAGTGTCCTATTTAATACAATGCTTAGTGGTGTGATTTTATCATAATATTCTTGGATGGGATTCTTCTTTATTTGTGGTCCATTTTATTGTTACAGTTCTTCCTAATAATGGTGGCTAATAATTACATGTACCATATCATTTTGATGATCTTAGAGAGCCTACACTGCATGGTTCTACACTCTGCATGCCTCCTCATGTGAAGTAAGAGCTATAACATAAGCAAAATCATTTACGGTTTCGTTTCGAAAAACTCTAATGAACAAGAATTACAATGCACATTCACTTTGGATTTCTATGTAAAATTCACAGAATGCATGGATTTTAATTTATTTGTTGTTAGAACTGATAAAATTTTAATAGCATTACAAAACATGACTTATATTCCTGTTTGTTTTGAAATATATATATGTATAGGACATGAATTCATTCACTGAGTTTTGCTTTTTCCTTTTGGATTTTCAAGATATTGTTTTTATTGTGATAATTGTAGGTAAAATATTTTGTAGGAGTAAGGTTAAAAAGAAGGGGCAGAAGAGAATCCGGCAGCCACGATTTGCATTTATGACTAAGAGTGAAGTTGATCATCTTGAGGATGGCTACCGCTGGCGGAAATATGGACAGAAAGCTGTCAAAAACAGTCCCTTTCCAAGGTCTGCAACTTTTGAATTAACTTATCTGGAGACCAACTTTACAATTTTTTTTTAGTATATTGAATTCATTTCAAGTAATTCTATATGTTTCAAGGCAATTTGTTGGTTTGAAAACACAGGGATCGCATATATATATATATATATTGAATATGATAAATTGATGAGAGTGAGAATAACGTTTTCCTCCAATGATTTTACGAAATTACATTTCATAATCCGAACCGTTTAATTTCTTTGTTACACTCTCAAGTGAAGCGTGTGTTTTGCAGGAGCTACTATCGCTGCACAAATAGCAAATGCACGGTGAAGAAAAGGGTTGAACGTTCCTCTGAAGATCCCACAATTGTAATTACCACGTACGAAGGCCAACACTGTCATCACACTGTTGCATTCCCCCGGGGCGGAGTGATTGCTCAAGAATCTGGCTTTGCAGGCCACCATTTGGCGCAGCTGCCTCCAGTCAGCTCACACTTCATGTATTATCCTGCAATTCAACCCAGAGAGCGAGTTAGTCCTCTTAACTTCACACGAACGACTTCGCACCAATTAGCATCCCCACGTGGTGGTGGTGATGATGATGATGATGATGATCAAGCTGCAGGAGCAGGATCATCCCACTGCCTTGATCCACAGACAACTTCAGTTCCTACAGATGAAGGGCTTCTTGGGGACATTGTACCTCCTGGGATGCGTAAACGATGAGATGGGTAAAACGGTAATTATACACCCATTCACTTGAATTATTTAATTGAATCGAGTCGAATCAATGAAGTGAGATTATACAATCACCTTGCTAGGTAGGTTGCACACATTACTAGAATTTCGAAAGCAAAACCCTAAGTCATCAAATGATGATGAGGCTAGAAAAAAAGAAAGAAATGAAATGATGATGAAGCTAGCTAGCTGCTAGCCTAAGAAACATAGCAAGTTGATCTGGAATATTGAAACATTACTTTAGGCGCATGAACGAAAGAATTTAGCTTTTAAATTCTGGGATCCATGGTTGGACTGCCAGGAGAGATCGCCAAAAAGAAAAGCAAAACCTCAAGTATATATATATATGAGAGGTTCTTAATCTATGTGACCCGATTTTGACTATAATATCTTTCCTTTTTGATGTGAAAATATAACTGTCTCTATGCACCACCACTATCAACATCATGTACTTGTCATTGGCTACAAACTTATCTGCTACGCTTGGGATCTAGTGCTAGCTAGTTCACTATATATCTTATCTTTGATCATTACAATTTGCATGCCCCGTACTTTAATTATTATCCTTCCACACCACATCTATTATTCAGCTGTCTCCTCTCCTCTTTCATTCATTCAACCAAAACAAAGTCAGCAGCTCTAGCTAAACCCATAATGCTTTATTATATAGTTTTCTTATTCAACCTCTCCTGTGGTATTTTATTAATTTCTGCATTATCTATATATATGTTCTTATATTCTTGGAAGCCTTCTATGTTATTTAGCCTCCTCCGCCAAATTTCATTTCTTGAAATACTTTTTTGCAATGGAAAAAAAATAAATAAATTTAAAGGAGGTGGCGCACTAATTAAGAATATATATCTCAAGTGAGTTATAAATGGGGTAGAAAATATGCGCATCAATATGTGTATATATATATATACACACACCGGGAACATTTGGGATGAGCCAAAAACTTTTAAAAAGGTGAAGAAAACAAGCTTAAAAGAAGAAACGTATACAAAATTCTATTCTATATGATGAGGGTTTTGTAAATGGGACCTAATTATTACCTAATATTATTTGTTGTGTAGCATTGATCTTATTCAAGCTTGGTCAACGTCGCCATATATATATATATATATATGCATGCATGCATATGCGGGTAGCAGCTGCAGTGCAGTATCTTCAGCTTTACTAGCTAGTATTATCAGGAGCATGCGCATCTTCCAAAATCCAACAGAGCCAAATATATATGTATATCTTTATATCGGAGGAGATGACTGTGGTCTGGTCTATGACCTTAAGCTTTGCATGTAACTGATCTGAGCACCATGCGACTCTTAATCCCTATTGTTGTGTATATAATTTAAATTAATTAAACATCCCAATTATTCATGCACAATCATGTAGGTAGTCCACCGTTTAATTACGATATTTAATTATAAACAGAGATATATGATCTTATATATTCAGTCTAATTAATTTTTGGATGATTAAACATTATATTATATAATGTGCATATATGTATACAAATTTTCTCTTATGCGGACGTTCGCACGTTATTACCATACAGATGTCTTATATTTTCTACTACCCTTTCTATGTATTATCGTGCAGACGTCCAGATAGAAGATGAATTGAATTTATGTAATATCAAACGTGCATATGGTTATAAGAGTGTTGTGGATATCAATTACATGCACCTCCTCATCGACTGGTTTATGAATTAATATTCATCTTCAACCTTAGAATTAATTAGGGAAGTTAATTGGTATGATCCTTAAAATAAGGAGTAATGCTAGGCTTACCACATTTTTCATACCACAATTGTACCACTTCTCTAATAGAGATGGAGCCCACCAATACAATGGGGCCCACCTCTATTAAAGAGGTGGTACAATTGTGGTATGAAAAATGTGGTAAACTTAGCATTTTCCTAAAATAAGTTGTTTCATACATAAAGATTTCGTTAGACTGTGAATTGCCCTAGTTCTATAGTTGTCGACTAAGTTACGTGGACTTGCGTACGTGTTGGTTGCCCTAGTTTCTAGTTGCCGTTGCCGACATTGCTTTTTCACTTTTATTTATTATTTTTTAAACTCTTCCTTTTCACCTTATATCTCTATTTTTTTAATTCCGTTGCCGCAATTACGTTTCTTTTATTCCCAGCCGAGTGGCGAAAAGTGGCAATTACACAAGTTAACCCGTGCGCTCTTTACCGAAATTGTTTGTTAATTGTCGGCTAATCTAACGCTGGAGAAGTTTATTATTGTGCCTACCTACCTACGTAGCTTTTCCTTACATATATATATATATATATATATAGCTTCCATTGACGAATCCCACAAATATACTACTGGGTCAATTAATAAATAATTGAGGAAGTAATCAGTGGGAGCCTAATTTAGTTTGGTGATGGTTATAAATTGACAAATCTTCAACATAAACTTTCCTTCAAGGCAAAATAAGAAAATAAAAAAGCTGGGAATTCATTAATAAGTTTTGGCAGCCAACAACAGTAATAGGATAATGAGCAAAGACGGTAAATTGTGGCGATGTCATGTCATGTAGAAAGGCTTCATGTAATAGGGATAGTAATCCGAAATTTTTTAGGGCCCAGGACAAATGGAAAAAATAAGGCAGCTACGCTATATGTATAATATATATTTTTTTCACTAAAGTGTTAGATTCATTCTCATTTTTCAATCAAGATTTAACTTATTCGAATTAATTTAAAATTTAACATTCAAGACAAATAAATTATATAAATTCAATCCAATGAAATGTTAATACTTCAAATAATAAACAAAGAACAACATAACTTGGAATTTGAGAAATCCCCTTCCTCAACAACCAACTTAAAACTTCCAAATTTGCAATCAATTATAGCTTAAAAGAGTTGAAACACCTCATGTTATTTTAAAAAATATACCTCTTTATAATTTTTTTTTTTAAAAGGAGGTCCCCTGAATAATGGGCCCAAGATAGTCGTATTGACTGCTTTGTTAAAGGCCGGCACTGAATACTGCTATAACACACATAATAACATTTTACGTGACATAATATTATTAGTCGAAAATATTACTGATTGCAACTAATGCCATGCCCATGAGTCACGACAATTAAATTGAATTGATTTGAAGAGTGTCGTTTAGTCAGTCTTTGTCTTGAGTGTGAGCAGAGCAGAGGAGGACACGTGCCGTATTGACCAAGTCCTGGTCCTTAGTCAGTGAGTCAGTTGTCCAAATCGAAATCAATATGGGGAATGGACGGACAGAGAAAGACAAGAGATAAAAGCGGCGTCTCACCGGCTTCTATGTACGGGAGCCCATAACCAACCAACGTCCTTATCTCCTCCTCCTCCTCTCTCTCCTCGATGGATGGCATATAAGTTATTATTTATTTATTCATGGGCGATTACGTACGTGGTGTGCCTATCTTCTTAACTAATTAACAGTCAATATCAATTTAAAGCTGTTTTATATTATTAGAATTTGATTAGCTCTCATAATCACTGTAAAACTAAAATAATTTACTCCAATGAATTTATATTAATTATATAAACATTTGGTTAGGCCATCTCCATCAACCCAACTGCAATTGAGAGAGAGAGAGAGAGAGTGACACCACAAATTATATAAATAAATAAATAAATCCTCTAGATTTTGACCTTTTAGGTCATAAAGAAGGAAGGAAGGAAGATATCATATAAGTCATCTCTTTTGGCTGTTTCATTGCTATAAAACTTCCTTTTGTGTTTCTAAATTGGTATCCAACAAATTATTGCCACTATATTTAATTTATTTCTTGTACCTTCTGGAATCACACCTTATTTTTGTTGCCAAAAAAAAAAAAAAAAAAAAAAAAAAAAAAACATGTTATATTATAAGCTAAGGCCTTTTTGTGGCTTGGGCCTGGTTAGATACATTCGCTATGAATTTGAGATTCGAGAGAGGCCCATCTATGGAAAATCAAACCCTACATCTACCGCCCCAAAGAGAGTGTGTGCAGTCGTTTACTCTCAGTACTGAGTGCCCTTTTGGTATTGCTTATTTGGGGTGATAAATGATTTTTTTTAAATTTTGGGAAACCCAACCCGTTTGGTAAACTATGAGAAAATAACTTATTGTGAAAAATTGCTGTGAGAGAAAGCTATAAGAGAAAGCAGCTAATAAGATGCTTTCATTTTCTGATTATGCAGGAATCAGTTTTGAAGAGACGCTGGGTTTAATGACTATGTGGCAATCATTTTTTAATTATATGGGAATCCGTACCAACAACACTTTTAACAAAAAAATTACCAAACGCCAAACTGCTTTCTCTCACAGCAAATTTGACAGCAATTATTTTCACAGCACAGTAATGCCAAACTGACCGAAGGCGGCATGACATAGAGATGTCCCCAAAAAAAAAAATCAAAATCAGAAACACAAAGGTACGCTACCCTACCCTTAATTGTTAGGTAATACATTGCATTCCCATCCCACCTGCTCAAGCAAAGCAAAGATAAAAATGGAAAAATAGGTTATGACCAGTTCCACTCAAAGCTCTTGGATTTCATACAAACATTTCTCAGATTCTAAACAAATAAAGTTAAAATTCAGGAAACAAACACCCACAGTACTAAGGGGCTCTATTGCCCATAGGTTAAGAAAAACAACAATGGCTTTGGATATTTTTTGCCTATCCCACCAAGTTCCTTCCAAGTTGGGTCCACTGAATCCAAGAAAACGTGGATTTTTTTGTTTCGCTTTGTGAGTGCAATAATATACAGATTTGTTTTGGAAAGATTTGGTGTTCCATAGCACGTCCCATATGAGTTCATAATTCTATTTACAGAAACTGTTTATATTCCTCTCAAGTGGTTCTTGATTCTGAGTTGATGCAAATGCAAATGCTTTATTGGGCCCCCAAAAAAAAAGAAAAAAAAGTGGCCCTGCTGATGAGGCCATGGCAGATTTCACATGTCACTAAGTTGAATTGAAACAAAATTCTAATGCTTAGTGGCAGGTGCTATGCAACCACCTTGAGCCATGCACTCATTATACATACATATATATATATATATATATATCCTTATCTAATTTGAGGCTTCATGTTTAAGATTCATCCACATCTCTAACAACCCTGTTCATGCTGAATTCTATTGCAGGAGATTTTGCTGAAAAAAGGGGCTAATTTAGTTGTGGTGGGAAACACTTTTTTCAACATTGAAAGAGGACTCATGGTAAAGCAACTACAAGAAGTAAGGGGGGCTTTAAAAAAAAATCCCATCTGTAATCATTTCATCATACAGAGATGAAAATGCAAATCTGAGTGAATGGGGATGTAAATTCTAGAGGAAACTTATCTCCCAACATTTTAAGTTTAGTGGCACTTTTCAACATTTCCCCATAAAGCAGGTGGTCCTTGATACTTTTGGTAAAAACACACTCAACCAGTGAAAAAAATGGTGCTTGACTTCTGAATGGCCACAATTACAAGTGGAGTTGATTATGAAAGTTGAGAAGCAATTAGTCCCCTTATTTCATTTTGTCTTGTAATTTTTTCTGGTGTCAAGGGCCCTAGCTTGGTGATGGAAAGTGACACTTCCTCATTAAGTGGTTTTCATGAAAGAGGTCAAAATTTCAAGAGCACATACTTTTTTTGACATTCTGTTTTACTTGTTCCTTTAAATGGGAAAGTTTGAGAGCTAAGGGAATTGTGTATGTCACACTAAAATTGTTGATGATATGTTACCAACTTTTACCCTTTTCATATTATGATATAGCCCTATTTTGTCTTCTTGTCTTTAATTTGATAATAGAAGCTATAGTTAAAAACTTGTTGACTCTCTAAATAATATTATGAGACATTCCAAAACAGTGAGGAGAATATTAAATATTTCAAAATGGGAAGAGAGAGAAGCTAAGTTCCTATAGCTACAAGTCTGGGAAAAAAACAGATCAGTGCACTCAAAATGAGACGATCAAATAGATTATTAGAACAAATAAAAAAACTAAGGAAGGTGAAAACTGCAAGAATAACTCATCCTTCCAGTCCATCAACCAGAAATGGAACCATTACCTCTGCAAGGCATACTTTGCATCTGGGGCCCAGGAGAAACAACAAATTTCACCACATTGTCTGTACTTGCCTGCATTTGCAACATTACAGAAAATGGCAGAGTACTTGTAAGTTGTAGAGAAGACCCACCAAGAATTCATGCTTGTTCCTTCTTCCAACCTACCATGTCATGAACCCAAATTGCCCATTTGCTTCTTCCTCCATAGGAGCTGGAAGGTTAAGATCAAATAGAGCAGTGATTTCAGCCTCATGAGGGACTTCAGGTTCTTGCCCAAGTACCACAGTTTTGACTTCACAGCCTCCAACAAAATGGGACCTCTTGTGACCACCTAAAGCTTGGCCTGACCTGAAAACCTTGAAGCAGAATGGGCACTCATGTCCCTTGCTTTTCTTTGAACCTGAATTTCTCTTTGCACTGCCAGATAATACGTTTTCATCAATTGGTCTTTTGCCACTGCAAGGCTCAACAAGCTTACTCTCAGGTGTTGGAACAGGAGAAACATCAGTGTCTATGCTGTTTTCCCCACTCTCATACATGGACTCAGAGTAGCCATTGGTCTTTGTATGGCTGGCTCTGTGTCCTCCAAGGGCCCTATGCGAGTGGAAGGTCTTCTTACAAGTCAAGCACTCATATTTGTTGCTCTTTCGAGCGTTTCTGCAGACTTCAACATTGGTAGAACCATTAGTAAATGGTCTGTGAAAACCATTCTTGGTTGTCTTTCTTAATGCATACTTTAAAGACCCTCCTCTATGCACTTGATCAGGATGAGCTTCTTCCCTTGACAAAAGATCCTTCCCCATTTCAGATTTCATATGAAAACCCCTTCTTAACTTAACATCATAGGATTCATATCCCTCAAATTTAGATCCAAATTCTGCTCTAACCTTGTGAAATTCACCATTCCTAATAAACCCATCAACAGAAACATCTGATTCAACCTTCTTTGGTTCACGTCTGAAATACCCAGAATCAGAATTGTCAGAAACAGTGATCTCAGATTTCAACTTTTCGTCTCTTGCTCTCTTCATGCCCATAATATTATTCACTTTCGAGGCACAATTGAGACCCTGCTCAGTACTAATTCTCATATCAATAGATGATGATTTAGTCTCTAGAACCACAGAGTTGTTATCTGAAGACTCAGCAAATGAATTCAAACCCCCTTTGTGACCAGAATCCCGAGACAACATCATCAAACTAATAGCCACCTCTTGTTGTTCTTGCTCGACCCCAGAACCAGATGAAGAACCATTTGCCATAGAAGAGTAAACATCAAGATTCTGGTACTTCATTCTTTTGGAGATCCTTCTCAGCCTTGGAGCTGACGTCTCTGTATCTGACTGACTATCCATTACTAGTTTCTGCTTCTCACTAGTGTCTGAGGTTTCTTCAAGCTTGTTAATCAGCTTCTCCTTCTCCGAGTGACAAGCCATATGACCACACAGAGCCTTCAATGACTGAAACCCCTTACCACATTCTTTGCACACCTTTCCCTGCTGCAAGTGTAAAGTAGGGCCTGAATCCACAAACCTCCAAGTTTTCTTGGGATTCTCTCTGAGAGAGTAACCAGAATGCCCACCAGCTTCAGACCCTGAATCTCCTTTGCTCTTTCCCACAGCATCTGAAGGTGAAAACTTCACTATCCTAGCTTTAGCTATTTCATCATCATCTTCCTCTTTCTCCAGAGTTGGTTTCTTATTCAAATGGGTCCTGATGTGACCACCCAAGGACTTCCCACAAGGGAACCTTTTGTTGCAAAACTTGCACACAAATTTCTTTTTCTGATTCTGATATTCTTCTTCCATAGTTGGATTTTTAATCACTCAATAGTCAAAACCAAACGATAGGCACTAGTAAAGAAAACAAAATCAGCAAACCACGCCTTACCTCAAATGAACTAGAATGCAGCATTCCATTCCATGATCTTGCTTGTTCCAGCAAACAGACCCAAATAGCAGAGAGAAACAGAGCAAGTGAAGGGACAATCTCAGATCGAACAGCTGAAAAACAGATCACAAAGTTTGGTGCTTTATTGCAGGTGAGTAACAGATGAGAATCGAAATGTTGAGATGTGACAGTTTTGTGAAGTACGAGATCCGACCCGCAAAAAGGAACCCTTTAAATTCCATATCAAAGTACCCACAATCCCTTTTTCAATGTTGCAAAATAAAATTAATTGGGTTTAAATTGAAAAGATCAAAACTTTAAGAAATGGGTCGCTAATAATGGCGACGAAGAGGCCTGTAAAAAACAATCAAAGCTAACCATGACTGATTCAGAGGTTCTTCTCTCTCTCTAAACTCCCTCTAGCTGTCTCCCTCTCTTAGTTTGTGTTATAGTCGGAGGAGAATTCCATGCATGGAAGCAAAAGATAAAAAGGGCATAAAAGATTGGCAGCACGTGTAGTCAAGCGAGACGCCTTCGCTAATCAATTGGACGGCCAGGATTGGTGGGTATGTTTTGAGGATCCCAAGGTTCGAGGACTAAACAATACTACTAAATAGATATTGGCACAGTGAAACTGAAACATCCAAACTATACCTTAATCTTGTCTTTGCTTGTAATTGTAGATTAGCACAAATGAAAGGTGAGATCTTCAACTGTTATTGATTTATGAGTGGTGCTACGGTAAGTTGCTCACGAGTCACGCCTTATAAAAATTAACGATGAAGATCAACTTACATGTGCACATGAACAACTAAATATAACATAAATACCTAACCTACCCATTAAGAAAGAAATGCAAATGTAATTGCAAATTGCATAGGTGACAAGTGCATGTCAACATATCAATGGGTTTTATTTATTCATTTCCTTTCCCACTACATGTGAATATGACTGCTGTTTTGTAAAACATAGTCTCTATCCACATTCCACATTTTTATACATTTGTTTCTTTGTTTGTTAGTCCACATTTTCAACATTATGTATTTTCCAAGTTTAATTATGATCGAATACAACATCTGAGATTCAAATCTTCAAGCTAAATTTGAAGTTGGATCATCATTAAAATGACACATGTTTTTCCCAATTCATCGAACACCCTGAAGAATATATAGGTTTTCCGAAGTGTTCAATTCATAGGAAGACACATTTACTTGGTAATTATCAGTAGAGTTTCTTTGATAAAGTCAATCGGCCATATTGTAGTGATCTGCTTGTCAAATATCCTAATTTAAATTAGAAGTTAAAACACTTCCTGCTTGGCATCTTGCAAAATCCATCACTCTTGGGGTCTTATCGTCTGTATAAAATGCAGACCTTTTTACCCAATATTGCTCCTTACACATGAAACTTCACCTAACCATGAGGTTTTAAATTTCTTAAGAGTTGTCTGTTAAATTATCTTGTAGTTGACCAAAATGTGCTAATCCAACTGAAGAACTCCATCTGGCCAAAGAAAAAATATTAAAGAATTCAACCACCCATTTTTAAAAAGCATTGACCTTGATGATGAGGAGTCGCATTGCAGCATGCATGTTAGTCCTCATTAGACTCTGCTGCCGCAAGTATATATTTTCTAAATTTCTAATTCTTATATTTTGCGCAATCAACCGTGCCCAGTGATGAAACAAGCATGTTACGATCAAATCACAAGCATTTGAGCTTCGACCATGTCTGAATTAAATTTCATTTTCTTTACTCAACTTCATGAAAGCCTTTTTCGGGTATAAATTTATTTCAGTCAAAAACCCAAAAGTCTTGCTCTACTAGGAACATTGACCTTTTTGGGTGGAGGGGAGCATTGACAAAGATTCTTATAAGAAGAAAACAAAGTGCGACTGCTAAAGGGCTATAAAGAGGTAGGAGGTGCACAAAAAACAAATGAGAAGAATATTCCATTTGAGAAAACTTTACGTACACATGAATATTAGATTCCATGGATTTTTGTACAAAAGAAACACAGGATATCAAAATTGCCTGTGCTTCAAAGAAAAAGTTGCCTTGCATAGAAACTTAGCTGCCAACCTCAAAACTTAGCCCTCACATGGGCTGTACTGAATTTACATCTTAAGGGGTTAAAAGAATTATCCGTCACTGGCCACTAGCCACTAGCTGGCCCCTTCTGCTCATCCCTCGTCTTGTAATCCCCCATGCCTTCATCAAATATCTCTTCAATCATACTCCATGTGGGTAGTACATCAACACCTTTCATGGCGTCTAATGGGAACCTGGCATCCCAGACTTTAGCATCACAAGGCTCCAACAAATACGCATGACCCACTACATCACTTGATGCATCGGGTTGGCCATGCAAGCATTTGCTACGATCGTTCCTAAATCCAGTGACTTGTAAAGCAGATCCTGCAGCCCCAGCATCAATTCGATCACAAGACTCATGCATATTGGACTGAAACTCAAAAGACACGCATGAGTCATCTTGGAAATCAAATTCCTCCCTGGTACACCCTGAAGTTTTTTCCCCATGCTGACCTACAATGTCAAATTTGCCATCATCAACTGACTTGAGCATGTATGATTCCATATTATCTATCCCACCATCTTCTTCGCTGGAATCTCTTTTAACATGTCCCCCATCACCATCACCATCACTGCCGTCATCGTCAACATCATCATCACTATCATCTTCATCAGAGTAATCCTCTTCATGGCCTACATGATCATCTTGATAAACACGAGACTCAATAACAGAGTCTTCATCATATTCAGCAACTCTCCTGTCAATGGAACCTCCATTATCTCCATGCCACTCATCATCATCACTATCTATTTCTAGTATATTAGATCTGTTCTGAACAGCTCGCCTGCGAAGCATGAACACATTAAAATAATAGCTGACCAGTTCCCTTTTACTTCGAGAAGGGAACACTACAGACAACTGCTTCCAGAAATTCCTCCCCACTGATGCAGGATTGGAGAAAACAACCTCAAGGAAGGTCTCCTCTTCTTCTTCACTCCACCTTCGTGCCACTTCCTCCCCCATGTCACAAAACCCCAGCTTCACAAACTTTTCATTTCCAAGGGTTCTTCTAAGCTCTTCCCGTGCGTCCATGACATGCTTTTGCACACACCTGACTGTCCCTGGGTCCAGGCAGCTACAATCTGTTCTACCAAGTCCAACCTTATCACACTTAAGTGCTGACAGGTTTGAGTCAGGCATTGGAATGACAGAAGTCCCTAAAAGCTTTTCCTCACTGGCATTATTAACAACCTTTTCTGATTCCAAGGAATGCAAGTAAAAGCGGTTCAGATTACTCTCATCTGTCTGATCCAAACATTTAACTCGTCCAGTCCATGTCGGGATACGGGCCTGATGATCTGGTCCAACAGGAACTGGTTTTCTTGGAGAGCGATCCGCCAAAGAAGAATAAACATCTTTGAAAGGAACAAATGTTCTCCTGGGGAAGTCAAATTCGAAATCCCCTGCAGGAGGCAAATAAGCATCTGGTCCGGGACCAACATCTTCTGCACGACAACTCCTGGTGGTCAATGAGAAGGGAGTACCAATAACCTTGTTGACAGGTGTTGAATTTTCATTAACAGTATATTTTTCAAGCACCTCGAGCCATTGAGATTTACCAACCACATTCCCATCCTCACCTGTCTCATGCAAAATAAGATTAGATTTCAATATGAATCAGTCAAAGCATTTATGGTCGCCAGTTCAAAACCAGGCCATATTATCTAAACAAAGTAAGCCATGAAAGTGGTTAACGCCAGAATTTTCTTTACCTGAAACATAGGTTTTTCGTGGTGCACCATAACAAGAAACAGCATCTGAAAATGGAGCAAGCTTATCACTGAATTCAAGCTGTCTAGGGTGCTTAAAAGGAAGCTCCTGGAAGTCCACATCATCAAAGGGCCTTTTGAATCCCATATTAACCTGAACCCAAGACAATTAAGATCTATGACAGATTTGAATAATGCATGACAATACCTACAACAATACTACTTATTTCATTAGTAACAAAAATGCTACTTCTGTCATAAAAGATTGTCCAAAGCCAAGAAATCAACCCATTAATGTTGCTAATCCGCAACACCTCATAACTTGCTTTTGAATAATTCACTTAATCCAAACACCAGCATATCTTCATTTAAAAACAGGCCATTTATCTCTCTCATAAAAAAAAGGGGGCCAATTAAACCATTTCACTTGATCCAAACACCACAAACCCTAATGTGAGGTAACCGAAAAACTAACATAAAGTTTTGAACAATATAAATTTTTATTTATTTATTTTTTGTTGGAGAACAATATCAATATTTAAGCTCAGTAATATTTCCATTCAATTAAATTTATTTTTCAGCATAAGATAATAATGATAAATGATAGGGTAAATACTAACAATGAGATTTTACCTCAACAAATTCTTCAGATTCAAAACTCAGGTGAGTATGACTGGAAGAACAAAAGGAAAGGCAGACGGCTTACGTAATACAATTGAACGCTCAACTATCAACAAAAGCCGAAGTATAGGTCTTAGGAATCGTATCCCTAATCCAATTTGACCAAATAAAGGACCTGAATTTTTTTCAGAAACCCTAACCCTAGATTTTCAATTCACGAGCGAAACCGATAAATTATTGACCAAACACATAAGAAATAGCCATATGGAGGTGACCGGAACAAAACCCCTATGATAATTTACACAAAAAGAACCTCTGACAAGACGAACTCTACGAAACCCTAGAAATTCGATGCGGTCGAAAAATTTACAAAATTAGGACTAAATTCGAGAGGGCAAAGTAAGAAGAACAAAATTAGAACCTAGAAACGTAACGGATCGGAAGAATAGAGAGCGAAAGGGGCCGATTCAAAGTTCTAACCCTAGAATTTTACGACACCAAGGGTTGGGTCGAATTTGGGATTAATCAACAGAGAAGACTCGGAATTAAGCAAACAAATGGCCGATTCAACGATTATGTGAAGAAATTAGGCGAAATCTGGAAAAAATTTAGGTCGATCTGCTTGGGTTCCAATCGAAAGAGGTAGACGATGAAAGATAAAAGGGTACGGTTCGTGCTTTTTTGTAAAGGAAACGGTCCGGATATTAAAAAAAAAACCGGGTTAATCTGATACCGGGAGATAGCGTTGATATGGGCTGGACCCTATATAAGCCAAAAGGGACTGAAGCCGGCTCTTGTGGAACAGAATTTACGATAAAGTCCCCACTCTAAAAGGTAATGGTTGAATTTTTTTTTAAAAAATTTTCCGAGGCAGGATCCCGAATTACAAACGGAACCTTTTTTTTTTGGTTAGACCCAAGGGTGTCCACCGCCGACAGTAGTGACTAATCCCTTTCGCTGCGGGAGCTCTCCCAAAGGAGGTAAACAGCTGGCCACGAAATGTGCTCCATTCCCATGGGCGGGGATCGAACTCCCAACCTCATGGTTAAGGGATGAGGTGAGCTACCACCACACCACATCTCATGGTTACAAACGGAACCTTTTTAACTGCACTACAATTTATTTTTTAACTTTTCTTAATTAGCATTTTAATATTTAATATTCGTATATTTCTATTTTTCGCACACGTCTTAAAGATTTTATAAAATATATATTTTTTAAAATCAAACAGACAATACATGTACGTACATATGCTTCACATTTAATACATATATTTTTTTACAAATTTTTTAATAATACAGACCAAATTCATATATTATACACGTATTTTTTTTATGTATTATTGAATAAAAATAATACATAAAAATAAATTTAAATAAATTATATTAAAATATTATATAGTGGCCGAACTTTTCATTTGTATTTTGAAAACCTTTTGCCAAATAAAACATGTACGTATTTTATTCGCACTTTCCCCTTTTTATATTTTACTAACTAAAAAAACAAAATCTATTTTAACTTTTAAATATATTTTTCCTGCCAAGCATTACCATTACCTTAATTTTTATTGGATAACTGTGATTCGATATATAAATCTAAAAAATAAAATTAATCCAACAGTAATTAACATGGAGGCAAAAAATCAAATAAATAAATTATGTTAGGTAATAAAATTAGGGTCAGTGATCTTGTAATTAAACTGATAAAAACCCATTGTTGAATGCTGCATTGAAGAGAATTCTATCATTTCTTGCATCTACTTTTTTCCTTGAAAAATTATCATATGCTTCATAGACCACTTAAGTTGTTCAACAAGCGTTTAAGCATGCATTCAGCTGATTTTGGAAAATTGCCCAAACAGACTTCGATTGACTTCCTTTCTTTCTTGTTCTGGAAAAAAAGATTCAGTCCACTCCAAATGTCCATAAACAACAACATTTTAAGTACAAACTTTTTTCCGTACAACTAGCTATTACTTTTTAGGAAGACGATAAAAGAAACTTGTATGCATTGAAATGGCAACTAAAATGTAATCCATAATGCAACACCAGTTTCAGTAAAAAACAGAGTTCAACATAATGCTGCTCCTGTTGCTGCCACTCTGAACCGGAATCCTTTCCGCCATGCCCCTTGAGGATCCATTGATGGAAAAAATGTTCTTATGTGAAGCTTGAGGAGGGATGTTGTAGTAATGAAATGGTGCAGATTGGTCTTGTTGAAATTGGTTGTGCTGTTGGGAGACGACAGCTTGAGGCAACAAGCCACCATGAGCTGCTGCCTGCAGCCTAGCTTCATCGGTGCCCTGTAATTCCTATCTAGGTGCTTGGGGCCTTGCCCAATTTCACTTCAATCTCAAACCCTTTATCACTAGTTCATTAGAGAGCTCTTCTGCAGCCTTCTCTTGTTGTGTAGGTTACAAAAGCACATCTTTGTTCAAGCAGCAGCATCCGAATGTGTTCGATTTCACCATGATAATACTTTCTTCCGTGAAAAATTATCATAAGCTTTGGATAACCATATGTAAGCACAATTCTGAATTTCTGAGAGACGAATTCTACCAAGCAAAGCATATACATATTGGATATACAGAAACGCAATACTAGGCAGAAAAAAGAACACTAGAGGCTAGTAATGTTATGGTAGACTAGTTAAGCATCCAAAGCATATGGAAATTGTGAGATTTATCCAGAATCTATCTATAATTACTAATACAGTCTCCGTCTAACATCAAACACTCTTTCAACGGATTCAAAATCGATACTTTGTTGCATCATCTTGGAAGGTGATGCCTAATCAATCCCTGCTGTTCATCCAACACAAAGCCGGCTGATGAAAAAGGGCACTTGTAAAGAAGGGTTTTAGATCAAAGATCTCATGCTCCTGTGCCTGCACAAGATAAATCGAGCGCAAAAGGGTTTTGTTTATGCAAGAAAAGTAAAATTTCCAATATCAACCACTCATGTTTGCATTACCATCCTCTGCAAATCTCCCATTTTGACATCGACATGAGTGCTGAGCTAGAGCCAGAAACAATTTCTTTTGTCTTCTTCTTCCCCCACATGAACTGTGTCATGTCTTTCTTGTGTTCAAATATACACGAGTGTTCCCATAGTGTAGGTATGTTATAAGTATGTTGTACGCATATGCTTGCTTATGGTGTAGGTATGTTTTTTTTTTGGGCAGAATGGTGTAGGAATGTTGTATGTATTGGGTTTGTTGGCCTGATATTAATAGGAAAACAGAATGACTAAAAGAAAATAGGAATACTAATTAACCACCATATCTAAAAATATAAATTTAATCATAACAATTCTCATAAAAATTATAACAATCAAATATGATAATAAACTTACATAGAATTTATGCAAAACTTTCTTCCTGTATGTAAATTGTAATGCAGCAGATTTTCTGTGAGCACATGTATATTGTATCTATCCATCTCATTTTAAGGGGACAATGCTATCACTATAAACTAACTGAATTAATGGCATTCCGTGGGGCTTTGCCATAAAGCCAGGCCAAACAAAATCAAATATTCTACATCGTTTGCTCTTCATATTATAAAGATGTAATTGGAGTGGAGAGTCGACAACTAGCAGCATTATCGCGAGCTCACCTGTGTGGATTGTGCCCAAAACTTCACCTTGAATTGTTTTTTGGGGTACCTCAATAGTAGTAATAGTCTCCTTAACCCACACAAGGTTTTGGTAGTCTTTCAAAATCCATAAAATTAACTTGTTATGCTCCCACCGGTTCCCAAGATACACAGCCACACATCCTCCCACCTCAACTATTCTTGGAAAATTATCATCATAGTCAACAAAGTCTTGAGCACAATCTTCAGATAGTGGCACCACGCTGAAGCTCTCCTCTCCAACGTCAAATACCACAATCTTTTTTTCGCTCTTATCGATCCAGTGTATGGCCCCATTGATGCACACAGGACTTATGACCACAGCCCATATTTTAAATGGAAGGTCAACGTTGCCTGCTGCAGGGTCTACCTGCAATGGTCTCCACGAAGAATCCTGACCTAGCGTGAATGCGTTGAACTGAAAATCTGAATTTCGAAAGTTGATCTGGAGAACCTTATACTCGTTGGTAAGTGGACTGAAGCCAAAGTTGTATGCAACTAATGCATTGTGCTTGACATGGGGAAGTTGAATGGACTCTCGAGTGGTAGGGTTAAGTATGAAAACTGGGCCACCATAACTAGAGGATGCACAAACCAAGCCATGGACGCTTTGCACTCTATCATATCTATAAAGTCGAAGAGCTTCACATCGACTCAGGTATGAAAGTTCGGCGACGGGTGTTGGAATTAGAACCCTGTTATTATTATTATTCCCTCCTCCTTGTTGCTCCTTCTCCTCTATTTTTGAGGAGAAGAAGCGGTTTTGCTTTTGGAAAAGGAAGTTAGTGGTGCTCTTGTTTCTGTCGTTCCAGAAGTCGGCGACAAAGGAAGGGCTGCAGATGAGGGAGGACCAAGACTTGCATACGCACCTGCACTGCATCATCAGATCCTTTGGTGGTAGCCGTGGGAGTATATGGGAGAATATGATTTCGGGTGGGAGCTCCGGGTTCAAATTTACCAATTTCCTTTTACGACTTTCTCTGGCCATCCGAAGACCTGAATATAGTAACGCTATGCTGACAAGCAGAAAAGAAACCCAGAGATGCTGATATATACGTGCTTTTAAAAGGAAAACCAGAGACGCTAAACTTTCGGTAGGGATTGTAATTGTTGGCTTGGCATTTTATAGGCAAACAGAGTAACAATCCAAAAGAAAAAAGGAATCCTAGCCATATCTGAATTAGTATCCTAGTGGGGGAGGGAGGTGGTGTAATTGGTGGGGAGGCGTTTGGGTTGTCTAGGGAATTGGACAATATTCGACCAAACAAAAAAAAAACAGATTTAATGCCCTTTATTATTATTAGTACAACTATAACTTATATTTCTCCTCCAAGGTTCTTCGGATTCTGAGCATGTATTACATTGCCAAATTCATCATATTCTGCGAACACACACAAAAACAACATAGTTAAATTTAAGATTTACAACTAAATACAAACGCAATCGGGTCAATGCACTACATCTCCATAATCCGAATTTGAGTTCCAGAAAGATTAGAGAAATTACCATAGCAAAAAGAGGAAAAACAATTGTACACTTCCGCAATGATAAAACCTTCTGAAGTAAAACAATCATTTTTTCACGAATGGTTTTGAGCAAACAAGTAGACCTTGGTCACTGCCATTCTGAAGGTCGATCACCCTTGCTTCCCAAAGCATTTGTGTAGCAAACACACATGCCATCTCAATAGCTCCCACTTTATCACAGAGAAAACCCATCCCTGCCAACCAGCCATAATTCACATCTCAAAACGGGATTTCATCACATAACACCGAAATATAGAAGAAGGTTATAATTCTTTGCATTAGAAAATGTATTGACTTGTTGAGGCCTTGATAGTTGCATGCCAAGATGGCCAGCAATATTATTTAAGAAATAAAGAGAAAAAAACAAGATTTGTATCAGTTGACAACTTACAAAATGAAGTTTGATTTCTAAAGGTGGATTATAAAATCAATATTAGGAACAAAAGAAGGAAGGACAGACAACAGACTTCTTCATCTTACTTTGCATCTTGCAGTATAGAAATATAATATAAGCAAGGGGGAAATAAAAGTACCTCAGGTTGCAGAATCCGATCCATCCCCAAGAATAAATCCATCATGCCGCACCTCTCTGAAGACAGATGTGAGAGCAGCCCATTCGCATGCAGCAAATCATAGGTTCCAGGATATGTAGGGAACGGTTCACACCTGTACCACCAGATAGATCACAACTATGACTCTACCTCAAAAATTAAATTGCAGTCAACATAGACTTGCAGGCACACATGTATAGAAAGGGAAAGAAAATAGGATATAAAGAGCACAAATGAGTCCTAGCTTTTTTAAATTCAAAATTTTTCAACCTTAGCTAGAGTTAGTCATTCTCAAATCTTTTTTGCCTTCCAAAAAACACAGTGCGTCTGAGCTACACTGAAAGAAGCTTCAAATATCAAGTTAGCCAGCAGAGTTTCTGAAGGAACTGAAACCAACAACTTACCAGTCATGCAAAACACCAGCAAAACCTTGATCTAGTATGAGAGGAAGTGTATAGGGAGCATTGACAGCCACGACATTCATCACCCAAACTGATTTTCTTTCCTCCAGAAAAGCAGCATTTAAACCCCCATAGTGAGCACTCATATCCATCACATTGCGTATCATGTTTAATGGAGATAATGGGTCTTCATCACCTGGTCTCTTCAGATGGTCAGAGAAAATCAAGGGTGTAAGCAAAGACCAATAGTTTTTCAGAGCTGATCTCCAAATCTGTAAGTCCTCAAAGAAATAGTCAGGCTGAACTCCTGCAAAAATAAAAGGGTATCAATATGCTGGCAGAGCACCATGAAGTGAAGCGTAGAAGTGAATGATCATGGCAGAGATACAACCAGAAAGATTTTAATGCATTCAGAAGTTGGAACCAACCACACTCTCCCTAAGAGATAGAAGACCAAAAAAAATAAAAAAAGATGATGGAATAGTACTTTCCATCAATTTCAAGCTCAGCTGAGTTCAATTGATGGGGACTCGAGGACCTATTTCGGATTGGAGTCAAGCTTTTGTTGGTGGTCCCGCTTATACATGATACGAGGGGCTTATAATATGACCGAACTCATGCCCTTCATTACAAAGTGGTATAGCACCCTGCTTGCTACAACAAAGAACAGAAAGAAAAAACATTACTAGGGTTCTTTTTCAGAGGAAGAGGAAAATAAGTGGGGCTCTTTGAATACACTAATTCAATGGCGCAAGTCAATACCAAAGCTTTAAACAGTACTGAATTTTCAAATATCAAACTAACAATTCTTTCACAAGAGACCGAGGCAATATTGTAACTATCCTCACCAAGATGTATAGCAATCAGAAACCACAGTTTTCTGCCATATGAAAGTTTCATATTGCTGAGCTTTTAAATTCCAACAGATTTTTGGGGTCAATTCCTCCATTGGTGTCAACATGCTATTCTTCATGCTCAAAGAACTTCCATATGGCTGGCTTGTGGATGAGGTCAAAACAAAGTAGCCACCAGGCTTGAGTACCCGGTCAACTTCTAAAAGCAACATCCAATCTGATTCATGAATTAATTATGGTAACATGAGAGGAAGGTATTCAAAAAAGCATAAGAGAACTCGTCCTCCAAGGTTATTAGCAGAAGAGAGATAGAGGGGCTACTCAACCGCAAAGGAAGCCCAAAATGTAAGAAATAAGCCGAATAAAGTCCAAATTACCTTTTTTGTCCCAAACAATACCACATTGAGCAATGAACCATTTCAAAAAAGACAATGTTGGAAATGGAAGCTGTCTTGTAATGAAATTGCGAATCATTGCTGGAAGACCTCTCGCAAGGGTCAATTGAACTTGACTGCCAGTTGCCTCATATGCCGCGATACAAATAGCCATTACATTTAGTGATACTAAATGAGCTCCAAAGCTACCAAAACCGCAACCAATATCTAGTACAGTCTGCACCTGTAGTTTAACATAGAACTAATTAAAATATATAATGCAAAGGATAGTTCAGACATTACATTTATCACAAATAAGAAGCAAAAGTTGCTTTTTTTTTTGCTTCCAGCATAAACCTAAATTTTGGACTATGAGAGAACAAAAGATAAAGTCCCCATTGACTCTATTTATTATTATGGTAAATCGGTGTATCAAGATGTCAATCTGAGATCTTATTTTGGTTCAATACGTCCACCTACAAGACTGACCTTGGCTTTTGTCTCAGTATGTGTGTATTATAATAAATTTTCCCATACGTATTTAATACACTCTGGCCTCTTTGAAATCTAACAGTAACCCGCCCTAGAAAGTAACAGCAGATAATCATAACTGTAACTCACAAAGAAGGCTTACACCGGCTTGAAGAAATTGAGAATCATCATTTAAACCTAGCATCTTCGCAATTTGAAGAGAATAATCCTCGACAACATCAAAAATCAAACCATCCTCAGAGTGAAAGGCAATTTGATTTTCTTCTAGTAACATCAACCTGAACAAATTGTAAAGCAGTTAAAGAATGACTCTGCACAGAAATAATTATTCACACACAAACGAAAATAAAAGAAAACACTGAAACTAATACAATTTTCATAGAGTCGAGAAATTTAAATGTTTTAATCACTGGTGCAGATAAAAGATCAGCAATTATTTAAAAGCTGTTAAATATATAGCTTCAACAGGGAAGCACCTTTTGGTCATGCTCCCAGACGAAAGAAATTGGTCTTTGGTTATCTTCACGTTTCCACTCAATGTCACATCCCTACCAGCTGGCCACCTCCGGGGAATCTTATAGTCCTTAGGAGGGCGAACTGGACACCGTTCTCTGTTTCTTGATACTTCACAATGCCAATCAAACTCCTCCCCATCTTTAAACCTGCTGAAACATTGTAACATGGCACATAATTTTCTTTCTCTGCCACGAAGGCCAAGCTCCCTTTGTTGACTAGCCCCTAGTGCGAGAGACCTCAGCTCCAGATCGCAGCTTGCTACTTTAGCCTCCTATAGTTTGTATAGATGTTGGGTACTGAAGTAGGAGTTAGAGAGTCAAATGTATTTGAAGAGGATGATCCCAACACTGGAATTAGTGCAAGAGCACTAACGAGGCACAAGAGCAGCCAATTGAGTGGCGGTCTAGGGCCAAAAATGAGAGGGAGTTTATTGGACCAGGAGCTTCTCATGTCCGAATCATGCAACCCCGACTTAAGAATTCCAAAATAACCCAACTAAATCATCAATTCCTTCAGCTTAAATCTCCAACAATAGCGAAAACCATAACCAATAATAACATACAAGCTTCTATATATATATTTGCATAAGTCCGGTTGATTCCTACAAGCATTGATAGAATAACCTCCACTTCTTCCAAAATAACACCTGCATATCTTCACTTTCTGATTGTGCAATCAGAAAAAAAAGGTCAGATCACAACCCAACACAATTCAGTACGAATCAGCAAATTTTGAAACTTGGCATAACCAATTATTGCCAAATTCGGAAAGAAACAGGACTAGGACAACTTGACAAGTGTTCAGCCAAGACCAACCTGCAGCAAAAACCAAAGATCCACCAAATCAATCCATCACAATAATTGTCCCAAAGAAAAAGTCCCCATTTGGTTGTTGAGAAAACTACAAGTGAATCTTACAACAGATTCCACTGACAAGATTCCAAATTCCATTTTCATTTTCCACTCTTCCCAGCAACCAAACAGAGCACGATAAGCCCAGAATAAATGCATCACTTTCATTTTTTAGATATCAGTGAGCCAAATTCCAGATCCCGAATTGGAAAACAAAAATTTAAACTCAGATCCAATCAAAAGCAAAAGGAACCACTACCATCCCATAAATAATCGAAAAGCAGTAAATCCAGATTGCTTCAAATTTAATAACAGGAAAAAGAAACTCATCCTCATAACTGACAATTAGGGTTTTGGGAATGCTCCGGGCTCGAATTTACCAATTTCCTTGGGCCACTTTCTTTGGCCATCCAAAGACCTCCAACCTCTAAGCCAGAAAAAGTCTTCAAATTATCCTCCAGCATACCTTCCCCCAACAGGGTTTGCAGCTGCAATGACAGAGCAGCATGCTTGGAGAGAAATGACAATCCCAGCTCTTGATTTGATATGCTAATACTTTGTTGCTCCATTGCTTCATGAATACCCACCCTGACTGCAGATGAAAATGTAAATGCTCAAAAACTCAAAATAAGTTGGAAAGGGGGGAGGGGGGCTGTCAGTTTCATAATTGCAAAATTTACATATATACTAGCATTGTCATAAATATCCTGATAATTCATTTTGTCAAATTCATCAATAAGGCATATTCCCTTGTCAGCAACAACAAGAGCTCGTCCTTCAAGGTTCCACTCCCTTGTAACAGGATCCTTGTGCACATCAGCTGCTCCTTTACCAGTCGTATACACAGCTCTCTGCCCAGTCTTTTTAACATACCTTGTGAGACAGAAAATTGATTCACTTTTAACTGATGGCAGTAGCTGTTACTTAATAAACTGTGATTTTGCCGTGCCAGGATGACCTAGGAGAAGGACATTTATATCCCCTCAGAGTCGGTGTTTTCCCTCGACATTTTTCTCTTGGCCTCCAAACATGGCAAGAGCTATTGCAGTCTTTATGTCCTCATGGCCATAGACTGATGGCGCAAAGGACTTGATAATCTGCGTTCAAAGAACATATAGGTATTTCATGATAATACAAGAGATACTTAATTGAGAAAGATACAAGGGTTTGGTAGCAACCCTTTCTCCTATTCTTGGGTCTTTAGACAACTTTTCGATCTCTTCTTTATCTCCCCAGCCTTATTAAGTAGCTTCTTTGCCATCGGATCATAACTCTGCAGATACATAAGATAAAATGTTAACATCACATCAAACTTGAATCCTCTTGAAACTCTTAACTTTTGATATTGAAAAAGGAATGAATACAGACAAACAAACATAACAAATTTTGAACACCAAAAGTGGCTTCATGTAGACTAGTAGTAAGGTCTAATGCAAAGTAACCAACCACAGCTACGAAATTCAAAACAAGAACGTCTCATGTCCTCATAATCTGATCAAACATTAGAAATAATGAATGATAGCCAACAAACAAGCAAATCCACATGTTTTAAGTAGCAAAGCCAACATAATATGACAGATTAGGCATTGATAAATGATAATGCTAACCAAAATTGAAGCTCCTATTCTACTGAATTATTGATATTCAAAGAGGGATATTATAAAGAAACAAACAAACAAACAAATACTTCATCTACTATAAGGGATAATCTAATGCAGAGTAAGCAACCACATTTTTTTTTCCCGAGTAAGCAACCACATGAATCTATCAATTTCAAGACAAAATGTCTATGCGTTCATGACATTAAACCTGAGAAAATAGTTTGTTATAATCTACAAACAAACAAGTTCACATGATTTAGGAACCAACCACTATATGAAGGAAAAAAGCATGAATTAATAGAAGCAGCCTGAATTAAAAGAATAGAAATTTATAAATAAACCCAATCCTAGACATGTATTTATAAAAAAACCCAAGCACTATTTAAACATAGAAACACACCCAAAATCAACCCGAAAGTCAACTTTTTGGGTGTGTTTATAAATGGATTTTGAGTGTGTGTAATGATGGGTTTTGGGTGTGTTTATATGTTTAAATAGTGCTTGGGTTTTTTTATAATTTCAACCCCCATTTTGGGTGTTTTAGTGAAACTCCCTTAAAAGAATCATTGATTATAACGGACCAATATAATCATACATACAAACATACATGCCCATAGTAACGAACGATCCTTGATATTTTGCCTTGACAACTCCCCAGTGATGGGCATCTAGTACCTATAAGCACACTCAGCATACCTCTGTTGCATTCGCCGCGAACGTACTAGAAACTGCAAAACCGGCGCTCGGTTCCTTTAGTAATACGGTGTCGTTCGCTGAATCTTGCGAATGGTACTGGGCGCCGACTTCCCGTACGAACACTCGTATGAAAAGCATGAATTAAAAAAAAAAATTGAATATCAAGATTGAAATAGACAGATCAGCATGCTTTCCCCCCCTCTTCTCTTCTGTTATATAAACAAACCCAAACCAAACCCAAGGAAAATCGCGCCTCATTTTCATTTTCAAATCTGCCACTGCCTCTCTCTTTCTCCCTCATCTCTCTCCTCCTGCAATTAGCTCTTAATCAATGACAATGAATGCGATCAAGAAGGTGACGCCACAGCTGGTGGTGGCGCCAACTACGGCTATGGAAGCCGTTCACTTGAAAATTTTCGGTACTCGAAGGGACGGAACCACAGAGGAGCAAGGGTGGTCAAGTGACCCCTGCAACCCTGGAATCCGCCATTAGAGTGGAAGAAATTGACCCTCGCAAGGTGTTTGATGAAAGTCCCCAGAGGGGCGCGCCGCGCGCAGCATGTTCTCCTCGGCTCCAGCGCACATCTTTTTTTTTTTTGGGTATCCCTCGACGTCAAAACGACGTCGTTCTACTAAAGCTTTCTTTAAAAATAAAAAAAAATTTCCAAAACGACGTCGTTTTGAGGCAAGTCATTTACAAAAACAAAAAGGTTTTCCTAGCCGATGATCACACACACCCCAAAACCCCCCAATTTCTATTATTCTCTCCTCAAACCCTAACCCCAAATTCCCTAGCCGATAATCACATCCCAAAACCCCCCCAATTTATGTTAATGGATTAAAAGGTTCGGAGCCTCATTTATTTGGATTGTGGGCTGGATGTGCTTTCCCAGGTTTTCATTATCTCTCCTCTCTCTTTTTTTATTTTTTCTGATCTCTCTGGGGGTCATTAAATAAAAAAAAAAATTTTTTTTTTTTTTTTTTTTTTTTTTTTTTTTTTTTTTTTTGTTTTTTGTTGTTTAGGTGGAGATTTGTGATTGTAGCTGGTGTCGCCGCCGCCTATTGGTGTGAAAAAGCTCATAATATTCAGATAATTTTTAAACTCTAAATCGGTAATTGATGATAATGCCTAATATTTTTAATTTGTTGAAATTTTTATAATGATTTATTTGATGAATATTGATGATTTTGTGTGTGGATAATGATTTATTGGATTGGATGAATATTGATGTTTTTCGTTGATTAGTTGTTGAGGGTTTTTTTGCCAAGGAGGTTTTATTTTGGTTAGTTACTGTTAGTTTGAATAAATTAAGGTTTTTTTGATTGAAAATTTTTATGGGTCTATTTTGTATATAAATTTTTTTAACCTTTTAAACGTTAACTTCTGGAAGGAAAATTCCTGTATCCGTCTCGAACCTGAAAGCTTTAATGGAGAAGACTGAGTTAACGGATGCAAAATTGTGGAAAACATAGCCGAGGAAACGTGCCGTCCCGGCGTGCTCGTTGGGAAGATCAAGGACCGATTCGGTCATATTTGGGAATTCAGCAGCTCGGCTGGTAAGACATCCGATAAGAAAATTGAGTCCTCTCTCATACTATATTTGTTATTTTTTGAGATATTTTGTATCTTTTTGCATCTGTTTCTGTAATAACCCAAACCTAAAATTAATATTTAATTATTAATTTATTTGAGAAAAAGACAAAAATACCCCTAGAATATTTTATTAGTTTAAAAGTTGACTTTTTGATCGGGAAGGAATTTGGGGATTTTAGTTGTACCGTTGCGTAGAGCGCGACGAAACGAGTTCGTAGACTTGTAGTGGACTCAAATCGGAATTGTAACGAAGGAGTTACGATCAAAAGAAGTTCAGTGGCATAACCGTAAATATTTCGAAGTTCAGATTTTATAAACCCAGATTTTTCTGGGTTTCGGCAGAGAGGACGAGCCGACTTTGGGAGCTGTTTTCTCTCAGCTCCGACCTCCGATTCAGGCAAGACCAGTGCCAGACGAACCACCAAACATCCCTCTTCCAACTTCAGCCCTTGGACGCCTCTATTTGCCGCCATAGTCGCCGGAAACAGCCGCGAAACAGGCGGTGTTCGACAGTTTTTTTGTAAACTTTCGCCGGCTCGTTCTCCGTCATCCGGCCACCATTTCCGGTGATCCAGGTATGGAAACTCATCTATTTCTCGAGCCCTAGCTGCTGGTTGGGTAGGATTTCAGAAATTTCTAGCGTAGATAACTCGATCTTGGATCCAAAGTTTAGCCGAATTTTGGGTTGAGATTCCGGCCACTTCCGGCCATTTTTTGGGGTAGGTCCAAGAACAAAAGTGGCTCCAAATAGGGTGTTTTACCTAGGATAGGAGTCTTGAGCCGAGATGTTGAGATTTTTCCGGCGAAGCGTTATCGCTTTAGGCACCACGCGCTGCCAGCGCGTGTGGCGGCGCGTGGGCAGTAAGATGGGGACCACAGTCAGTCCTAGAATGATCTCCTAGTCCTCACGAGCGCGTAGGATTTCGCGGATCTTAATTCGGATATCGTTTGAACCCCGAACGGATCTCGCCTACTGTGCGATTTTCGGGTTCAATACGTTTGAACCGTTAGATCGTAGTTAATTTCAAGTATGTTAATCTAGACTTTCCCAGGATCGTAAAACGGAGTCCCGGATACTCCAGAATGGTCAGGCCTAAAGCAGTTTTACAGTTCAGTTGCAGGTCAGGAACAGAGAAAAGAACTACGTGTGGCTTGATCCCTCAGTAAGGGTACGTAGGCAGCCTACAGTTATTAGGCGCAGCCACGAGTTAGGGGCTCAGGGTTTATGTTATTGTTTTCAGGGTATTTTTGTCTTTTACGATCCACAGATATCAGGTGTCAGTTTAAAACGGGATTCGGCCCGGATTTCAAAGTGGAATTTGGGTCGGGTCGTTTCAGTTTCAGTTTTGCTTTTGTTTAATCCACTTTCTTAATTCCTTTTTAATTTCTTTATTAATTCTTACTTTATAATATGAGTGCACCGTAACTTATCTGTAAGTTTGTTTTATTAATTCTGATAAACATATTATTTCATATTCTTAATTAATTTATAATTGTCTTTTTGTTTTTTTTATAAGCTGCTTTTTTCATTTTGATAATAGAAAAAAAAAACCTATTTTAAAGTTATTGTTATTTAATCAATCGTTTATTTTATTTTAAATTATCTTTTTGAGAAGGTATATCCGATTGTGGTTTTACGGATAAGGTGAGAATGACAGTGTTGCTTGCTGATTGGACACAAAAACACCACTTTTTTTTGGTCGAATACAAAAACACCACTTTGACTGTTTTCCTAGCACCCCAAAGGTGACTTCAATACGTGAATTTTCTCAGCTCGCTGCAATTAAACATCTCAAGTTTGACCCTTTTATACTTGATCTGGATGTGTGCGGCATGTTTTGGGTAATTTAAATTAATTTTCATGATAATTATTTATTGCTTGGTAAATTATTCTCTCCACTGTAGCCGGAGACACGTGGCGGTACATCCTTCTTCATTCTTGCAGTGATCATCCATACAAAAACGAATTCATAATTAATTTAAAGAATTGAATATAAATTATTAGAAGAAACGAATAGAGAAATTACTCACTGATAGTTCTTGTTTGTGATGATGAATTTGTATGATCCAACCTCCACTTCAGCGCACACAAATGTTGTGGCTCGAATTTGTTGTACCGAATCAACCTAGCACCAAAAAGATCTTCATAGAATTGAACCACCCACATACCCCTAATTGGGGCCATCACCAGTTGTGGGGTCAGGTTTGTGATGGTTACTGAAGCTTCATGCTCAACCTTAACATTCATGCGGCTTTTCGTACTCTCCATTTTCTTCTCCTCATCCTGGTGTTTATGTTCCACTTCGTTATCCTTCTTCTTCAATGTATGAAGTAAAATATCTCTCACATTGTAATAATCTAGTGGCTTAATAATGTACAGGATATCACCTTCGACGGCTCCCCCAAAATCTAAACTCACATATGGTGAAGTATGCCAGCTAACGAGCCTCACTATTGTGCCTCGGAAGTTATGGAAATAGCGGACTTCGCTGGCTGTATTCAACATTCCTTCATATCGTAGGCGATATTCTTGCTACACTACGATATGAAGGAATGTTGAATATATTCAGGGAAGTCTGCTATTCCCATAACTTCCGAGGCATAATAGTGGGGCTCGTTAGCTGGCATACTTCAGTAGAGGTGATGTTAGATTTTGGGGGAGCTGCCGGAGGTGATATCCTGTACATTATTAAGCCACTAGATTATTACAATGTGAGAGATATTTTACTTCATACATTGAAGAAGAAGGATAACGAAGTGGAACATAAACACCAGGATGAGGAGAAGAAAATGGAGAGTACGAAAAGCCGCATGAATGTTAAGGTTGAGCATGAAGCTTCAGTAACCATCACAAACCTGACCCCACAACTGGTGATGGCCCCAACTAGGGGTATGTGGGTGGTTCAATTCTATGAAGATCTTTTTGGTGCTAGGTTGATTCGGTACAATAAATTCGAGCCACAACATTTGTGTGCGCTGAAGTGGAGGTTGTATCAGACAAATTCATCATCACAAACAAGAACTATCAGTGAGTAATTTCTCTATTCGTTTCTTCTAATAATTTATATTCAATTCTTTAAATTAATTATGAATTCGTTTTTGTATGGATGATCACTGCAAGAATGAAGAAGGATGTACCGCCACGTGTCTCCGGCTACAGTGGAGAGAATAATTTACCAAGCAATAAATAATTATCATGAAAATTAATTTAAATTACCCAAAACATGCCGCACACATCCAGATCAAGGATAAAAGGGTCAAACTTGAGATGTTTAATTGCAGCGAGCTGAGAAAATTCACGTATTGAAGTCACCTTTGGGGTGCCAGGAAAACAGTCAAAGTGGTGTTTTTGTATTCGACAATGTGAAGAAGGATAACAAAGAGGAACAAAAACACTAGGAAGGAGAAGAAAAAGGCGAGTACGAAAAGCCGCAAGAATGTTGAGGTCAAGTATGAGGCTTCAATAACCATCACAAACTTGACCCCACAACTGGTGGTGGCCCCAACCAGTGGGTGGTTCAATTCTATGAAGATCTTTTTGGTGCTAGGTGGATTCGGTACAACAAATTCGAGCCACAACATTTGTGTGTTGAAGTGGAGGTTGAATCAAACAGTTTCGTCATCACAAACAAGGACTATCAGTGACTAATTTCTCTGTTTGTTTCTTACAATAATTTCTATTCGGTTCTTTAAATTAATTATGAATTTGTTTTTGTACGGATGATGGCGCGTGTTTGTCTCCAGTTAGAGTGCTCTAGCGCTTCAAAGGCCCAGAATATGGAATGAAAAACTGGCGTGCTCGTTGCTTGAGGACATATTTGGGAACTCTGCAGCTCGGTTGGTAAGAAATCCGATCCGTCCTCTCCTATGTTGTTTATTTTTATTTTCTCTTTGTTTCTTTTTCCATCAATTCTTTCTTATATACACGCTTTCTTTTCCGATATCTTTTGGTTCAATCTACTTAATTCTTTGACAAAAACATCTGCTTATTAATTCATTTTTTAATTATATATAGTTTTTAAATTTAATGGATTTCTTTTGTTACTAATTTTGATAAAGAAAAAAGACTGGATTTCAATTATTATTAATTTATTTTGAAATGTTGGTTTTGAGTAGGTGGTGTATCAGATGGTGGTTTTATGGACGAGGAAAGTATGAATATGTTGATTGCGGAGCCGAAGCATAAACATCGGTGGAACTCTGGCTACCACTTTGAGAGGGCTTTCCCGGAGCGCCAAGGGTGACTTCATAGAAAGCTAAGCTAACGGCTGAAGATGGTTTTAATCACATTCACCAGTCTACAAATCGACATTCTCACTTTAACCCTTTTGTGCTTCGTCTGGAAGATACGATATTGGAATTGGGTTTTAATTCCAATACCTTTTGATTGTAAATACGTTTGAAGTCAGTAAAAATCAACAGTTTGATTGCATTGAATTGGAGATATGGCCAAACCACATGAATGATAATCTTGTCAAACATGAGAAGGAAAGAATGACAGAAACAAACCCATACTATATCACACTAAATGGTAAAAATAGCCCAACAAAAGAAAATTTAATTGTGTTTAAAATTTGAAGTAGAAGAACGTCACACACATCAGATACCCATGAATACAGAAAGATCAACAGAACTTTAATTTGGCCATTTTTTTTTTATTACACTAAACTAAGAGAATAACAAATTCGGAAGATATTCCGCTAAAGATAAGGACAAACTCAGGCACTGTATTATGGATCCTATTACAAAATAAGACAGACAACATAAGCCCCAAGTCTAAGAACAGGGGAATAATAAGAAATTATACAGGAAAAATAAAAGTAAGGACAAGCATACTTCCACTCTCAGTAACAAACTTCAGTACTAACTGAACTCACCAGGGGATCTTCACATACATCATGATTCTGTGCTTCTCACCTCAGTCAAGTCTTTATGCCACAGCAGGCATGTCCTTGAGCCACTCATCCAGGGGCTTTCCAATTGAATAAACAATAAACCCAATTTGCCTCAGCTTCTCCGCATCCACGACGTTCCGTCCATCAAACACAAATGCAGGTTTCTGCATCTGATCATAAATTTTCTTGTAATCAAGACTCTTAAATTCGTCCCATTCGGTCAGGATGCAAATCCCATGAGCACCCTTTGTTGCCTCATAAGCATCCCAGACTACACCAACTTGCTTCACAGCAGTGGGGCTCTGAGGTTGAAGATGAATAGGATGGTCCCAATCAAACTTCTTCATAGAAAGATCCCTCTGGATCTGATCCTCACTCACCTGTGGGTCATATATGCTCAATCGGGCCTTGTCACCCAACAGCCCTTTGCACACGTCAATGGCTGGGGTCTCCCTAGTGTCACCGGTGTCCTTCTTGAAGGCAAATCCCAGAATTGCAACCTTCTTGCCTGATACTGTGTTGAACATTGAGGAAACTACTCGGTTCACAAAGCGGGACTTCTGGTAATCATTGATCTTAATGACCTGTTTCCAGTAATTTGCTACCTCAGGAAGGCCATTACACTCACAGATGTATACCAAGTTCAAGATGTCCTTCTGGAAGCAAGATCCACCAAAACCAACGCTGGCGTTCAAAAACTTAGGCCCAATTCTTGTGTCCTTGCCAACAGCATGTGCCACTTCAGTGACATTTGCACCAGTTGCCTCACAGAGTGCTGAAATGGCATTAACAGAAGATATCCTCTGTGCCAAGAAGGCGTTGGCAGCAAGCTTTGAAAGCTCAGCAGACCACAGGTTAGAGCAAATAATTCGTTCTTCAGGGACCCAATGGGCATAAACCTCCTTGAGTGCTTGAATTGCCTTTTGACCTGCTGGAGTTTCCCTACCTCCAATGAGGACCCGGTCTGGACTGAAAAGATCTTCAATTGCAGTTCCCTCAGCAAGGAATTCAGGATTGGAAAGAATTTGGAAGTTGATGCCTTTGCTGTTGTGAGTCAGAATCTTTTCAATGGCCTCAGCTGTTTTGACAGGGACTGTTGATTTCTCAACCACAATTTTGTCAGACTTTGATACATCTGCAATCATACGAGCAGCACTCTCCCAATAGGTGAGATCAGCTGCTTTGCCAGCTCCAAGACCCTGGGTTTTGGTAGGTGTGTTTACAGAAACAAAGACAATATCTGCCTCCATAACATGTCTTTCAACATCTGTACTGAAGAATAGGTTCTTTCCCCTGCGCTGCTTCACCACATCATCAAGGCCTGGCTCATATATGGGGAGCTGATCGCTATTCCAGGCATTGATCCGTGACACAGAAATGTCAACAACTGCTACTTCAATATCTGGGCACTTGAGTGCAATCACAGCCATAGTAGGTCCACCAACATATCCAGCTCCAATGCAGCAGATCTTCACCATCTTGTTCTGTTATTGACAACCTGAATCAATAAAATGGGATAAGCTACAGTATTTTCAAGCACTAAAATGGTAAATCACTGCGTCACTGTCAAATTATTACAGATTTTGAAAGACAAAATGCTTCTGACCGGCCTTTCATTTTTCTTACAATAACGAAAATACATACAACCAGCCACAACCTCTGCACTATGACAGAACTAACCAAAACAAAACAAAATGAATTGACAAACCAAGAAACAAATCTAGGAGAAAGCAGTATGACATCTAAACATATCCATCTAGGAGATAAATTGGTCAGCCAAGGGGAACGAAACAAAAATAAAAGAAAAAGATTAATTGGGAACCAAGGGCCTGGTCAGCTAGTTGATTAATACAAAACTAATGAATAAAGGTATCTACTACCGACAACCATACGGTCCCATATGCTTAAAACTATCTCCATTTCAAAGCATAATATTGATTCATACTGCTAAGGTGGCTAGCATGAATTCAGTTTTGAGTGGTAACCAAAACAGAGCATCATATCGAAGTGAGAGAGAGAGGAGGCACATACAAGATCTATACGTTCACTCGAGAAAATTGCCCTACAATTTCCAGATCCACAGTATTTTAGTGGAAATAAGAGAAATTTATCAAACAGTTGGACGAAAGTTTTCAAATTTAAGCTAAATAATCACGTTGTCCACAACCCAAAAGGCAAATATCATATGATAAGATGCAGGCTCGCAATAAAGAAATTGAGCTCAATCAGATCTACAGCAGACAGTGACAAACTACCAAGATCCATACATTCCAGCCCACCCCAAACAACATGACAAGTTCATAACACAAGTAAATGAGCAATCTTTCAAAATAGACTGAATAACAGATCACCATATACAAAACCCAACTCGAAATTATGAAAACCATTATCAAAGATCCAAAAAATAAGCATTAAAAACAAAAACCAAATGAGCAAATTACAAAGCTCAATTGCCCAAATGAATAATGAAGCACCAATGAGAAGAAAACAGAGGAATTACCTCAGTCAATGTGAGGTCTGTGTCGCTGTGCTTGGAGAAACTGATAGAGATCTGACGCTGAAGAAGAGGGAGAAAGAATAGGAGCTTTGTTTTTCTTCTTCTTCCTCTGATGACCGAGAATGTAGAAGATCCAAGGCCCTATATATGCGCCAAACACCAACACCGGCCTATTATGACCCATGTAGCATTTTAAGATCCAACAACCGGGATCTGCGTGACCCGAAAACAGTAAACTTTACCCCCTAATAATCCACGGTTTTTCAACACGTTTCATTCACCTACACACGTCATCATCATTCGTTAAACCTTTAAAAAAAATATTTGGCAGTAAACTTTAATTTATATTATATATACCTTTTTTTAACTACTTATCTTATAATACGGATGGATTAGTAGTACCGCGTGACAGAGATTACAATCCGTTATTTGTATTATCAGAAAGAAAAATGCTAGGCTTACTATATTTTTATAACACATTGTGTACCACCTTTTAACTCTAATAGAGGTGAGTTCCATTGTAATAGTGGGCTCGACCTCTATTAGAAAGGTGGTATACAATGGGGTGTAAAAATGTTGTAAGCCTAACATTGCCCCTTCAGAAATTTGTTAATAATTTGCATGTACCATGTAGTAACATAGGTATTGGGAGGGGCCACGACCACATCATGTCTACATGTGACTCCGCCTCTGGTATACACACTGTAATTGTAATTTTGGAAGTCTCGAACGGGACGAAGAAGGCTAACCTTAAAATGAAACAAAAGTCATAATTTATATATGGTATTAAAAAATGATGAGGAGAAGTATATATGAAGCCACAACAGAAAATAAATTATGGCAATTCTCATTGAATATGAAAACTTAAAAGGGGAAAGTGAACCTTTCGGGTAGGGCCAGAAGAACAAATAGATCGAGTAAAATGGAAGGCATATAGTGCAAACGTTGCACATGGGATGTAGCAGCAACATGGCACTGGTAGGTAGAGATCCGAACAGGAAGGGAATTATGTGCTGAATTATTTATATAATGGGTTATTTTAATGTAGACGTGCAGGACACTTTGAGTTAAGTATGTGTGAATTAAGAGAGAGTGACAGAGACGAGGAGGAGGAGAAATATGATGATGATTATATTATGATTATTCTGTTTCTTTTCTTTTTTTTTTTTTTTTTTTTTTTTTTTTTTTTTGTTTGGTGTTGGAATTTGGAGTAATTACTACGACAAATAGTCACTTAATTAAATGTTTTTTAATAGAATTAGGCAACTAACCAATTTTTTTTTCAAGCCAATATGAAGAACAATAGAATAGAATTGAATGCCATAATGTCGTGTTGTAATGACAACGACGTCAACGGCGTGAAATGAATATAATTTACCAATGTGTTCAATGTCGGTGAGAAGCAAATAAGCACCAAGGATTATGGAATACAATCGGAAGATGACAATTTTTTTTTATGACAAAAGATGACAAATTTTAACTTATGTACATGAATGAAATGTTATCAGCTCGAACGTTGTCAATGTCTTCATGGTTAGGCCAATTGGCACATTCTAAGAGATTAAAATTTGGAGGCGGCTTTGATTTTTGTCAACTTTAAGAATTGAATTCTATAGCGGTAGAAATTTGTCTCCAAGAGCACACAACTTTGTCATTTCCAGTGGCTGCTAGAGATGGTGGAATGGTGTTGTCTGAAAATGTTGCACCAGCTGCTAGCTGACTGGCAATTCAGTCAAACCTTAATTTGAGGGCAAACAACTGTGATATCTGAATTCAACCATTCAATCATCTATCTCCTGTTCTTTAGTCTTTGCTGCCATTAAACTTTTCCTCTACTGGTGGAATTTGTATGCAGATTGGTGCTTGCAATCTCTAATGTTTCTTTTCATAGAAGCATGTGTGTGACTTTAAATAATGTCTCTCCGTGAGCTATGATCTCAAATCAATAAATTCAAATGCCATAATTCATGGATTAATTAAAGATGATTAATTAGTCCTTGATTGAAGCAAGCAGATTTGTTAGATAGTCGTCGTGGTATTTAATCCTCTTTTCATCCTTCATTCAGAGCATCCTGAAGGGAAATGAATTGGTTATTTGGATCATCCATGCCTTTCAAAATAATGAAAAGATGAAGATTATCTCATGATTTTTCTGATGTAGCATTGACAAACAACTATTTGGCTTTCAAAAGATTACCATTTTCAGTGATAAAGACTGGAGGGTTGCTATACTTTTGCTTGATGTAGTTCATTAATTTTCTCATCCCCTGAGGCAGTATGTACAACCAAAAAGAATTGGCCTGCAATTTACATGAGCAGTAATGTAGTATCAAATAAGAAAGCTGGAAGTAAAACAGCAGTGCATTAATTCATGAGAGTTAGGAGCATTATATTTATCTGTTCTGTCAGATGTCTTGAAATAAAGCTGGAAAAAGAAAAATACATGATCTCCAATAGGTCTCCCGTCTTTAGTGAATGTTGAAACAAGACAAAGATCATCTTCAGTTAGCAACCAACAGTTAAACTATAACAAATTATAACTTGACTTCCCTATCTCTAAGTTGGTGATTGCAGAAACTTTTGATATAACTGGAACACATGACAGTTAAATCAAGAGAAATATGCAGTGTGCTCAACGGTGCCATCGTCGGAAAGGTAGTCGTCTCCACTTACACCACCAGCAGCATTGCTTCTGGCGTAGTAGGTAGTGTACTGATTAATGCCTACAAAATCCAATGACCCCTTAATCAGAGTAGCCTCAGATTTGTTAAAGGTTGGCAGCCGGCTTCCAACTTTACTTTTCTTAGAGCTTGGATAATCTCCAATTACAACAAAGTGATCACACCAATTCTAGCAAATAGTTCCTTCTAAAACATAACTTGGAAGTAATGAAAGTAGGTAGCTAGCTTACAGGTCTCAATTTCAACTTTGGAGTAGAAAAAGGGCTAAGGTGTGTGTATCCTGGTCAAAAAGTAAGTCTTATTCCTTCTGTGACAAGAAATACTACTAAGAAAAAAATAGATGATCTTTTCAATAAATAAAAAAAGCCCCACGAGGGTTTTATGGTTACCAGCCAAGCTGAAAATCTTGGGCTCTTTGAGCTGCTTCAATGTCTTCTGTGGAGTTTGTTTCTGGTTCATACCACATAACATCAAATGAGGCCCCAACTGATCCATTCTGTTTTGACTGCAAAGGGACCAAGTACTGTCAGTAAACAAACTGTGACTGGAATGGCTCAATAACCTCTCTTCCTAGTTCCCAGTTCTGGTTTAGTTGAAGAAAATGAGGCGGTGTTTGATTTTCCTTCATTCCATCTTACCGTATACTTTTTCCTGTAAATATCAGCCGCAGTTGTGTGAGAAAGGATGATTTGGTAAGCAACTATGTAAGGCTCAGTTGAAGAATTCCCAGCCTTACAGGAAAGCATACTAGAGCACCTTCCTGGTGCATGGACACCTAAATCATATGCTTGTGTAGCAACTGTATGTGGCTCGTTGAATGTGATCCAGTGCTTCACCCTGTCACCGAAATTCTGAAAACATGTCTCTATGTATGTTGCATAGTCCTGTCTGTAATTGACTGAGGTCACATGAATAATGAATCACTTGAATAAATTAAAAAAAATCAGAAACTAAAGTTATGGAAAATAGAGGTACAAAATTGTGAACATTGCTTACATGATCTGAGGGTTGAGAAACCCATTTTGCAGGGCTTGAGGAAGGTCCCAATGAAGGGTCACATATGGTTCAATACCTGCACATGCAAAATCTTGTGGTTTAAGGATAGAAAAAAAAGGAAGAAAAGTTTATGCAGTCTGAAATCAACTGCATATTTTTGTTTGAAATCAATTGCCTAATTGCTTAGATGGCAGACCTTTGGATAGCAATGCATCGATGAGACTATGGTAGTGATCAATGCCTGCCTGATTGATCTGTCCAGTTCCATCTGGTATACAAAAACCTCACAGCTAACATTCTATCATGTATTTTTGCTTCTACTTGAAACTCGTCTCGAATACGATAAAAATTAAAAATCTGGTGTGTGACACAAACAGTAACTTTTAGAACTGCTAGAGCTTACTGGGGAAAATCCGAGTCCAGGATATTGAAAACCTATAAGCATCCATTCCCATGTCCTTCATAAGTTGTACATCTTCCTGCTTTGCAAATAATTTAGCATTTAGCATTTGTTAATACCCTTGATCAAAATGTCATCATTATGTCTCTTAACAAAAGAATTCTGAGAATATATGGTTTGAGTAGGCTTGCATTACAACGGTAATACTGATCCACAGAAATGTCTGCATTACTGAAACCAAGTATTTTTCCTGCGGCAGAATGCAAGGATTAGGGGTCACAATAATATTCACTGCATGAGAAACCCAATAATTTGAATATATAGACAGAGAAATCTGAACCCTTTTAAGTTTCTAGTAAATTAATTACAACATGAATATAAAAAAGACAACAAAAAAATAATAAATTATTAGTAATAGTATGTGAAAAAGTGCCTCAGATAGAAGACCCCCTTCCATCCTCTTTAACTGCACCTTCATGCTGACAACAATCAGAAGAAACGCAAATCATTTTATTCTAAATTAATAATAATAAATAATAGTAATTTATAGTTGTACATAGTGATGAATGATGAAGCATGTGTTTGGTTAGGTACATCATGCATGACAAACATCATCAAACTCAAAGTATCACATGCAGTGCAAGCCCAGAAATAATCCAACCATGAACAGAAATGACAAATATGAATTAATTAATTACTGATATATAACAAGGAAAATAAGTAACATTTCTATCCATGTGAAATTAAATAGTAGTTCATTAACTTTTACTCTTAAAAAGACAGATGAAAAGAGTCATTAGACCAACTTGGAAAGCAGAAGAGGCAGTCCCACCAAAAGTGGGGCTCTATATATAGGCCTGGTGGTTAGCTCCAGAGAGAGAGAGAGAGCGGTTTTATTGGGTAATGGTGTCAACGATATATCAATGACAAATGTGATTTGAGGTTGATTGTTTTTAAAGGGTTTTTGGTTTCCTCTTGGTCCTTGTCATTGCTTTTATCAATGAATCATCCAGGAATGGAAATGGATTGCTTTACGTACCAGCTTTTCTGTGTTATGCAATGTATATTGTGTGCTTTAGTCACATTTTCTGCTGTTTCCTTTTTCAAGTACTATGATTCCTCAAAGCCTAGTACTTAAGGCTGGACTGTAAATATAATAAGCAAAGACACTAAATAGCCTTACAATTTGAAGGCAAACAGTTTTGGTAGCTTGAACAGATAATATATAGCTGAATTCAACCATTCCATTATCACTTAATATTTTCTGCTATCAAACTATTCTTAATGGTGGAATTTGGAGCAGATTGATGTCATCTCTCGTAGAGTAATACACCAATCTGCTTCTTCAAACATTAAAGCAGACAGTAAAATATCAGTAACTCTTAAAAAGCTTGTGATTTAGAACCAAGTTTCTCTTTTGATATAATCATAATGTTGCTTTTCTTCCAAGTATCTGTAGACAATCTATGATATTAAATCAATGCATTTAAAACACTGTTTGTGATGGCTTGCTCGATCCCGGAAGAACATGAAGGGCAACAATCCTTGTGTATTTGATGAGTTGTGGACTATGTGGTGTAAAATGTAAGTGTAGAATTTCGGCATGTAGCATCAATGTTCATCACCTAACTTAAGTAGAAGTCAAGAAGTTTGTGAACCACTGAACAGAGTCCTTGGGGTATCTCTTGAGCTTGTCCTTATAATCAACAAAGTAGAGGCCAAATCTAGAAGAGAATCCAGCAGCCCACTCCCAATTATCCAGCAGAGACCATGCAAAATAACCTTTCACATTGCAGCCATCTTCTCTGCATTTAACCAAAACAGAACAATATATATCAGCTTCTAGACCTCAAATTTAATTCATGGATTAAGTAAAGATGGTTAATACTTGATTGAAGCTAGCAAATTTGTTAGATAGCCATGGTGGTATTTGATCCTTTTCGCATCCTTTAGAGCATCCTTAAGGGAAATGAATGGGCTATTTGGATCATCCATGCCTGTAAAAATAATGAATAAAAGAAGAAGATTAGCTCAAGAAAATGAACTCCTTTTTGTTTTCCTTCCCTTCCATTTGGCTCTAAAAAGATTACCATTTTCAGTGATAATGACTGGAGGGTTGCCATACTTGTGCTTGATGTAGTTCATTAATTTTCTCATCCCCTCAGGCACTATGTATAACCATATAGAATTAGCCTGCAATTTTACATGAGCAAAATAATGTAGGATTAGGTGTAAAAAAGATAAGAACAGTGCAGTAATTTATGAGCGTTTAAGCCTCATCTTTTATCTGATCTATCAGATTCCATCAAGTCCAGAAATGATGGTGGAAAAAGAAAAAATAAACATAATTGCATGTGTAACTATACAACATACCCTATCTCCAATAGGTTTCCCGTTTTTGAATGCTGAAAACAAGGAAAACAAAAGATATCTTCAGCTAGCAGCAAACAGTTGAAGAATAGCACGTTACAAAACTTCAACAAATTGGAATTTGACTTCCCTATCTCTACATTGGTGATTCCAATAACTTATCAAATAGCTGGAAACATAAAGCAGTTCAATTAAGAGAAATGTTTAAGTTGGTTCAATGCGAACTTACGAAGGGTAATAGCACCAGAATCTGCAAGGCTGTCATTGAGCAGACCTCCAATAAAATCAGTAGTATCGTTTCTCGCATAGAAGGTAGTGTAATGATTAATTCCCACAAAATCCAATGACCCCTTAAGTAGAGCAGCCTCAGATTTAGAAAAGGTTGGCAGCCGGCTTCCAACTCTACTTCTCATAGAACTTGGATAATCCCCAAAAATAAACGGCTCAAGAAACCTGTGATTCGAACAAAGTGATTACACAAAATTTAGGACATTTCCTTCTAAAATATAACTTAGGAAGTAATGAAAACAATGTAAGCTTACCAGCCAAGCTGAAAATCTTGGGCTCTTTTGGCTGCTTCGACGTCTGCTGTGGAGTTTGTTTCTGGTTCATACCAGATAACATCAAATGATGCTCCAACTGATCCATGCTGTTTTGACTGCAAAAGAACCAAGTAGTATCAGCAACCAACTTCTGTTTGTTCAAGAGAATGAGGTGCTTTCTTACCTTATACTTTCTCCTGTAAATATCAGCCACAGTTGCATGAGAAAGGATGACATTGTGACCAACTATGTAAGGCTCAGTGGCAGAGTTTCCAGCCCTGCAGAAAAGGTGAAGCAGGATAGAGCACCTTCCTGGTGCCTCGAGACCTACATCATATCCTTGTATAGTAAATGTGTGCGGCTCATTGAATGTGATCCAGTGCTTCACCCTGTCACCGAATTTTTGGAAGCATGTGTCTGCGTACGTTGCAAAGTCCTTTCTGCAATTGAGTAAGGGTCATATATATGCATCAATTGAATCGAAAGTTATTGGTAATCAAACTTACAAAAATTAGAGGTACAAAATTGTGAACATTGTTTACATGATCTGAGGGTTGAGCCATCCATTATATTTGTCTTCCAAGGCTTGAGGAAGGTCCCAGTGATAGAGGGTCACATATGGTTCAATTCCTGCACATGAACAAATGCATTGAATTACTTATCAGTCAGTCTGATGGCTTGATGCTTGCCTATACATGAAACTTTGGAGAATGATGAAAATGTAAAAGGTACCTTTGGCTAGCAAAGCATTGATGAGATTATTGTAGTGATCAACACCTGCCTGATTGATTTGCCCAGTTCCATCTGATATATGAAAAGCTCACCTCACAGTTAAAATATTTGAATCTTGTATGTGAGAAGAAAAAAAGCATGAACTTTTAGAAGAACTGATAGAGCTTACTGGGGAAAATCCGGGACCAGGATATTGAAAACCTATAAGCATCCATTCCCATGTCCTTCATAAGTTGTACATCTCCCTGTTTGCAGATAATTCAACATTTGCAAAATAGAAACCACAAATTAAAGACATCATTATGTCTCTTTACCAAAAATAATAATAATAATAATAAAGATCATAGTTTGAATAGGTACTTAATTACATTGTAAAGGTGATACTGATCCACAGCAACATCCGCGTTACTGAAATCAGATATTTTACCTGCGCGTCAACATGATGCAAGAGAAGATGAGAGGGAGCATAAGTTGATAACAATTGTGATTCATAAAAAATATTTATAAAAAAAACAATAAAATATGAAATTATTACCAAAAGTATGTGAAAAGATGTCCCAGGTGGAAGGCCCCCCTTCCGTCCTCTTTTACTGCACCTTCATACTGACAAAAAATCACACGAAAACGTAAATCATTTTTATTCTTATTAATCATTTTGTTTTCGTACTAATCCTCAGGTAATTTTTGCATCATATTAAAAATAAATAAATAATATTTGGTACATAACTTGTTATGGTTGATGAACCCCTCTACCTTTTAAGGATTGTTGTGATGAATATGGCAACCATGCCATGCATCATGTGTTTGTTTTGGTACATGCGTATCATGCATTCAAAACTACCCACTAAAATTTCAAAACCCAAAAACTAAAAAAACCTGGAATAAGTACACTTTCATTATAATAGTAAAAGGCAGAGAATGGTGGAACATTCAAATACTAAGAAATTTCATTGGTTAATTCAAACATTAAAAATTGAAATTATTAATTAAATAAGGATAATATGGTAAATTCACATTTTTTTCATATTAAAAAAATTAAAATTAAAAATAAAATCAGATAATAAGTCATACTTTTCTTAATTCTAAAAATAAAAATAAAAAATAAAAAACAAAACCAATTAGCATGTGCCAAGGGGCTAGTAAGAATTTAAGGAAGAACATATTTGAAGAAAATATATCTTCATCATTAATCACTTTCATTTTAATTAACTACGAAATTAACAATATATTTAAGTAACTTACAGTTCAAACCTTCTTAACATACTAACAAGCATTTTATTTTCTGTTGACAATATATTTTTTATTTATGTATTTGAGTTTGGTATACAGGAATAACTAGTAAAGAAAACTGTCCACTGAATTCGGCTTGCAAATATCCATTCAACTCGGATGCAGAATAACAAAATGATAAGAAGAAGAAGAAAAAAAATCTAAGCATTTCCATTCTGAAATTAGAATTCATTGGTCTTCTGGGTTTCGAAGAACACGATTACATCAACATGACATTCTATCTTCACGTGAACCGGCAGTGACCTTACAGTTTGAGTTAAGTCTACGAAGAAACAGCAACACGACAAGAAAACAGCAACCTCAAACTCAACAATGCAAGCCAAGAAATCCAACAGCTGATATCAAATTTCTGATAACCGGGATGTGAATTAAGTTGTAGTTTTAATTTGAATTAAAAAAAGAGAGGATAAAATAGTCATGAAAGATAAAGAAGAAACCTGGAAAGCAGAAGATGCGGTACCAAAGACAAAACGTTTTGGAAAGCTGGCCCTGTTGATATCGTCTGAGGATTCTGACAAAGTACATGTTGGGAAGAAGAACCCAAGAACCAATACAACTGCAGCTGCTATTCCTAAAACCATACCAATGCCTCCTCTCCTTTCCCACTCCATAACTACTCCTCCTCCTCAAGTGGTGGCAGAAAGACTAAAGAAGAAAGAGATTAGCTTCTTCTAATCCCTACTTAAATTCTTAATTAGAACAAGCGAGAGTATAGAAGAAAAAAAGGGAGCTTTTTATGCATGAAACAATTCCTCCAATTTGTTGAGATAGTGAGAGATAGGAAGAGTCATAAATATATATATATATATATATAGAGAGAGAGAGAGAGAGAGAGAGAGAGAGAGAGAGAGAAGCGATTAGATTTGTAGTGAGACAATGTGAAATGGGTAGTTGGTGTTGAGTTGAGATACAGAAAAGGGCATATAAAAAGTGGTGCTTTGCGTTGGCTCCAAACAGAGGGGGAGAGAGAAAGAGTGTGTGGTTTTAATGGGGAGTGGTGGCAAACAAATATAAAGTCCTGGGTTCACACGTTTTCATACCAGAAGAATAAGCAAAAGCATAAATGATGGATCTCCATATGAGATTTGAGATTTTGATTGCTTTTCTGAATTCTATATATTTCTTTTTTTTGGTACTTAGTTGAATGTGAGTGACCTCGTCGGATTGGTCATTGCCATTGCTTTTATCAATCATCCTGGGATGGGATGGATGATGGATTGCTTTGCTTTCCAGCCTTGTTTTGGAATGTGTATAATAATATTAATTAATTGTCTGCTCTCTAATCACGCCTTTTCCTTTGTTTTATTCATTAATTCTTCAGACCTTTTCGTCACCTGATCATACCTTTTCGTCACCCGAGCTTCAGTTGAGGAATCAATCAGACCTTTTCGTCACTCGACCTCTGCCACATAGCGTGGATAATGCATTTGAGAGGCAAATAAATTACAGTGGACTATAAAATATAATAATAATAATAAGCAAATATATTCAGCTTCAGTAAATATAACCAAGACAACACATGATCTCACTCGATCTACATACTTTCTTAGTACAAAATAAAATATGAACGCTGGCAAATCCCCTTTTCAACCGATTTCCGAACAGGAATGGAAAATATTCAATATTTGTTTGCGTCACACTTGTGCTGAGAAGTTGAGACCAACCAGGTTTTTATTTTTGTTTTGTTAGTCCTTCACTTTTGGTAAGAAAGACAAAACGGCCGGGTTTTGCCTTTGCCTTTTATGATGCTGTTTTCCTAATTTGGTCATGTATGGTATGGCACTATGCATGGATGAATACGACTCAGGTAGCGTTTGGGATTGCTGCACTTAAAAAAATAAGCAACTTTCCAAAATATTTTTTTGCAATCAACGACTCATATGCCAACTTCCATCTTTAACTCCGTAGAGGGTGGATTATGTAACACATTAGTGGATTTAATTTGACAAAGACGCACTATGGCATTTGGGTCTAAGTCTTACTGGGTTTAATCGTCCCCAACCAGATGACAAATTCTCTCACATCAAACGACAATAACCTTACTGTCGTTTATTTGATTGCTTCATTTCCCTTTGCAGTTGGTTTCAAGAATGTTAGATTATTTTAAGCTTTACTGTTACTTAATTATGAATGTCGGTCAATGAATTGAGGAGAATTTTGGAATGTGTTGTCGTCAACTTTGATGTGCAAAAGTCACTTCAACTTTGAAGCAATGTAACCGGCGGGTCCGTGACGAATTCATGTCCTCATTTGGTTTACTTTCTATATATGCAAATAATTAAGGCAATTTTGATTTCATTCTTTAATATTAAAAAAAGAAGATATTCTCAACACTTATCTTTACAATTCACAAAAAATACTATATTGGCCTTAATTTGTTGATAATCTAAACTAATAATGAACCGTGCACGACCTTATTTTCATTCACCATGTAATTTGTAGGTGTATTTATTTTTCATAAAACGCGAAAGTAATAAAAAAAATTAGTATGTAGCAAAACGTCTACACCCTTTGTTTTTGTTTTTTTTGTTTTTTTAACAACAAGAACATCAACTGATTATATGAACCAACAATAATGTCAATCTAATTAGATAGTTTTTGTGATTAACGAAGTTAAACATGATAGAACCATTACCTCTAACACGAACTTGAAAATGTAAACACCTTCATAATTCTATGTGTCTGTGTGTTTTTTTAATTACTTTTGTCACGATAAGAAATTTTGTTGAATTTAGACTATCGTTTATATTTAAAAAATTACATTTTTTTTTAGAGCTTCTATTTAGACAGTTTTCTATTGGTTAAGAGGCTGGACCAAGCCCAACAAGAAAGTAAAAACTACACAAACCATCAAGCCCATAATAGACGAAGAAGTAGAAAGCCTAATTAAGAAGGCCCAAACTAAGACCATGGCTCAGAACAAAGGGCCAGATGGTCAGCATGAACTCCCTGTAGACCTAAACCGGAAACTTGGCGGGGATTGGAAACATGGAAGACGACGAAGAAGCTCCACCTCTCGCCGTTGAAATTGACCAACCCAGGGAACCCTACCCTCAGCAGCAATCCAATTCGAGCGGCCACAAAGACGGTGACGCGCCCGTCGGCGTCACCGTCATCACTGGCTATCTCGGTGCGGGCAAATCCACTGTAAGCTCAACTCTGTTTTAGCTTATGTTTTCCACTGAAGTTTCCGTTTTTGGAAAATATAAGAGCTTTGAGTATCTTTTACTGGTTTGTGATGCTCAGCTGGTTAATCATATAATAAATTCTCAACACGGGAAGAGAATTGCTGTCATATTAAACGAGTTCGGTGAGGAAATTGGTGTAGAAAGAGCTATGATAAACGAAGGAGATGGGGGTGCGCTTGTTGAAGAGTGGGTTGAGTTAGCAAATGGGTGTATATGTTGCACGGTCAAGCACAGTTTAGTGCAAGCACTAGAGCAACTTGTTCAAAGAAAAGAAAGGTTTTCAAAACAAAACTATAGTGAAATTTGTTTGTTATATTGAAATTAATTAATTGGTTTTTAAAATTGAGATTATGGTGATGATGACAATGAGATGGGGTGGTTGGTTTCTTTGGTTGTAGACTTGATCATATATTGCTGGAGACTACTGGGTTAGCCAACCCGGCTCCGCTTGCTTCGGTTCTGTGGTTGGATGATCAGCTAGAATCGTCTGTCAAGCTTGATTCAATTATCACCGTAAGTTCTGATAAGATGTTACGATTTGTTTTTTGTAATTGTTGGTATAATTTTATATTTGCGTCAATTTGTTTAGTTACTTTGCATGCCACTGATGTACTAAAGTTTTAGCAATTGGTTATGGGATTTTGAGTTCAAATATTATGTTTTCAAAGTTCCATTTGAGTTTAAAAACTCGCCTTGCTAAATGCTTACTTAGCAGCGCCAAGTGTTGATACACATGATATGTTAGTTATGTTCTGTTGGTTCTGCTGTTTTATGTATTTCAAGTATGAGCTGAGCTTGTTTGGTCCTTTCTCTAGAGTAGTTATGTGATTTTTGTGTTACTATCTTAGTGGCAAAAATCATTCCTCAATGTCTTTACCAGGTCGTGGATGCCAAGAACCTCCGTTTTCAGCTCAGCGACAATCAAAGTTCATCTTCATTTCCTGAAGCATATCTTCAGATTGCATTTGCGGTATGGTCACTCTATTCCACTCATGACTTATGTTTGATGAAATTGAAGACGATTTGTATAATGACATTACCAAACCCGATTTATGGTGCTCGTAGTTTTATTTTTATCTGTTCTGTTCAAGTGTGCTCTCTCTCTCTCTCTCTCTGCATTTCGATCTTTTTATTTATAAGTTGGGTTGTGTTGTGCTTGCACTTCATATCTTATGAGTTTGTCTCTCTGTTGTAGGATGTTATAATTCTTAACAAGGTTGATTTGGTTTCTCCAGAGGGTTCTGCGGATTTTCTGGAGGAACTGGAGAAGGAGATACATAGTATTAACTCACTTGCTAGTGTCCTTCGTTCTGTTCGTGGTCAAGTTGACTTGTCCAATATATTGGACTGTCGAGCCTATGATGCTACGGTTGGTCATGCTCTATTTTTGGTTACTTATATTTGTAGTTTATACTTATCTTTAAATAATATTCAACTTTTTCCTTCTCAGCATGCTACTCATTTAGAATCATTATTGGTAGAAACTCGTGCTTTGTCTACGCAAGATCTCCATGACAATGGTGTACGAACCTTATGCATTTGTGAGCCACGGCAGGTTGATCTTGAAAAGGTATTCTGAAATAGTTATCATAGAAATTGGTTGAAATAAAATATTTTTACTAATTGGTGTTGTGTTAACAACTTTCAGAAAGGTTACCATTCGTCACCTTTTATAACTGTAGACATTATTGTTAGTCTGATTATTTTATTCATCTCAGAAAATTGTCCATAGTTTAAAAACTACACTAGGCAGAGAAAACCAATATATGACTGATTTATTGATTCCTGCATCTATAACTGTGGTCCTGGAGAAATTGGATGGCTTATCTAAGAAATGTGTCACTGACCTTATACATTTGGGATGCAAATCTGGTCAGTTCAGTTCAAGCACGTTAGCAATGCTGTGTACTAGTTGTTGTTAACTTCTCATTGTTGCAACTGTTATGAAAATTTATATATTCATATGTATCAGTCTATAATGTCTCATGGTCTTGTTTTAAAGGTTCGTTTATGGCTTGAGGAGATTCTTTGGGAGAAGAAACATGGCATGGATGTATACCGCTGCAAAGGGGTTTTGAGCATTCACAATTCAAATCAATTACATACTTTGCAGGTACTGTCTAATATTAAATTATGTGTTTTCTTCTCTAGAAAACTTTAGTCTTATGCTGCATTAGACTGGAGGTAGTGCACTTGATGCCCTAACTCAGTTCCTCCATTATCATTTCATGGTCAAGACTCAAGGATGAAGATTGTGCATAGAAAAAATCATTGATTGCCTTTTGAGTGTCTTTGAGGAAGCATGCTTAGAGGCTGAAGCATTACTATAACATAGTGATAAAACCAATTATACCAATAGCAAGGTGTCCTAAACTCTTTAGCAGGGGACACCAGAGAGACAATTATACCATGAGTTTTAAATTTATATGTATCACCAGGGAGACATTGAGGCTGCGTTTGAACTCCTAATTTGGGCCAGGAGGGCATGCCCTGGTCTGATTGTCCTTTACTTGTACAGTAAATTATTTTCATGTGGTAGTCGACAGATATTGTATGCTGTTATTTATTCATCGATATGTGGCAGGCAGTGAGGGAGATATATGAGATTGTGCCAACTCGTGATTGGAAAAAGCAAGAAAATCAGATGAACAAGATAGTGTTTATAGGTAAAGCTCTTTTCACGTTACGTTTTCTCAAACAGCTCCATTTACCTTTTTTATTTATTCCATCGTTTTTCACGTGCAGGTCATAATCTAAATGAGAATGTTCTTACCGAGTCTTTTCAAGCTTGTGTAAAGTGACGAAACTGTTTTCATCTTCGGTTACAATAGTTTGTTGATTTTTGCAATTATATGGATACATGAAGTTGAAGGTTAGAAAGAAGTATCTCAATGATCCCTTTGTTGAAAAATCTGAATTTACAATTCTGTACTCTCTGAGTCCCTCTTGGGAAAGAAGAAACTGGCCAATAAAAAATTATTCATTTTAACAAAAAAGAAAATTATGGGGCAAGTATAATAATAGTCGGCCAAACAAAAGAACTGGAAGGGATCTCCCAATAAATAAAGAACTGGAAGAGAAAAACATCAAAAGGAGGAAGTCGATTTACTATTTCTTCTATCTGCAACTTCCAATGTCAAGGACCACGGCAAAACTGGGTCCCTATACTAAGCACAAGGCTATTTCTGCCATGTCAATTTGGTTCTCCTTCGTCAACAGGCCTGGCAGTCCATCCTGGTGGAAGTTTGAATGTGGGCTGATAATTTGAAATTCCTTCGTGTATAATTCTGCACACCACGTACCTCTCAATCTGGAACAGAGAAAATAAAATGTCAAAAACCAAACGACTTAAAAATTCACAATCTAAAACCAAGGCATTAAAAGAACTTTTCTGCATAGTTTACCTTTGCCCTTATGCTATCATTGAGGACATGAGTAGGGACTATAAGAGGATTAAGCCTGAACTCATGCATGATAAAGTCAGTTTCGATTCCGTTTGGTGCAGTTCCCTTGTGGAAGACCATAACTTTTTCGAACCCAACGGTTATGTCACCATTGCCGTATTTAACCTCTTCTTCCTCACCATCTAAGTCCCAGTAACCACTCTTTGTCGTCCTTCTAGTTACTTTCCCCTCACTGCTGTAAATCTGTTCTGTATATGTGAAGTAAAAGGCCTCGTTGCAGTCACAACCATGTTTGAAATCGCCTGCGAATGGCATAACAATAATCAATTAGATCGGAACAATAAAGGAACATGTCTGTAGTTTTAAGAACAAAAAACAAAAACTTTTGACAGAATCTTCTAAACTCAAAAACATATGAAGCCCTTAGATATTTGAAACCTACCATTGGGGAGCTCATCCGGATCATGATCATACACAGAAATCTCTTTTATAACGTCGGTGATAGGAAGTTCCCGGTCCAAAATCTTGTTGAAAAGATAGTACACAACAATCTCATCTTCGGACGGATCAAACCGATAGCCTGTTGGTAAATCGACATCTGCCTCTTTCTTCCCGTTTTCGATCTTCGAACACCTCAACAGATCAAAATCTTGCTCAGTTTCAGGAACTTGAGAACTCGATTGTGGGGAAGGTAATGCCATTGAAGAGAAGGACAATGATAACCTGAGCTTTGGTGTGGGTTTGAGTTTGAGTTGGTGAGTTGTGGGAGAAGCTTTGTTCTATCAGCTGCATATATAGAAGAAAGAAAGCGAGTCGTCATAGGAAACTGTTTTTTCACTTTGCATTAATTTCATTCACCAAGTAGGCATGTATTTGCTTATAAGTTATAAATAAATAATACAACTAAAACTTAGCTTATTTTTTCGCTCTTAGCTTTTTACTACCAATGAAAGTAAAACTTAAGTAGAACTTTTTCACTTTTCCCACCACGAAAAGGAAACAACCGACGTGATATCCAATTATAGATATGACAATTGGTTTTTAAGTTACGACTTCCCCTTTTTCTAGATCTCCACTATCATTAGGGTAATAAGAAAAAGAAAAGGAAAACCCAGTAAAATATGGCTAACTCTCCAACAATTCAAAATAAACACAACCACAAAAACCCATCATCCTACATTCTGCCCGTCTCGTTTCACCCGAGTTCAAACCCAATAGTTTACAAAATCGTTTTGTCAAAGGTTTAGGGTTAGTCCTACAAACTCGTATACCTGAAAGAATATAGGACATCTTTTGGTAAAACTGGATTAAAACAATTAAAACATGTTGCGAAAGAAAAAGAGGATGAAAAACTCACCGAGATTGGGTTTGGGTCGGCGCCAAAGACCAAGAGAGAAGGCGAAATGAAATGATCGATATATTTGCGAGACAGATTCTCTAGGGTTTTAATGCTGCTACCATTTTGTGAGGAAGAGTTATGCCATTTATTGGTATTTATAATATTTATTTTCATCATGTGATGGACATGAAGAGCGTTATCGTCTCTAGCGCGCGCGTCTTGGTGCCCAAGTTAATGATGCGGCAGCGGCTGAATAAAAACCGCCCGGACCTATTCCAAATATTTTAGATATTTGGGTCGGGTGGGTCGGCGAAATCGGGTAAAGAATTTTATTCGATTCTCATTTATGTTTAATAACACAGCGAGCGACGTCGTTTTTGTCACCCCAAAACAATATTGGAATTCGCCAAATTTCAATTTTTAGTTTTCTGTTTTATGGGAAATTTGGAAATTGAAGGATTTAATTATGAATTTGAGATCATAGAATGAAAGTGCATATTACAAAGAGTTTGTAGTATTTTTGGAAATTAGGATGATTTATTTTGTGAATTTTTGAGATTGAGTTCCTGAGGCTTGGACTATGTCCTTGGTCAAACACAAGAATCGAGCGACCGGGTCCAAGTTGGGAGGTCCCAAATACCAAATTTTGATAATTAGAGTGCATTTCATGTGTCTTGATGTAAAATTAATGAATGGAATAGGAGCTACATAAAAAAAAAAAGGGAAACTGAAAACACTTTCAAGTTGTTTTAAAAAATAAGGGTGATTTTGAAAACTGGAAACGAATGTTACTAAATATGATTTTAGTTTATAGTTTTCAAAAAAATTACAAATGAAATGGTTATCAAACAACCCCTATGTCTTTCATGCTAATGGATAACTCTGTGCATATACTAGCAGCTGCCGGAGCATCGCTTTTGAATCCCGAGCAGTTGGGATATTATTTTCGATGGACCATATCCGGCTCATTGAAATTGTGTAGTCAAAATTAGCCAGGTTTTTCAGCAAATGGCATTGGTTGTAATCTGTGGACAACCCTGCAGTGGGAAGTTAATGGCTGCACTCTGTTAAATTTGGTGAAAACATTATGGTAATTGTACCTACAAGTTTAAAGTGTGGGATGAGCTACAGGGTAAAGATGGTGCAGCAATCTTTGACTTGTGGTGTAGCTAATAGGCGGTGTAGCAAGTGATAGTTTCATGCAATGATGGCTTTGGTACAAGTTGTCAGGAGACAAAGTCTTCATACTGAAGGAAGCTTGTTGCTGACTCTTCTCCCTAGCTTGTTGCCCACTCAAGGCTTCTATATAAATAGAAGTGTAGCTTGTTTTGTTTTGGATGTGTATTCCGTGAGCAAGTTAGAGAGCACATAGAGAGTGAGAAACAGAGAGAAATCTTTCTGGGTGAGATATAGAGTTCTTGGAAAATACTATGAGTGGGTGTATAAGGGTTTTGGGTTTGGGTATTATTCTTATAGTGAAGTACTCTATCCGGGGATGGAGGCAGGATTTTGCTGAACCTCGTCAATCTCTTGTTCATTATCTTTATTCCTTGTTTTTATTATTATGTTCAACTGTGGTTTATATTGTGGTGTGGTTATTTCTGAATCTCAGGGTGAAAAAGCACTACAAGTGGTATCAAAGTTTTATTTCGTGTGGGATTCAGATTTGTTCACCATGAGCGGTGCAAACAACTTGCAATTTTTAGTTCAACAGTTTAACGGTAAAGGCAGCTTTACTCTTTGGCATAGGAGAGTAAAGGACCCCTTGGTTCAACAAGGTTTGGCACCGTATCAAAGATGGAAAACCTGAAGGAATGAAAGATGAGACGTGGGAAGAGCTGGAGTCGTGGTGCATTAGCACAATACAACATTATATTGCTGATAACATTATCAATAATTTTATGGATGAGGATTATGCGCTTGCTCTGTGGGATAAGTTAGGCCAGCTTTATATTGCTAAAAGCCTAACCAACAAGTTACATATGAAGCGGCAACTGTACAAGCTAAAGATGGAGGGAGGCTGGAATCTCATAGACCACATGAGCATGTTCAATAGATGTATATATCAACTGCAGAAAATTGATGTGAAGATTGAGGAAGAAGATAAGGTCATTTTACTTCTTACCTCGCTTCCCGATTCATATGAAAATCTTGTTACAACTTTGTTGTATGGTAAAGATGTAGTGAGCTTGGAATAGATGCAGGCATCATTGGTGTCCCATGATACACAAAAGAAAATGTGTAGTGGTGATGGTAGGCACGAGTCTGCTTTAGCTGTTTAAGGAGGGAATCACGGAAGGACATTTGATGGTAGATCTAAGAGAGATAGCAGGTTCAGATCTAGTTCCAAAGGAAGGAAGGGGTGTCCAGTGCTATGTATGTAAAGAATTCAGTCACATCAAACGTTTTTATCCTTTGAATAAAAATAAGAAAAATGATGAAGCTGGTTCAAGTGTTAATTTTTGTGTAGTAAAAGAAGATTTCGGATTTGTCCTCACGATATCCGAAGTAAAAACACTTTTCCTAGTGATGCTTGGGTTTTAGATTCTGGTTGTACTATGCATGTTTGCTTCAGGAAAGATTATTTTGACACATTCCATGAATGTAAGGATTGTAACCTATTTATGGGTGATGGATATCCTTGCAAAGTTGAGGGATTTGGAACTAGCAAAATAATGATGTATGTTGGCGTGGTTCACACAATAGGCGATGTGGCATATGTACCAAAGATGAGAAAGAATCTAGGGTAAATTACAGTAAACCCCTCAACCTATAGGGTCATTTACGAGTTCATATCATATTTTGGAGACATTTACGAGTACATACTCAACGTCACGGAAAACCTACAGATTGCCCCCTCCGTTAGCGAGACCATTAGGAAATCTGTTAAATGCCGACATGTCAAAAGTGGGACCCCTTTTTTTGATGACGTGGACTTCCACGTGGACCAAAAATTAATAATAAATTATTTTAAATTAATTTTAAAATCACTCTCTCTCTCTCTCTCTTCCTTCATAGCCTTCGTCCACAACCCTACCTCGACTGACTGCCTCTTTCCACACCCCACCAACCCACACTCCCTTCATGCACATTGCCTTCAAAGCCATCGCCATCGACCTCGTTGTCGTTGTGTAGTACCAAGGGCAAGATCTCCGTCCTCATCAACTGCATCTCCTCTTCCCACCTCCCCCAACACCAAAACCCAACAGCCTCCCCCCTTCCCCACCACCTCACCTCTGGGTCCAAGATCCGGGCTGTCCCCAATCGGCCTCTGCTCTGGTTCATGCATTCCAATAACTAGGCCAATGTTATGATGGTGTTTGCACTTCCCCTTCACAGAACCTCCATGAACCATCTGTTTGCCTTCTTAGAACATACCAAATTTTATACATGCTGCAATCAGTCCAAGAAAAAAGAAGTTAAATATCAAATTTAACATTTAAAACATGCAAACCAAAATTTAATACTCAAATACAGATTCTCCATTAAATACACATCATAAATTCAACTCACTTGTAATAACTTGGGTTCTTTTGTTCAGATTCATTAACAAGTTCAGCTGCTTCCTCGAGGACAACCTCGATTTATGCTATCTCTCCTCCAACTTCATATGATAAAATTTCAGCTCCGGGCCGTACCCAATCGGCCTCTGCTCCAGAGCAGAGACAACAATCTCAGCCAGCTTCTGGAATCGACCCTGTGCGAGACTGCATTGCAAATGTCCAACGCTTTTACCGCATTACAAATCCCCTTCACAACTTAAACCAAAGATTGATCTTCCCAAATTTCAATTGTTGCGAAAATAATCTAAAAACTTGAGCTGATAAACGTGCGCCTAAAGTTCAACGTTATTAAGGGATTTTCGATAAAGCAAAACATTTAAATAAAAAAAAACTCTTGCGATTGATGTTAGGCACTTCAAATTTGGGATGGGTCTTGACCCATCAACATAACAGCCTTGAACTCGGCCTCGCATCAAAGAAAAATGTCGAGTAGCTTCCGGACCAACACAATTGATAGCATCGGGTTGGAGGGGAAGTCTTCCGAGGGAGATAAGTGGTCGGAGAATCGATCGGTGATGTGCTTCTGGAAGTGTGAGAGAGAGAGAGAGAGAGAGAGAGATTCAAAAATTAATATAAAATAATTTAAATAGTAAAAGAATTTATTATTAATTTTTGGTAGAGAGAGAGAGAGATTCAAAAATTAATATAAAATAATTTAAATAGTAAAAGAATTTATTATTAATTTTTGGTCCATGTGGAAGTCCACGTCATAAAAAAAAAGGGGTTCCACTTTTGACATGTCGGCATTTAACTGATTTCCTGACGGTCTCGCTAACGGAGGGGGCAATCTGTAGATTTTCTGTGACGTTGAGTATGTACTCATAAATGTCCTCAAAATCGAGTATGAACTCGTAAATGACCCTATAGGTTGGGGGGGTTTACTGTAGTTTACCCAAGAATCTAATATCTCTTGGAAGATTGGACTCCTTGGGATGCAAATACTTTGTTGCATGGGAGCCATGGAAATCACGCGTGGTGGATTGATCCTAATGAAAGGGAGGAAGTGTGGTGATTTGTATTGTTGGGATGGTAGTACCATGAGGATCTCGATGGGTTGTTGCCGGAAACAGGAAGCAGTGACAAGTTTTCAAGGTAGAGACAATTGTGAGGGGATAAAGCCTGTTGGTGGAGACGAGGGTGAATCGGGACCCTCCTCTGAAGCTAAGTAGCGGAGTTAGCTTGGTGCCGCTACACATGTTTATTAGTTGTGTAACATGAATCGGGATAGGACCAAATTTGTTGATTCATGTGATGTCTAGCTGGTGTGTTTTCCGAAGGCTAATGGTTTAATTATTCTTGGTGATGTTGCGAGTTTTGCATAGTATTTCCACCAAGGTGGAGATTGTTGAATTTGGTGAAAGTATTATGGTAATTGGATTGGACCCACAAGTTAAAAGTGTGAGATAAGCTACAAGGTAAAGATGATGCAGCAATCTTTGACTTATGGTGGAGCTAATAGGCGGTGAAGAAAGTGATGGTTTCGTGCAATGATGGCTTTGAGAAAAAGAATACTGTAAGAGATAGAGTTCTTGGGAAATACTGTGAGTGGGCGTACAAGGGTTTCAGGTATGGGTTATGTTGATTTAACTCAAGTGTATCTTGTAATGTTATTATTCTCATAGTGAAGTACTCTATCGAGGGACGTAGGCAGGATTTTGCCGAACCTCGTCAATCTCTTGTGCACCATCTTTATTCATTGTTTATATTATTCTGTTTAACTATGGTTTATATTGTGGTGTAATTATTTCTGAATTTTACGGGGTTAATGATGAATTAAAAAAATATTAAAAAAAATATTTAATTAATCAAAAGATGAGCCTTGGGATGCAAATCTGGTCAGTTCAGTTCAGTTCAAGCACATTAGCAATGCTGTGTAGTAGTTGTTAACTTCTCATTGTTGCAACTGTTATGAAAATTTATATAATCGTATGCATCAGTCTATAATGTCTCATGGTCTTGTTTTTAAGGTTCGTTTATGGCTTGAGGAGATTCTGTGTCTGTGGGAGAAGAAACATGGCATGGATGTATACCGCTGCAAAGGGGTTTTGAGCGTTCACAATTCAAATCAATTACATACTTTGCAGGTACTGTCTAATATTAAAAGTTGTGTCTTATGCTGCATTAGACCAACTCAGTTCCTCCAATATCATTTCGTGGTCAAGGCTGCGTTTGAACTCCTAATTTGGGCCAGGAGGGCATGCCCTGGTCTGATTGTCCTGTACTTGTACAGAAAATTCTTTGGATCAATGATGTCTTCGTTGAATACTCTGATTGTCCTCAATAGTTTGTTGATTTTTGCACTTATATGGATCAATGATGTCTTCGTTGAATACTCTGAATTTACAATTCTGAACTCTCTCTAGATAACAAACTACTCTTGCATGAAATTGGGCTCCTCCCTCTTGGGAAAGTTCGAAGAAATTAGAACCAATAAAAATTCGTTCATTTTAGCACAAAAGAAAATTATGATGCAAGTATAACAATAGTCGGCAAGAACTGGAAGAGATCTCTCCAAGAAAAAACTGCAACTTCCAATGTCCAAGACGACGGCAAAACTGGCATCCCTATATGAAGCACTAGGCTATTTCTGTCATATCAATTTGGTTCTGCTTCTTCAACAGGCCTAGCAGTCCATCCTGGTGGAAGTTTGTACGTGGAAAATTTGAAACTCCTTCGTGTATAATTCTGCACACCACATACCTCTCAATCTGAAACAGAGAAAATAAAATGTCACAAACCAAACGACTTTAAAATTCACAATCTAAAACCAAAGCATTAAAAGAACTTTTCTGCGTAGTTTATAGTCTCTATACCTTTGCCCTTATGCTATCATTGAGGACATGAGTAGGGACTATAAGAGGATTAACCCTGTACTCATGCATGATAAAATCAGTTTCGATTCCATTTGGTGCAGTCCCCTTGTGGAAGACCATAACTTTTTCAAACCCAACGGTTATGTCGCCATTGCGGTATTTAACCTCTTCTTCCTCGCCATCTAAGTCCCAGTAACCACTCTTTGTCGTCCTTCTAGTTATCTTCCCTCTACTGCTGTAAACCTGTTCTGTATATGCGAAGTAAAAGGCCTCATTGCAGTCAAGACCATGTTTGAAATCACCTGTGAAAGGCATAACAACAATAATCGATTAGATCTGAACAATAAAGGAACATGTTTGTAGTTCTAAGAACAAAAAACAAAAACGAATGACATAATCTAAACTCAGAAAAATTTGAAGCCTTTAGATATTTGAAACCTACCATTGGGGAGCTCATCCGGATCATGGTCATAAACAGAAATCTCTTTTATAATGTCGTTGATAGGAAGTTCCCGGCCCAAAATCTTGTTGAACAGATAGAACACAACAATCTGATCTTCGGATGGATCAAACCGATACCCTACTAAATGGATCTCTGCCTCTTTCTTCCCATTTTCGATCTTCGAACACTTCAACAGATCAAAATCTTTTTCAGTTTCAGGAACTTGAGAAGTCGATTGTGGGGAAGGTAATGCCATGAAGAGAAGGACAATGATAACCTGAGCTTTGGTTTGGGTTTGAGTTGGTGAGTTGTGGGAGAAGCTTTGTTCTATAAAGCTGCATATATAGAAGAAATAAGGGAGTCAACATAGGAAACTGTCTTTCACTTTGCATTAATTTCATTCACCACTTAGGTATGTATTGGCTTATAAGTTATAAATAAATAAGGGCAAGTAGAACTTGACTTTTACTACTAATGAAAAAGCACGACAACACCAACAAGGGCTGGTTGAGTTGATAAGGAGTGTTCTATTCGCTAGCAAGGTCTAGGTTCGAGTTTCGCTGTGACTATCCTTCTTTATAGATAATTTGTAAAATCCAAAAAAAGGACAAAAACCACCTCTGTAAGTGCTCAAAAAGACATTGGTATGTCATGGTCCACAGATGGGATAGCCTCCCCTCCCGGCTCCCTAAACTTTTCCCCCCCCCAAAAAAAAGGCACGACAACCCAAGGTAAGAAAAACTTAAATTAAACTGTAGACTTTTCCCACTACGACAAGTAAACAACCGACGTGGTATCCTATTATAGATATGAAAATTGGTTTTTAAGTTTTATCTTCCCCTTTTTCTGTAGATCCTTACGATCATTAGGGTAATAAGAAAAAGAAAAGGAAAACCCCATAAAATATGGCTAACTCTCCAACAATTCAAAATAAACATAATAACAAAAACCCATCATCCTAGACTGTGCCCGTCTCGTTTCACCCGAGTTCAATCCCAGTAGTTTACAAATCGTTTTGTCAAAGGTTTAGAGTTAGTCCTACAAACTCGTATACCTGGAAGAATAAGGCATAGGACATGCTGTGGTCAAAGGTTTATATCCTAATTCATCTTTTGCACAACTGGTTTGCAGCGCTGTGGATCCTCCTCCTATACTGAACCCTGCTGCTGGTGATGCAGCTCATGATATTCATAGGAAAAATACAATTAAAACATGTTGCGAAAGAAAAGGAGGATGAAAAACTCACCGTGATTGGGTTTGGGTACAGAGTCTCTAGGGTTTTAATGCTGGCACCATTTTGTGAGGAAGAGTGATGCCATTTATTGGTATTTATAATGTAATTTTTCACGCGTGAGTCTCTAGGGATTCTGTATAAATAGCGAAAATGAAGAGCGTTATCGTCTCGCACGCGTGAGTCCTGGTGCCCAAATGAAGCGGCAGTGGCGCGCCCAAACCCATTCCAAATATTTCATATGTTCGGGTCGGGTGGGTCGGCAGAATCGAATAAATATTAATAACAAAGCCAGCGACGTCGTTTTCGCCCGAAACGAAAACGAAACCCTTCTGTCTCTGTAGTGTGCTGTATCAGAACGGACTTTACTCTCGCTGTGTCTCTAACTTCAAACCGAAGTACGAGTCTCTGATCTTCAGTTGAAATCGACTTCCTCTTCTCGTCAAAGAGGTACTTCTTAAATCTCAAGCTCTGTCTTTCTAATTTTCTTTAATTGCCTGCGTAAGCTTGAATTTTTTATAATTGATTTCTAGTTCTTGTTTCGATTTGAGTTGATTTTGTTTATCGTTTAGTTTCTAGGGTTTTCTATCGATATTAATTAGGGTTCCCAGCCTGCAGAGGCTTGTTTGTTTATCAAAAAAGTTACTGCTTGAAATTGTTGATAGTTTTTCCTCTTCTCCTTGTCATTTCTAATAATGTATTCGCTTTGAGAGTGCATAAATTATCATGAAAGTCTTTACATCTGAATCTTACTACAATGGTCGTATTTGAATTTGATATCCCTATTCAGATTTGATTTATAGCTATGTTAGTTGGAATAAGAACGATGGTAAATCTGATTTGGGAGTCCATTATACACATTCACGCTTACTGCAAATTACAAACTATGTATTTCATGCTAATGGATAACTCTGTTCATGTGAACTAGCAGCTATCGGAGCATCATTTTTGAATCCCGAGCAGTTGGGATATTATTTTGGGTAGAGCATATCCAGCTCATTGAAACTGTGTAGTCAAAAGTAGCCAGGTTTTTCAGAAAATGGCATTGGTTGTAATCTGTGGACAACCCTGTAGTGGGAAGTCAATGGCTGCACTCTGCCTAGCTGAGGCTCTCAAAGAATCAGGATGCAACCAAACAGTCAGGGTTATTGATGAAACTTCCTTTCATCTTGACCGCAATGAGAGCTATGCCAATATGCCTGCAGAGAAGAATTTAAGAGGAGTGCTGAGATCGGAAGTTGATAGATCGGTGTCGAAAGACAGTATCATAATAGTAGATTCTTTGAATAGCATCAAGGGTTACAGGTACGAGCTGTGGTGTTTGGCTCGTGCTGCAGGAATAAGATACTGTGTTTTATATTGTGATGCTGATGAAACCCATTGTAGAAAATGGAATGAAGAGCGCAGGGAGAAGGGAGAAGGTGCTTATAGTGATAAGATATTTGAAGATTTGATAAGAAGGTTTGAGACTCCAGATAGAAGAAATCGGTGGGATTCCCCATTGTTTGAGTTATGGCCACATAAAGAGGGAATAGAAAATACTTCTGCGGCCATTGTAGATGCTATTTCGTATTTGACAAAGAAGGCGGACTCAAAGTCACGGGATGTTAAAACTTTGCAGCCAACTATCGCAACACAGAATACAAGGTTTTCCGAGGCAAATTCTCTGTATGAGTTGGACAGAGCAACCCAGGAGGTGATCAATGCTATTGTGGAAGCACAATCCCAGGCACTTGGAGGGCCTTTAAATGGAGTTTCTGTTGGTCAGGGGTTACCACCTATCAATATTTCCAGAGCAGTAGGGCTTCCAGAGCTTCGTAGGCTGCGGCGAACTTTCATAAAATTGACAGGGCAAACGAGTTTAAGTGGGCCGCCTCCGCCTTCTGATGCAGACAATGCAAAAAGGATGTTTGTTGATTACTTGAACAGGGAACTGGAAACTGCTTGAAGGAGGAAAAGAAGGATGATTTTTTTGGAGGCTTCCTTCAGTTATCACTGTGTTATATCAGTCTAGGTTTGTGCCAGAGTCTTCAGCTAGCAAATACTGATGAATGGTTTCTAGTTGAACTGACAGGAACTGGTGTTGGGTTTCCCATATACCTCAATATCTTTTGTTCAACACTTTTACAACTCCTACAATGTATTATGTTGAAACTGCTTTTTTCCTTACCCAATAGAATTCTCAAGTTGTGTTTTAATTAATAACTTGATGGCATGGCCCTGAAATCTGATCAGTCGATATCCCTGTCTGCGAGGGACTCTTTAGTCTGCTTTGTATGTGAGCACATAGATTTTGTTTAGTTGATGTAAGTTGCTGTTAAAATCCTTGAAGAGCAAGGGATTCCATGACATTTCTTGCCCCATTGTACTAAAGGGTCTGGTTTTATTATGGTTGAGTTTGAGTTTAGCTTGATAAATTCTCTGATTCAATTTGGATATGCAACCCTGATAAATGGCAATTCCCCATTTTGGAGAGAGACCCAAACTGGTAGTTGAAATTGGCAAGAGATGAGCAAGGGATTATGGAGCCAAACCCTTATTAATTTTTGATTTGTTTTTTGGTTTAGGTGCATAAACAGAAAGATAATAAGCCCAAGAGCCACATGGTTTGATTTTATGGAATTAAAGCTGTCATATTTTTCCCGGTCGAGAATCTCCTGATACCCCAATCAAGGCAAATGTTGACCATGAAACGATACAAGGCTTCTTCTTTACAAAAAAACAAAACAAAAAACAAAAACAGAAAACAAAAAAGGCAAGGCTTTCACCACTATGATTGGGACAACTCATATTCCAGCAGCACCACTCTGGACCACCAGAGTTGGCATAAAAAACTCTCAACTAAAAAGCAGCAACATCACGGCCCATATTTTTATGGGAGTTTCACTAAAACACCCAAAATGGAGGTTGAAATTATAAAAAAATTCAACACCCAAAACACTTTATAAACACACCCAAAACCCATCATTACACACACTCAAAACCCATTTATAAACACACCCAAAAAGTTGACTTTGGGGTTGATTTTGGGTGTGTTTCTATGTTTAAATAGTGCTTGAGTTTTTTTATAAATACATATCTAGGATTGGGTTTATTTATAAATTTGTATATTTTTATTGGATGGATGAAAGTTGGCTGCCAGCCAAGATCAACCCAAATTAATTGAATAATGGAATTGGTTTGGTCTGGGCAATTTTGGGTTGGTTGGTTTCAAACACACAGATGTTTCCAAACACGCAAATGTTTCCAAACAAACGTGACAATTTAAATAAAAAGTATAAAAAAAAAGAATAAAGGGAAAACATTTTGACAACGAGGTGTTTGAAATAAATTGGAATTATTGGAGAGGGGCTTTGTTTTGTGATGATGGGTCGAGGTCCACACAGCAAAGGAAGCTAAAAATTAGCCAAATGGAGTCCTGATTAAAACTAATCAATCCACTTACCAATGACGGCTAAATCACAGCCGTCCATTCTATATCCATCGGAAGGCCAGTCCTGTAGGCACACGTCATGGCGTAGACAAAAAACAACCAAAAACAAATAGTAATTAAAAAAAGTAAAAAAAAGTGCAAAACACAATAAATAACAATGATTCCCATCAATTCATTTTAGTTTTATATTATTATAAACATTGAATGATTGTTTTTGTCTAAATATGCGAGCCCCCTGGATCTGATTAAGTATGAGAGATATAAATATACCTCAGCACGAACTCAAAAACAGAAAACACAAATAACTCAAATAACTAGAATTCCTATAAATTTGGACTGATAAATAAAGTTAGACTCTTTCTGTGTTTTGAAGCTTTTGAATCTCTCTCTTCAACGACCCAAATCCGGTAAGCATTCCCAAAACCCTAATTGTCAGTTTCTGAGGATGAGTTTCTTTTTACTGTTATTAAATTCGAATCAATCTGGATTAATTGCTTTTTGATTATATATGGGATGGTAGTGGTTCCTTTTACTTTTGATTGGATCTGAGTTGAAATTTTTGTTTTCCATTTCGGGATCTGGAATTTGTCTCACTGATATCTAAAAAAGGAAAGTGATGCATTTATTCTGGGCTTATCTTGCTCTGTTTGGTTGCTGGGAAGCGTGGAAAATGAAAATGGAATTTGGAATCTTGTAAGTGGAATCTGTTGTAAGATTCACTTGTAGTTTTCTCAGCAACCAAATGGGGACATTTTATTCGGGACAATTATTGTGATGGATTGATTTGGTGGATCTTTGGTTTTTGCTGCAGGTTGGTCTTGGCCGAACACTTTGTCCTAGTCCTGTTTCTTTCCGAATTTGGCATTTACTTAATTGGTGGTGCAAAGTTTCAAAATTTGCTGATTCATACTGAATTGTGTTGGGTTGTGATCTGAAGTTTTTTTTTCTGATGGCACAATCAGAAAGTGAAGATTTGCAGATGTTATTTTGGAAGAAGTGGAATTTATTCTTTCAATGCTTGTAGGATTCAACTGGTCTCGCGAAGATATACACAGAAGCTTTTATGTTATGATAGGTTATGGTTTTCACAATTCTTGGATATTTAAACTGAAGGACTTGGTGATTTAGTGAGCCTATTTTGGAATTCTTAAGTCGGGGTTGCACGATTTGGACATGAGAAGCTCCTGGTCCAATAAACTTTCTCTCATTTTTGGCCCTAGACTGCCACTCAATTGGTTACTCTTGTGCCTCGTTAGTGTTCTTGCACTAATTGCAGTGTTGGGATCATCCTCTTCAAATACATTTGACTCTCTAACTCCCATTTCAGTACCCGACATCTATACAAACTATAGGAGGCTAAAGGAGCAAGCAGCGGTTGATTATCTGGAGCTGAGGTCTCTCTCATTAGGGGCTAGTCGACAAAGAGAGCTTGGCCTTTGTGGCAGAGAAAGAGAAAATTATGTGCCTTGTTACAATGTTTCAGCAAACCTTTTTGCGGGGTTTAAAGATGGGGAGGAGTTTGATAGGCAGTGTGAAGTATCAAGAAACAGAGAACGGTGCCTGGTTCGCCCTCCTAAGGACTATAAGATTCCCCTGAGGTGGCCAGCTGGTAGGGATGTGATATGGAGTGGAAACGTGAAGATAACCAAAGACCAATTTCTTTCGTCTGGGAGCATGACCAAAAGGTGCTTCCCAGTTGAAGCAATATATTTGACAGCTTTCAAATAATTGATGATCTTTTATCTTCACCAGTGATTAAAACATTTAAATTTCTCAACTCTATGCAAATTGTATTAGTTTTGGTGTTTTCTTTTCTTTTCGTTTGTGAGTGACTAATTATTTCTGTGTAGAGTCATTCTTTAACTTCTTTACAATTTATTCAGGTTGATGTTACTAGAAGAAAATCAAATTGCCTTTCACTCTGAGGATGGTTTGATTTTTGATGGTGTCAAGGATTATTCTCTTCAAATTGCGAAGATGCTAGGTTTAAGTGATGACTCTCAATTTCTTCAAGCTGGTGTAAGCCTTCTTTGTGAATTACAGTTATAATTATCTTCTTTGTGTTACTGTTAGATTTCAAAGAGGCCAGAGTTTATTACATACGTATCTCTTTTGTTATCTCATTGTCCAAAATTTAGGTTTATGCTGGAAGCAAAAAAAAACATGCAACTTTTGCTTCTTCTTTTTTTTTTTGATAAATGTAATGTCAGAACTATCTATGTTAAACTACAGGTGCAAACTGTACTAGATATTGGTTGCGGTTTTGGTAGCTTTGGAGCTCATTTAGTATCACTAAATGTAATGGCTATTTGTATCGCGGCATATGAGGCAACTGGCAGTCAAGTTCAATTGACCCTTGAGAGAGGTCTTCCAGCAATGATTGGAAACTTCATTACAAGACAGCTTCCATATCCAGCATTGTCCTTTGAAATGGTTCATTGTGCTCAATGTGGTATTGTTTGGGACAAAAAAGGTAATTTGGACTTTATTAGGCTTATTTCTTACATTTTGGGCTTCCTTTGGGGTTGAGTAGCCTCTATCTCTCTTCTGCTAATAATCTTAGAGGATGAGTTGTCTTATGCTTTTTCGAATACCCTTCCTCTCATGTAACCATAATTAATTCATGAATCAGATTGGACGTTGCTTTTAGAAGTTGACCGGGTACTCAAGCCTGGTGGCTACTTTGTTTTGACCTCATCCGCAAGCCAGCCATATGGAAGTTCATTGAGCATGAAGAATAGCATGTTGACACCAATGGAGGAAATGACACCGAAAATTTGTTGGACTCTAAAAGCTCAGCAATATGAAACTTTTATATGGCAGAAAACTGTGGATTCTGATTGCTATACATCTCGGTGAGGATAGTTACAACATTGCCTCGGTCTCTTGTGAAAGAATTGTTAGTTTGATATTTGAAATTCAGTACTGTTTAAAGCTTTGGTATTGACTTGCGCCATTGAATTAGTGTATTTAAAGAGCCCCACTTATTTTCCTCTTCCTCTGAAAAAGAACCCTAGTCATGTTTTTCTTTCTGTTCTTTATTGTAGCAAGCAGGGTGCTATACCACTTTGTAATGAAGGGCATGATGTTCGGTCATATTATAAGCCTCTCGTATCATGTATAAGTGGGACCACCAACAAACGCTGGACTCCAATCCGAAATAGGTCCTCGAGTCCCCATCAATTGAACTCAGCTGAGCTTGAAATTCATGGAAAGTACTATTCCATCATATTTTTTTTTTTGGGTCTTCTCTCTCTTAGGGAGAGTGTGGTTGGTTCCAACTTCTGAATGCATTAAAATCTTTATGGTTGTATCCCTGCCATGATCATTCAGTTCTATGCTTCACTTCATGGTGCTTTGCCAGCATATTGATACCCTTTTATCTTTGCAGGAGTTCAGCCTGACGATTTCTTTGAAGACTTACAGATTTGGAGATCAGCTCTGAGAAACTATTGGTCCTTGCTTACACCCTTGATTTTCTCTGACCATCCAAAGAGACCAGGTGATGAAGACCCATTACCTCCATTCAACATGATACGCAATGTGATGGACATGAGTGCTCACTATGGGGGTTTAAATGCTGCTTTTCTGGAGGAAAGAAAATCAGTTTGGGTGATGAATGTTGTGCCTGTCAATGCTCTCTATACACTTCCTCTCATACTAGATCTAGGTTTTGCTGGTGTTTTGCATGACTGGTAAGTTGTTGGTTTCATTTCCTTCAGAAACTCTGCTGGCTAACTTGATATTTGAAGCTTCTTTCAGTGTATCTCAGATGCACTGTGTTTCTTGGAAGGCAAAAAAAAATTTGAGAATGACTAACTCTAACTAAGGTTGACAAAGTTTAGATTTAAAAAAGCTAGGACTCATTTGTGCTCTTTATATCCTATTTTCTTTCCCTTTCCACAAATGTGTGCCTGCTAGTCTATGTTGACTGCAATTTAAGTCTTGACGTAGAGTCATAGTTGTGATCTATCTGTTGGTACAGGTGTGAACCGTTCCCTACATACCCTCGAACATATGATTTGCTGCATGCGAATGGGCTGCTCTCGCATCTGTCTTCAGAGAGGTGCAGCATGATGGATTTATTCTTGGAGATGGATCGGATTCTGCGACCTGAGGTACTTTTATTTCCACCTTGCTTATATTTCTATACTGCAAGATGCAAATTAAGATGAAGAAGTCTGTTGCCTGTCTTTCCTTGTTTTGTTCCTAATATTGATTTTTCTAATCCAACTTTACAAATCTGGTTTTTCTCTCCTTATTTCTTCAATAATATTGCTTGCCATCTTGGCATGCGACGATCAAGGCCTCGACAAGTCAATTTTGTGATATTTTCTAATGCAAATAATTATAACCTTCTTTTATATTTCGGTGTTTTGTGATGAAATCCTGTTTTGAGACTTGAATTATGGCCGGTTGGCAGGGATGGGTTGTTCTCTGTGATAAAGTGGGAGCTATTGAGATGGCGCGCATGTTTGCTACGCAAATACGTTGGGAAGCAAGGGTGATCGACCTTCAGAATGGCAGTGACCAACGACTTCTTGTTTGCCAAAAACCATTCGTGAAAAAATGATTGTTTTACTTCAGGAGGTTTCATCATTGCCGAAGTGTACAATTGTTTTTCCTCTTTTTGCTTTGGTAATTTCTCTCGTCTTTCCAGAATTCAAATTCAGACTATGTAACTGTAGTGCATCGACCCGATTGAGTTTGTATCTAGTTGTCAATCTTGAATTTAACTATGTTGTTTTTGTGTTGGTTAGCAGATTATATGAATTTGACAACAAAATGTAGTACATGCTCAGAATCCGAAGAACCTTGAAGACGCCATGAGTCATCACAGCGAGAGTGAGCATGTGGAAGCTGTAGATTAGAAGATTAGCACAGAAGTAGCTGCAACTCTTTTTTTTTTTTTTTTTCTTTTTTTTGGTTTAAGGCGTTGTAGCAATTCATTCATCCATTATTTCTTTCCTTTTTTATTTTTCCTCGTGCAAATTTTTTTTCTTTGTGGGTCTTATTTGTTTATTCATTTTGATATTGGACACGTTTTTGTAAGAACAAATCCCTCCTGCTCATGAGTAAAGATGTCATATCATGTCCACAGAATGAAGCAATTTGTTAATGATTAATAAATGAAAATAATAAATTTAAAATTATTTATTTTGTTCCGCATTCCAAATTCATGATTGACTATCCTATACCAGTCTTCTAGAAACATCTAGGAGCTTCTAGAGAACAGAACCAAAACAAAAACAAAGGCTAAAAGAAAAAAGAAAGTAATATCTTTGGTTCGAATTCTTGGAGTGATACTATATGAACGCATTTTTTTTTATATCCAAATGCCTTTGCAATAATAACATGATCTAAGTGTGCTTGTTAGTTTTAGGGGTTCACACCCCCTTTTAATCGTCTGCCCTAAACACTTGTGTTGCTTCACGCACCTTTCTCGACCTCAAAAGCCCCTTCATCAACCCATATGGTACACGTTGATATCCGGTTTTTCGACCCCTTCCACGATCTTTATTGCCACTCTAACTCTACCTCTTGCTAAGAGCTAGTAAACAAGTGATGCCAATGTTGAGGAATTGTGGATGAATTCTTTGATGTGATCGTCATACTCATACCACTATGTTACTTTGACAATATAGATATTCGAACAATATAATTGCTATGTCATGGATTTAGAGTATATCTATTTACCCTATTTTGATTGTGGATCATGTAGTCGATTGGCTATAAAAATTTGAACGATTAGATGTGAACCTTTTTTTTGTTCCTTTCAAATAATTATGTGACTTTCTTTGTGATGATAGCACCCAAGTGGGATCATGAAATTTTGTCCTTTTTAGACATCATTGGGAATATTCCACTATTCAATATATTGGAGGAGAAATATAAGTTATAGTCGTACTAATAATAAATAGCATTGGAGCATCTGATTGATTAAAGACTTTTTGAAATTTTTTATTTTTTATTTCGTTTGAAAAATGTTAGGGAGAGATTGGCTACTCTCACCACCAGCACGGGCAGACCCATAACCTCGAGCCAGAATGACTTACGCGTCGCACTCAATCGCACACCAACATGAATTTATTTAGGGAAATTACAATCCTAAACAACCCAAATGCCGTCCCCGCAGCAGCAAAACACCTTGAACAAGAGAGTTGAATACATATATACAAGCTGAAAGATTAACCATGTTGGTGGAAAATAATGGTATTTAAAAATGAAAACCTCACACGCGGAAAAATATAATTGGATTTAAACACAGTTGGATGTAGCAAAAATGAAATTTTAATCCTACAAACCATTGGAATTTGAATTGTCTCAGATAAAAAAAGGATACCAATTCAGATATGGTTAGAATTCCTTTGTTCTTTTAGCTTGTTAGTAACTCTGTTGACCTATAAATGCCAAGCCAACAAGCGCTAGCAAAATTATAGCATCCCCATTGTTTCCTTTTCTGCCTCTTTAGCATACTATATTCAGGTCTTTCGATGGCCAAAGAAAGTCGCCCAAGGAACCTGGTAAAATCGGGATATGTATGTATAAACCCTGAGCTCCCAACCGAAATCTTATTCTATCATATACTCCCACGGCTACCACCAAAGACTCTGATGCGGTGCAAGTTCGTATGCAAATCTTGGTCTTCCCTCTTCCGCAGCCCTTCCTTTGTCACCGCCTTCAACAATTTTCACTGCAACGACAGAAACAAGAGCACCACTAACTTCCTTTTCCAGAAGAATAGTCGTTTGTTCTCTTCAAAGATAAGAGGAGCAACAAGGAGAGAATAATTTTCTAATTCCAACACCCATGGCCCAACTTCCACTCCCGACTCGGAGCAAATTTCTCGAACGTTATCCTGATCATGTGCAGTATATTCGAAATCCAACACATGTCGCTGAACTTCCATACCTGAGACGATGCGAAGCTCTCGAATGTCGTCATAATCGTGTGCAGTGTGTCCATGGTTTGGTTTGTGCATCCTCTATGTTGAAATATAATCCTTCTACAGATTTCTTAGAGCTGATGTCATTTTCTATTTTCTGTTATGTCTATTTTAAATAATGTAATGAGAACCATTAGATCATAGTCTAGGTGGATTCTCTAGCTTAGATTTGGTATGACACGTGTAAGCACCTAATAGGGTGACAGCTGTAATTCTGTTATGAGAGAATCACATTTCTCTCACTGTCAGACACACTATGTAAGCTGCAAATTATAAGAATTCAATGGAACAGTGCCTTCCCATTTTCTCTTCATTCTCTCTAGCCAAAATCTCCAGAATATACACCTCTTCCTAATCTGAAAATACATATACAAACTCAGATTTCTAACATGGCCTCAGAGCCTAGTTCGATTGTTTGTTGGGCGTGAATCTGTGAGAATCGAGCTGGTGTTTGGCTGAGCTGACGTTGAGCTCACTCAAAATTTCACAAAGCTTTTCTAGCTGCGTCTGATGTCTAACATGGCAGGATCAAGCTCTTCTGAGCTTCGTACACCAGTTTTCAATGGAGAAAACTATGAGTTTTGGAGCATTCGAATGAAGACCATTCTGAAATCTCATGGACTGTGGGATTTGGTTGAAAATGGTTTTGATGCTTCAGATCCAGAGAAAAAGAAAGGAAAGGAAGAAGGATCTAAAGCTGCTGAAGAAGAGAAGTCTACATCGGCTGAGATTTTGATGAAAGATGCTCGTGCACTTGGACTGATCCAAGGTGCAGTCTCAGACCAAATTTTTCCCAGAATAGTGAATGAAGAAACCTCAAAAGGTGCATGGGATATTCTGAAGCAGGAGTTTAGAGGCGATAAACAGGTACGAAGTGTGAAGCTACAAGGCTTACGTAGAGAGTTTGAATACACTCGTATGAAGGATAGTGAGTCATTCTCTAGTTATGTTGCTAAACTGTTTGATCTAATTAATCAAATGAAAAGTTATGGTGAAGAGTTACCTAGAGAAAGAGTTGTGCAGAAATTGCTTATTAGCTTGCCTAGATCTTATGACTCTATATGTTCTGTGATTGAGCATTCAAAGGATCTTGACACTCTTGAAATTCAAGAAGTGGTTGCATCTCTCAAGAACTTTGAACTCAGGTTGGATAGGCACACTGAAAATTCCACAGAAAAGGCTTTTACTAGCCTGAACATAGAGAGTAAAAACTCTAAGAATGGAAGTTCTTCTGGAGGTAACAAGTCTCAGAGGAACTGGAAGGAAAATGGGAAGAATTGGAATAACAAGTCCAATTCTAATCCCAAACCAAATGCATCAAATGATGGAACTAAAACACCTTGCAAGCACTGTGAAAAACTGCACTATGGCAAGTGCTGGTTTGAAGGAAAACCAAAATGCAGAGGATGTGGAAAGTTTGGTCACATGGTTAGAAATTGCCATGAAAATCAATCTGTGCAGAAAGTGAATTATGCCAATCAGGTTGAAGTAACTGGAACATTGTTTTATGCATGCAATGCCGTGACAGGTGTGAAATTGAACAATTCTTGGTATGTGGACAGTGGTTGTAGTAACCACATGACTGGAGATGAAAGGCTGTTGATAGATATTCGAAGGGATGTAACTTCCAAGGTGAAAATGGGGACTGGAGAGACAGTTCAAGTTGCAGGAAAAGGCACACTTGTGATAGAAACCAAGACAGGCAGAAAACATATTCAAGAAGTGATGTTGGTGCCTGGTTTAGAAGAGAACTTGCTCAGTGTTGGTCAGATGATGGAACATGGGTATTGTTTAGTATTTGGAAAGGGAATGGTGACAATTTTTGATGATTGGTCACTGCAAAATCCTATAGCTAAGATTCCAATGACTACCAATAGGTGTTTCTCTCTCACAATGGTACCTGCTACTCAGTTGGTGCTGAGAGCAAGTGTGACTCACAGTTTGCAGACTTGGCATAAAAGGCTGGGCCATCTTAATGATCAAAGCATCAGGATGCTGGCAAATCAAGACATGGTTCATGGACTGCCTAGTCTGGAGAAGGATTTTGCAGTTTGTGAAGGCTGCAAGCTGGGAAAGCAGCATAGAGACTCATTTCCTGCAGAATCTACTTGGAGAGCTCAGTTTCCACTTGAATTAGTCCACACTGACATCTGTGGTCCTATGCAGATTGCATCAATGTCAGGAAACAGATATTTCCTGTTATTCATTGATGACTATACAAGAATGGCTTGGGTTTATTTTCTCAGAAATAAATCTAATACTTTTGAATGTTTCAAGAAGTTCAAAGCAATGACAGAACTGCAAAGTGGACACAAGGTGAAATCACTTAGAAGTGACAGAGGTGGAGAATTCATGTCAAATGAATTTCTTGCATACTGCAGTGAGGCTGGGATACAAAGGCAGCTGACTGTAGCTTATTCCCCTCAACAAAATGGAGTTGTTGAGAGGAAGAACAGGACTGTAATTGAGATGGCAAAGTCTATGCTACATGAAAAAAGACTTCCGTATGAGTTTTGGGCAGAAGCTGTTCTTACAGCAGTCTATCTTCTCAACAGGTGTCCCTCTAAGTCTCTTAAGAAAATGACACCATTTGAGGCCTTCACAGGAAGAAAGCCAGGTATTGCACACTTGAAAGTGTTTGGATGTCTATGTCATGTGCTTATTCCTTCTGTTTTGAGACACAAGTTGGAAGAAAACAGTCAAAAATGCATCTTTGTGGGCTATGGATTGTGTGAAAAAGGCTATAGACTGTATGATCCTAAGACTAGAAAGATTATCTTGTCTAGGGATGTCTATTTTGATGAAGAAGCCTCATGGAAATGGGAGAATCCTAGCAATGCAGATGTGAGAGTGCCTATGCCAGATGGAAATTTAGGTACTGCAGAAACTGAACAGAGGGTATTAGATGATCAACCTCATTTTTTGGATACTCAAATGCAGATGGAAGAAGAAATTGCACCTCAAGGGGAAGAAATGCTTGATGAGACTCAAAGGTTTGATCACACACCTCACAAGTGGAGGAGTATTAATGACATCATGACACAATGCAACATGTGCATTGTAGAACCTGACAGCTTTGAAGAAGCAGATTTGGATGAATCATGGAGAAGTGCAATGGAGGCTGAACTCGAGATGATTAAGAAGAACAATACATGGAAATTAGTTGACAGGCCATTTGACAAACCAGTAATTGGTGTTAAGTGGATCTACAAGGTCAAACTGAACCTAGATGGTACTGTGCAGAAGAATAAAGCTAGGCTTGTGGCTAAAGGCTATTCACAGAAGCCTGGAATCGACTATAATGAGACATTTGCCCCTGTGGCAAGACTTGACACCATCAGAACCTTGATAGCCCTTGCAGCACAAAAGGAATGGAACCTATTTCAACTGGATGTGAAGTCTGCCTTTCTCAATGGCATTCTAAAGGAGGAAGTTTATGTTGAACAACCTCAAGGATATGTTCAAGAGAGCAAGGAAACCAAGGTGTACAGGTTGAACAAGGCTCTATACGGACTGAAACAAGCCCCAAGGGCCTGGTATGATGAAATAGATGCCTATTTCAACACTGCAGGTTTTAAGAAAAGCTTAAGTGAAGCTACTCTCTATATCAAGACAAGTGACACCTCAGGTATTATCATTGTCTCACTCTATGTAGATGACATTATATATACTGGAAGCTGTCCTAAAATGCTTGAAGAGTTTAAACAAGATATGATGCAACACTATGAGATGACAGACTTGGGTCTGTTGCACCATTTTCTTGGCATGGGAGTGGAACAAACTGATAAGCATATTTTCATTCATCAAAAGAAATATGCCATGAAAATTCTTGAGAAGTTTGGAATGAGAGACTGCAAGTCAGTGGCAATCCATTAGTGGTGAATGAGAAACTGTGTAGAGAAGATGGAAGTGAAGCAGCAGATGAAAGTGAATTCAAACAAATTGTAGGGAGTCTGCTTTATCTGACTGCCACAAGACCAGATGTCATGTTTGCATCTAGCTTGCTTGCTAGGTTTATGCACAATCCCTCAAAGAAACACATGGGAACTGCTAAACGGGTGCTGAGATACATACAAGGCACATTAGATTTTGGAATTGAGTTTGCAAAGGGGAAAACAGCTACTCTAATTGGGTATTGTGACAGTGACTGGGCTGGGAGTGAGGATGATATGAGGAGTACCTCAGGATATGCCTTCACACTAGGCTCAGGCATGTTCTCTTGGGCTTCCATCAAGCAAAACACAGTTGCTTTATCTACAGCCGAAGCTGAATATGTGAGTGCTGCAGAAGCAACTTCACAAGCTAAGTGGCTCAGATTTGTGCTTGAAGATTTTGGTGAAGAACAGGTAGAAGGGACTCCAATTCTATGTGACAACACCTCTGCAATTGCAATGGCAAGGAATCCAGTTCATCACCAAAAGACAAGACACATCAGCAGGAAATTTCATTTTATAAGGGAAGCCATTCAAGCAAAAGAAATTGAACTGGTGTACTGCAAGACAGAAGATCAGATAGCAGACATTTTGACTAAGGCTCTGCCTAAGGATCGGTTTGTGAGGTTGAGAAGCTTGCTTGGAGTGAAATCAGCTAAAGGATTAGAAGGGAGTGTTGAAATATAATCCTTCTACAGATTTCTTAGAGCTGATGTCATTTTCTATTTTCTGTTATGTCTATTTTAAATAATGTAATGAGAACCATTAGATCATAGTCTAGGTGGATTCTCTAGCTTAGATTTGGTATGACACGTGTAAGCACCTAATAGGGTGACAACTGTAATTCTGTTATGAGAGAATCACATTTCTCTCACTGTCAGACACACTATGTAAGCTGCAAATTGTAAGAATTCAATGGAACAGTGCCTTCCCATTTTCTCTTCATTCTCTCTAGCCAAAATCTCCAGAATATACACCTCTTCCTAATCTGAAAATACATATACAAACTCAGATTTCTAACACTCTAGGTGTGGCCCTGTTTTCATACTTAACCCGTAGCACTCAAGAGTCCATCGAACTTCCCTATGTAATAGATAATTACCGCTTCGCATACGCTACATATCACTTCGGCTATACTCCACTGACTAACGAGTATAAGGTTCTCCAGATCTTGTCCTTTCGTCGCTACCGACTTAGCTCTAGGCATATTCGGTTCAACACATTCACCCTAGGTAGGGATTCTTCATGGAGGCCATTGCAGGTAGACCCTGCCCACCTTCGTTTTTTTGATGCTATATGTCACGCCTCTGAGATAAGGAATGGGAGACGTACTGGATGTGTGTGCCTGAATGGGGCCATACACTGGATCCATGGGACGCAGTGGTATTTGACGTTAGAGAGGAGAGCAAACAATATAGAATACTTGATTTCATTTTTCCTAATAATATGGGAGTTGCTCGGGGAATACCGATTAAGTTAATTACTAGTTATGATGATAGCATTGCCCCCTTAGAATGAGATGGATGATGGCCAACCTTATAGCTATTATCATCTCTTAGCTAGTAAATACATGCAATTCTTAGTTATTCTTCCTCGCACACTATAGATGAAAGAGTTCTATAGTGTTGGTATTGCATTTGTTTATAAGTGATTTTGATGGAAGCAAATCACCCACAGCACAAAACCCTTCAATCAAACACGTGTACGTAATCCCATCAGGCCTAATCGACTTCTTCAACTTAAAAACTACCAACTTGGCCTCAACAACCTTTTTAAAGTCTCCAAACTATAGTCAAACTGATACCCATCCATGGCCTTATTCAAACATTCAACGCACTTGTTCAATCCTTGGCCTTTCCCAAAGTCTGTAACCTGAAAAAAGACTGCTCATTCAGGCGGTAGCTAATTTGGTAAAAGCACGAAAAATCATGTAATCATAATCATTCTTGATATTAAATTCGTGAAGATCTTGAATTTTTTGTAAAAATATTTCATTATATGCTGCATGTGTTTGGTTTGTATTATTGTCGTGATATATATATATATATATTATATTATATGAACGCATTTTTTTGGGAGTCGGGAGTCGGGATTAAGTTCTTTAGAAAAGTGAAAATTATAAGGTGAGTGGGAGTGTTAATTCAGTTGATTTCTACGGATTAAAATATGTTAGATTTATCAAGTGGTTAATATTCTTTTAAATACATATAAATGCACTAACACTAAATGTAAGACTTCGGATCCCTATTGGGGTTTGCCTCCGCAGACGTTTCTAGATCCCTAAACAATCCAAATGTCTATCCACCAATTACACGCCACCTCCCTTGTGCACCCTAGCCTTCAGCTGTTCAACCCTCTGCGAACAAGAGAGTTGAAGCTAATTATATATAAAAGCTGAAAGATTAACAATGTTGTAAGGAATAAGCAAAAGGCCAAACGGCAACTTAATTGGTGGAAAATAATCGTATTTACAATTAATTAACACAACAAGTCACGCATGTGTATATTTCTAAAATAAAAAATAATATGACATGTCATTGGATTTGGATGTAGCAAAAATCAAATTTAATCCTACACAAATATAAAAATCGAACCATTGGAATTCAAATTGTATAAGGATTTTAGTGAATCAGGATTTATCTTATCTTTTTTTCCAGGAATCAGGATTTATCTTATCAGAAAAACAATAAAATGATACTAATTCAGATATGGTTAGGGTTCCTTTTTTCTTTTGGCTTGTTTCTCTGTTTTCCTATAAATGCCAAGCCAACAAACCCTAGAGTATAGCATCTCTGGGCTTTTTTTTATTATAAAAAAAGCATAGCATCTCTTGGTTTCTTTTCTGCCTCTTAGCTAGAGTACAATATTCAGGTCTTTCGATGGCCAGAGAAAGTCGCCCCAGGAAATTGGTAAAATCAAGATATGGATATATAAACGCGGAGCTCCCAACTGAAATCATATTCAGTCATATACTCCCGCGGCTACCACCAGAGGCTCTGATGCGGTGCAAGTACGTATGCAAGTCTTGGTCCTCCCTCATCCGCAGCCCTTCCTTTGTCACCGACTTCAACGACAGAAACAAGAGCAAAACTAACTTCCTTTTCCAGAAGAATACCCGTTTGTTCTCTTCAAAGATAGAGGAGCAACAAGGAGAGAATAATATTCTAATTCCAACACCCATCGCCCAACTTCCACTCCCGACTCGGAGCAACTTTCTCAAACGTCATCCTGATCTTGTGGAGTATATTCTAAATACAGCACCTGTCGCCGAACTTTCATACCTGAGTCGATGCGAAGCTTTTGAATGTCATCCGAATCATGTGCAGTGTGTCCATGGCTTGGTTTGTGCGTCCTCTAGATGTGGCCCTGTCTTCATACTTAACCCTAGCACTCAAGAGTTCATCGAACTTCCATATATAATAGAAAATTACCGGTTTGCATCCGCTACATATAACTTCGGCTTCAGTCCACTGACCAACGAGTATAAGGTTCTCCAGATCTTGTCATTTCGTCCCAATAATAGCAGAAGTGATATTCGGTTCAACGTATTCACCCTAGGTAGGGATTCTTCATGGAGGCCATTGCAGGTAGACCCTGCCGACCTTCCTTTTGATGCTCGAGATCAAGCCTATGAGATACAAAATGGGAGAAGAACTGGATGTGTGTGCCTGAATGGGGCCATACACTGGATCCTTGAGACACGAAAAGTGATGGTGGTATTTGACGTTAAAGAGGAGACCTTCAGAGTGGTGCCACTACCTGAAGAGTTCCATCCAGATATTCATGGCCGCTATAGGGTTGCTTGCCATGCAAGTGTTGTTGAGGTGGAAGGATGTGTGGGTGTGTTTGCTTACAAGTCGTTGAGACAGAACAAGATAGTGTTATGGATTTTGAAGGACTACCAGAACCTTGTGTGGGTTCAGGAGACTATTACCGCCCTGATGCCGATTGGAGAAGGGTATGTTAAAGCTTTGGGTACAATCCATACAGGTGAGCTAGCGATTGCGCTCCATTTCTATGGAAATTCACCAGGATTTGATGACGGTCCACCAAAATTGCTTCTGTATAATATGGAGAGCAAACAATATAGAATACTTGATTTTGTTTTTCCTAATAATATGGGAGTTGCTCGGGGAATACCGATTAAGTTAATTGCTAGTTATGGTAATAGTATTGTCCCCTTAAAATGAGAGAGTTATATCACCGTTTCCATGGAAGTCTCTATTGCTCAATTCTGTAAGACATTTATGCATTTTTTAAGTTGGAATTCTTGGAGTGATATTCAAATTAAGAAGGCATTTTAGTTCTCAACATGCCCTTGCAATAAAAACATGATATAAGGCCTGTTCAGTGGGCAAAAATAGAAAACACAGAGAACGTTTTATGAAAACAAAAACAATTTCACGTCTACTTGTAGAAAACAGAAAAAAAAACTGTTTTCATTCTCTCAGGAAACAACACTGAAAACACGTTGCTTCTCTCCCCATCAGACCAAAACCACCGTCAAACGCTGCCAACAGAGAATCACACACAGAGCTTCAACCACCAACATCACCCAATCAAAATCACCACCGCCCCATCGAACCAGATTGTCACCGCCACTCAATTGAACCCAACAAAATCTCTACGCAATTGTATTGAACCACCATCGTTGAACAACTAATTGCCGAATCAATTTTCAGTCCAAGAAAAGGAAAGGGAGCTGGGAAGCTATTGGAAGGTGAGGTTGCAGTGAGAGAGAGACAGAGAGAGAGAGGGTGCAGCAGCATGAAGTGAAAGTGGAAAAGAGGGGGGTTGGTCTGATTCTTCAATTTTGGAGAGAGAGAGAGAGAGAGAGAGAGAGAGGGGAATGATACAATTGGGGTGGGTTTGCAGAGAGTGAAAGCGAAGGTTGGGTTGAGGTTTCAATTTTTTTATTTAAAGATAATTCTACTTTTATAATATAGAATTTTATTCTATTTTTTAAATGATATTCTTTAAGATGCTTAAAAAATATATTTTTTAAATAATATACGTACTATTTTTATTTTTATTTTGAAACTCACATATTGATTACATAATGCTGTATTAAAAAAAACATAATGAATTTTAATTAAAGTTACATACATTTTCACTATTTTTGTCATTTTCACGTATTACTACCAGAAGCATTTTCAATGTTTTTGTTCTCTGAAAACAGTTTTCAACTAAGCTACTAGATGCGTTTTTGTTCTCTGAAAATGCGTTTTCATTTTCTCGTTTTCATTCTATGAAAACATTCTCTGAAAATACTCTTTGAAAACATTACCAGACGGGCCTAAGATTCCCCGGAGGTGGCCAGCTAGTAGGGATGTGATATGGAGTGGAAACGTGAAGATAACCAAAGACCAATTTCTTTCGTCTGGGAGCATAACCAAAGACCAATTTATCCTCACCAGTGATTTTAACTTTTAAATTTCTCGACTCTATGCAAATTGTATTAATTAGTTTCGGTGTTTTCTTTTCTTTTCATTTGTGTGTGAATAATTATTTCTGTGCAGAGTCATTCTTTAACTTATTTACAATTTATTCAGGTTGATGTTACTAGATTAGAAAATCAAATTGTCTTTCGCTCTGAGGATGGTTTGATTTTTTATGGTGTCGAGGATTATTCTCTTCAAATTGCGAAGATGCTAGGTTTAAATTGACCCTTGAAAGAGGTCTTCCAGCAATGATTGGCTACTTCATTACAAGACAGCTTCCATATCCAGCATTGTCCTTCGAAAATGGTTCATTGTGCTCAGTGTGGTATTGTTTGGGACAAAAAGGTAATTTGACTTTATATTACGCTTATTTCTTACATTTTTGGGCTTCTAGCTGAAGCTAATAAAAGGTAAATAATGGTAAAACATTCAAAATATTAGAAAATACCCTAGGTTAATGCAAATATTAAGAATTGAAATTATTAATTAAATGAGGATAATATGGTAAATTCACACTTTTTCATATTAAAAAAAATTAAAATTAAAAGAAAAATAAAATAATGGATCATATTTTTACGGAACACAACTATGCATTATCTTTTTTAATTCTAAAATAAATTTAGAATAAAAATAAGAAAAATAATAAAAGGCCTCTCACCAGCGCTGAAGTGAGAGGCTATGCATGACACTGTTTCTATTACACGAAATTCTTCTAGAAACATTTAGCAGCTATGAGAACGGATCCATAAATAAATAAATAAATCTTTGACCATCCACGTGGGTGTATCCGGAGGTTTTTTGTGGGGTTGCCTTTGTATTTTTTTGGGTCGAATACGAATACGGTTGCCTTTGTAGGGAGGGTCTAGTAAAAAGAAAGACAGCTCATTCTGTAAAAGGAAAGAAGAAAGCGAAAAGAAATATATTTGGCCGTCCACGTGGGTACATCCTGTGGAATGTGCGGTATTCGAGGCTTTTTGTAGGGTGGAGAATATATACAAAGAAACCTTTGTCAACTGAGGCCACTGAGGCCAGGGCATTTGATTGTTTTGAAGATTAGTGACAAATGGAAAATAAATCACATAACCAACAGAAACAGAATTCAGAAACACAATTTGTATGTGCCAGTACACTACTAGTTGCCAAAATTACCTCTCTCTCAATCCCATACCAAAATTACCTAAGTCAAGTCAATATCATGGCAAAGAACCTTTGTAGATCCTTGAGAGATATCAGCAACTTTGTAGTTACTTAATAATGAGTTGCTTTGTTTTACAGGAGGTAACTAAGATATTGAATGCTGTTATTTACCTGGCTTTTCTTCACCAATATTTGTTGCATTTGGTTGGTAGCAAACCAGATATCCCATCTCCTACAGAGTTTGTTTTCCTGCATCTCCATTTCAGTTTATTTATTCGTGTTCCTCTTTCAGGAAATTATCATAATTCTGCTTACCATGAATGGCCGTGGCCGAGATAGGAGGATCCGTGATAGGATTAGCGCCTTGACTGATGAATTAATTTCTCGTATCCTTTCCTTCCTGTCAATCAAGGAGGCTGTAGCTACATCCACCCTTTCCACAAGATGGCGCAACGTATGGACTCTAGTACCTGACATTGAAATTGATGACTACTCACTACGCGACATTGACCATGATCAATTCTACACCGTTGTCGAGAAAATTCTCAGCCCCCCAATGCCTCCACCCCTTGAACTCAGCAAGGTCAAAATGGAATTTTATGATCACACCTGCCCCGCCAAAATCACCACTTTGATCTGTGCTTCTCTAAAACGCATTGTCAAGGAGCAGGACCTTTCTATATGTCCAGGTGACGAAGGAAACAGTGAAGAGGTTAACTTCCAGCTGCCCGTGGAAGTATTTACAAATCAGCATCTCCAGGTTATGAAATTGAGCAAAGTGAAGGTTGTTGTGCCACCAGATTCCCGCCCATCTTTCAAGGTTCTGCATGTGGTACATCTCATATTATTGTGAAAAATCCTTGCAAGATTTCTACAGTTTCTGCCTTGTGCTTGAGGACCTAGCATTGGTGGGAGAGCAGAACGAATATCCTGATGAAGAACGAAACTTTGATGTCAATTTAGAAAGTCTGAAGGATTTACGAATTAAGCTACAGTCATCGTTTGATTTCAAGCATGGTAATGGCAACCTAGATACATATGGTTTTATAATTAATGCACCGAATTTGAAGACCCTTATTGATGAAGACATCCTGGGGACTTATAAAATATAAGAAGTGCCTTCTCTTGTTGAAGCAAAAATTCAAGTTGGATGGGAAGATCTAAATTACCCCAAACTCGATGCTAAAAGAGTATTTCTTGCTAGAGCTTTCAGTATAATGGCTGGTTTGACTCACATTAGGTCTCTAACATTGGGCGAGCATACAGTTGGGTGGGGTGAGACATTACATTTTAATTAAATGTTTCAGTAGGCGTTAGTACACTGATTTTGTTTTGGTAAACTTTTTGGCATTTAAGAGGTGTTCTTAATCACTTCCTTTTTCTTTTCTTTCTTTTTGGCAAAGGCACTAGAATATGTTGTGCACTTGAATTATCTAGATGATCAAGGTGATGGTGTGCTAATTTGGGATGAAGCGGAAATTTGGAGAATATGTGGGTAGACATTCCATGAGTTCCATCATTTGACCAACTTGAAAATGTCAATTGGAAATAGTCATGGATGTAATCTTTTGCCATACTTACTTAGGTTCTTTCCTAAGTTGGAGACGCTCCATTTGGAAATTGTGAGTATATCAATTTGTTCTTACTGTCTTTGTACAAAAGGAGAGCAACATATTCTAAATCTTTATTTTTCTTTTCTATAATTTATTGGATTGGCAGGTTTAAATGCTGCTTTTCTGGAGGAAAGAAAATCAATTTGGGTGATGAATGTTGTGTCTGTCAATGCTCCCTATACACTTCCTCTCATACTAGATCAAGGTTTTGCTGGTGTTTTGCATGACTGGTAAATCGTTGGTTTCATTTCCTTCAGAAACTCTGCTGGCTAACTTGATATTTGAAGCTTCTTTCAGTGTATCTCAAATGCACTGTTTTTTTTTAACGCAAATTTTTTTTGAGAAAGAGTAACTCTAACTAAGGTTGACAAAGTTTGAATTTAGAAAAACTATAGGACTCATTTGTGCTCTTTATATCCTATTTTCGTTCCCTTTCTATAAATGTGTGCCTGCAAGTCTATGTTGATTGCAATTAAGTCTTGAGGTAGAGTCAAATAGTTGTGATCTATCTGTTGGTACAGGTGTCAACCGTTCCCTACATATCCTCGAACATATGATTTGCTGCATGCAAATGGGCTGCTCTCGCATCTGTCTTCATAGAGGTGCAGCATGACGGATTTATTCTTGGAGATGGATCGGATTCTGCGACCTGAGGTACTTTTATTTCCCCCTTGCTTATATTTCTATACTGCAAGATGCAACTTAAGATGAAGAAGTATGTTGTCTGTCTTTCCTTGTTTTGAGATGTGAATTATGGCCGGTTGGCAGGGATGGGTTGTTCCCTGTGATAAAGTGGGAGCTATTGAGATGGCTCGCATGTTTGCTACACAAATACGTTGGGAAGCAAGGGTGATCGACCTTGTTAAGATTTTATCTAGTTACAGCAGTTGTTTTTTAATTAAATAAACTGATTATCCTATTTTGTAGGAAGTCATGTTGCACGTTGTTATGTTTACCAGCAGTTGAGCAGTTTGTTAGTTGTGTCAGTAATAGATTAAGTTAGTAGGAGTCATGTCCTTGAATTTAGCATAGTCTGGTGATGTAATGTTCTATTTAAGTTCAACTTTATCAATATACAAATTACGCTTTCCAGTACCTCTTCTCACCTGTGTTTGGATTTTGAGTTTAACTCTACATCTGGTATCAGAGCTCCCCACTGGGGCCTGACTTAAAAGTTCCCACAAAAGCAGTAAGCTATTATTGCACTCACGGCAGTAAGTTACTATGGCGTCTGACAAGGTTACAGACAACTATGTGCAGCCAGCCATACCACGTTTTGATGGTCATTATGATCATTGGAGCATGTTGATGGAGAATTTCCTGAGGTCTAAAGAATACTGGACTATCGTGGAAACCGGTATAGTAGAGCTGGAAAGTGGAGTGGTGTTGACGGAGCTACAACAAAAGAAATTGGATGAATCCAAGCTGAAAGATTTGAAGGCGAAAAATTACTTATTCCAAGCTATTGATCGTTCCATTTTGGAGACCATTCTCCAAAAAGATACTTCCAAGCAAATTTGGGATTCCACAAAGAAGAAGTACCAGGGCTCAACAAAGGTGAAGTGTTCAATGCTGCAAGCACTGAGGAAAATTTTTGAGACCCTTCAAATGAAACAAGGAGAGTCTGTCAATGATTATTTTTCAAAAGCAATGGCAATTGCAAATAAGATGAGTATACATAGCGAGAAGATGGAAGACGTGACCATCGTAGAAAAGATCCTGCGATCTATGACTACAAAGTTTGATTACGTTGTGTGCTCCATTAAGGAGTCAAATGACGTTGAGAAGCTTTCAATTGACGAGTTGTAGAGTTCCTTGCTTGTCCATGAGCAGAAAATCAATCGGAGTACATTTAAGGAACATGCCTTGAAAGTTTCAACAAATAGTGATTCTTCGGCAGCAAGAGGTCGTGGTGGTCGTGGACGAGGACGTGGTAGAGGCGGCAGCCATGGAAGAGGTCGAGGTAGCAGAAATGGGAACAAATCCAATGATGATTCCGGCAGCAAAGACACTTATGATTTCGGCAGCAAGAGTAGAGGCCTTAATAATTCTGGAGGTAACAGCAGCAGAGGCCGCAGGCAGTCATACAACAATGATTCGAATGTCGACAATCAAATGTCGAGTGTTTCAGGTGTGGCAATTATGGCAATTATGTCGAATGTTACACAAATATGAATAAAGCAAAGGGTACAAAGGTGAATTTTGCAGAGAAAGAGAAAGAAGATGACGGGGCTATTCTAATGGTGTGTCAAACCATGGAAAAACTACAAAAGAATGTGTGGTACTTGGATACAGGTTGTAGTAATTACATGTGTCGAGCAAAGTCAATTTTCTCTACCTTAGATGAAAGTTTCACAACTACAGTGAGATTTGAAGATGACATCAAAGTTTTTGTTTTGGGAAAATGAGATATCAAAATTTGGGCTAAAGATAACACTGTCCATACTATCTCTAGGGTTTTCTTTGTTCCAAGTTTGAGAGCAATTTACTGAGCTTGGGACAACTGCATGAAAAGGGATATGAGATCAAGATTACAGGAGGAGCTTCTCAAATTCATAACCAAAAAGGGGCTTAATTGCTAAGGCTTACATGACGACAAATCGAATGTTTCCGTTACATATTCAAAGTGATGGTCCTAAATGTTTCTCTGCCAAGGTCAATGATCCAGCATGGCTATGGCATTTACGCTATGATCATCTGAATTTTAGAGGTTTGAAGATGCTACATGATAAAGAGATGGTGACTGGCCTTCCTCAGATAACATGTCCAACTGAAGTTTGTGTTGTTGGAAAACAGCATAGGGAAACCTTTCCGAAGGGAAAAGCATGGCGGGCTAGAAGACCTCTTGAGCTGGTCCATTCAGATATTTGTGGGCCAATAACTCCAGCTTCCAACGCCGAAAAAAGGTACTTTATAACGTTCATTGATGATTGCAGCAGGAAAACATGGGTTTATTTCTTACAGGAGAAATCAGAAGCCTTAAATTCATTCAAACACTTTAAGGTGGCTGCTGAGAATGAGATAGAGAAGACGATCAAGGTTTTTCAAACTAATTGTGGTGGAGAATACAATTCAAAAGCCTTTGAAAATTTATGTGCTATACATGGCGTTCACCGACAGCTTACAACAGCTTATACACCACAGCAGAATGGTGTGGTGGAGAGGAAGAATTGTACCATTTTAAATATGGTACGCAGTATGCAGACAAAAAGTTCCATTCCAAAGAGTTTCTGGCCGGAAGCTGTAAATTGGAGCATTCACATACTGAACAGAAGTCCAACTTTTGCTGTTCGTGATTTGACACCTGAAGAGGCATGGAGCGGCCGTAAACCAGCAATTGGTTACTTCAAAGTTTTTGGTTGCATTGAATATGCACGTATTCCAGACGAGAAAAGGAAGAAGCTTGATGACAAAGGTGAAAAATGTGTCTTTCTTGGCATAAGTGAAGATTCCAAGGTGTATAAGTTATTCAATCATGTGTCCAAAAAGATTATTATTAGCCGAGATGTTGTATTTGATGAAGAGAAGACATGGAATTGGAGTGATGATGTTTCTCTGCAGCAGCAGAACATTCCAGTCAATTTTGATGACAATGTGGAACAGCAACCACCGGAACAGCAGCAGCCACAACAGTGCATTCCGGCACCAACTTCGTCAGTTGTTCCAGCACCTGTTGTTCCACCAATTGGAGCTCAGGCTGCAAGTTCATCTAGTGCACGACCCTAACGTTTAAGGAAGTGGCCTGCATGGATGATAGATTCTGAATGGGTGTTTGATTTCGTTAGTGGAAGTGAAGGAAGTGATGATGATCCACTTGTTCACTTTGCTTTGTTTGCAGATTCTGATCCTGTGTCATTTTCTAATGCCATAAGAGAACCAAAATGGCATAAAGCCATGGATGAGGAAGTCAAATCTATTGAGAAGAACAATACTTGGGAGTTGACAGAGCTTCCACAAGGGCACAAGACGATTGGTGTCAAATGGGTTTTTAAGACAAAGTTGAATGAGAAAGGTGAGATTCATAAGCACAAAGTACGCTTGGTGGCGAAAGGTTACAAGCAAGAGTACGGCATTGACTACACATAAGTGTTTGGGCCCGTGGCAAGGCATGACACAATTCGACTGGTGATTTCAATGGCGGCTCAAAACTCTTGGCCTATCTTCCAGCTGGATGTGAAGTCTGCGTTTTTACATGGTGAGTTGGAAGAACAGGTTTATGTTGAGTAGCCATCAGGCTATGTTCAGCCAGGAAAGGAAAAACAAGTTTACAGGCTTAAAAAAGCTTTATATAGGCTGAAGCAAGCTCCTAGAGCATGGTACAGCCGCATAGAGGCATATTTTGCAAGAGAAGGTTTTCAAAAATGTCCATATGAGCATACACTCTTTACAAAATCTGGAGAGGAAGGGAAAATACTCATCGTGTGCTTGTATGTGGACGATCTGATCTATACAAGTAATGATGTGGCCATGTTTAATGATTTTAAGAAATCCATGATGCATGAGTTTGATATGTCTGATCTTGGATTGATGCACTATTTTCTTGGTATAGAAGTAGTACAATATAGTGCCGGAATATTTATTTCACAGAAGAAATATGTTCAAGAGATCTTAGACAGGTTTGAGATGAAGGATTGCAATTCAGTTTGTACGCCAACTGAAATTGGCTTGAAACTAGTGAAGAATTCTGGGGAGAAGAAGGTTGATCAAACTCTCTACAAACATATTATAGGAAGTCTGATGTATCTGACAGCAACTAGACCAGACATACAACACGGAGTGAGTCTCATTAGTAGATATATGGAGTGTCTGGAAGTGCCTCATTTGGAGGCAGCAAAAAGAATTTTTCGTTACCTAAAGGGCACAATCGATTTTGGAATATTATACAAGAAAGGAGCTAAATCAGGTTTGTTTGGCTTCACTGATAGTGACTGTGCAGGAGGCCCAGATGATAGGAGAAGCACCTCAGGTTATGCATTTATAATGGGAGCATGAGCTATTTCATGGTTATCCAAAAAACAACAGATTGTCACTCTGTCAACCACCGAAGCTGAGTTTATTGCAGTAGCAGCCTGCGACTGTCAAGCTATTTGGTTGAGGAGGATACTTGAAGAATTACGTGGTTTGCAAGAAGGTCCAACTCCTGTCTATTGTGATAGCAATTCAGCAATCAAGTTGTCCAAGAATCCAGTCTTACATGGCAGAAGCAAACACATTGATGTTCGCTACCATTTCCTGCGCGACCTCACAAATGATGAAACAATTGATTTAATCTACTGCATAAGTGAAGATCGGGTGGCTGATATTCTAACCAAGCCTCTCAAATTACCAGCATTCTCAAAGCTAAGGAATTGTTAGGAGTTTGCTCTGTGAAGGATATTGCTTGAAGACAGAAGCTATAGTTTGAAGGTTTCTCTCTAAACTGATTGTTCAAAGGGAGGGTGTTAAGATTTTATCTAGTTACAGCAGTTTTTTTTAATCAAATAAACTGATTATCCTATTTTGTAGGAAGTCATGTTGCACGTTGTTATGTTTACCAAGTCTTTAGGAGTCTCCCAGTAGTGGAGTAGTTTGTTAGTTGTGTCAGTAATGGATTAAGTTAGTGGGAGTCATGTCCTTGAATTTAGCATAGTTTGGTGATGTAATGTTCTATTTAAGTTCAACTTTATCAATATACAAATTACGCTTTCCAGCACCTCTTCTCACCTGTGTTTGGATTTTGAGTTTAACTCTACAGACCTTCAGAATGACAGTGACCTACGATTACTTGTTTGCCACAAACCATTCGTGAAAAAATGATTGTTTTACTTCAGGAGGTTTCATCATTGCGGAAGTATACAATTGTTTTTCCTCTTTTTGCTCTGGTAATTTCTCTCATCTTTCCAGAATTCAAATTCGGATTATTTGATTTAGTTGTCACTCTTGAATTTAACTATGTTGTTTTTGTGTTGGTTAGCAGATTATATGATTTTGACAACAAATGCTCAGAATCCGAAGAACCTTGAAGAAGCTCACGAGTCATCACAGGGAGAGTGAGCATGTGGAAGCTGTAGATTAGAAGATTGGCACAGAAGTAGCTGCAACTCTTTTTCTATTTTTTTTTTAAGGCGTTTGTAGCAATTCATTCATCCATTATTTCTTTCCCTTTTTTTTTCCTCGTGCAATTTTTTTTTGTGGGTCTTATTTGAGAAATTGTGGATGAATTCTTTAGTGTGACTGTCACACCATTATGTTGCGTTGACAATATAGATATTCGGGCAACATATGATTGCTATGTCGTGGATTTTAGAGTATATCTATTTGCCCAATTTTGATAGTAGATCATGTAGTCAATTGGCTAGAAAAATCTGAACGATTACATGTAATTTCTTTTTATGTTTTTATTTTTGTTCCTTTCAAATAATTATGTGACATTCTTTGTGATGATAGCACCCAAGTGGGATCATGAAATTTTGTCCCTTTTAGACATCAGTTTGAATATAGCAAACCCAAATGCCTGCCGTCCCTTGTGCTCACTAGCCTTCAGCTTCAGCTGTTCAACCCCACAGCAGCAAAACCACCGTGAACAAGAGAGTTGAAGCTGAAAGATTAACTATGTTGGTGGAAAACAATCGTATTTAAAATTGAAAACCTTACACGCGGAAAAATATCATTGAATTTAAACACAGTTGGATGTAGTAAAAATCAAATTTTAATCCTACAAACCAATGGAATTTGAATTGTCTCATATATAAAAGAACAAATATAAAAAAGAGATATTTAGTCATATACCCATTCTTAGCACTAAAACTATAAATAAACCATAAACTATTTAATTTTTATAAACATACGAAATAAAAACCCAAAAAATGACAGCTGGACCTATTGAATTTAATTTTGATTATTAAATTACTTTGATGCTCTATTGAGTGTTTTGGACTTTTTATGAGATTTAAGGGTTGAATTTGTTTTAAGAAATTAATGACATTTTTGTAATTTAAAAGAAGTTAAAAGCTTTTTGTTATGTTGTAAATGGGCTTTGGGTGTATTTCTAAAGTCCATTTCATATAAGTTTTTTTATAATTTGAGCTCCTATATTTGGTATAATAGTGAATCTCCCTATGAAAAAAGGATACCAATTCATATATGGTTAGAATTCCTTAGCTTGTTAGTTACTCTGTTGACCTATAAATACCAAGCCAACAAACCCTAGCAAAATTATAGCATCCCCTGTGTTTCTTTTTCTGCCTCTATAGCGTACTATATTCAGGTCTTTCGATGGCCAAAGAAAGTCATCCAAGGAAACTGGTAAAATCGAGATATGTATGTATGAACCCTGAGCTCCCAACCGAAATCATATTCTATCATATACTCCCACGGCTACCACCAAAGTCTCTGATGCGATGCAAGTCTTGGTCTTCCCTCTTCCGCAGCCCTTCCTTTGTCACCGCCTTCAACAATTTTCACTGCAACGACAGAAACAAGAGCACCACTAACTTCCTTTTCCATAACAATAGCCGTTTGTTCTCTTCAAAGATAGAGGAGCAACAAGGAGAGAATAATATTCTAATTTCAAGACTCGGAGCCAAGTTCTCGAACGTTATCCTGATCATGTGCAGTATATTCTAAATCCAACACCTGTTGCCGAATTTTCATACCTGAGTCTCGCATTTCGTCATAATAGTGTGCAATGTGTCCATGGATTGGTTTGTGCATCCTTTACGTGTGGTCCTGTTTTCATACTTAACCCTAGCACTCAAGAGTCCATCGAACTTCGCTATGTAATAGATAATACTTACTGCTTCCCCTACGCTACATATCACTTCGGCTATAGTCCACTGACTAACGAGTATAAGGTTCTCCAGATCTTGTCCTTTCAACCCAACCTACTTAGCAATAGGCATATTCGGTTCAACACATTCACCCTAGGTAGAGATTCTTCATGGAGGCCATTGCAGGTAGACCCTGCCCACCTTCGTTTTTTTTATGATACAGGTCACGCCTCTGACATAAGGAATGGGAGAAGTACCCGACGTGTGTGCCTGAATGGGGCCATACACTGGATCCATGGGACGCAGAAAATAATAGTGGTATTTGACGTTAGAGAGGAGACCTTCAGACTGGTGTCATTACCTGAAGAATATGCACGAGAGTTTGGTCCAGATAATTATGGCGGCAATCGGATTGCTTTCCCTACAGGTGTTGTTGAGGTGGGAGGATGTGTGGGTGTGTTTGCTGACAAGTCGTGGAGACACAACGAGATAGTGTTATGGATTTTGAAGGATTACCAAAACCTTGTGTGGGTCAAGGAGACTATTACCGTGATGCCAAGAGGAGCAGGGTACGTTGAAGCTTTGGGTACAATCCATACAGGTGAGCTAGCCCTCGCGCTCCATTTTTATGGAAATTTACCTGGATTTGAGAATGGACCACCTCAATTGCTTCTTTATGATATGGAGAGCAAACAATATAGAATACTTGATTTCATTTTTCCTAATAATATGGGAGTTACTTGGGGAATACCGTTTAAGTTAATTGCTAGTTATGATGATAGCATTGTCTCCTTAAAATGAGATGCCTTAATTATAGTTATATCACCATTTCCATGGAAGTCTCTATTCTGTAATTAATCTTTATAAGTGTGCTTGTTACAATATACAAATCTGTAATTCATCTTTATAGAATTCAAATTCCAATTTGAATTATGTAAGTAGGCATTTACCTGATTTAGCAGACTATCTTGTTTTTGTGTTCATTAGCAGATTATGATCAGTTTGGCAACAGAATGTAGTACATTATACATACATGCTTGCTCAGTATCCCAAGAACCTTGGACAAGTGAGCATGCTCTCTCACTCACTCCTGCCGGGCTGTTTTGTTAAGGATTTATAATGGAATAATAAAGGCATTTGTAACAATTCATTCATCCTATGCCACTGTTTCACCAAATTCTTCTAGAAACATTTAGCAGCTAGAGAAAGGATCCAAAACCTTAAAAAATAAATAAATAAATAAATAAAATAAAAAATAAAAAATAAAACAAAGGTACATCTCTGGCCGTCCACGTGGGTGTATCCTGTGGAATGTGTGGTATCCGGAGCTTTTTGTAGGGTTGTCGACTGTTCATTCTGTAAAAGCAAAGAAAATAGAAAAGAAGACGAAAACGAAAAGCGAAAGGGGGCGCTTCTTCTTATGGCGGCTGCTAATTTGGAAGCACGATCAGGTGACGGCTTGCTTTACTCTTGCTCACGTTTAAAATATAGATCGAATATTAACATTCGTGCTCTGCTTTTGGTGGCGGCTTTATTTTGTTCTTTATCATTTAATAATTTAATGTTAAATCTTTCTAGATGGAATATTATTATTTTATTTATGTATTACGATCAGGCTTTGTTCTTTATCTAAATCCAGATAGTATAAATATTCTTGTATTTATATGCATTTAAATCAGTGAAGAAGAGAAGATGCTGCATTTAATGTATATAAATAATAATAATAATAATAAATATTCTTTGTTCTTGGGTTTTTTTGGTTGATGACATTTGTTTTGTATTTGTTCTTGGGCTTTGCCCTCTTTTTATTTAATTCTTGTTAATTGTTAAAACAAAGTGTGAAAGAATATTTAAATGTATGCAGTATGCACTAAAAAGAAGAAGGGTGGTTCCCTTTCCCTTCCCCTTCTGCTCTCCCTCGATCAATATCTCAAGGTCATTGGAACCTTAGGACAATCTTCTTTCTACTTCTTGCCATGATCCTGTTCCTGTGGAAACAGTGGGTTTGGTATGTGACGACTGACCTCCGTAGCCGGATTGCCTGCTACGGTAATGGCAATAATTTTGCACAGACAAAACAATTTCGAATGCCTTTGATTTGAGGAAGCATCTTTTAGGGGCTGGGGCAAATACTACACACATAAACACATAGCTGCTGTGATATCAACATAAATCCCTTCTTTCCTTTTTCCAATGCGAAACAAAATACTATTGACAGTCAATAAGGTACAACAATTACAAACAGAGTTTACACAAAAGTAATAGTAATAGATAGAGAATGGCTACCGCTAAAGCTAATCCTAGTCATAAAACCAACTATAACACTAGCAATGTGACTTGAAATCCCTAATCTCTGGTAACTTGTTCTATTTAGTTTTTATTCTAGTTACTTAATAATGAGTGCTGTTATTTAGTTTTGATTCCAGTAACTTGTTCAGTTTAGTTTTGATTTTAGAAGAGGTAAGATATTGAATGCTGTTATTTACCTGGCTTTTGTTCACCAATATTTGTTGTATTTGGTAGCAAAGGAGATATCCCATCTCCCACAGAGTTATTTACCCAACTTTTGTTTTCCAGCATCTCCATTTCACTTTATTTATTGGTGTTCCTCTTTCAGGAAATTATCAGAATTATGCTTATCATGCGGGGCCAAGATAGGATTAGCCAGTTGCCTAATCACCTTCTTTCTCGTATCCTTTCCTTCCTGCCAATCGAGGATGCGGTAGCTACTAGCATCCTTTCCACAAAATAGACAACATATGGACCCTAGTCCCTGACATTGACAACTCAATACAAGTCGACCAAGATCAATTTGTAACGACCCGGTCCTAAATACATTGGTAAATATTAATTTATTCAGATAAAAGATCATTTTGCCCATATAATATTTTATTACGTTTAAAGTTGACTTTTTTACCGTGAAGGAATTTGGGAATTTCGATTGCCCCGTTGCGTAGAGCATGGCGAGATGAGTCCATAGACACGTACTGGGCTTGAATCGGAGCTATAACGAATAAGTTACGAGCAAAATATCATCAGTGGCATAATTGTAATTTTTGCGAAAAGGGTTTCATAAAAATCTGATTTCTCTCTCTCTCTCTCTCTCTCTCTCACCCCGCTCAGCCTCTCTCTCTCCTCACGATGACCACCACAGCCAGCCATGTTTTGGCCGGCGGTTTTCTCATCCGGCCACTAAAGCTGACGGGGCCTGTACCAAAATGACCGGGCCGCCGTCCTCTTCCAACCCCAGCCAGGTCCCGCCTCCTGCCGCCGCGATTTGGCCGGAAAATCAAAGAGAAACTGCCGGTTTTCGCTCGAAATTCTCCGACTTCGTTCTCCGTCATCCGGCCACCATTTCCGGCAAGTGAGGTATGCTTTCTCACCTATTTTTCATGATCTAGCTGATGGTTGGGTAGGATTGCATCAATTTTGGGCCTAGATTGTCTGATTTTCGAATTGGATTTCAGCCGGTTTTTGGATCGCGATTCTGGCCAATTCCGGTCAGTTTTTGGGTATGTCCAAGAACAAAAGTGGTTCCAATTAGGGTGTTTTACCTAAGGTAGGAGCCTTGAGCCATGATTTTGAGTTTTTTCGGCGAAAGGTTATCGCTTTGGACACTCATGCGCTGCCGGCGCGTGGGTACTGTAGAAAATGGGCATTTTGTCCCAATGTAATATCCTTGTCTTCACGAGTGCATAGGTGTGCTCAGATTTTAATTTGGATATTGTTTGATCGTCGATCGGATATCGCATATTGTGCGTTATCCGGGTTCGATAGGTTTGAACTGTTGGATAGTCTTAAATTTATAATATGTTGATCTAGGCACTCATAGAATCGTGTAGGAATTCACGGATCGTGGATCGGAGCCCCGGATGTTCCGATTTAATAACTTGAAGTTTGTGTTTCATAATAACCGTCCGATCGGGCGATCGCGAGCGATCCGACCATCCGATCCGGACCAAACTTGTAGGACATGTATCCTAAACCTTGCATAACCCATAGGAACTTTCGGATCAAAATTTGGAGGTCGTGGGCCCGTTTGACCAAGTTTGGGTAGTTTGACCCTTGGTTGACCATGAGTCTTCCGAGATAGTTTTACCTTCCCAGGAGGATTAAAATGACCGTAGTGACAGGTCTTGATCGTTAGTTGAGTTACGTTGATTATGTAGGATTTAGGATATTAATTTATTGTTTTAAACTGGGGGGTTATCGGATGCTATAGTGAGGTTGAGGTTTTTGAAATATTATAAATTTATATATATATGTAGATATATAAAGAGATTTTGGGCATAAGATTGAGAAATTTGTATATAATAATAATAGTAACATTCAATCGGGAAATAATATGATGCTAGGTCTCATGTGGCGTAGGATTTTCCAACTTGTGGACAGACCCTATATGTGGCGTTGGATTTTTCCGCGTATGGGGAGATTATGATATGATTGTTAAGTCACACGTGGCGTAGGATTTTCCGTCGTATTGACAGACCGCATACGTGACGTTGTATTTTTCGACATATGGGGAGATTATGTGATTATTAGGGAGATGAATAAAGGGTTGTTATAGTATGTTGGGAAAGAAAATGTTTCAAAAGGATTGTGTTTGATAAGTTGTGATTTAAAGAAAAAGGAAAGGGATAAATTGTAGAATCTATTGTTTTGTATTACTGTTATTGATTGTATGTTATTGGAATCGGGATTTCTGTTGAAAGAACTACGTGTGGCTTGATCCCTTAGTAAGGGTACGTAGGCAACCTAGGGTAGTGCCTAGGTGCAGCCGCGAGCTAAATTTTACTCATGTTGTTTTATTGAGATTGGTTCGGACCTTGTCGTTGGTCCTGAAATTTGGGCGAAAATGAGATGCAGTCGTGTTAGGAGGTTAAAACTTCGTATGTTGGATATTTGGGAAGTTAGATGATGGAAATTGCATTTGGCATTCTTAAATGTGTTTGAGTTTATATTTGCCTTGTTTAAGGTACTATTTGGCTTAAGGACCTTGTTGGTAGTTTGGTTACCGATTATTTGAACGTCGGAGGCCGAGTTTGTGAATTGCATGAAATTATCTTGTGTATGCTGTCGGTTGGTGATATTAAATATGTTTTATGCAGGTTGAAATTTTTGGGAAATGTTCAATCTACAAGGGAGATTCTGCCGAATTTTCGGTAGAAAATTTCGTGCCCTTATTCCTTTTTGGGAAAAGAGGATATAGTTTCAGAAGTGGCCCGACATCGGGGTGATGTCGGGAATTCCACAGGATTCGTCTCGGGTTCCGAGGAATTCGGGGCGGGTCCTGTCACAATTCTACACCATTGTCAACTCAAATCTGCGTCACCCGATGGCTGCGCCTTTTCCACTTCATAAGTTCATCCTCAAGTGCGACCGATGCACCAGTCATTCTGCAATCAACAATCTGATTCGGGCCACTCTTGATCGCCAAGTGAAGGAGCTGGACCTTTGCATTGCTCCACATGACATATAGCATAAATTCCCGCTGCCTATGGAAGTATATAAAAACCAGCATCTCAAAGTTTTGAAATTGAGCAGAGTGAGGGTTCATGATGATGAGCCATCAGGTTCTTTCCCATCTTTGAAGAATTTGCAAGTGGATATCTCATATGCTTGTGACGAATCCTTGCAAAAATTTTACCATCACTGTCTGTTATTGAGGAGTTGAGAACGGAAGGAGAATTGGACACATTTCCTAATGTCTATCGTCAGTTTAGAAAGTCTCAAAGCACTATACATCAAGTTGCAGTCTAATTATGATGTTCAGTATGATGATGATGAGGAGGAAGAGATACATACCTTTAAAATTAGGGCAAAGAATTTGGAGAGCCTTTTCATTAACGAAGACATATTGGTAGATTACAAAATGGAAGAATGGATATCTCTGGTTGAAGGCAATATTCAAATTGGGTGGGAAGATTACCAGTACAGCATGGGTGGTAGAATATTCTTTAATAATGCTTTCAAGATAATGAGGGGATTGACCCATGCTATGACCCTAACCATTGGTGAGAGGACTACTGGGGTAAGATTGATTTCATTTTGGTAAACTATTTGGGATTTACAAAAAAGGTTCTCCTAGAGTTTCCATAGTTCCATCATTTGGGATTTACCCAAATATTTTACCAAAATGAAATCAGTCTTACCCCAGTGATCCTATCACCTAGGGTTAGGGTCCTAGTATAGGTCAATCCTCTCATTATCTTGAAAACATTATTAAAGAATATTCTACCACCCATGCCGTATTGGTAATCTTCCCACCTAATTTGAATATTGCCTTCAACCAGGGATATCAATTCTTCCATTTCGTAATCTGTCAATATGTCTTCGTCAATGAAAAGGCTCGCCAAATTCTTTGCCTTAATTTTAAAGGTATATATCTCTTCCTCCTCATCATCATCATAATTAGACTGCAGCTTGATGTATAGTGCTTTGAGATTTTCTGAACTAACATCAAATTGACATTAGGAAATGTGTCCAATTCTCCTTCCATTCCCAACTCCTCAAGAATAGGATAGTGATGGTAGAATTTTTGCAAGGATTCGTCACAAGCATACGAGATGTCCACTTGCAAATTCTTCAAAGATGGGAAAGAACCTGGTGGCTCATCATCATGAACCCTCACTCTGCTCAATTTCAAAACCTTGAGATGCTAGTTTCTATATACTTCCACAAGTAGCAGGAATTTATGCTCTATGTCATGTGTAGCAATGCAAAGGTCCAGAGTTCCATCATTATGTGTGTGTGTGTTTGCCCTTCTTTATTTGGAGCAATGCACATTTGTTTTCCAACATCTTCATTTCACTTTATTTATTGGTGTTCCTCTTTCGGGAAATTATCAGAATTCTGCTTATAATGCGGGGCCAAGATAGGATTAGCCAGTTGCCTAATCACCTTCTTTCTCGTATCCTTTCCTTTCTGCCAATCTAGGATGCGGTAGCTACTAGCATCCTTTCCACAAAATGGACAACATATGAACCCTAGTCATTGACAACTCAACACAAGTCGACCAAGATCAATTCTACACCATTGTCGACTCAATTCTGCCCTACCTGATGGTTGCGCCTTTTCCACTTCACAAGTTCATCCTCAAGTGCGACTGATGCACTAGTCATGCTGTATAAGAAATACACCAGTGGCGCTACTAAATCACTGTATTATGATTTGGAACTCTCGAATCTCAGTAGAAATTTGTTGCAAATAGTTTATCAATGGCCACCCCTCTCCGTCCTCAAGGCGAAATCGTTTTACCTTGACCCTAATAATGGTCTCCATCAAACATGTTGGTTCCTCTAGGGGTGGATGTCACGCAAATCTTATGTTTGGATCCACACCATACACATAAATCTGCCAATTCAATAAATTATAGAAAAGAAAATTAAAGATTTAGAATATGTTACGCTTCTTTTGTACAAAGAAAGTAAGAACAAATTGATATACTCACCATTTCCAAATAGAGTGTCTCCAACCATTTGGTAGCGCAGTTGGAGACGCTCCGTTTGGAAATGGTGAGTATATCAATTTGTTCTTACTTTCTTTGTACAAAAGGAGCGCAACATATTCTCAATCTTTATTTTTTTTTCTGTAATTTATTGAATTAGCAGGTTTATGTGTATGGTGTGAATCCAAACATAAGATTTGCGTGGCATCCACCCCTAGAGGAACCAACATGTTTGATGCAGACCATCATTAAGATTGAGGTAAAAGGATTTCACCATGAGGACGAAGAGGGGTGGCCATTGATAAACTATCTGCAGAAAATTTCTACTGAGATTCGAGAGTTCCAAATTATAATACATTGATTTAGTAGCGTCGCTGGTGTATTTCTTATGTTTGTTGACTTTTTCTGGAATGTTAGATTTGGATTGACGACACCTTGGGTAATTTTGAAGTTAAATTTGGATTGACAAGTCAAGTATTGTCTTGATAATTGTCAAATGAATTTTGCTGCCAGTTTATTGATAGATTTTGTCACTCCTGTATGTGACAAAAATTAGCTTTGAGTGTGGGATTTCAACTGGTTGTGTTGTGACTAGATTCCTACAACAAATTGAAAATATATAGCAAGCAGAGAAAGTTTGGTACCAAGATTGGTGATAGCAATTGGAATAAGAGAGAGCTAGAGTGGGGCTTAGGGATCATCATCTGATCCGATCAGGTCCGTCGTCCATGCCATGGTAGATGGCTGAGCCGCTGAAGAAACAACTAGGTACACCGGTAACTGCAAAATAGGGTTTTGCAGTTAAAGAAAAGGCTCAAGCAAGTTATTAGATTGACTCTTGAGAAATAGATATACAAATTCCAATCCTAAAAGACATAGAAATACGATTACCCCTTACCACCAAAGGATCAGGTCGGCATAAAGGGGGAGGCCAAGGCAACCCAACTTCCATCTTCCATTTTTCCATTTTTCCATCTTTCCATCTTTCCATCTTTCCATCTTTCAATCTTTCATCTTTCATCTTCCATCTTCCATCTTCAGGGTTTATGGGTAGAGAGTTCGCCTCCTTAATCCTCAATAGATAGACAGAGACTCAGACGAGATCTATTCTGGAGTTTCGGGGTGTTTGGTTTGACTTTTCTGTAATTTATTGAATTAGCAGGTTGAGATTCCGGCCACTTCCGGCCAGTTTTTGAGGTAGGTCCAAGAACAAAAGTGGATCCAAATAGGGCGTTATACTTAGGGTAGGAGTCTTGAATCGTGGTTTAGAGTTTTTTCGGCGGAGTGTTATCGCTTTAGGCACCACGCGCTGCCGGCGCGTGTAGCGGTGCGTGGGCAGCAGGGTGGGGACCACAGTTAGCCCTAGAATAATCTCCTAGTCCCCACGAGCGTGTAGGATCGCGCGGATCTTAATTTGGATAACGTTTGAACCCCGAACGGATCTCGCCTAGTGTGTGATTTCCGGGTTCAATACGTTTGAACCATTGGATCGTAACCATTTTTAGATATGTTAATCTAGATGTTCCTAGGATCATATAGTATTTGACAGATCGTAAAACGGAGTCCCGGTTACTCCAGAAATGTCAGCCCTAGAGCAAGGTTTATAGTAAATTAATCCAGTTACAGTTAAGTAAACCAGTTACAGTTAAACGAACCAGTTACAGGTCAGAAACAAAGGAAAGAACTACGTGTGGCTTGATCCCTCAGGATGGGTACGTAGGCAGCCTACAGTTACCAGGCACAGCCACGAGTTAGGGCCCCCGAGTTTCTGTTTTGCTTCTAGGGGCATTTTGGTCATTTTGACCCCCAGCCACTAGGTGTCAATTTTAGACAGGTTTCGACCCGGATTTCAAAGTGGAATTAGGGTCAGGTTGTTTCAGTGACTGGAGTGGAAGTCAAGATGACATGAAGAGCACCTCAGGATATGCTTTCTCTTTTAGAAGTGGTGTGTTTTCCTGGGCATCTGTCAAGCAACACAATGTTGCTCTCTCCACAACTGAAGCTGAGTATGTCAGTGCAAGTGAAACAACTACTCAGGCTATATGGTTGATGTTTGTGCTAGAGGATTTTGGTGAATTGCAGACAGAAGCAACTCCATTTATGGTAGATAATACTTCTGCCATTGCAATGACCAGAAATCCTGTTTTCCATCAAAAGACCAAGCATATCAACCGCAGATATCACTTCATTCGAGATGCCTTAAAAAGAAGATGTAGTGAACTTGAGGTACTGCAAGTCTGAAGAACAAGTGGCTGACATTTTCACAAAAGCTCTGCCTAAGGATCGGTTCAACTATTTGAGAGGTTTACTTGGAGTTAAACCAATTAACAATTTAGAAGGGAATGTTGAAATATAAATTGTTTTCTGGTTTAATCCATAATTAGACAAGTGTAAGGCTTAGATGCTATCATATTGGAGGACTTATACGTCCTAGATTTATGCCAAGTGGTACAGCTCACATTGCTGAACATTTTGTAAGACTAAATATGCTCTTTTCCATTCATTGTAAAGGGGATAATTATGTTGGAATGAAATGAGAGTGTGTGTGCATTGCTATATTCATTGCGCAGTAACAAACGCTCTCTCTCTTCTCAATGATCTCTCTATCCTCTCTCAACTTCATTTTCTTCCTCTGTTCTAGAAACTAAGCTCTGCATATTTTCAAAATCTCATCATCAGATAGATCAGATCAGATTTGCTTTGTGTTTTGTCCTTTTTTTTTTTTTTTTTTTTTTTTTTTTTAATTTAATTTTTGTTTTTCCCTATTTTGTTATTTACTTTGGTGACACAAATACATTTGCTATTTGTTTATGTTTTTCCCTATTTTGAAATTGCGGCTGTGAGAGAGTATTAAGGAGTATATTTCACTATTTCCGTGAGATTGTTATATTCATTCTTGTAAGTCAACTAATAGGATTTTGTTTTAAGTGCCTGATGTGGCCCATTTGAAGTTACAAATCTCTCTCTCTCTCTCTCTCCTCTCTCTCTCTCTCTCTCTCTCTCTCGATTTTAGGCATGCAATAGGATTGAGTAACTAAAACCCACGAAGATTAGTGACAAATGCAAAATACATCACATAACCACCCCAAGTAGGTGGTGGATATGATTCAGTTTGTATAATATAATCCATCAAGCCGCTGCTATCAGAAGGAATCACAATTTGTATGTGCCAGTTCCTAAACACTCGATAATCTAATCTTCTCCTTCAAAAAAGAAAAACAAAACAACAAATCCAAGCATAACAACAACGAATTCTTTACTACTTGGTCCGCAAGACAAACTAGTTACCACATGACCTTGCAGAATATATAATCAAGACAGTTTTCAGCATACATTCAATAAACCACCAGAGAACAGCGCCAAGTCCCATCTCTGGTTGATCAGCTGAAGCCTTAAGAAACCTTTTCCGGTGTCTTTGTACTTTGTACTCAGGAGCCGAGTAATTTGCATACTGAAACTGGAAAAGGCAACACTTTCATGTCACTCACTTCTGTTCTGTAGCTCCTTTTTTTACTCTGGGAAGAAACAATGTACAACCTTGATAGGTGAAGAACACAAAAATGGGGGATAGAAACTCTTGGATTGGCAGCAGGTGGAAGCACTGAAAGGATGAAGTTTAATTGCTTTAAATCAGACCCGCACCAAGGAAATTACTTTAAGAAAATCATTCTAAAAAGGTCAAAGTATTGACTGAACCCAAATTCAGGAAGAAGGGCAATGCAAGAACATCTACTTACCTGAAATTAGCAGGAGAAAAGACCCCAATACAATCATCAACTGATGGGTTTTGCAGAACAAAATCCCAACGTCACCCATTCTCCAGTGAATGAAACCCATCAATCAGCCCAATAAGTTATGCCTTCACTCACAGTTGAACAATACGAGGCAATTAAAACCAGACTTCCCTTTCAATTAGGAGTGCCAAATATTGACAAAGAGATGGGACAAAATCATCGAGGTGGCTTACCCTTAATCCTACAACTGTAGGTGAGGCTTGAATATAAGCAAGGTCATGAAGAGCAAAGGTTGCCTTCCTTATGAATACAAATTCTTGAAAGAGGCTGCTCCCCGTGCGAACTTGCCTTTTTCAAGGCTTGCAAAAACCAATTTTATTTCTTTCATCACACACAGCATCATAATTCAATCAAGAATCTCAGAAGAAGAAACTGAATTAAGAACAAGAGAGGAAAGCCACAAACTTGAAACACAGAAAGTGGAAAAGAAAAAAAAAGAAAGAAAAAGGTTTAAGATTTAGTTTGTAGTTCAAAGGGAGAGTGATGCGGCTGAAGATGATGGGTTCGTGAGTTCCAGCGATAGCAACAACTATGGAATCTAAAGAAGATTTGACCGTGCTCCCATTTTCAGCAAACAGTGCTCTGCCTTTACAGTTTTAACATTTTCAGCAAATGTTGCCGCTGTTAGGTGGTTGCCAGGCTTAACAACTTTTTTTTATGCGCTCTCAACGGCATCATATGGCTTGGCATTCCAAATCCCCTGTTTTGATTGGGGCTTTCCCATTACAAAAAAATAGTAATTATTAATATTATTTTGAAAGGATTTTTGTTTTGCTGACACATCTTTTGAAAGGAAATTGAATATTGCACTGAAAGGGATAATAAATCATTTATCATAGGACACGATGATGAACTGAAAGCCATGCCAAACGATAATGGTGCTTCTCCTTGTTGGTGCAAATATTCTGCAGAAGGAAATAAAAAGACAGTTTAATTTTAAGTTTTCAAAATGTCTTGGTTGCAAACTCATTGGTCCTGGAGTAAGTTTACAAAACATGTCAAGGAGTATATTTATGCCTCAGTAATTAGCGCACTGTGCAATTTACATGGCACAGCTATACAATGCATAAAACTTGTGGTTTACCTGGTAAATGGGACACGTCCCTTCATAACTGTGCACATAACCATATACTGCAATATCAACCTTGTACTTCTGCCACAGTTTCTGAAGGCTCTCAACTGATTCTAGGCAGTTCTCAATGAACTTGAAGTTAGATCATGTCAGCTCTCTCTCTCTCTCTCTCTCTCTCTCTCTCTCTCTCTCTTCATTCCACCCAGGTAAATTTAAAGAGGGACAAGGTCAATATAAAGTATGTCATTCGAAATCATCAATTCAAACTCACCACAACCTGATCTCATATATCAGTAAATTAAAGAGCACATTCAAGCTCTCTTCATGGCTCTACTGCTCTATTTCTTCTTCTATCTCTCGTGGCCATTTTCTCCCCGTATCTCTGAAAAATATCTGCCAAATCAACCAACCCGACCTCCCTCAGTTTTTTCCCCACCTCCTCAAACATCTCCACGCCTTCCTCATTTGAGTAGTAATGCAAAAACTTATTATAATCAAATCTAGGCACCTCAAGTCCTCTTTTGATCACTCTTTCCACATACTTGGTGGCTTCTAGTGACTTCCCTGCCTTAACCAGACCACCAACAAAAATGGTATCAAAATTCACAAGAGGATCCGATCCCTTCCTTCCTCTCTTTCCCAAATGTCCTTGCAATAACATGATATAAGTGTGCATGTTAGGCTCACACCCCTTTTTAATCATCTCCCTAAACACTTCTGTTGCTTCACGCAATTTTCTTAACCTTAAAAGGCCCTTGATCATCCCATGGAACACGTTAATATCCGGTTTTTCAATCCCTTCCACAATCTTATATGCCACTCTAACTCTACCTCTTGCTAAAAGGCCATAAACCAGTGAAGCCAATGTGGAATTATCTGCTTCGATCCTTCTCTTTTGCATTTCCTCGAACACCACATGAGCTTCCTCAATCTTCCCCCTTTTACACATCCACTCAATCACAAGCCTATAAGTTGAAAGACCCAAATCATCCATCCTATTCACCCTCATCATCTGAAAAACCTTCAATGCCTCACCGTATCGATTCGTCTTGAAAAGGGTTTCCATCATTTTCTCAATGGCACCAATATCCGGGTCAAACCCTTCATCCACCATCAAATTCCAAATCTTTGAAGCCTCAATCAAATCACCCACATCACAAAACCCTTCAATCAAACACCTGTACGTAACCCCATTAGGCCCAATCGACTCCTTCAACTTAAAAACTATGAACTTGGCCTCAGCAACAAGCTTAGACCCACAAAGACTCTCAACCACCTTATTCAAAGTCTCCAAACTATAATCAAACCCATACCCATTCATGACATGAAAAAATTCAACACACTTGTTCAACTCCCTGGCCTTGGCCAAGGTCTTTAAAGCAATAAGAAAAGTCTTATCATTCACCAAACGGCGTCGTCCCATTTCATGGAGCATGTCCCAGAGGAGCTGGATGTTCCTGGCCTTGCCGATGACGTCAACCATTTTGTTGAACGAGACGGTGGTGTGAGTGAAATTGGGGTGGGTTTGGGTGTAGAGGAAGAAGAGATAGACGGGCCGCCATGAAAGAGGGAAACTGTTGCAGACCTGGAGGAAGAACTCATGAGTGAGTTGGAAGTTGGACGAGTTGAGGTTTGAGTGGAGGCGTGACTCGGGCGAGTTCTGCTGCTGGTAGAGGATGGTGCAGACTCGGAGGAGGTGGGCTGGGTTCACTGGGGATGAGTATGGGGATGGGGTGGCGAGTTGCGTCTGAGTTGACTCGGTTGTAATGAAGCGAAAGAGGTTTATGAGGGGTTTTGTGAGGCTGCTGCTTCTTTGTCTGATCATCTCTACGATTTTGGCTCTATTTTCGACCAGGTTTTGCCGCGTCTGACTATATCACTTTTTGACCCAAAAAAAAAATACAAATTTATAAATAAACTCAATTCTAGACATGTATTTATAAAAAAACTCAAGTACTATTTAAAAATAGAAATACATCCAAAACCAACCTCAAAATCAACAATTGTATATTTTTTGGATGTGTTTATAAATGGGTTTTGATTGTGTGTAATGATGGATTTTGGGTGTTGAATTTTTTTATAATTTTAACCCCCATTTTGGGTGTTTTAGTGAAACTCCCAAAAAAAAATAGGGAAATGACCCCCAAAAAAAAAAAAAAAAAAAAAAAAAAAAAAAAAAAAAAAAAAAAAAAAAAAAAAAAAAAAAAAAAAAAAAAAAAAAAAAAAAAAAAAAAAAAAAAAAAAAAAAAAAAAAAAAAAAAAAAAAAAAAAAAAAAAAAAAAAAAAAAAAAAAAAAAAAAAAAAAAAAAAAAAAAAAAAAAAAAAAAAAAAAAAAAAAAAAAAAAAAAAAAAAAAAAAAAAAAAAAAAAAAAAAAAAAAAAAAAAAAAAAAAAAAAAAAAAAAAAAAAAAAAAAAAAAAAAAAAAAAAAAAAAAAAAAAAAAAAAAAAAAAAAAAAAAAAAAAAAAAAAAAAAAAAAAAAAAAAAAAAAAAAAAAAAAAAAAAAAAAAAAAAAAAAAAAAAAAAAAAAAAAAAGCGATCGGTAGGTCTGGTGCCGAAGGTGAGTGCCGAAGGCAAACGTAGCCCTAGATTGGTCCACGTGCTTGGTATTCATTGGCTGTTCATTTTGGTATAAACACAATTAAAAATTTCTCCTTATCTAAGTTAGAGAGAGAGAGAGAGTTGAGGTGTGTATCCATCAAATGGGTTCAAATTAATTTAACCTTTTTCAGACCTAATTCATACGTATTTGCTGCTTTTTCACTCTTTGTTTTTCTGGAGTCTGCTTGCTGGTGGCAGCAGATGGGTTTCATTTTGTAGCTTTCCTCTCTCTCTCTCTCTCTCTCTCTCTCATTCTCCCATGCCGCCGCCGTCTCTCTATTTGATCCCGACACCGCCCAAATCCGACATACGCACTGCCCAGATCCACCAGGCCATGCCCCTCTCTCCCATTCTCCCATGCCGCCGCCGTCTCTCTATTTGATCTCCCCACACCGCCCAAATCCGACATACGCACTGCCCAGATCCACCAGGCCATGCCCTCTCTCCCATTCTCCCATGCCGCCGCCGTCTCTCTATTTGATCCCCACGCCGCCCAAATCCGACATACGCACTGCCCAGATCCACCAGGCCATGCCCCTCTCTCCCATTCTCCCATGCCGCCGCCGTCTCTCTATTTGATCCCCACGCCGCCCAAATCCGACATACGCACTGCCCAAATCCACCAAGCCATGCCCACTACAAATACGAATCTTGGGGGGTTTTTTCTTCTATTTTAATTCAATTTAATGAAGTTTATGAATCAACTCTCTCTTTGCCCTGTGTATGTGAATAATGGGAAGATTGGATTTTGTTTTGCTGAGGAAGATGGGGGTTGGATTTTCATTGGCTGGAGATGACGAGGTGGCGAGGTTGCCCTAATATTGCGATCGGTAGGTCTGGTGCCGAAGGTGAGTGCCGAAGGCACACATAGCCCTAGTTTGGTCCACGTGCTTGGTATTCATTGGCTGTTCATTTTGGTATAAACACAATTAAAAATTTCTCCTTATCTAAGTTAGAGAGAGAGAGAGAGTTGAGGTGTGTATCCATCAAATGGGTTCAAATTAATTTAACCTTTTTCAGACCTATTCATACGTATTGGCTGCTTTTTCACTCTTTGTTTTTCTGGAGTCTGCTTGCTGGTGGCAGCAGATGGGTTTCATTTTGTAGCTTTCTCTCTCTCTCTCTCTCTCTCTCTCTCTCTCTCTCTCTCTCTCACTCTACCATGCCGCCGCCGTCTCTCTATTTGATCCCACACCGCCCAAATCCGACATACGCACTGCCCAGATCCACCAGGCCATGCCCCTCTCTCCCATTCTCCCATGCCGCCGCCGTCTCTCTATTTGATCCCCACGCCGCCCAAATCCGACATACGCACTGCCCAGATCCACCAGGCCATGCCCCTCTCCCATTCTCCCATGCCGCCGCCGTCTCTCTATTTGATCTCCCCACACCGCCCAAATCCGACATACGCACTGCCCAGATCCACCAGGCCATGCCCCTCTCTCCCATTCTCCCATGCCGCCGCCGTCTCTATTTGATCCCCACGCCGCCCAAATCCGACATACGCACTGCCCAGATCCACCAGGCCATGCCCCTCTCTCCCATTCTCCCATGCCGCCGCCGTCTCTCTATTTGATCCCCACGCCGCCCAAATCCGACATACGCACTGCCCAGATCCACCAAGCCATGCCCACTACAAATACGAATCTTGGGGGGTTTTTCTTCTATTTTAATTCAATTTAATGAAGTTTATGAATCAACTCTCTCTTTGCCCTGTGTATGTGAATAATGGGAAGATTGGATTTTGTTTTGCTGAGGAAGATGGGGGGTTGGATTTTCATTGGCTGGAGATGACGAGGTGGCGAGGTTGCCCTAATATTGCGATCGGTAGGTCTGGTGCCGAAGGTGAGTGCCGAAGGCACACATAGCCCTAGTTTGGTCCACGTGCTTGGTATTCATTCGCTGTTCATTTTGGTATAAACACAATTAAAAATTTCTCCTTATCTAAGTTAGAGAGAGAGAGAGAGTTGAGGTGTGTATCCATCAAATGGGTTCAAATTAATTTATCCTTTTTCAGACCTGATTCATACGTATTGGCTGCTTTTTCACTCTTTGTTTTTCTGGAGTCTGCTTGCTGGTGGCAGCAGATGGGTTTCATTTTGTAGCTTTCCTCTCTCTCTCTCTCTCTCTCTCTCTCTCTCTCTCTCTCTCTCACTCTACCATGCCGCCGCCGTCTCTCTATTTGATCCCACACCGCCCAAATCCGACATACGCACTGCCCAGATCCACCAGGCCATGCCCCTCTCTCCCATTCTCCCATGCCGCCGCCGTCTCTCTATTTGATCCCCACGCCGCCCAAATCCGACATACGCACTGCCCAGATCCACCAGGCCATGTCCCACTCTCCCATTCTCCCATGCCGCCGCCGTCTCTCTATTTGATCTCCCCACACCGCCCAAATCCGACATACGCACTGCCCAGATCCACCAGGCCATGCCCCTCTCTCCCATTCTCCCATGCCGCCGCCGTCTATTTGATCCCCACGCCGCCCAAATCCGACATACGCACTGCCCAGATCCACCAGGCCATGCCCCTCTCTCCCATTCTCCCATGCCGCCGCCGTCTCTCTATTTGATCCCCACGCCGCCCAAATCCGACATACGCACTGCCCAGATCCACCAAGCCATGCCCACTACAAATACGAATCTTGGGGGTTTTTCTTCTATTTTAATTCAATTTAATGAAGTTTATGAATCAACTCTCTCTTTGCCCTGTGTATGTGAATAATGGGAAGATTGGATTTTGTTTTGCTGAGGAAGATGGGGGTTGGATTTTCATTGGCTGGAGATGACGAGGTGGCGAGGTTGCCCTAATATTGCGATCGGTAGGTCTGGTGCCGAAGGTGAGTGCCGAAGGCACACGTAGCCCTAGTTTGGTCCACGTGCTTGGTATTCATTGGCTGTTCATTTTGGTATAAACACAATTAAAAATTTCTCCTTATCTAAGTTAGAGAGAGAGAGAGTTGAGGTGTGTATCCATCAAATGGGTTCAAATTAATTTAACCTTTTTCAGACCTAATTCATACGTATTGCTGCTTTTTCACTCTTTGTTTTTCTGGAGTCTGCTTGCTGGTGGCAGCAGATGGGTTTCATTTTGTAGCTTTCCTCTCTCTCTCTCTCTCTCTCTCTCTCTCTCTCTCTCTCTCTCTCTCATTCTCCCATGCCGCCGCCGTCTCTCTATTTGATCCCCACACCGCCCAAATCCGACATACGCACTGCCCAGATCCACCAGGCCATGCCCCTCTCTCCCATTCTCCCATGCCGCCGCCGTCTCTCTATTTGATCCCCACGCCGCCCAAATCCGACATACGCACTGCCCAGATCCACCAGGCCATGCCCCTCTCTCCCATTCTCCCATGCCGCCGCCGTCTCTCTATTTGATCTCCCCACACCGCCCAAATCCGACATACGCACTGCCCAGATCCACCAGGCCATGCCCCTCTCTCCCATTCTCCCATGCCGCCGCCGTCTCTCTATTTGATCCCCACGCCGCCCAAATCCGACATACGCACTGCCCAGATCCACCAGGCCATGCCCCTCTCTCCCATTCTCCCATGCCGCCGCCGTCTCTCTATTTGATCCCCACGCCGCCCAAATCCGACATACGCACTGCCCAGATCCACCAAGCCATGCCCACTACAAATACGAATCTTGGGGGGTTTTTCTTCTATTTTAATTCAATTTAATGAAGTTTATGAATCAACTCTCTCTTTGCCCTGTGTATGTGAATAATGGGAAGATTGGATTTTGTTTTGCTGAGGAAGATGGGGGTTGGATTTTCATTGGCTGGAGATGACGAGGTGGCGAGGTTGCCCTAATATTGCGATCGGTAGGTCTGGTGCCGAAGGTGAGTGCCGAAGGCACACGTAGCCCTAGTTTGGTCCACGTGCTTGGTATTCATTGGCTGTTCATTTTGGTATAAACACAAGTAAAAATTTCTCCTTATCTAAGTTAGAGAGAGAGAGAGTTGAGGTGTGTATCCATCAAATGGGTTCAAATTAATTTAACCTTTTTCAGACCTAATTCATACGTATTTGCTGCTTTTTCACTCTTTGTTTTTCTGGAGTCTGCTTGCTGGTGGCAGCAGATGGGTTTCATTTTGTAGCTTTCCTCTCTCTCTCTCTCTCTCTCCTCTCTCTCTCTCTCTCTCTCTCTCTCTCATTCTCCCATGCCGCCGTCGTCTCTCTATTTGATCCCTACACCGCCCAAATCCGACATACGCACTGCCCAGATCCACCAGGCCATGCCCCTCTCTCCCATTCTCCCATGCCGCCGCCGTCTCTCTATTTGATCCCCACGCCGCCCAAATCCGACATACGCACTGCCCAGATCCACCAGGCCATGCCCCTCTCTCCCATTCTCCCATGCCGCCGCCGTCTCTCTATTTGATCCCCACGCCGCCCAAATCCGACATACGCACTTCCCAGATCCACCAAGCCATGCCCACTACAAATACGAATCTTGGGGGGTTTTTCTTCTATTTTAATTCAATTTAATGAAGTTTATGAATCAACTCTCTCTTTGCCCTGTGTATGTGAATAATGGGAAGATTGGATTTTGTTTTGCTGAGGAAGATGGGGGTTGGATTTTCATTGGTTGGAGATGACGAGGTGGCGAGGTTGCCCTAATATTGCGATCGGTAGGTCTGGTGCCGAAGGTGAGTGCCGAAGGCACACGTAGCCCTAGTTTGGTCCACGTGCTTGGTATTCATTGGCTGTTCATTTTGGTATAAACACAATTAAAAATTTCTCCTTATCTAAGTTAGAGAGAGAGAGAGAGTTGAGGTGTGTATCCATCAAATGGGTTCAAATTAATTTAACCTTTTTCAGACCTAATTCATACGTATTTGCTGCTTTTTCACTCTTTGTTTTCCTGGAGTCTGCTTGCTGGTGGCAGCAGATGGGTTTCATTTTGTAGCTTTCCTCTCTCTCTCTCTCTCTCTCTCTCTCTCTCTCTCTCTCTCTCTCTCTCTCTCTCCTCATTCTCCCATGCCGCCGCCGTCTCTCTATTTGATCCCTACACCGCCCAAATCCGACATACGCACTGCCCAGATCCACCAGGCCATGCCCCTCTCTCCCATTCTCCCATGCCGCCGCCGTCTCTCTATTTGATCCCCACGCCGCCCAAATCCGACATACGCACTGCCCAGATCCACCAGGCCATGCCCCTCTCTCCCATTCTCCCATGCCGCCGCCGTCTCTTTATTTGATCTCCCCACACCGCCCAAATCCGACATACGCATTGCCCAGATCCACCAGGCCATGCCCCTCTCTCCCATTCTCCCATGCCGCCGCCGTCTCTCTATTTGATCCCCACGCCGCCCAAATCCGACATACGCACTGCCCAGATCCACCAGGCCATGCCCCTCTCTCCCATTCTCCCATGCCGCCGCCGTCTCTCTATTTGATCCCCACGCCGCCCAAATCCGACATACGCACTGCCCAGATCCACCAGGCCATGCCCCTCTCTCCATTCTCCCATGCCGCCGCCGTCTCTCTATTTGATCCCCACGCCGCCCAAATCCGACATACGCACTGCCCAGATCCACCAAGCCCATGCCCACTACAAATACGAATCTTGGGGGGTTTTTCTTCTATTTTAATTCAATTTAATGAAGTTTATGAATCAACTCTCTCTTTGCCCTGTGTATGTGAATAATGGGAAGATTGGATTTTGTTTTGCTGAGGAAGATGGGGGTTGGATTTTCATTGGCTGGAGATGACGAGGTGGCGAGGTTGCCCTAATATTGCGATCGGTAGGTCTGGTGCCGAAGGTGAGTGCCGAAGGCACACGTAGCCCTAGTTTGGTCCACGTGCTTGGTATTCATTGGCTGTTCATTTTGGTATAAACACAAGTAAAAATTTCTCCTTATCTAAGTTAGAGAGAGAGAGAGAGTTGAGGTGTGTATCCATCAAATGGGTTCAAATTAATTTAACCTTTTTCAGACCTAATTCATACGTATTTGCTGCTTTTTCACTCTTTGTTTTTCTGGAGTCTGCTTGCTGGTGGCAGCAGATGGGTTTCATTTTGTAGCTTTCCTCTCTCTCTCTCTCTCTCTCTCTCTCTCTCTCTCTCTCTCTCTCTCTCTCATTCTCCCATGCCGCCGCCGTCTCTCTATTTGATCCCTACACCGCCCAAATCCGACATACGCACTGCCCAGATCCACCAGGCCATGCCCCTCTCTCCCATTCTCCCATGCCGCCGCCGTCTCTCTATTTGATCCCCACGCCGCCCAAATCCGACATACGCACTGCCCAGATCCACCAGGCCATGCCCCTCTCTCCCATTCTCCCATGCCGCCGCCGTCTCTCTATTTGATCTCCCCACACCGCCCAAATCCGACATACGCACTGCCCAGATCCACCAGGCCATGCCCCTCTCTCCCATTCTCCCATGCCGCCGCCGTCTCTCTATTTGATCCCCACGCCGCCCAAATCCGACATACGCACTGCCCAGATCCACCAGGCCATGCCCCTCTCTCCCATTCTCCCATGCCGCCGCCGTCTCTCTATTTGATCCCCACGCCGCCCAAATCCGACATACGCACTGCCCAGATCCACCAAGCCATGCCCACTACAAATACGAATCTTGGGGGGTTTTTCTTCTATTTTAATTCAATTTAATGAAGTTTATGAATCAACTCTCTCTTTGCCCTGTGTATGTGAATAATGGGAAGATTGGATTTTGTTTTGCTGAGGAAGATGGGGGTTGGATTTTCATTGGCTGGAGATGACGAGGTGGCGAGGTTGCCCTAATATTGCGATCGGTAGGTCTGGTGCCGAAGGTGAGTGCCGAAGGCACACGTAGCCCTAGTTTGGTCCACGTGCTTGGTATTCATTGGCTGTTCATTTTGGTATAAACACAATTAAAAATTTCTCCTTATCTAAGTTAGAGAGAGAGAGAGAGTTGAGGTGTGTATCCATCAAATGGGTTCAAATTAATTTAACCTTTTTCAGACCTAATTCATACGTATTGCTGCTTTTTCACTCTTTGTTTTTCTGGAGTCTGCTTGCTGGTGGCAGCAGATGGGTTTCATTTTGTAGCTTTCCTCTCTCTCTCTCTCTCTCTCTCTCTCTCTCTCTCTCTCTCTCTCTCATTCTCCCATGCCGCCGCCGTCTCTCTATTTGATCCCCACACCGCCCAAATCCGACATACGCACTGCCCAGATCCACCAGGCCATGCCCCTCTCTCCCATTCTCCCATGCCGCCGCCGTCTCTCTATTTGATCCCCACGCCGCCCAAATCCGACATACGCACTGCCCAGATCCACCAGGCCATGCCCCTCTCTCCCATTCTCCCATGCCGCCGCCGTCTCTCTATTTGATCTCCCCACACCGCCCAAATCCGACATACGCACTGCCCAGATCCACCAGGCCATGCCCCTCTCTCCCATTCTCCCATGCCGCCGCCGTCTCTCTATTTGATCCCCACGCCGCCCAAATCCGACATACGCACTGCCCAGATCCACCAGGCCATGCCCCTCTCTCCCATTCTCCCATGCCGCCGCCGTCTCTCTATTTGATCCCCACGCCGCCCAAATCCGACATACGCACTGCCCAGATCCACCAAGCCATGCCCACTACAAATACGAATCTTGGGGGGTTTTTCTTCTATTTTAATTCAATTTAATGAAGTTTATGAATCAACTCTCTCTTTGCCCTGTGTATGTGAATAATGGGAAGATTGGATTTTGTTTTGCTGAGGAAGATGGGGGTTGGATTTTCATTGGCTGGAGATGACGAGGTGGCGAGGTTGCCCTAATATTGCGATCGGTAGGTCTGGTGCCGAAGGTGAGTGCCGAAGGCACACGTAGCCCTAGTTTGGTCCACGTGCTTGGTATTCATTGGCTGTTCATTTTGGTATAAACACAATTAAAAATTTCTCCTTATCTAAGTTAGAGAGAGAGAGAGTTGAGGTGTGTATCCATCAAATGGGTTCAAATTAATTTAACCTTTTTCAGACCTAATTCATACGTATTTGCTGCTTTTTCACTCTTTGTTTTTCTGGAGTCTGCTTGCTGGTGGCAGCAGATGGGTTTCATTTTGTAGCTTTCCTCTCTCTCTCTCTCTCTCTCTCTCTCTCTCTCTCTCTCTCATTCTCCCATGCCGCCGCCGTCTCTCTATTTGATCCCCACACCGCCCAAATCCGACATACGCACTGCCCAGATCCACCAGGCCATGCCCCTCTCTCCCATTCTCCCATGCCGCCGCCGTCTCTCTATTTGATCCCCACGCCGCCCAAATCCGACATACGCACTGCCCAGATCCACCAGGCCATGCCCCTCTCTCCCATTCTCCCATGCCGCCGCCGTCTCTCTATTTGATCTCCCCACACCGCCCAAATCCGACATACGCACTGCCCAGATCCACCAGGCCATGCCCCTCTCTCCCATTCTCCCATGCCGCCGCCGTCTCTCTATTTGATCCCCACGCCGCCCAAATCCGACATACGCACTGCCCAGATCCACCAGGCCATGCCCCTCTCTCCCATTCTCCCATGCCGCCGCCGTCTCTCTATTTGATCCCCACGCCGCCCAAATCCGACATACGCACTGCCCAGATCCACCAAGCCATGCCCACTACAAATACGAATCTTGGGGGGTTTTTCTTCTATTTTAATTCAATTTAATGAAGTTTATGAATCAACTCTCTCTTTGCCCTGTGTATGTGAATAATGGGAAGATTGGATTTTGTTTTGCTGAGGAAGATGGGGGTTGGATTTTCATTGGCTGGAGATGACGAGGTGGCGAGGTTGCCCTAATATTGCGATCGGTAGGTCTGGTGCCGAAGGTGAGTGCCGAAGGCACACGTAGCCCTAGTTTGGTCCACGTGCTTGGTATTCATTGGCTGTTCATTTTGGTATAAACACAATTAAAAATTTCTCCTTATCTAAGTTAGAGAGAGAGAGAGTTGAGGTGTGTATCCATCAAATGGGTTCAAATTAATTTAACCTTTTTCAGACCTAATTCATACGTATTTGCTGCTTTTTCACTCTTTGTTTTTCTGGAGTCTGCTTGCTGGTGGCAGCAGATGGGTTTCATTTTGTAGCTTTCCTCTCTCTCTCTCTCTCTCTCTCTCTCTCTCTCTCTCTCTCTCTCTCATTCTCCCATGCCGCCGTCGTCTCTCTATTTGATCCCTACACCGCCCAAATCCGACATACGCACTGCCCAGATCCACCAGGCCATGCCCCTCTCTCCCATTCTCCCATGCCGCCGCCGTCTCTCTATTTGATCCCCACGCCGCCCAAATCCGACATACGCACTGCCCAGATCCACCAGGCCATGCCCCTCTCTCCCATTCTCCCATGCCGCCGCCGTCTCTCTATTTGATCCCCACGCTGCCCAAATCCGACATACGCACTTCCCAGATCCACCAAGCCATGCCCACTACAAATACGATTCTTGGGGGGTTTTTCTTCTATTTTAATTCAATTTAATGAAGTTTATGAATCAACTCTCTCTTTGCCCTGTGTATGTGAATAATGGGAAGATTGGATTTTGTTTTGCTGAGGAAGATGGGGGTTGGATTTTCATTGGTTGGAGATGACGAGGTGGCGAGGTTGCCCTAATATTGCGATCGGTAGGTCTGGTGCCGAAGGTGAGTACCGAAGGCACACGTAGCCCTAGTTTGGTCCACGTGCTTGGTATTCATTGGCTGTTCATTTTGGTATAAACACAATTAAAAATTTCTCCTTATCTAAGTTAGAGAGAGAGAGAGAGTTGAGGTGTGTATCCATCAAATGGGTTCAAATTAATTTAACCTTTTTCAGACCTAATTCATACGTATTTGCTGCTTTTTCACTCTTTGTTTTCCTGGAGTCTGCTTGCTGGTGGCAGCAGATGGGTTTCATTTTGTAGCTTTCCTCTCTCTCTCTCTCTCTCTCTCTCTCTCCTCTCTCTCTCTCTCATTCTCCCATGCCGCCGCCGTCTCTCTATTTGATCCCCACACCGCCCAAATCCGACATACGCACTGCCCAGATCCACCAGGCCATGCCCCTCTCTCCCATTCTCCCATGCCGCCGCCGTCTCTCTATTTGATCCCCACGCCGCCCAAATCCGACATACGCACTGCCCAGATCCACCAGGCCATGCCCCTCTCTCCCATTCTCCCATGCCGCCGCCGTCTCTCTATTTGATCTCCCCACACCGCCCAAATCCGACATACGCACTGCCCAGATCCACCAGGCCATGCCCCTCTCTCCCATTCTCCCATGCCGCCGCCGTCTCTCTATTTGATCCCCACGCCGCCCAAATCCGACATACGCACTGCCCAGATCCACCAGGCCATGCCCCTCTCTCCCATTCTCCCATGCCGCCGCCGTCTCTCTATTTGATCCCCACGCCGCCCAAATCCGACATACGCACTGCCCAGATCCACCAGGCCATGCCCCTCTCTCCCATTCTCCCATGCCGCCGCCGTCTCTCTATTTGATCCCCACGCCGCCCAAATCCGACATACGCACTGCCCAGATCCACCAAGCCATGCCCACTACAAATACGAATCTTGGGGGGTTTTTCTTCTATTTTAATTCAATTTAATGAAGTTTATGAATCAACTCTCTCTTTGCCCTGTGTATGTGAATAATGGGAAGATTGGATTTTGTTTTGCTGAGGAAGATGGGGGTTGGATTTTCATTGGCTGGAGATGACGAGGTGGCGAGGTTGCCCTAATATTGCGATCGGTAGGTCTGGTGCCGAAGGTGAGTGCCGAAGGCACACGTAGCCCTAGTTTGGTCCACGTGCTTGGTATTCATTGGCTGTTCATTTTGGTATAAACACAATTAAAAATTTCTCCTTATCTAAGTTAGAGAGAGAGAGAGAGTTGAGGTGTGTATCCATCAAATGGGTTCAAATTAATTTAACCTTTTTCAGACCTAATTCATACGTATTTGCTGCTTTTTCACTCTTTGTTTTTCTGGAGTCTGCTTGCTGGTGGCAGCAGATGGGTTTCATTTTGTAGCTTTCCTCTCTCTCTCTCTCTCTCTATCTCTCTCTCTCTCTCTCTCTCTCTCTCATTCTCCCATGCCGCCGCCGTCTCTCTATTTGATCCCTACACCGCCCAAATCCGACATACGCACTGCCCAGATCCACCAGGCCATGCCCCTCTCTCCCATTCTCCCATGCCGCCGCCGTCTCTCTATTTGATCCCCACGCCGCCCAAATCCGACATACGCACTGCCCAGATCAACCAGGCCATGCCCCTCTCTCCCATTCTCCCATGCCGCCGCCGTCTCTCTATTTGATCTCCCCATACCGCCCAATTCCGACATACGCACTGCCCAGATCCACCAGGCCATGCCCCTCTCTCCCATTCTCCCATGCCGCCGCCGTCTCTCTATTTGATCCCCACGCCGCCCAAATCCGACATACGCACTGCCCAGATCCACCAGGCCATGCCCCTCTCTCCCATTCTCCCATGCCGCCGCCGTCTCTCTATTTGATCCCCACGCCGCCCAAATCCGACATACGCACTGCCCAGATCCACCAAGCCATGCCCACTACAAATACGAATCTTGGGGGGTTTTTTCTTCTATTTTAATTCAATTTAATGAAGTTTATGAATCAACTCTCTCTTTGCCCTGTGTATGTGAATAATGGGAAGATTGGATTTTGTTTTGCTGAGGAAGATGGGGGTTGGATTTTCATTGGCTGGAGATGACGAGGTGGCGAGGTTGCCCTAATATTGCGATCGGTAGGTCTGGTGCCGAAGGTGAGTGCCGAAGGCACACGTAGCCCTAGTTTGGTCCACGTGCTTGGTATTCATTGGCTGTTCATTTTGGTATAAACACAAGTAAAAATTTCTCCTTATCTAAGTTAGAGAGAGAGAGAGTTGAGGTGTGTATCCATCAAATGGGTTCAAATTAATTTAACCTTTTTCAGACCTAATTCATACGTATTTGCTGCTTTTTCACTCTTTGTTTTTCTGGAGTCTGCTTGCTGGTGGCAGCAGATGGGTTTCATTTTGTAGCTTTCCTCTCTCTCTCTCTCTCTCTCTCTCTCTCTCTCTCTCTCTCTCTCTCTCATTCTCCCATGCCGCCGCCGTCTCTCTATTTGATCCCCACACCGCCCAAATCCGACATACGCACTGCCCAGATCCACCAGGCCATGCCCCTCTCTCCCATTCTCCCATGCCGCCGCCGTCTCTCTATTTGATCCCCACACCGCCCAAATCCGACATACGCACTGCCCAGATCCACCAGGCCATGCCCCTCTCTCCCATTCTCCCATGCCGCCGCCGTCTCTCTATTTGATCTCCCCACACCGCCCAAATCCGACATACGCACTGCCCAGATCCACCAGGCCATGCCCCTCTCTCCCATTCTCCCATGCCGCCGCCGTCTCTCTATTTGATCCCCACGCCGCCCAAATCCGACATACGCACTGCCCAGATCCACCAGGCCATGCCCCTCTCTCCCATTCTCCCATGCCGCCGCCGTCTCTCTATTTGATCCCCACGCCGCCCAAATCCGACATACGCACTGCCCAGATCCACCAAGCCATGCCCACTACAAATACGAATCTTGGGGGGTTTTTCTTCTATTTTAATTCAATTTAATGAAGTTTATGAATCAACTCTCTCTTTGCCCTGTGTATGTGAATAATGGGAAGATTGGATTTTGTTTTGCTGAGGAAGATGGGGGTTGGATTTTCATTGGCTGGAGATGACGAGGTGGCGAGGTTGCCCTAATATTGCGATCGGTAGGTCTGGTGCCGAAGGTGAGTGCCGAAGGCACACGTAGCCCTAGTTTGGTCCACGTGCTTGGTATTCATTGGCTGTTCATTTTGGTATAAACACAAGTAAAAATTTCTCCTTATCTAAGTTAGAGAGAGAGAGAGTTGAGGTGTGTATCCATCAAATGGGTTCAAATTAATTTAACCTTTTTCAGACCTAATTCATACGTATTTGCTGCTTTTTCACTCTTTGTTTTTCTGGAGTCTGCTTGCTGGTGGCAGCAGATGGGTTTCATTTTGTAGCTTTCCTCTCTCTCTCTCTCTCTCTCTCTCTCTCTCTCTCTCTCTCTCTCTCTCTCTCATTCTCCCATGCCGCCGCCGTCTCTCTATTTGATCCCTACACCGCCCAAATCCGACATACGCACTGCCCAGATCCACCAGGCCATGCCCCTCTCTCCCATTCTCCCATGCCGCCGCCGTCTCTCTATTTGATCCCCACGCCGCCCAAATCCGACATACGCACTGCCCAGATCCACCAGGCCATGCCCCTCTCTCCCATTCTCCCATGCCGCCGCCGTCTCTCTATTTGATCTCCCCACACCGCCCAAATCCGACATACGCACTGCCCAGATCCACCAGGCCATGCCCCTCTCTCCCATTCTCCCATGCCGCCGCCGTCTCTCTATTTGATCCCCACGCCGCCCAAATCCGACATACGCACTGCCCAGATCCACCAGGCCATGCCCCTCTCCCATTCTCCCATGCCGCCGCCGTCTCTCTATTTGATCCCCACGCCGCCCAAATCCGACATACGCACTGCCCAGATCCACCAAGCCATGCCCACTACAAATACGAATCTTGGGGGGTTTTTCTTCTATTTTAATTCAATTTAATGAAGTTTATGAATCAACTCTCTCTTTGCCCTGTGTATGTGAATAATGGGAATATTGGATTTTGTTTTGCTGAGGAAGATGGGGGTTGGATTTTCATTGGCTGGAGATGACGAGGTGGGGAAGCTGGGGATTGAATTTTTTGTGGTTGGAGTGAGGAAGAAGAAGAATTGATATGCAGGGAGAGAGAGGAAGAAGAACCCCACCCTACCCCGATATCACCACACCCAACCCCTTCCTCCACGCCAGCCCCGCACGACGAACCCCACCCAGCCCAACCACCACCCTTGTTTACGTTTTCTTCTATGCATTTGTGGAGTGAGGAAGAAGAAGAGAGAAGAATTGAAGTTTTCTTAGATCCCAAATCTAGGGTTTTTCGATCAAATTCAATTTTTTTTGCAGCTCTTCTTATTTTTAACGCTGCTTATTTTTTAATCACCACAATCCCAAACGCACCCTGAGGCCTCCCAAACCATAGCATCATCTGAAGACCATCTCCTCCAGGTCGCCATCTCTTCCGAGGTATTCTTCCACATCTCTCGATACCCATTTGACTGCTTTTTCATATAATTTGATTCTTGAAAAAGACTCTGTTATCTTTAAAAAGATTATTTTTTTTGCTTATTTGAAGAATTTAGGGCTTCCCTCTTTTCTGTTGAAATCTGTATAGGGTTCTTGATTTGTATGCACTATTTCTGTTTGTAAGTTGAGATCTGTATAGGTTCTTGATCTGTATGCACTCTTTCTGTTTGTAAGGTGTATCATGAGACATCCTGACAAAAATCCTGGTCTTGATCTGTATGCATTCTTTCTGTTTGTATGCACTCTTTCTGTTTGATCTGTTTCTTGATTACAAAAATCCTCCACAAGCCAATTCGTTTACGTATGCCTTATCTTTCACATCTAAATCCAATCCGAGCTTGAGAATCATGTGGGTCCTTTGATAAATCCACAATGTAGAGTTTGATTTTTAGCACAGAAGGATTGCTCTCTTTCCTCAAGTGCCTGGTGTCCTCCAAATCTAGGTCTAACACCGTTTTCTACGAAGCGAAGAGGCAGCTAAGGCTCATGATCAGTTCTCCTGTGTATTTTCTTAGGCCGTGTAAATGAAGTCTGCATCATCTTCTATACATTGGAATCGCATGTGGTAATTATTCATTGGTGATTGTTATTTTTTCAAAGTGTTCTTCGGTAGCAGTCCCCCTCACAAAAGCTAATATTATACCGGCTTTTTCCATCATTTCACCAAATCCAATCAAACGTGTTTAACGCTTGTCAAACACCATCCCACATAATATTTAGGGGATTCCAATCAAATTTCTTGCCCTTTCGAACATCTTCCCTATCTACCAATTCGAGATCCAATCTCTATAAATTAGGAAGGTGTGCGAGCAAGTATAGCATGAACAACCAACCAGAAGAATATGCTAAAAGCTACTGAAAAAAGTGACTAAAAATTCAACTGCATCTTCATAAGCTACAGCTTGATAGAGGACAAGAAGTGTTACCTTGCTGCTGGAAACTTCTATGAAGTTGAAATCGATGCCCTACAACTAGATGTTCTTGATATAGAAAAATTGGTTTTTGCGAAGTTTAAGATTGGAAACTTCAAGCATCTTCGAGAAGTAAGGCTTCAAAGTGGCTTCTACGAAGCGAATAGGCAACTAGGAAAAGTGGGAGAACCTCTCGTTCTTTTGCGAGAAGTATTTTCTACGATTAACAAAGCGTCAATATCTACTAGCTGCTTGGTTGTCGGATGGAGTCACGGTAGCACTTGTCTATGTACGACCCGTGACATTCTCCCCCACTGATAGTGTTGACGTCCTCGTCGACATGCCCACTGCACTGTTGCATAACAACACCATATAGGAATATCCTCTTCTCTTCGCTCCAACGACCACAAAGCACCACTGCCTTAACCCTTTCCAACTTATCTTTCAAAGTTGTATTCCTTTCCCTCTTTTGGGCCGAGACCTCTATCCTGTCGCACTCAACCATTGAACAATCACATGGCCCGCTGGTCAAGTACTTCTGCATTTCCACATTTAAAGAGATGCACCCCGCCTGGGCGTGACTCGAAAGCCAACCATGTGTCCTCCATAGCACCTCCATTTGTTTGTGCTCCTGCATTGCCATACTTCCAAGGCGTTCGAGGTTCTCCCCTACTTATCTCGTCGGCATACCTTCACCTCAAGGTGCCTCCATAGCAAAGTTCCACAACACTTAGGCCATCACAATTCACCAAGGTTAGACATCATCCCTACTACGAGTATAACCACCTGACTACCAACACCCCAAACTCGGACTTGGCAGAACCACTTCTATAGCATCCACATGGGAACAAGTAAGATGTCAACACCCAAGTTACTCCAACACTGTCTGCCATCAAGTGCGGACAAACTCCATGTCCTTAGAAACCATGCTCACAAGTGAGACTCCGGGATCCACCTCTTTGGAACACTTCCTCGTTCCGAAAATCTGTTAGCAACCTTGTGTCAAACATTGTGCCTCACCCACCCGTTCTCAACAAATGTAAGAGCAACCACTTAAGTGACTCCTTCATTAAAGCCTAGCCCGTCAGCAACTTACTCCCCCAATGGAGCCTAGCCCGTCAGCGACTTACTCCCTTCGAAGACTGCACCATTTCGGTCTTGAGCTCCCACAACCTTTCCCCGAATAAAGGCCTTGCACCATCCGTTCAACACTCATCACCAACCGACTTCAACACAACTGTTTATGGCATGCGATGGTTTGAGTATTGCTAGTCTTCAACACTCTCACCAAGTTCCGCTACCATTGTCTTCAATGTAATTTGTGGGTCTCCCCCACTTAACTCGTCGATGCACCCTCACGTCAACGTACCTCCGAAGCAAACCTCTACAACACTTTAGGCCTTCGCAACTCACCAAGGTTCAATGTCATCCCTACTACGAGTAGAACCACCTAACCAACGCCTAAACTCGAACTTGGTAGAACTTACTTCCGTAGCATCCCCAAGGGAACAAGTAAGACATCCTCCCTCAAGTTACTCCATCTTCGGCCTGCCACAAAGTGCGGATGTACTGTGTCCTTAGCCACCATCCTCACAAAGAAAGACTCTGGGATCCACCTTTGGAACACTCCAGCATTCCAAATATTAGCTCGCAACCTTGTGTCAAACATTATGCTTCACCCCCACGTTCTCCACAGTTGCAAGAGCAACCACTTGAGCGACTTTTTTTTTAAAGCCTAGTCCTTCAGCAACTTACTCCCTCAATGAAGCCTAGTTCGTCAGCAACTTACTTCCTTCAAAGACAGCCCCCTTTCGGTCTTCCGCCCTCACAAATCTTCCCTGAACAAGGGTTTTCGCACTGTCTACTCAACACTTGTTGCCAACAAAGTTTACCACAACCTTCAATGGTATATCATGGTTTGAGTGCTAGTCAATTTTCAACACTCTCACCAAACTCGTGCTCCCATCCTCCCCACATCATGAACTAAACGAGCAACATCACTTCATCACAAGTCAGAACCTATGCCTACTCGACTTTCGGGCGCTTGGTGCACGGATTAGAAAACTAGGCAACCGAGCAGCAAAACCAACCTTCATCCCACATCTTAGAGTCATCCTGCTTGATGTCTTCTCAAAACTTCAAGGCAATCTTTTTGGATAACTTCACCCTTCCATAGGATCTAGCACCAAGACGGGTTTCCAACAACCGTCACACAACTTAATTCCAACAGTCATCTACAGTGACGTTGGGTTCTTCATCCAACTTCGCAAGTCCACTACCCATCACAGGCAATGACCTGCTTCCTTGCTATCAAAGTTTCTCCATCACCAATCTCTTCTAGGTACGAATCCCTCAAACAGAAACCACCATCTGAATCGATCGGCTCTAATACCACTTGTCACGGGATGAGCGAATGGCGCGGCGTGGCGGAAGCGAAACACAAATTTCGCCACTCAAAGCACACCCGTGAGGCTCAGGATCCCTTCGGATCCCAGTCAGCCTTCTCTCACTTTATGATATTCATGACTCTCACAACTCCGCGAGAGGTTCCCCTTCAAGTGTCGTCTCCCACTAGACAACAAGTCACACTACCTTGTGACAATACAATCACTCCGTATCCGGCAACGAACCCTCGACGCCCATACATCAATCGTTGCATAAGACACGTCAACTGCATCGACCACGTCGCATGCTTAACTCCTGGCTCTCTTATGTCCAAGTCAAGACATAGCGATCCAACACACCATCGGTTTACCCACACTTCTGTCAGTCATTCCTTTAGCGTCCACGATAGTCCATATCCTCAAGCTATACAAGTAAGGTGTCATACTTGCATGTCGCCCAAGCCTTGGCAACATATGTCTTCCGAATGTCCCACATAACCATCTATGCATTGCATGGGGATGCAACACATGCGTACCGGCATCCGAATATCTTCCTTCCATCTTGGAAAAGGCTGAACCCAAACCAAATCCATCGAGTATTCTTAGCTTCTTCAGGGTCCTCGCGTAACCTTCAGAAATACCCAAAATACCCTTCATAAGTGCAACCCAGCCAACACCAACCATTCTAGCTTTTAAGCTCTCACCCTTGCACACTTAGACTACCTCTTAAGTGCATAGATGTCCCAACGGAGTCACGGTAGCACTTGTCTTTGTGCGACCCGTGACAAAAGGCAGAGATACTGTTTATTGATCAAAGGTATGTATTATCACATTGTAATTCTACTTGTAATGTTGTGTGTTGGAATGATAATTTTATGAGGGTCTAATTGATTCAGTTATTGTTTTGCTAGTATTACGACTGCAGCTGTACTTGCAGTTCTGTATACTGTTGCCAGCACTTTCCAACCGTTACCTCAAGACATTTATCGCTATGGTACTGATTTTTCCAACTCCTTTTTTACTTTATAGTAAGACAACAGAGACACAAACACACACACACACACACACAGAGGTGAGAAAGGGTTCATGTCATCCCGTTTTCTGGTAGTTGTCTCAATGAGATAACACTTTTTATGGCTTATATATGGACTGCGATTGATGCACAATACTGAATTAAGGATATTTAAATTGGCTAGTAGGTCATTATAACTACATGCTTTGTCATTAAGTAGATACAGACTTTTACCATATAGTCGCAAAATTTTGATTTGAAAGCTCATTATTGCCAGATTCTAGTTTGTTTAAGCCTATATCTAGACTGTGACCCATCGAGCTAATATTAGCTATTGCTGTTTCAGATTTGAAGGACCCTTTCAGTCTACAGAAGGGGTGGCTTTTGTGGGCAGAGATTGGTCTTACTGGTGCAATAGCTGCCATCGCAGTGACAGGGGCTGCAGCGTCCTTGTTCAAGGGGGAGAGCCTAGAGAGAGAGGTTTGAATTGATTCCTACCTATGATTTCTCTCTCGTTATAAAGTGCAGTGGACACAAATTCTATGATATTTCAGGATCAATTCCACCATGTAAGGAATCATATATGTGATTTTTATTAATTTTTACTTGGTTTCAGGAGGACGCTCTAGTTAGCTTATTTCCACTGATTGGATCTTCAAGTGTCAGGCACTTTACAAGGTCTTTTCATTTTTGTGCATGTTCTGGGAATTATAATATTCATAGGCTTAGGTGTTGAAACTTTTCAGCACTAGGACTTGAGGATTCAGCAAGTTGATTCAGCTGTTGTTAAATCTACATTGCAGCACTGCTTGCTTGTTGGGTGTCACTGGAGTTTTGGCTCCGATTCTTGAGGAAACTGTATTTCGGGGTTTTTTTTTATGTTCTCCATGACTCAGTGGTATTTTTCCATGTTTTCCCTTTTATGGAGTTGCATAATATGCCTACAATGATTGATTATTTCTCTCTACATTGCTCTAAACATGCATGGTAGCTTCCCTAAACTTCCCTACAATTATTTCGAAAGTTTTCTCAATAATTTCTGTCCATAGATTTTGTTTTCAATTTTCAGAAGTTTAAACTAGTGTGTTGGAAAGTGGAGGCTGGATTAACTAGTAATCTGCCACCCAGGTGACATTGTTTGGTTCACTCCTAAAATTGCTTTGCTTAATTAATTAGCCAGATTCACAAAATTCTACAAACAAGAGTGAAGCCTGAAGAAGTGTACAGAAATATATGGTAGAAGAAACTGTTTTTGTGGCACTTATGTAGTAAAAATAGTAGAATCATCCAAATATTTGATATAAGGTTTTGTTGAGTTGGCTAAGGATGGGATTAAAATTCCTTGGCTTTAGCTAGTTTTAGTATAGTTAGTTATGTTATTGGTGTCAACTGTTCATTCCTGGGTATCTAGCCCTTACAAGTCCTTTTTGCAGGGTACCTACTCCAGTTGCTATTGGAATAAGTGCAGTTGTATTTGCACTTGCACATCTCACTCCGGAAGAGTTTCCCAGTTGTTTGTGCTAGGTAACATGTTTACTTAAAAAAATTTAAAAACAAAAGTCTACATCACCTTCAACATACATTAATGTGGTTTAGATATCCTCGAGCACAATTTATCTCATGTACTATATGATCTATATAGGCTCTGCTGTGGGATTGTCATATGCTCAAACTCACAACCTTTTAACCCCCATCACAATAGATGCTCTCTGGAACTCAGGAGTGATATTGCTTCTGACCTTCCTTCATATAAACATGATGATGTCCGAGTATTGAAGTTATGACCATGTATAATCTTTCTCAACAATCATTTGTTTCAGTGTGGATTTACTAAAACCGATCCTGCTTGTTGTTTGTGACAACTACAAGGGTACAATATCAAGGAATTGTTGCAGACAACCTGATAGGAGTTGAGTTTCATTTTCATTGATGATACAGAGCATTTCCTAAGGGGTCCATAAAAGTTACAAGCATCTGTAAGTCTTGCAAGGATTACTTAAAAGTTGCCAAAGTTTAGAATTTTTATTTTTCTTTGGTTTTTTGTTTCTTGGTGGTGGTTACCCATATCCCACAGTCATGAGTTTGTATTAGAGACCTTGAACCTACTTTCGGCTCTAACAATGGAGACACGGAACATTGATTTGTATATTGTGAATTGAAGACAATAGTGAGGGGTTTATTGCATTCTTGGACTCTCGACAATATAATACTATTTAACTTATGAAGATTAGGGTTAGAATGGCTGAAAAGCTTAAGTAGCCGAGTATCTTTTAATTAGCCTATGAGTTGTTGACTAAGTTTCAACGAAGTACTACAAATTAAATAGAAATTGCCGAGGCCTGGTTTCATATGCACGTTTGAAATAAAGAACAAAAAGTATATATAATACATTAATTTAAACATTTTTAACTCTTTCAAAATTATTATTTTTTGTTGAACATAAGCGATAGTTTAAACTAAAGGGGAACACACACAACCAAAATGCCATGGAGTTCAAACCTAAGACGATGAGACCTCGCAAGTCAAGCCTTTTCAAAACCAGTTTCAAAAATGGCCTTAATTCACATAATAAGTGGACATTGTAATTATTAGATGAATAATAGTTATTATGAAGATTAGGCAGCCGCGTAATGGTTTGAAGTGAGTGTGGTTGGTAAAATTCATGACTTTGGTCCTTAGAATTGGCCCTTTTGCAATTTACATGGCAAAGAGAGTTACGAGTGAAATTGAAAAGCTTATTTTTTTTGTTTATTATTATTATTTATGTTCGAGTGGGAATTGACAAATGTTTCAGGGGGTACTGTAGCACTTAAGCCTTAAATAAATACTAGTACTTATCTTGGAAATTAAACTTTGCTTTGTCTTCATTTGCAATGGATAGACCGAAACTTCAATTATAAATATATAATATTTGAGAGAAATAATGAATAAAAAATGTGTTCATAATCCCTATACTATAAGCTGATGATATATACAGGGGTGGGGTGGTTCCTTAAGATTCCACAACTTGGATTAATAAAACAAACCCTAAATTGGGTTGATTAAAGGTTTTCTCTTGTGGGATTAGAAATTAAGCTCAATATACTGGGTCGGCCTACGGCTCGATATGGGCCGTGTTTGGCCCGAACCAGCTCCAAGCATGGCTCACTTAATTTATTTATTTTTGTTAAGGACCACTTTACATAAATCATCTCTTAGCTTCTTTCCCCTCTCAATATCTACATTTAAGGACTTTGATTTGGTGGCTTCTTCTTCCAACAAATCATAAATTTTCATATTAAATAAATCCTCAATTTTTTTGTCCCATATTAAATCTTCAATAAAAAAAAGGCTAACAAATCCTCAATTTTTAGTCCCCATATTACATATAAGAAAGGTATGAACATATTATAAATTTTTTGTTTAAATTTAATATGTTAACATGAGGACGCAGTGACCGGTCGTTTTTTAGCAAAGCGACGGGTCGCTTTGCACAAGGACTAACTCGTTGCTCTCGGGTTTGGGCGAACGGTCATTTCCAGAACTAACGACGGGTCCCTTCTGCTCCAGACTTCCTATTTCCGCATCCTTAAGCCAGCAAACCAATAGTGTGTGTCCTTATGCTACTCACGGCTTCTCCATTTATAGAGGAAGCAGCTCCATCTTCATTGTTTAATCCAACTCTGTCATGATGTCCATCACCAAGTGGATGTTTATTCCCATGTGCAGATAAAAGAAATCAAAAGAGAAAAAAAAAAAAAAAAAAAAAAAAAAAAAAAAAAAAAAAAAAAAAAAAAAAAAAAAAAAAAAAAAAAAAAAAAAAAAAAAAAAAAAAAAAAAAAAAAAAAAAAAAAAAAAAAAAAAAAAAAAAAAAAAAAAAAAAAAAAAAAAAAAAAAAAAAAAAAAAAAAAAAAAAAAAAAAAAAAAAAAAAAAAAAAAAAAAAAAAAAAAAAAAAAAAAAAAAAAAAAAAAAAAAAAAAAAAAAAAAAAAAAAAAAAAAAAAAAAAAAAAAAAAAAAAAAAAAAAAAAAAAAAAAAAAAAAAAAAAAAAAAAAAAAAAAAAAAAAAAAAAAAAAAAAAAAAAAAAAAAAAAAAAAAAAAAAAAAAAAAAAAAAAAAAAAAAAAAAAAAAAAAAACTCAGTGCCACCCCTTTGATAATTTTAACTAAAAATACCATCCCTTCCCAATTTTTTTATAACTATCAACTATAAATATAAAATTATTGTACCCTTATTGCTCTCCTAACACATTTTCTGAAATTTACCTCCCGCCCATCAGCTCTCCGTCGCTCAGTCTCTTCATCTTCACTCTCTGGTCACTCTGCTCTCACTCTCTCGTCTCTCAGCTCTAACTCTCTCATCTCTCGTCGCTCAGCTGTCACTCTCTCTTCTGTCTTCCTCTCCCAGCGAAATCTGTTCATCGAAGAACAACGCCATCATTCACAGCAAACAGGTACTGTTCATCGGAATTCTTTTACGGCTTAGGGTTTATGGGTTTGTTTGAAATTGGTTGACGGGGTTGTTTTGAAATTGGTTTAGGGTTTGGGGGTTTCTCTGAAATTGGTTTAGTGGGTTTTCTGAAATGGGTATAGGGTTTAGGGGTTTCACTAAAATTGGTTTTGCTTTAACTCTGTTTGCTAACTTAAGGGCTTGCATATTGGATATGGATAAGTTCTCTTTGTTTTTCATATTCTCTTGTGATTATTTGGAATTTCAGTTTGGGGATGAATATTCAATGTCTAAACAAAGGGCAAGGAACCATATGTGGTGTAATATGAGTTCTTTAAAAGTTTGCTGTTTTGTGCTTGATCATTGTATGCTTAAAACAAAGCGGGAAATGAGTGAAGATGGGAACATGCCACCAGCAGGTGTGGTTTAGAGAAATGGGGCCATGGATTTTGCTATAAGCTAACTCTTTAAGCTTTTGCTTGTCTTTTTTGTGTATGGATAGTTAGACAACTCTGTTTATGAGGTGAACTTTTAATTTTTTAATTGTACATGTGTAAGAAACATTTTTTACAGTTTTGATGGTTTATTTATTCATTTATCTTTGATATTGATAACACATACAATACATACAAACCTCTGATTTTGTTAAGGAAAAACTGAAGGGATGGTGCCAATTTCATTAATTTCCTTACATTTGAAAGGAGGGCATATTGGAGTCATGATTGTGGTTGCCACTAATTGATAGGATGTTCCATTACATTATACGTTGAAGTCAATAAATTGTTTCCTGATGTCTTCTTGTTGAATTGTTCTGAATTAGGCTTCTGCTACTGCACATTCCTATTGTAGCTTAAGCTGTCATGATTATCATGGTTGTCACTGCCTTCCATTAAATATCTTGACATTGCTGCTCACTGGACTTCTCTATAAGAACATGACTTGCAATTCTGAGCTTGCTTTTGTCAATTTAGAGTAGTTTAGAATATTACTTTTGTCAGAGAAAAAAAACATGGCCTTTCATTGGCCAACTGGTCCTATAATGAGAGTTTGTGTCATAGAAGAGCTGGTTTAAATACCAAATAATACATGTTTCGTTTTTTTGTTCTGTTTTTGGTATTTGTTTTGTTTCATTTTCTTTTATTTGAAAAAATGAAAATTAAGCAACCTTTAAACCAGTATTCTTTTTTGGTCAACCAAGGAATTAGAATTGTCAACTTCTCTTCTTTCCTGTATCCTGAAGTTTCAAAAGAAATACTCTGTTACTACATTGGTATTATTAAGCACCAACATCTCATGTAGCTTAAACTCTATGTGCTTGCTTTGTTTAGGAGCGTTATTATCTTGCTTTGAGGCTTTAATTCTTGTCACTTACAGGATTTATATGTACCTACTTTGCAGGAAAATCACTTGTTGGAATGGCAGAGGTTGAAGCAGCCATACAAGAAATGTTCCAGGCACCTCATATTCAAGTGAGTCAGATTATATCTTACAGTCATGATGAAAAATGATTTCTGTTGGTGAAACTTCTTTTATTTAAATGGTATGTTACATCTTAGAAGAGGTAATCAATACCCTTGAGTGAGGCATATGACGCAGTGATTACTACGTTAATATGCATTCCTAATATGAAATACATGAGATCCAGATAGCTACATAGTTTTTTGGTCGAGTAACAAAGATGAAAATGGTGTCAGTTGGAGTTTGCTAAATCTTATAAGTGCCATTCTTTAAAGGAGAGCATGGTGAAAAATGGCTTTCAGGACCCAAATTATCTGATGCTGGTTTAAAGTAGTGAATTTCTGCACTAGTAGCATTCAACTCCATACAACTTTAGCTGCATAAATTGTTATTGGGTTGAAAGGAAGTTTTATTTATCTATGTTGTATTTGGAAGAACAAAAAAAAATTAATAAAAATTCTCTCTACCTTCTTCAGAGATATATTAATGCTAATTCTTTTCTTTGTTTTTTCCTGGCAGGTGATGAAAACTTCTTCCAGGCTGAGTAAAATATTTTTGACTGCCATGGTTTATGAACTCTACAAAACAGGAATGGGGGAAACTACTTTTGAAAAGGTGAACTTCTCATGCTTTCCCCTTATTGCATAAATTTACACACCTAATTGGTTTGTCTATTTCTATCACAGATTCTAAAGTTTGTTTCATGGAACATTTCATACCAACGCTGCTGGTACCTCTGCTGGATGCATTTACTGTAAGTATGACATCTCACTCCTAGAAGATTGCTTTTCACTGTGGTGCAAGTTGATTGCATAATGACAGATAGCCACCCACAGCTGTGAAACAACTTTGCGCTAATGCAGTTGTAATCTGTTGCAGAATTTGAAGAGATATTAATAGTTTAAATAAATTGGTAAGCTTTGCTTATTCTTTCATTTTTTGGGGCATAAGAATCAATATAGTATGCTATAGGTATGCATATTGTTAGCAGTTTTAGGACATACCCTAATTTGATTCCTTTTGCTGGTATTTCATTGTTCTGAGGCCGAGGCTGAGTTTGAACTATTGCATTTTGTTATATATTCCAAAACCAAAGTTATAAAAGAAAATGGTTTTCCTCTTTGTTAATTGAGAATCATCTGCAGTTATGATTTCAGATCTGTAGATAACTTGTTGTTGCTGATATTGCTACACGGGAGGAGAATATAACAGCTTGGAAAATGTGCAAGAAGAGAGCACTAACTCATACACCGAAGAACAAATTGATGAAGTTAAGATCAAATTAGTAGAATTTGTGAGCTCTCCATTATTTATAATTATAGGTAGGAAGTGTGTATATACTAGAGCAAAGATTGGTTGACTATGTAATAACAATTGAATTTTCAAGTTTTATGAAAGAAATAATTTTTACTTCGCAGGATAGTATTGTTAGGGTTCGGTGGGGATTTATTTTCCATGTCTAAATTGTAGTTTGTAATGGATGTGTGTGTATTGTATGTAGATTGACTTAATATTTCTGTCCTATTGCATGTGTATTGTACTAATATTGCCTATGTATTGTATACATATTGTATACATATTGCCATCGTATTGCATGTATATTGTGATGCTATTGCTATCGTATTGCGATTATATTGCCCTAATATTGATTCTCTAATGTATGTATATTGGCCTAATATTGCTATTATATTGTATGTATATTGACTACAGCTCATCAATGGGTTTACGGTTTAAGCCATACTTCATTCAAAAAGAAGAGGAGGAGAAAGAAACAACGTGCCTTTCAAAAACAGGCAGCCAGGTGCATCATAATTGCACCATAAGACATTGTAAGAAATTATTTTAAAAAATAATAACAACTGAAAAATAATTTACAAAAAAAGGAAGGTATGAATAAAGAGATAGAGAGCAAGAGAGCGAATAGGGGGAGAAAAAGACAGAACGAAGCTAGAGAGAGAGGCAGAGAGAGAAAGAGCTGCGCTGTAGAAAGAGAGCAAAGAGAGAGACAGAGAGTTGCACTACAGAGAGACAGAGAGATAGCCAAGAGAGAGAAAGAGCTGCGAGGGTATTTTGACGATGTAGGAGTGTAAAATGTGATTCCATTAAGGACGTCGTGTCCTTTTTGTAATATGTTATAGATTATGAATATATAGTGGGAATGTGGAGTTTTTGTATTGCCTTTGGATTGCTCCCCTATTGTATTTGTATTGTTATCGTATTGCCATTGTAGTGTCATGGTATTGCCTGGTTATTGCACTGATATTTCTTTCTTATCACCTGTTTTTTCAAGTCTATCTTGTGAAGGAACTTATAAGGATATTTTGTAAAAGAAAACGCTTGATTGTATTAGTTTATTTTGTAAAGGAAAATGTTAGATCATTATTCTTTATCATATAAATAAGGTATAACAAGCACCGTATATGTATCTCTTCAATATGATTGATTCATGTTCAGCTATTGGTGTAAGAATGTGATTCCATTATTGCTTTTTTATTGATTATTTATTATTGTAAGATTGTGATTCCATTAAGGACGTCACGTCCTTTGTATAAATCAAACTCATAGTTGCTTTCCCTGCAACAAATTATATTAATTAAGAAAACCAACCAAAAAGCAATAAACGAAAACCATATGAAAGTAATGGCACGTAGATTATGAAGTGGTAACAGACATGCAATACAAAAGCAATACGATAGCAATAAACAAGCAATAAAGTGGCAATAGACACGCAATAAAAACGCAATACAAATACAATAAACAAGTTGGGCGCGGCTTTTCTTTTTCTTGTGTAATCTGAAAAGAAAAGGGGAAAGAAACAGAAATTGTCAAGACGAAACTGCAGAAAGAAATAGAAAGTGATTATATCAGACATTTCCCCTTACATTTTTCTTGCCAATGATATACATACCCTATGAAATTGGAGACATTGTTGACACTGAAAGTAGCTGAGGCATGCATCATTTTGCAAACACAATGATGAGATTGAGATATGATGCACATTTCACATTTTCCACCTTATTATAATGGAATTTTAAATTATAAATACAAAATTCTATACTGATAATGATAACCACCCCAAGCTAAGGATGGCTCGACGTAAATTAATACAACTTCAGTTAGACTATGACATTATATACATCCCTTCAAATACAATATACAAATTGCTTTTGTTTATTGTTTTTTGGTTGGTTTTCTTAATGAACATAATTTGTTGCAGGGAAAGCAACTATGAGTTTGATTTATACAAAAGACGTGACGTCCTTAATGGAATCACATTCTTACAATAATAAATAATCAATAAAAAAGCAATAATGGAATCACATTCTTACAGCAATAGCTGAACACGAATCAATCATATTGAAGAGATACATATACGGTGCTTGTTATACCTTATTTATATGATAATGAATAATGATCTAACATTTTCCTTTACAAAATAAACTAATACAATCAAACGTTTTCTTTTACAAAATATCCTTATAAGTTCCTTCACAAGATAGACTTGAAAAAACAGGTGATAAGAAAGAAATATAAGTGCAATAACCAGTCAATACCACGACACTACAATGGCAATACTATGATAATACAAATACAATAGGGGAGCAATCCAAAGGCAATACAAAAACTCCACATTCCCACTATATATTCATAATCTACAACATATTACAAAAAGGACACGACGTCCTTAATGGAATCACATTTTACACTCCTACATCGTCAAAATACCCTCGAGCAAGGAATGGGCGGAGAGGCTTCTGTAAAAGTTGAGGATGTAAAAGATGTTCTTGACTTGAAGGTGGATTAGTTACTGGCCAAAGGCTTCTTAGGAATTATTTTCCTTTCGCAACTCTCCAAGAGCTAATCCAGCCTGAGGGAAAAAACAGAGTCAGAGATACATAATTTGTTACAATGAAATTGGTTGGATGAGAATCGCATATGTGCTTCTTCAAAGGTGCATGCTTGTGCTATCTACAAACTTATATAAATTTGATGAACAATTCTTGCAAACTGGGAAAAAAATTCCTACTCAGGCGAAAGTACAATTATGAGTACTTCCCAAAACTTATAAGTCCTAAGAACCATCCAGAAGGAAGAATATATAAATAGACAAAATATCTTCTTCTAACATGTAAACAGAAAATTAGAAATTATCAAGTACAAGATTTCTCAAGAAAAGTCATTAACATGAATATTCAAGAACCGTGATAGGACTAATATTGGTATAAAACCTACTTTACTTTACATAGTGCATCACAGATAAATTCTAGCAATATATACACTGCACAAAATAGTGACTTCTTCTATTAAACTAAAATCCTAGTTATCATTTTAACCTCCCAAAGGGATTTGAAGCTAGGATGAGTACTTCACTAATTTGTTGTTCCTATAAAACATCCAATACTTGCTTGGACAAGGTCAGCCAAAGAGTGTAAAGACTCAAAAACGATCATATACTTTTCTTGTTCAAGTAGGACATGCATTCTTTCAAGGGCCATATGAAAATTTAGTCAAACCTTCTTTCCCTTTTGAATTTCTCGTACGAAATTATAGGGTTCATAGAAATAGCCAAATTAATTGCAAACAAGCAACCTAAAACAGAGCCCAAAATATCCAATCAGAAAAACGATCCAAATACACAAAACCAATGAAACCCATTTGAGTTCTTACACTTGAGTTTGTTGGTGACCTAAAAACAATTAGATATTGCCAAAGTTAAAAGAGATTATTCTATTTCTCCATCTCATATACTCAATCTTCAAGAGTTTCTCGTATTAAAGCATATAAAGAACTTCAAAGAAGTAAAATATTTAAGCAATATCTGAGTGATACACAAACCAACATCTACATGAATGTCAGCACCTTCTCTACGAAGACTGATACTCCTAACCTGCAAACAAATTTAATGCGTACATATATTAGACAAAAGCATTATACATTCTAAGGTATCAATAATGAGGAAAAAAAAAAAGCAAGGACATCATCAGGATGAAGGACTTATGCAGGACCAAACTGATTTCCATCAGGATTAGCCCCACTAATTACAAAAACAAGCAGATATAGTAGTACCAACATTTGTAATCTGACCTATGTTGTAAATGATGATTCATGATTATTTTAATAAAACGAGCAAATTTATTACCATCATCAAAGTCAAAAGCTTTGGATTTAAAATTTACACTATCCCACCACAACAACTGCCAAGACCAAAAGGAAAGTAAAGAACTTAACTTATTAAATTGTATATGGCAATCCAAAATCCAAAGCACCACAAGAAGCTTGAAAGGGATGAAAACTAAGTTTACCTACTTTTTGGTTTGCTGAAGTTTTAAGATTGACAATAAGGTCACACTTGTTCTGCTGACTCGCACTTCATCATCCTTGTTATAAAAAACCAGTGAAAAAACTAGAGTACCGAGTTATCAGAATAAAAATAAAAAGTAATAAAATCCTAACTAAATCTAAATGGAATTTTCCTTGGAAGGAGGCTTTATCAGCATCTAGTGTGAGAGATACAAAGGCAAACCAAACCAGAAACTGTCCTACTCAAGGTCTCAAAAATGAAAATCATATGGTTCATAGAAATAACTGAAATTAATGGCAAAATAAGAATCCATAACAGCACCCACAATATCCAATCAGAAAAACAACTTGAGATATATAAAAGAATGAAGTGTCAACTAAGGCCCATTTTCTTGTAGTGAAAGTAGAATATAGACATGCTGACATAAATATTTACACTAGACAGAGAAGAAACTAAACAATACAAATTTAACCCTTTGGTAATTACTCTTGAGGTGTTCTAGGTTTCTTCTTTCCTTGGTCCATGAGAATATTGGCGAACTCAGAATAGTACAGAAGATTGTTAACCTATTTGTTACAACATTTTACCGATCACAAGTTAACTTCTAAAATATCTCAGTCTAACCCATTATTTCACATTAAATGGGTTGCAACAGGTGTAATAAACCACAAACAGAGAAATAAATTGGAAAAAAGTGTAACATGTTTTCAAAAAATAAACAATTTAAGTGGAGACACTGTAACAGCAGGCATTTTAGTCATGGGCTATGTCAGGCAGTGGCACTTTTTCAAGCCATCAGACAAATTGTAAAGCATGAGAATTATCAAACAAGCCTAATAATACTGAAGGAAAACCATTACCGATCAATACAAGATTTATGAGAATCACAAAGTAACAAAATTGTGCTACATGTCTGACCTTTCTTGTTTATTTGGAAATAGTGAAAAGATATTAATATAAGGAAAGAAAGGAAACAGTGCATAAGGGATTTAAAAGAAAAAAAGTGGCAAGGAAGGACAACTTTTGTGACCACAAATAGATGCATGTGTCTAAATCTTTTTGCAATGATCGTGCCTTACAATTTCAGCCAGCAATACCATCAAGGATTAAATTTGCAATAAGAAGGCTCAACAGAGAAATATAAAAATACAAAAAGACAAAACCTAGAACAGAAAATTATTCACCTAGATCAGATACACACCTTGGCCTGCCCGAGATGCTAGTTCGTACATCTGGAGTAAAAATTTAAAGAACGCCTTCAAACATGGCAAGGCTAAAAGGCCTACCAGTCTCAAGAACACTTGCATCTTTGTTCTTTGAACTTGAACCACTAGGCATGTCAAATTCAGAGACGAACTCTGCAAATGCACCCAATCTATATAAATTCAAATTCAAATGGACAACATATTAGTTAAGTGATTAGCCACAAAAAGAACAAGCATAGGCAAGGTAGCTTCCTATTTTCTGAGATCAGCAATCTATATCAATTTTGTTATTTGCAAATTGCAATTCCACTAAAACCACGTAAATGCAAAGTAATCGAATAAACAAAAGAAACCTTAGGCACTTTGCGAGTTCTCAATTCCTGCAGAAGCTGAACAAAAGGAGAACAGGATAGAAGAGCCTGTAGCGTTGCATTGAGAAAGCACAGATTCCCTAAATTGATTAAACCACGAGGCAACAAGACCGTAGCAACTGTAACAGGCTCATTCAAACACTTATGTAGTTCCCCCTTTACCTTAGAAGCTGATAAATCATCAACCCGACCATTCTGCTCTCTGTTATGCAATTCCAGACTTGGAAATTGATTGGAGAGGCTACATCAATAGAGCAAAATCAATCAGACCAATAGAAGTTTCATCCAAGCATGAAGTAATTCACAGTTAAAATACAGAAATTTCCAATCTCTCTAATTACTAAACTTCACAAAATCAGTCACAGGTTAGTGAAATTATCCTTCTCAAATGAAAACCATACAAAAAGACAAACTAGTCAATAACAAATACAAAACCTACCTTAGAATCACTCGTTTTGCGCACATAAACAAATTGGAAATCCCATAAACACCTAAAGAAAAGCACGAATTTTGTCTGAGAGGATTGAGAATGAGGAGGAAGTATGTGAAAAAAGTCAGAATCGAAACCAAGAATTAGGGTTTTTTGAGGCCCTGAAGGAGCAGAGGAGAAGAGAAAGACGTCGATTGAAGACATGAAAAGAGAGGGAATTGAGAGATTGTTGAAGGGAGAGAGCATTTAACGAAGAAACCCTCTCTTTCACCTTCAAGAACCCCCTCAACAAACCCTAACATTGACTGCAGAGAGAGAAAGAGAGTGCTGTTTAGGTTTTCGCGACAGAGGGAGAAAGAGAGTGGTGGTGGTCGATGGAGAGAGAAAGCGCTGAGAGAGGAAGAGAGAACTGTGAGAGAGAGCTGAGAGAGAGAGAGAGAGAGAGAGAGAGCAAGCAAACGCAGAGAGAGTGAATAGGGAGCTGAGAGGGACCAAAATTTTTGTAACAGTGATTTGTGCAATAAGTGGACAATAAATATATATTTATAGGTGATAGTTTTACAATTTTTGAGAATGGGTGGTATTTTCACTTAAAATTATGAAAAGGGTGGCATAGAAGGCCATTTCCCAAAAAAATAACCGTATGACTTGGAACCTGACTCGGTTGGCCCAACTCAGTAGAGTTGCTGTTGATTGTCAACTAGTTGGGTTGGGTCAATATGCAGCCTTGCCTTTGTGGGCTGCAAACCAACGACTGAATGAGCCTCTGACGAGTTGAGCCATGGTTATTGGCAGCAGGCCCATGAGTTGACTACTTTTTAAATAAAAATTATAAATAAAAGCTTTTGTATTAAACCATAAAATACTAATACTGCAAAATAAATTATTTGGTACGAAATTACAGAATGGTACGGTATCACACGTTAGTTTGTGATATTTCCACTCAAAATTCATCATATGTATTATTTTTTGACAACTGGATTCAACACTCATATTTACTTTAAAATTAAAATTAAAATTATTTATAAAAAAAATTTAGAAATAAAAAACCCAAAAACCACCCGCTTTATCGACAGCGATCCCCCACCACTGTCTTTCCATGACTACTGCCTCATTCTCTCTATGAATTTGATGACACCCCAACACATGGATGATTCCACTTTTACAATCATTAGAAAAAGTTTACAATCATTAGAAAAAGAAAAAAAAATTGATTCGGCTATTGATACATAGAAAGCTATGCAACCAAAATTGGATTCCTATTCACCTACTATAAAATTTGCTTTTCTTGTCAATAATCTCAACGGCCATATACCTTGTAGGACTTTGGAAGCTTATCAAATTCCTCTAAAACTTTTAGACTTCTTCACATTCGCGTATGAAATTAAATAATTTCTCAAATACCATAAACCCATTCCCAACAAATCTTCAATCTAAATTCTTTAAACCCTAAAGCCATCATAGAGAGAAAATTCCATGAACCCTAAATCCATAATAGAGGAGGGATGGAGAGGGAGAAAGAGAGAGAAATTGGAAAAATGAAAGAACAACAAGAGTTATGGCAGAAAGTGAGTAGGCGGACGCTTGGTCTGCTAGCTTAGGGAAGTGGTTGTTGGGAAATAGTTAATTTTTATTAATGAGTTTTTTTATTTTAGTTTTATTTTTATAGTTTTAAATTATAAAATTAGTTTTTTAAATCCAGTTGTATAAATAGTATATTTTTCTTTAAAAAATAGTACACATAGCGCATTTTGAATGGAAGTATCACCAGATGACGTGGTCATACCGTATCATTCTATAATTTTTCCGTATACAAAACCGCTACGTGGTGTTAACAATTTAAAATTTATAATATAAATGACATAATTAATATGTCATGAAGTTTAAATATCTCGCGTCATTTAGATTTGCAAGTTATGTACTTAAATTCGATATATGAACTCTTTTTTTTTTTGGGTGGTGGTCTTTGAAATCATGCACCAACGTTACAGGTCTAACTTATGCGACATTCTTTGTGATGATATAGCTCCCAATTTGGGATCATGAAATTTTGTCTTTTTTAAACATCATTGAGAATATAGCAATGCCACACACCAACAATATATTCGAGAAGACATATAATTGTCCTAATAATAAAGGGCATGAAAATTTAGATATTTATAGCCGAATTAATTTGTTGGTGACTGGTGAGAATGTATTGATTGGAATTTGGAAACATGTAGACTGAAATACCCAGAAAGCCCCTCCGACAGAAGAGCAAGTATTCAAAGGCCCTGCTCACACAAAATCACAAATTGCGCGCCTGCTTCCTAGTTCCTCTTTCAAACAACCTAACGGACGGTCCAGATCTGGTCATCGGCACTCCACAAGTTGCTCGATCCTTAACAGCGCGTCCTTTCCTTATTTAAACCCGCCCTTCCCAATTTCCTCGCACCCCAACCCCTATTTTAGTTTTACCCATTCGTCGTCTTCTTCCTCTCGAAAAAGGGCACACAAAAAAAAACCCAAAACCAGAGAGCTCTGTGCCACCACGACTGCCACTTTTCCATCTCTCATTTTCGGTTGATTATCTCTCTCTGAAACGAAACGATGTCGTCGCCCGAGAAGGAGAGAGAGACCCAGGTTTACATGGCCAAGCTCGCCGAGCAGGCCGAGCGTTACGAAGGTCACATTCTGATATATATTTTCTCTTTTGTTGATCGCTCTTTGAGTCTATGGCTGTGTTTATATATATATGAAAAATGTTGTTATTTTTCAAAGCTGGCATTGATCGGATTCTGAGTGTTTCAGCATTGCATCGGATCTTACAGTATTATGATGAATTAACGAACACCTTTGTTTCAGTTTGATATGTAAAATTTTGTTTGCATTGGAGGAAGTTCAAAGTTTTCATTAATTTTTGCGTTTATAGAATTCAAATCTAAAGGAATAGGGAGAAACTGTGTTTAAAAAGAGTGAAATTATTTGGTTAAAATCAATAGTTGGAAATAAGTCAGTTATGAATTTCTTGCTGAGATATAATGTTCAATTAATGATGCAGAAATGGTTGAGTGTATGAAGAAAGTTGCAAAACTGGACCTAGAGCTGACCGTGGAGGAGAGGAATCTTCTTTCTGTGGGATACAAAAATGTCATAGGTGCTAGACGGGCCTCTTGGCGAATCATGTCTTCCATTGAGCAGAAGGAAGAGTCTAAGGGGAATGAGCACAATGTCAAACTGATCAAGGGTTACCGCCAGAAGGTGGAGGAGGAACTCTCCAAGATTTGCAATGACATTCTGTCTATCATAGACAAGCACCTGATCCCCTCTTCTACCTCTGGAGAGGCCACTGTTTTCTACTACAAAATGTGAGTCATGCTGCCCTAATGGTGTACTCCAATCATTTTAACCAAAGCAACTCAACCAACCCATCTTTATTATCTTTTTTTTATCTCCTGTTATTTTGCTTTGTTATGTTTATCTACTTGTATGCACGGAACATATTCCAAAAGGGCAAAATTGCAAATAGATATGCTGATAAGTATTTTTCTGCCTCACATGCAAGTGGCGCACATGTAATGGGGTCTGGGAATTTTCTTTGTTTCCTCCTTGGCCCTGCCTAACAGATAGGTTAAAGATTACTATATCCTTTGGTTCTGTTAGTGTATCCTCCTCCATGTGTGTACTGACATTCATCATATTGTATTTGAAATTAATAAAATTTTGTTGACTAATATGTTACGGCATGCATGCTTCAGGAAAGGTGACTATTACAGGTACCTTGCCGAGTTCAAGACCGACCAGGACAGAAAAGAGGCAGCTGAGCAGTCACTCAAGGGATATGAGGCATGTTAATTCAACCACTATTAAATTGACACAAATGTGCTTACATATGTTTCATTCTTTACACTCCCTATCATGTGATGTGCTCTCCTATTGCCATCTCCTCTCTCAGGCCGCTTCAGCCACTGCAAACACAGATCTGCCATCAACCCACCCGATCCGTCTTGGTCTAGCCCTCAACTTTTCTGTCTTCTACTATGAGATTATGAATTCTCCTGAGAGGTATTACTTCACATCTATTGTCATCTTTTGATCATTTTCATTTAAATAAACTCCTGAGATGTTGTTGTTACTGGAAACTTGTAGGGCTTGCCATTTGGCTAAACAAGCATTTGATGAGGCAATTGCAGAGTTGGACACCTTGAGTGAGGAGTCATACAAGGACAGCACCCTTATTATGCAATTGTTGAGAGACAACCTCACTCTCTGGACCTCTGATTTGCCTGAAGATGGAGGTATAGCATACACCTGGATACTTGATTAACATGCATTATTATTTTCACGAAAATGCGTATTTACTGCAAGATTAAATCCTTCTTTAGTTCCAAATGATACAAGTTCCATTCATTTTTGAACTTACTATACAATAGAAAGACTTCGAAAGACTTGTATTTATGTTCAGCTCTTCTTTTTGTGAAACGGGTTGTTCCATGCTGTTGCTGAATGATACAGGTATTAAAAAAAGAAACTGTATGTATATATGAGCTCATCACAAAGGTGCCTGTATCTTCTCTGTACAGGCACCATCATGGTAGAAGTTTCTGTTCTGAAGATAATTCAGATAGAAGAGACTTACACATGAATTCCTTTTTCTTTTTTTATTTTGTTTGCTCAGGTGACGACAATTTCAAAGGTGAAGAAACCAAACCAGCAGAACCTGCAACTGCGGCGGTAAGTGTCTTGACATTTTCTTCGGGGGCAAGGCAACTTGTTTTCACTCTCAGATTATATTAATTAAAATTAAATAAATATATTTTCAGACTTGATGGGTACCTGAAAAATAGCCCCGGCACATGGCAAGTGGAAAAGACTTTTGCAAAAGGCGACCTTTTAGCTTTTCTCACTCAGTTTTCGCGAGGGGATTGACTGAAGGACGTACACCTTTTTTTTCTTCTTCTTCTTCGGTTTTTATGATATTGATCCTTCTAGGTTCCAAAGAAGATAGGAATTGATCAATTTTTATATAAAAAATTTGGATTTATGCTTTTGCTACATGTTCGTTTATATAAACTTCTTATGTTAAGCAATGGAATGGACTTCTCGTCTTCTCTTTATTTTTATACAATCCCTCCGACCTCCCCCTCCGACTTGTTTGTCTTTACAAGACGAATTATCGTCTTCTTCTTGCTGCTTTGCTTGCAAATTTTATCGGTTGGGAAATGAGTATGAACAACTAAGTGGTTTTCTTGAAAGTCGGTGATTAGGAAATAATCTGGCAACAAAATCATAATTACAGCTAAATTGCATAAACTTCACAAAAATCTAGCATTTCTCTAAACAAAAAAAAAAAAAAAATATATATAGACATATTTTGCACGTTTAATGTGGAATTTATATAATTTTTTCTTTCATTATGTGTTAATAATCATAATTTTTTCGTTATGGTAAGGAGAAAAATTGAAATAATTCTAATATCAATATATTAGTAAATACATGAGAAATCATGAATTGGAATAATTCTAATACCCGTGTATAAGGGTGACATTTTAGACCGAAAAATCGCAAAAACCAACCGACAATTTACCGCAATGGAACCACAATCGCGGGAAACCGAACCGCATTTGCAGTTGAGGTTGCGGTATTTGATTTTCAAAACTTGCGGTTACCGCAAACCGTGACTATATTAAAAAAAAAAATTGCATTTTGTAGATAGCATTGGTGCTTAAACAACACAACGGAGTTCTTCAAATCCACTCACCACCACAAACACTTGAGTTTGTAACATTGGTGCATTGCATTTTCCTTTTAATTTGTAACTTTAATTAACTTTGAATTGGATTTTTCCTTTGGGTTGTAATTTTAATTCATTTTGCATTGCATTTTCCTTTTGGTTTGTAACTTTAAAGGATTTAGAATTTGAATGATTGAGAAGTTGAGGTTGTGAATGCTTGAGAATTTTAACTTTAATTGGAATGCTTGGAATTGTAACTTTAATTTTCTTTAGGTTGTGAATGCTTGAGAAGTTAAGGAGGTTGTGAATTTATTTATTTAGGTTGTGAATTTATATTTTTGGGTTAAGGTATGCTTGAACTCAAAATACTTCAAAAGAAGCATCAAAATTAGGCATAAAATGTGGAAGATTGGATTTTTATGACACAAAAATAACTTGCGGTTTTAAACCTCTAATTCACGGTAACTGACTGCTTTTTGCAGTAAACCGCAAAAAGCGGTCGGTTTGCAGTTTCAAAAATTATCATACCGCAAATAGTCAATCAATTTGCGGTTTAGGCAAAAATTCACAATTATCGAACTGCAACCACCCTTATTCGTGTGTTAGTAAATACAAGAGACATCATAAATGAAAATAATCTAATACCCATTTTGGGTTCAAAAAAAACATGTCATGATACAAAACGACAAAGTTATAGATTAGCTTCGAAAGCTGTTAGGACTTGAGACGCATCCGCTACTACCAGATAAAGAAAGCCAATATCCATTACCATTATCCACTTGCAAGATGCAGAATTTGTGCCCATAGAATATCGTTTCTTTTGTCCATGACCGGTGGGTGACCTATAGATAGAATTTTTTATCTTTTATTTCCTGTTCCTTTTGGCTAAGAAAACAATGGGCGCACAGAAAAAATTTCCTTTTTTTTTGCCTTTTAGGAAATGCTCATGTCGTGATCCAGAAAAATGGCCGTTGGGACTAAAAGAGATGAACAGATTCACCCCAAAGAATTGAAAAGACAGAATTGCCACCAAGAGATTCTGTATGGAATAGTAGAAACAGAGGATTTATATCCAGTTTGAGCCAAAATCTGCACTGATATAAGTGAAAAGAGGCAAGCAAAACAAAGGAAACTCATATACAAATAACAGAAACAGGCTTTGAATCTGTTTCATTTTATAATATTATTACGTTCATATCGGTTGAGCTATGAAAAGGACCCTGACCCTTTCAAAACTGTGAAGAAACATCAAGCTACCCTTTTGAGGTTTGGCACTCAAAACTTTTTGACAATTTCTAATTAAGCTCATAGCAAAAACCACCATGATACTACATAGTCAAGGACAAGGACTGGACAACCACCATCCAATAACATAGATTGAACAAATAGGTTCAAACAAAACCTGTGTCTATACAAAAAAATAAATCAGCTATGGTTCTTCCTTAACGAAGAAACTTTGAGGCAAGCTAAAATCTTCCTCGTGATTCAGAATGTCTGTCTCCTCATCGTCTGGTTTCTGAAATTCAAGAGAGAAAATGGTCAAAATGTACAATATGTCTAAAGAACAACAAGGGATAGAGACATAATTTGTCCCTTGGGACCATTTGAATGTTTCATAAGGAATATTTTCAGTAATTGTTTACACCAAGCCTCATATCAAACTTCCTTGTATCGTATGTGACCCTCAACCCTTGCCCCATCACTCATATCAGATAGTCTAGTATAGCTATTTTCCTTTTTCAAATATTCCATCAAGGCCTACCCTTTCACTTGATGCATGCCTAAAACCTAAATTATGCAGCTTTTTATCCTATTCACCTATAGTGCTGTACAGAGATGCACAGATTTTTCTGTACTTGGAGTAATTTTCTTCTTGAATATAAAGCTTATAGCTATTTAAAATCTCATATTCTGAACTTGGCATTGTGATTGAGTTTTATTTTTCCGGTCAAGTCATTGTGATTGAGTCTAAACAGACAATTATCGATGAATGTGGATATTCTGAAGTTTAACAGTTCCATCATAACATAAAGAAACTAGAAATATGGAAAACTGACAGAATCAAAGAAATTAGGTACCAGCATTTCCAAATTATAGAACCGCTCTAGCAGTTGTAGAACCTCGTCGGCAGAGAAGTGTCGATCAAAGCTGTGAAAATAACACAAGATAGAGTAAGGCTACGTGTCAGAAAATGGAGGTTCACTGGAATAAGTGCGATAAAACCCACAAACAGAAATGTGAAGAAGAACAAACCTTCTCCGAAGGAATTCCATTAAACCATAAAGAACGAAATGACGATGTATGCCTGCGAATAAATGAGTTGTTAAATGCTTATCTATTTTCAACTAACATGGTAATGCAAGATCTAAAAAGGAAACTGAATTGTCTTTGATTGTCTTATTAATTACCCCTCGTGCATGAATTCCTACATATAGCTTAGCCTCCAATGTGAAAGTTTATTGCATTCAGGCAATGATTATTATATCTCCCCTTATATTATTGACTTGAACCATCAGATTTCAAATTCAATTCAGCGAAAATGATAAGCATAGTCCTGAACTTTTCCTACCATCAGTAAAAATGATAGCTTTCCCTCCAAAAATGAAGTAGCAACGAGAAATATTATCCATCCCAAGATTGAAGAATGTGATTAGACACATGCTAATTAACCACCTTTTTTTACCAACCAAAATTGATGCTTTACATCTAACCCCCACCAAAACCACTCACATAAATAATCAAAATTGGAAATCCAAAGATAAGAAACTGAATTATTAGGTTTGATTAATTCGAAAAAACCTGCCTTGTAGCTTGACGGGAGGATAAATTTCAAGAGCTTCTAACAGTCTAAGCTCCAATTCAACCTGTGATTGCTCCTATTAAACATTAAAAAAAAACATACACAAAATAAAATCAACATAAATCTTCCATTATATGTGTAAAGAGAACCAGAAAGAGAGAGAGAGAGAGAGAGAGAGAGAGAGAGAGGAACCTTTGGGAGAGAAGAAGCAGAGGAAGGGGGAGCTTTGCATGGAGAGTGTACGGACATACCGTCTTGTTCCTCTTCTCTTCCTTTACCACCATTTCTCTCCATTGAATTCAATGATATAAAAAATTTCGAACGGGACCCTAGAGCTTGTATCAAATATTTTACTAGGTTAAACTGAATTCGGAAAGTGAAAACGAAAGCAATTATGTTCTCTCTTTTTTCTTTTCTTTTTTTAAACTTTTCTTCGCTAGGTTTTCTGGTTTGATCCAACGCCATCTCTGAAATTGAAGTGCCTATGTTGCTGGGCTTCTGGAGCAAGCTAGCAAGCAAAGCCAGCCCATGTTTTGTCCTCGTCTTCAATGGACCGTGGAATTGGACGCATTGACTTTATTGACTTGTTGAATTGAACTTGGCCCAAGGAGAAGTAAACATGTTTTGAATAATTGAGGTTCTAATGACAAATTAATTTTGTAATTATAGTTGTGCTAAAATCAGCTGAGATTTTCAACTGTTTATAATCTGATTTTTTCTCTTTCTAATTTTCAGAAAAAGGGCCTAAAACTCATAATTTTGTAAATGAGAACCGTACTTAAAACACAATCATTAATACATAGAATTTTCTATAAAGAGCATTTTCACTCACCACCGATCATGTTCGTTGCCATTGAATGAATTTAATTCTGAAAGTAGATTTGATTAAATCACACTCATTCAACGTCGGAGATAATAATGTTCACCACCAAAGCATCAAGAAAACCACAAGCTAACATTCTCCTCGAAATGATGAAAACAACATCAAATTTCCCCAACGACCATGGTGCCAATAATGCATAACATGTAGGCTGACAAAGACAAGAGCCAAGTGACCCCACTTTTGTAACAGCTGCTTCAAATGCAATTGCATACGTTGGTTGAACTTCAACATCATGCGACCTCTATTTTTTTTTCTTTTTCCTCTTTCTTTCTTCCTCTTATTACAGTATAGGAAAAGGCAAATAATTCATTTCTTTTCTTTAGTAGATGCCTTGTGAAACACATGACATCACTCTCTGCTTAAAAATTTGCCTTCTTTATATTTAAATTATGCGCATGGCATAACCAGCAACAACACATAAAAAGAGTGTTTTAGTTTAATTAGAGGAGAACCTTAAGCTAGAAGACAAAAAAGCCATGCCAATGTGCCACCAATAACTCTCTCTGTCTCTCTCAGTTAACAGTCATTCTCTCTATTATTTTTGGCTTACAACTTTAACAAGCTCTGTGATCTCTCTGACTCTCTCTCTCCCAAAAGCTTTCAACGCCATAACCCCAAAAACTCTGATCTCTGGGTAGTTGGGTTTGGTTCTCTGCTGCAAAACTATCCATCCACTTTCTTAAAGCAATACATTTTTGGCGTTCTGTGATAAAAGAAAACAGGAAAGAAAGAATTGATTTTTCTCTGTTTCCTCCGCTTCATACATATAATATAAACAAACCCATCTCCTCGTTTTCGACGTTCATATATGCTTTAATATCATTCAACTTACCGGTTTGCTTTGGCTACCTACTCAAAGTCCCTGCAATTCGTTGACAATCTCTCTTTGGGGGTCTGAAAATGGCTTCAGTGATCAGCCCAGTTCACTCTCCAATCCGTACTTGTCAGTTTTCTTCGCTATACTTATCATCCAATAAGATTTCACCTTCGTTTGCTCTGCTCAAGGCTCGGTCACTTTCTTCCAAAGCTTCAAGCTTGACCTTTTCGCCGTTGCCGGAGACTATAAAACCTTTTTCTCCAGTTGAAACTTCCGGCAAGGCCTTGAGATTTTCCGGGTGGAGTCAAGAGCTGAGACGGCGAGGCTCTGTTGAACCTCCGGTTGCTAAGGCTGCAGCTGCCGATGCAGAGGGTGCTGAGATTGAGAGTGCTGCTGGGTTGGACTTGCTAATCTTTTCTTTTTACTTCCTCTTTAGTATGCAATTTCGAAACTTTTTAATCTTATGATTGGTTGCTGAGAAATGGAGGGAAAGAAAAGGAAAAAAAAAACTTAGTAATCGAGTTACTTCTAAAAGGTCCTGTTTTTCATTGGTTACTTTTGAACTTTTAAAAATGACCCATTTAAGATTTTGCTAGTGAAGTTTCTGTGGTTGTGTTCTTTTAACGAGACTTGTATTCATAAGTGCAGGTATGGAAAGCCTTCAAAGAGCTTTTCTGAGAAATTTCCTTTCTTGATCACTGGCTTCTTTTTCTTTATGTGGTGAGTGTTCATAATTTTTCGTTCATTTTTTATGGTGATTATTTATTTATTTCAAGAAGCCAATGCAGACGTTCATGATTTTCTGCTTTTCATTCAGGTACCTATTGAATGTCATCTTCAATATACTCAACAAGAAGGTCTACAATTATTTCCCATATCCGTAGTATGTATATCCTCACCAACTGACTTTTATCTTGAAACTCAATCAAAATTTCTTCACTAAACCTCTGATTGCTTTGGTCTCACGTTTGTTTTGGTTTCTGTATAATTTTAAAAATTCACAATTAGTCCGATTTTTACCCCTTTTGCAGCTTTGTTTCTGTTATACATCTCCTTGTTGGAGTGGTGTACTGTCTTGTTTCTTGGTCCATTGGCCTACCGAAGCGGGCAGTAAGTATCAGTTTCTTTCCGCAATTGTTATCCTCTCGCTTCAAGCCACAATATGGTTTCCACTAAATGCTGTACATTTTTTGTTCATCCAGCCCATTGACAAGGAGCAGTTGGCACTACTGACCCCAGTTGCGTTCTGTCACGCCCTTGGACATGTCATGTCCAATGTTTCATTTGCAGCTGTTGCTGTGTCTTTCACACACACCATTAAAGGTATGATCTCTACCTTTGCATTTTGAGTAAAGATGAGAGACAATAAAGTTTACAGCAGCTTACCTTATATTTGTCCGCAGCCCTGGAGCCGTTCTTCAATGCATCTGCTTCTCAGTTTGTTTTAGGCCAACACATTCCCTTGTCCCTGTGGCTATCGTTGGCCCCTGTTGTTATTGGTAACTCTTTAATCTTTGATCTTCTTCCATTTCATTTTCTTCCTTTCTCTGACATGTTGATCATATTACTCTCACATGCCAATTATAGCATACACATTCCCACACTTCGGTGGCAAATTTTTAAAGCTGAAATGGCCAGAATTTGAGGACAGCATAGAGCTGGTGCTCTTTTATATTTACTGAAGTTAACTTCTATTTTAGGTGTGTCCATGGCATCATTGACTGAACTTTCCTTCAACTGGCTTGGGTTTGGTAGTGCAATGATTTCAAACATTGCATTCACCTACAGAAGTATCTATTCGAAAAAAGCAATGGTAAGCATCATCTAATCAAGCCATTTTCCTTGTTTTTGGTAGTGCAGAGTAAATTCTAAAATAAAATTTCCCTTAATGGAGTTTGCACTTACATTTGATCTTGATTAATTAAAATATATTTTTTACTTCAACAGACAGGAATGGACAGTACAAATGTGTATGCTTACATTTCAATAATTGCTCTCTTGGTTTGCATCCCGCCAGCACTACTTGTAAGTCCATCTTTTTCACAGAAATTGAACTTTAAGTATTGAAATTGTTCTTAATCAACCCAAGATACTCAGACAGAAGTGTTGGATGCTTTGTTTTGATGTCAGATTGAGGGACCCCAACTGCTGCAATATGGATTTAGGGATGCTATTGCCAAAGTAGGCCTTTACAAATTCTTGTCTGATTTATTCTGGATCGGAATGTTTTATCATCTGTACAATCAGGTAAGCTATTGACATGCTGCATCTAACTATTCCTTCAACCTAAACTATACAAAAACATGGTGTTTGATCATTAACTACTTCTGGGGTTACAATTGCAGCTTGCTACTAACACTTTAGAACGGGTTGCACCGCTAACGCATGCTGTTGGAAATGTGTTGAAGCGTGTCTTTGTGATTGGTTTCTCCATTGTTGTGTTTGGTAAGTGCTTTTACCTAAAATGTGATTGGCTTCTCTATTGTGGTGCTTGTTGTTTACCTTGTTCAAATCACATGCACCTCAGACCTTTTTAAGCAGAAGCCAGCCATCACACACTGTGTTTCTCAGTGAAGATATATTTCATTTAGCTTGATAACGCAGTTTGTCAAACAGTATGAACACGAGTAGCATTGTATTATGTATTCATCGTTTATTGGCTCCATGTTTGGCAGGCAACAAGATCTCTACACAGACTGGGATTGGTACTGCAATAGCAATTGCTGGTGTTGCCATCTACTCCCTAATTAAAGCAAACATAGAAGAGCAAAAACGGGTAAATTATTTTATTTTAGTTCTTTTTAGCAATGAACTTCTTGTTCCTTTTGAAGTACCCATTTTCGCTCGAACTCACATGGGTGAATCTTATATCTTACATTTCAGAAGGCTGCTGCAATTTCCGCCTCATAGGTTTATAGCATTGGATGAGGGTGCTAAGCACACAGTTGATGCTCCTGTTTGAATTTGGTGGATCAACTTAGGAGGCTAGTTTGTGGTGGATGCTTACGCGAAATAAAAGCTCTGAGAAATAATGAGAAAAAATAATAATTTCGAGTCACAAGCATCAGTAGATTACGAAATTGAAAAGCTCATTGGATTTTCAAATGTGTTGTTGTATTGTTACCAAACTGCCAAGTGATCTCCGAAGAGACTTGATCACTTTTGTAATAGCAAAGCAAAGCCACTTTTTTGCTGGCGCTTAAAATCTCTGAATAGGTGTCTACTTTTCTTCACAGAATTTTCAATGCCACAGCACCTCAGCGTTGCACATCCTCTCACATCTCTGTCGTCCTAATTAGTCGAATGAAATACAATGAGCGATAATAAACGTTTAATGGACGATTATCGCAAATTAAGGTTGATTTTGAGCTACAATGCATTTTTCAACCAGCCACACAACCAAGCCAACTCTTGGCATGCAATTGTCGTTGCACTCAGTTTAGTTATGCAATTCATGTTGCTGAAATATATGAAGAAAGAAAAGCCACGAAAATAATAGCAACATAAATAAATGGACTGCCTGCGAGACATCTTGAGCAAAAAACATTTTCCTACAATTATTGGCAACAACTTGAGGTTTCCTTTCCCGTCTAACAATCTACTCTTTCATTTTCCCTCAAAAAGCAAAAGAAATACATAAGAAAGAAAAAATCTTTTAAAAAATTAGGATCTAGGAGGCTATTATCCTAGCATTCATCCTGCCAAGCCTTGATGGAGCACAATCAGGTAATATACAATGCGGATGAAAGTTACATAGGAACGAACATATGAGTACGAAGTGAATCACTTTCGCAATCAGATTTCCAAACCAGAATGAAGCCAACCTGCAAGCAGAAGCATAATCACCAATCAGAAATGCGGTTGATGCAAGTGACCCAGTTAGGGGCATCAAAGAAAACATCTAGTGTTTCTTCAATACCACTCCCCTCCCAGACCCAGCATGTGTCAAAATTTACCTATATCTATTAGGCATATCCAGTGCTGTAATTGAGATTAAACAGAATGTTCCTGCGAGTCTCTGAACCCAATTGAATTCTGAACCTTTTAGCCAAGGAATCTACACGATCATCACTCTCATAATCCATCTCTCGCATACATCTCCTTCTGACCTTTTTCAATGTTTCTCTTGATGGTTCAAATCCAGCATTAACCTGTCCAAACGCTTGTTAAATTCTTCACAGAGAAAGCAAAATATGTACTATGAGCAAGGTGAACCCATCAATCACAAAAAGAATGCAGTTACCATGTCATCAATCACAGAGAGAGCAGATTTTGGATCTTTGTTGACGAGATGAGCATCTACAAGTAACGAATATGACTTCGCGTTGGGTTTGATGCCCAGACTTACCAAGTGCCCAAATACGTTTGAAGCTTCTACAGTCTGCCATACAACCATACAACTAGTTCAGTAAGGTGTTAGCATGTTTTACGTGTGTGATGCAAATGCAAATTTTGACTCTTATGGGTGTGTGATGCAGGCCCATAAGAAAATCATATTTCTGCCCCAACTGGCTCCACACAAGAAGGTAGAGAAGCCAGTCCTAAGAATATGGCACAACTGCTGATAAGGGCTAATAAGAGAGAGAGAATGCAATTCACCTGCTTGAACTTTCCAAAAGCATACATGAGAGCATTGTAAGAATGAATATCAGGGGTCAATTCAAAGCTGGAACTAATTGCGTCAAAAGTTTGGTAAGCTCGCTCGATGTGCCAGATATTTGCGCAACCTAATATGATGCAATTCAAAGCAGCAACAGACTTGTAAGGAGGGTCTGCACGGCTCAAATTCTCTAGTTGATAATACACCTGGGGCATATCAGTATGTTTCAAGTTAGAAAGGTGCAAAAGAAAATTTCATAAAAGCATTCACTGGATAAGCGTAGAACATAGTCACGTATGATACATCATACATCGCATGTCTTGTGAGTCAGAATATTAAGGTCCATATATTCATCAACCAGAATAAACAACAAAATTAAAATAATAGAATAATGGATAAGACTTAGTACTAGCAGATAGAAAGAAGGACATACTGAGTCCAAAGTTTCAAAACCTCCCTTGGAGCATGCCACAACCAAGGGATGTAAAGAGGTAAATGGAGAGAACAGTTCCTCTTCTTTATCAGAATTGCCATAAGCAGACTCATATTCATGAAGAGTACTAAAAGCTCTTTGTAGACTCCCTAGCGATGCAAGGGCACAAATTTTCCCACGGTAAGATTCTGGATTAGGGGCCTTCTTTTGGCGCAATGAGCGCCGTAAGATTGCCCATGATGCATCCAGTAGAGTAGTACTGTGCGTCCTAGCGGCAGTTGCGAGTGCTGACACGAGCAATCCTTCATCTACAGAAAGAAAAACAGCAGGTCTTGCTTGCTCACCCCTGGCAATCCATTTGGCCATAAACTCCAGGGCATGAAATGCTAACTTGCTGTTATCAACTTGCAGAGCAACTTCTGCAATATAGTTGCACATATTCCAGGGCGGACAAAGAGCTTTGTTCTGATCCATTGACTGATAACATAAAATGCAACAAACTTACATGAGGAAACATCAAGCAGAATTTTCACCTCCTCAGTCTAAATATCTACGGTTTGAATCATATACCTTGCACTTGTCAATTATTGAAACCAAGATATCTAGCTTTCCCTTATCGGCACAGCCTTGTACACAATCTCTAAACACCGCCATTGACAACATATAACCAGATTTTAAAGTCAAATCTATATATTTCAAGGCCGCATCAATTCGGTCCGTTTGAAACAGCATGCCGACAACCAAGTCATATGACTCATCATCAGGCGGAGATTCGTTCCCTGTCTGCAACATCCTGATACATTAAAGTGAAACAGATTCATGAAATATGAATGCATCATTAAAGACACAAACAGCCTCAATCAGTAGTTCAACATGACAACTTTCTTCCACTAATTATACAAGTTATGACTAAATGCAAATCACCATTTCATTAATAAAAGAAAAACAGATAACGAAAGCTTAACAGAATCATAACCACAATGCACAAAGAGCTGACCTTTCGAGCAATTTCTCAGCTGCATCGGTCTCTCTGGCCTGGTGCATGGACTTGAGGACGAGATTAAACGACGCCGTGTTGGGCGTGACGCCATAGTCCTCCATATGCCCGACCAGATCGAGCATGTGCCCAGGTGAGGCTCCGGTCATCAAATTGGCCCTCAAGTAATGGTTATACAAGTTCACATCGGGCTTATTGGGCTTCCCGTTCTTGTCCAGAGACCGAATCCAAAACTCGAACAGCTGCTTCATGTCTGCCCATCTCTGCGAGGTCATCCAATCTGCGAACACATTCATTAGGCTCTGCACGTCTAGGGTTTGCGAGAGGGCATGGATGCGAGAGCTAGGGGATTGGTTGAGGAACCCTATGGGGAGCAGAGACTGGGTCATGGACGAGTTGGGGATCGGGTTTCGCCAGTTCTCGTTGTACAACGGGCTTCCGGAGGCTGGGTTCGGAGGGAGCGGGGTCGAGGGGATGGGATGAGTTGGCTCTGCGAGTTGGAGCTCCTGCGAGAGAAATGAGAAGGTTGTGATGGTCTTGAATCCCGGGTTCGGGTTTAGGGTTTTGGCCAGCGTTCGCGTGCGTGCGAGGATCGCCATTTGTGTCGCCATTGTTGGAGCTCAGTGACAGTCGGAGTGGACTGTGATTAGTTTAGGGTTTTGAGGTTTGTATCATGGTCAGAAAGGTGAAATGGTTATCGTGCTGTGCGGCCCGCTTCTGGGAAGGGCAGTATGGTAATTTGAATTTTCTAATGGCATTTTAGATATTATCTGTAAACTGAAAAGAGAGTGGCACTGTGACCAATTAGTGATGTCAGTAGTATAGTCCTTTTTTTTGGGCCTAGTTTTAGAGTTCTTATGGGCTCTCAATAGAAACCACGAAAACTGCACTCTGCTCAAACTCTAGGCCCATTTTAGCTATACAAGCCCAATGTGTTGCTAATTTTCTGTGAAACCCAATGACTCTCTCTCCAACCCAAGTGTATACTAAATCATGTGAATTTATCTCTATCGTCACGTCATAAAACATGACTAATAAAATAAGTAATACTAAACAACCTTAATGATTGAAGTTGGTAATTAAAAAATAATTTCCCTGATAATTTTATATCATTTTCTTGGCTTTTTGGTTAACTCTTTAGTAACACAGTTGTCAGCCAAATTGGTTTTGCATTACAGCAAATCAACTTTAAATAAGACAATCATTAACCAGGCTTGCATAGTAAAACATTTTCACAAGCATGCATACATATCGGCTGTCAAGACTAACACAACAAACAAAAAGGCCAAGAGAGCCACACAGATCAAATCCGGCAAGCTCAACAAACAGTTTGATGAGAACATCATCACATGGACTGCTTGGATGTTGGTAAAGATCAAACGATCACAACATTTTTTGGGTTTTTCTTTTTGTTGTTGTGAATTTCATAACCGAATAAAAAGAAGAAGAAAAAGTGTTTCTTTTTCCAAGTGGTGTTAAGGTAGCAAAGGGAGACTTTGATTGATTTCACTGTGAACTTTACTGTTGTTGAAGGTTCTATTCCATTTAGGAGAGAGAGAGAGAGAGAGAGAGAGAGAGAGAGAGAGAGCATCTGCCTTTTGTTTCTGTGGTCCAGTTATTCTCCTTTGGGCCCGTTCGGAATTTCAAATCCCCAATCAAACACTTTTGAGACTCATCCAATAAAGTCATCCAAAAGCAACCACAGAATTTCAAAGAAAACATGTCTAGTGTTTCTCCTTTCGGCCTCTCCCCACCTAATACAGTTGCTTGCATTGACCCACATCATACAAAATTAAAACTTAATTACTTAACTAACCTTCTGATTAACTTTCATTAATGTTTCGTGATATTCGTGAGATTTTGCAAGCACCGACGTAGTGTTAGTGTTGTTCTTCTTTCTTTCTTCCTGTAGAATGTTTTAGATATTGAATTGAATTAATATGGTGACTGGAAAAAGCATGGCTATTGGCTTCTGTGCTGTTTCAGACTGGCTTTTATGAAGAAATGCGTCGTAAGTGTCGAGTCATCACTCCATTGGTTTCTTGGTGTTACCCTATTTTCAAATACTTGTATGCTGCTGCTGACATGTGTGGCATGGCTTGGGAGTGGAGGTGCATTGACTTCAACTTCAAGCTATATACATACCGTAGGTTGAGTATGTCGACCAAAAGCCAAAATCCTATGCAGATTTAGGACAAAGAGACTAGGCTAACCCAATTAAGAATCAAATAAAATGAAGAGTCATTTGTTGGTCTTGGGTACTTTCTATAGGATATGTAACATGCTTAATTCATTTCGTTAGAAATCACTTATATATGCGTAGACAACTGACCTTACTAGATGTGATTGATGAAAATTTCAACATATCATGTGTGTTTGTCAATTTTTTTGCATGCCAAGCTTTATGAGATGGGAAAGGATTAGAGAAAGAAGGTTTTGGGTTAGCAGCTGGGGATGATTCAGCTTCCCTAATGCCTAGCTTTCTATATAGCTTTTGGGCTGAAAACTTTTCAATGTAGTTTTAGAAACTTGGAAATATAGAGAAAAAGCAGCAGCAAATTCAATTCACCCATCTGTACACCAAAAAAATTGAATTCACCAATGTGCAAAAGCCATGTCCACAGCAGAGATAGTGATGCATGCAAAAAATGAGATGCTTATGCCTGATATTCCCAATCAAAGCGAAAAATAGGACACCACACTGCTAGCTCATTGTGACAACACATAGCATAAAAGATCTCCTTGAACCTCATGGTGGGGCCGCCAGAGAGTACCAACCTAGCTAGGTTAAACCAGGTTGGGTTAACTTTTGACCACCCACTTGAGTTTAAGACCGTTCACAAACAGTCGAGTACATGCCAAAAGCCATCAGCTTGCTCAGCTCCCTAGAACACTCTCCCCTAACAGATATAAACTATATATTATAAAGCAGAATTCTGCCACATAATGTAAAAAACAAGCTTAATTAAAAAAAGGTTTAAAACCATATCAAATACAGACACCCACCGTCCTTCTCTCTCATATTATTTGCCTTCTAGAAATATCCGTTCTGTACATCACAGCACCCTCCCTCTCTCTCTCTCTCTCTCTCTCTCTCTCTGGAGCCATCTTCATTTCTAGCTCAACCAACTATCATTTTCTCTTAATCTTGCATCAATCATGGCTGCTTTAGTGTATATAGTGATTTTATTGGCCCTGACTGGCCATTCAAGTAAGCTCTCCTGGATTGTGCTTTAGTGTATATAGTTCTTTTTCTTTTTTTTTCCCAATCTTAGTTCTTAGATGTGAAGGCTGTAGATCATTGCAACCCTTTAATTCCCATCAAGGAAGAGCTTCTCCTAAGTGAAAAAGTTTTAATCTTTCTTCTCTTTTGTTTTCTTGCTCTGTTTTCTCACCCCATCTGTTAAATGTCTCTGATAACACCTTTACTTTGTACATTAGGCTCATGTATGTGGCCAAAAATTGTTCTTGAAAGTGCCTTTCTTTCTGGTTTTTTTGAAAGGAAAAAGTATTTTCTTTTATCTGGATTTAATGCTTTCATTTTCTTTGAAGATAATTGAACTGATTTCCTTGCCTTTTCTGGGATAGGTGCTACTTATTGCATATGTAAAGATGGAGTTGGTGACTCGGCCCTCCAGAAGGCACTGGATTATGCTTGTGGAGCTGGAGCTGACTGTTCTCCTATCCTTCAAAGCGGTGCGTGTTTCCAACCCAACACTATCAAAGATCACTGCAACTATGCTGTCAACAGCTATTTCCAAAGGAAGGGCCAAACTGCACAGAGCTGCGATTTTGCAGGCGCTGCTACACAGAGCCCAACTGCTCCAAGTACGTTCAATCCTTCTAGGCCTCTCACCTGCTTTGAATAATTTTTTTTATTTTTTATTTTTTATTTTTTCTTCCTAATCACTGATTTTATTTTTCTGTGTTTTTTTCCTTCTTGGTGATTAACAGCCTCAAGTTCCACTTCCACTTGTGTTTATCCTTCAAGTACCAGGTAGTTGTCATAGTTTTTACGTCTGATATTGAATCTTGACTTAGCAAATTTTAATGAGCATTTTGTCAAATGTCTTTAAATGCATTTTTCCCATTTTCCCACCAACTGGAAAGAAAAAGAAAATACCAAAAAATTAGAAAACCTTGCTTTTGGAACAGAGTTCTTAGTTCTGGTCTGCAATATATTTTTTTAGTCTGTAAAAAGCTTTCTTGTTCTACATATGTGGATTTATTTCCTTTGCCCAAATATTGTTCTCCCGCAAAAATTCCTTTGTTGATGATGGTTGATTTGAATTTCATCCCATTGTCAAGAATCTAGCTCCCCCGTATTTTCTTCTAATTTATGTGGGGGTTGATGGTAGGTACAACCTCTCACTCCGTACTTGAATTTTTGTTCTGAATAAGCATCAACAACTGGTAGAGTAGTTTTCAAGAGTGTTCATGAGCATTTTTGGGGACAGTCATTAAGAAAAGTAGATCTACCAGGCCCCTCCATTAGTTAACTTAATGTCTTAGGTTGATTTCACAGACTCAGCTGTGAGCTGTAATTTAGAAGATATCGTAAGCTCTTTGTCCTCTTTCTTCCTACATCTTGACATCTCGATCTCACTGATCTCAGCTTGACATATGTTTTACTACACATGCCACTATAATTAAGGTCCCCTTTGGCCTTTGCTTACTTTGCAACATGTTTAATCTTTCAGCTTGTATTTGTAATTAGCAGAAAATTAAATTATCACCCTTAACATAATTTTTATATTTTATTACACCATGTGTTGGATTGAATCTGGGTTTTGTTGTTGTTCATCTCTTTTGTTCAGCCAAGCGGGAACTGGCTCTACAAACTCAACCACGACTCCAAGCACAACTCCAAGCACAACTCCGAGCACAACTCCGACAACAGGCACAACTCCAACCACAGGAACCACTCCAACCACGGGAACCACTCCAACCACAGGAACCACATCTCCCTCATCAGTGTTTGGGATAAGCCCCACCGGGAGTGGCACCCTCACTGACAATACTGGTGGTGTGGCTTCTATGAAAGGCACAAACTGCTTGTTTTGCTCTCTGGCTTCAACTCTCTTCTTCTCAGTGTTTTTGCTGCTGTGGGGTTAATGAGCACAAGGGAGGGAGATACACATTCCGTTTAGATTATGTGGATTATAAAATTTTACCATGGTCAGGAATATGGGTGGGTAGGCATGTAATATGACATTTGGGTTGTTTAGGGAATTGGAAAACATCTGCAAAGGCAAAAACCCCATTAGGGTTTTCTTTGTTTTTGCTTTTGTTTTTCTACCTCGAATGTTAAAAAGCTGGGAATTCGATTCCATTTTGAGTGGTGATATATATATATATATATGACTGCTAGTGCTGCCTATATGGTGTGGTGCGGGGTAGGCAGAACCTGATCTCTTCTTTTTAGATTTTTCCTTTTGTATATGTGTATGGGAGCCGAGAGAGGCAGTATTTTTTAATTTAATGGAACTATGCTACCCCTACCATTACACCCATCATGTCATATTATTTGGTAATTTCCTTCGTTAGCTTAGTGATTAAAAATCGTGTCATATTATTTGGTAATTTCCTTCGCTAGCTTAGTGATTAATCATATATCCCGTGCATTCGAGGTCTTGTGCTGAGAGGTGTCATGATCACCTATCATTTAGGCCTCTTTCTTAAGCCCCAATCACTTTTATTAATGCCTTATCCTTTAGGCTGACCATCAACTTACGTATCCTAGTGCTGCAGCTGCACTACCAAATTTGTGGCCGAACTTTGTTGGTGCATCACTAGCCAAAACAAAAAGGAGAAAGGGACTCGCTTCCTTTTGGTCGCATCTATTTAATCGGTTCAAACTCACAAGTTTGGTAGATTTTATTTTATTATCTAATTTAGTCCGATGTTTTATAAATGTGTAGAACCAACTTGTCAAAAGTTCTATTTATAATTTCAAATAAATACAAGACAGCCGAAATTCAACCAAAAATATTAACTTTTCCACCGTCAAATTCATAGAAAACTGATTAAATTGAATTGAACTTGTCCATTAATTAAAAAATAAATAATAAATAAATAACTTAAATAGTAGGGCTTAAGTGTAGCAATGGTCTCGGAATTATAACAAAAAAAAAATCATCAAGAGAATCACATGTATTTGCTAGCTAAGAGATGATGACTTACAAAGAGAACGTGTATATTATATCCGTACATCTCATTTTAAAGGGATAATGCTATCACTATAACTAGTAACTAAACTGAATTGGCCTTGTGTTGAGAGGATCTACCGCAGCCTCACTAAATACAAAATCAAGTATTCTATATTGCTTACTCTTCATATTATAAAGATGTAAATGGAATGTAGGGTGGTCGACTTCCAACATTCCATTAAAACAGAGTTCTAGCTCACCTGTGTGGATTGTGCCCAAAGCTTGAACGGAAGTTGCTTCTCTTAGCATCTCACTGATAGAAATAGTCTCCTTAACCCACACAAGGTTTTGGTAGTCTTTCAAAATCCATAAAACTATCTTGTAATGTTTCCACGACTTGCCAACAAGCACACCCACACATCCTCCCACCTCAACTATACTTGCAAAGGCCTTGGAACAAGTATCGAAAATATCATTATACTCTTGAGAAAAATCTTCCGGTAGTGGCACCAAGCTGAAGCTCTCTTCTCCAACGTCAAATACAACTATGGTTTTTGGCCTATTATTGAACCAGTGTATGGCCCCATCGACGCACACACTTCCAGTACTTGATGTGCCTGTGTGTAGGGTCCATATCTCCATTGCAGGGTCTACCTGCAATGGCCTCCACGAAGAATCCCTACCTAGGGTGTATACGTTCAACCAATGATGCCATTTTCCAAGTTCCCAGGATGAGATGACCCGGAGAACCTTATACTCGTTGGTAAGGGGAGTGAAGCCAAAGTTATATGTATCAAATCCACGGGTAATTACATGGGGAAGTTGAATGGACTCTCGAGTAGTAGGGTTAAGTATGAAAACAGAGCCACACTTAAAGGATGAACAAACCAAGCCATGGACGCTCTGCAGTTTATGAACATTAGTGTTGTAATGGTCGAGAGCTATGCACCCAGTCCGGTATGAAATTTCTGCGAGGGGTGTTCGAGTTAGAACCTTATATTTATTCCCTCCTCCTTCTCCTTGTTGCTCCTCCTCCTCTATTTTTGAAGAGAAGAAGCGGTTGCCGTTTTTGAAAATGAAGTTAGTGGTGCTCTTGCGAAAGTTGGAGAAGGCGGCGACAAAGAAAGGGCTGCGGATGAGGGAGGACCAAGACTTGCATACGCACCTGCACCGCGTCATCAGATCCTCTGCTGGTAGCCGGGCGGATCTATTAAGGCGCAAGAAGGTGCAGCTGCACCTCCCCTCGCCAGAAAAACCATTGTAGGTGCTTCAAATTGCCCCTTTGCTCAATTGGTGTACAGATTACCTTATTTCCATTTTCAACATTTAAGTAAATGTCTTTGTCTTTTTACTTTTATTTATTTTTATATTACTCCATTTACTTAAGTTTACAATGTAAATAAGGAAGTACCCCCCATTTGGATTCAAATAAAAATACTAGAAAATCAAATTCCCACAAAATCAAAATATGAAAATTCGGTTTTAGTGCAAAATACGATTTAGGCTAAAAATGATGGCTCATTAAGTCAATATATACTTCATACTAAAATCCTATAAAATCAAGTTTTCTTATTTGATGTATAAGGAATAAAAGCCGCCAAAAATTTAAAGTAATTTAATAATCAAAATTAAATTCAATAGGGCCAGCAATAATTTTTTGTTTGTTTATAGGAATTAAGGGCCAGTTTGGCATTGATGTGCTGTGAAAATAATCACTATCAGATTTGCTGTGAGGGAAATTAGCTATAAGAGAAAGCAGTTTGGCGTTTAGTAAACTTTTTGTTAAAAATGTTGTTGGTACTGATTCCCACATAATCATATATGGCTTGTTTGGGAGTGATTTTGGATAGGCCAAAAAGCACTTCTATGGAGAATCAGTTTAAGTAATTTTATAGAGAAGCACATGGAAGCTGCTTCTCTGCAAATTCACTTAAAATGATTATATAAAGAAGCACGTGAGAGGTTCTTCTTCCTAGAAGTGATTCTGGCATATCTAGAATCACTCCCAAACGAGCTATAAATGAAAGTACCTCAATAGCTGCTTTCCCTTATAGCTTTCTCTCACAACAATTTTTAACAATAAATGATTTTCTCATAGTTTACCAAATGAGTTGGGCTTCCCAATTTTTTTTAAAAAATCACTTATCACCCCAAATAAATAATGTCAAAACAAGCACTAAATGGTGTATGGTTTATTTATATTTTTAGTTATAAGAATGAGTATATGACTAAATATCTCAATAAGTAATCGCATATATTTAGTAGCTAAGAGATGACTGCGAAAGAGAACTTGGAACTAACATATTTTTTTTATGAAATTGGAACTAAAATATTTTGATCAAACATAATCCTGTCAAGACAATAGAAGATAAACAAAAAATATTATATTTTACTTCGTCAAATCAAATTCCTATAAACTGATTATATTGAACCGAACTTGTCCATCAATTAGATATTAATTGTTCTAACGTTGGCGATTTACCTCGTTTTATTAAGACTTCATGGGACTCTTGTTTATGGGTGAGTTTTTCTCTTGTCTTTTTCCTAAGTAATTTATGAACCATTTTGTAATATATTTGGGGTGCAGCTAGGTTCAAAACTCAAAGCTTACATAAAAGTATTGACTAGTCACTAGCTACTATTTTGTGTTTATTAATTCGAAATTAAACACGAGTGCTGTTATTTCCACTCACCTGTCATATTTTCCCACCCACATATTTTTAAACTTTTAAAGACAAATTTAACCCTATTGTAAAATGACTTAAAAGGACTTAAGGAAAAAGAAAGAGGAAAAAAAAAAGCAGACTTCTCAATTCTCAAGTAACCCTATTGTTTGATAGAGAAAAAAAACACAAGAATACGACTCATTGCTCATGAGAAGGTGAAAAAGGCGAGTACTGTTGTTTTTCCCTTATTTGTTTGGCTTTGTACTCTTTGACATTCCCATGTCTTAAGAATGGGCGTTTTATATTTTTTTTATTGCAAAGTTCAATAGATTTTTGGTCCTTGGATAACTCTAGAGAAAAAGTTTATTTACAATAGTAGAAAGCTAAGAGCATAAATTTGATTATATTCACATAATCCATATTTGCAAAAATAAAAATAAAAATTACAACAAAAAACTATTTTAGTTAAGTAAACATGAGAGATAGAGAAAGAGACAGAGAGGGAGTGTGAGAGATGGAAAATAAGATAGAGCAAAAATGAAAGAGAGATGTGTGGGCCATTAGAGAGAGAGAAGACATGAGCAGAGAGAATAAAGGAGAGAGGAAATGAGGTAATAATTAAAATGGTATTTTAGAAATATTGGTGGATGTAAAAATAGGATTGTGTTTTTTAAAATTTATATGGTGGGTGGAAAGATAAGATGGGTGAGAAAATAAGACAGGTGTGTGGAAATAGGAGCACTCTTAAACACTTATGTGAAATAGACTGAAGTTTTGGGCACTTTTGGCTCAAGCCAACTTTCCAACCGGAATTTCTGTCATTTTTGGCTGAAGCCAACATTTTTGAAAACTTCATCACTTCGTATATTTTTCATTCAACATTGAAGTTAAATATTAAAAGAATATAATATTTCCAACCAATTGCAACTTTCATGCTTCGATTAAGGGCTCGTTTGGGAGTGCTTTTTCCCGAAGCTCTTATGTTAGTAGCGTTTATGCCAAACGAGCCCTAAATGTACAAGAGCTTCAAAAATAATGCTTATGGTCAAAAACTTGGGAAGCCATGGAGTTAAAAGGTGGAATAAAACAATGCCTCCTGAGTTGATAGTCAGAGTAGGCAATCTTCTTCTAAACTGGAAAAAACAACAACAAACAAAACAAACGTCTTCTATCACCCCAATTTCATATTATTTTTAATTTCAAATTTATCTCCCCTAGGCACTTCTCCACTGTCTTTAATCACCCCTACCCCCTGCCTGCGATGGCAGTGGCTGCCAATTTCCGTCACCCCAACCCAATCATCGTCATCTCTTCAGCAACCCATTCAAATCACGTAAGAAAAACTATACATCTCTTCCACCAAAAGGAATGCTCCCTGCAATGGCCTCCACAAAGAATCCCTACCTAGCGTGAATACGTTTAACGTTCCATCTATAATGCCTTTTTCTAGGTTCCCAGGATGTGAAGAAATGGAGAACCTTATACTCGTTGGTAAGCGGACTGAAGCCAAAGCTATACCCAGCAATTGCATTCCTCTTGGATAGTGGCACCACTCTGAAGATCCTCCCACCTCAAATATACTTGGATGGTCGTCAGCCTGCCAACTAGAAGAAATTTTAAAATTATAGTCACCAAACTCTTGAGCAAAATCTTCAGCTAGTGGCACCACTCTAAAGATCTCCTCTCTAACGTCAAATACCACTATCGTTTTCTTCATCCCATCGAACCAATGTATGGCCCCATTGACGCACACACTTCCAAAACTACGTGCCACAACCGATATCTCAAAAAGGTGGCAACCGTCGCCGACAGGGTCTACCTGCAAAGGCCTCCACGAAGAATCCCTACCTAGCGTGAATGCGTTGAACCGAAAATCCCCAATTTCCGATGAGATGATCTGGAGAACCTTATACTCGTTGGTAAGTGGGCTAAAGCCAAAGTGATATATATCGAATTCATTGTGCTCTCTATCCAGGGACGGACCCAGGAATATGAACTCGTAGGGTCATAGTGTAAAAATTTTAAAAAAATCATAGTGTAAAAATTCAAAATTTTTTTTAAAGATTAAAATAACATTGAAAATGAAATAATAGTACATTCATTCATAATTCATGTTAAAAACAACATTACAAATTACAATTGGCCACAACGAGGTTTCATATTTTGAAAACGTAGCATTATAGCTTCATTTTCAATACAATCAAAAACATGCCAAACAAATAAGCAACTCAGTGTTTACCCCATTAAAACGAGCATCTAACTCCGTAAGTTGCTCATCAATAACATAAATAAAGAGCTTCACACGATAATGATGACGAAAACGGTTCACTGATCATGTAGGCGAAAACGGTACATTAATCAAAGCCCTATAACTAAAGTAATGAACTTCAGAAGATTTTGAAGAAATTTTCTACTTGGAGCTGCAGAACCATTCAAAGGAGAAGGAGAAGAAGAACCCCCCCCCCCCCCCAGCACTCTTAAGGAGTTATCCACCGCTTCTCACATTGTTTTATTGTTTTTGAAGCGGCCCAATCACAAAGCACCACATGTTTACTTGTTTTTTCCTTTATTTATTCATTTATACAAACTTGTTAACTTGTCCTTAACTCAAGAGCGAAGATTGGTTGAGCAAGTTATAAGTAAGCAACGGGATTATAACAAGAACATGAAAGCAGCTTAGCAGAAGGAGGTATTTGATTGGTACTTGGTAGTGCATCTTAGGAGTCGTTATTGATCAGTTATTTATTTGAAGCAGGTAGATTGCTACTTGGCTGGCAATGGTGGTGGTAATTTTTAACAGGTAGATCCCTTTGGTTTTCACTCCTTGTTAGGTCGTTTAAAGAAATTTTATGTAATCAAAGGGTCTGTTATCACTACAATCTGTTTTATTTTTATTTTTCAAAGGCCTGGACCAAAACGACGTCGTTTTGGCCAGGTCTTTTAAAAAAAAATTCGGTGCTGCTGGTCCAAAACGACGCCGTTTTGGTGCCAGCGCATTAAAAAAAAATTTCGCTGGGTTCAAAACGACGCCGTTTTGGATCCAACGGTTTTTTAAAAAAAACAGACCTGCAGCTCCCCTGTTCATCTTCTTCTTCCTCAGATTTGCAGCTCCTCCTTCACCATTCATGGGGTCACACACAGGTTCAAAGGGACATTCTACCTTACGTTCATGGAGTCCATAGGGTCGTTTGACCCCATTGACCCCACTGTGGGTCCGTCCCTGTCTCTATCTATAATTACACGGGAAGTTGGATGGACTATCGAGTGGTAAGGATGAGTACGAAAACAGGGCTACGGAAATAGTTGTACGCACAAATCAAGCCATGGACTCTCTGCACTTTATGAAAAAATTATAGAAAATTAGTTAAATACCCATTTCTAGACATAAAACTATAAAAATACCCTATATTATTTAATGTATATAAACATACCCAAAATAAACCCAAAAATCAACAGCTGTATATTTTTAATTTAATTATTAAAATTAAATACCTTTATTACCCTTTTAACATAAAATTGGAATTCTAATCAACAACAGATCAGAACCCATTTCACGACCTCCGGTCTCTCATCTTCATCTTCAACCCCAATTTTCAGTTTTTGTTCTTCCACCTCAGTTTTTGTTCAACCTCATCATTCTAAGCTTCGTCGGAGGGATCGCCTGGGCTACCGACAATGATGCGCTGGAGAGGGCCTTTTCTCCGTTCGGTGAGATCATCAAATCGAAGAGCCGTTTGATGCATGTTCTCTCTCTGCTTCTTGATATTCTGTTTCTCTATGTTACTTGATCTTTCTCTCCAAAAGATTAAAGATCGATCGATTCCTTTCCATTTTTGTTTATTATTGTGTATTTGTTTGATTATACTCCATCGTTTTTGTTTTGATAGACGGATTTGATTTGATTTGGTTTCTTCTTGTGTTTCCAGATCATCAACGACCGGGAGGTCCAGGGGCTTCGACTTCGTCACCTTCAACAATGAGAAGGCCATTAGGGACGCGATCGAAGGCATGAACGACCAGAACCTCAACGGCCGTAACATCACCGTCAACAAGGCCTAGTCTTGTGGAAGCGGCAGTGGTGGTAACGGAGGTTACAGCTCCGGAGGTGGCGGCAGAGGATATGGTTGCGGGCATTCACTTCACTAACTGCTCCAAAGTCCAGTTCACCATGAATCCGTATCATTGCTCAGCTCAGCAGCTCTTCTGTCTCAACCGTCAGTCAGTAGTCCTCCTTCCTTTCTAGTTCCTAGTCATAACTGAGATGCTATTGCCTTGCCTTGTTTTGCCCTTGCTCCTTACTTTATTGATGATGATTGATTTTGTCACATTAGCTAAAGCTGAAGTCGTATATGGTGCTAGTATTAACTATTGAATTTCATGCTCTTTGCATTCCTAATTTCTAACGAATTTTTATCTTGGTTGATGATTGTCTTAGATTGCTCAATATTTATTTAAAAAAATATTGTCATTTCCCCTATTTTGGTTATACTTTTTGTTTCTCTTTTGCCCTTTTTTGCCTTGCCTTTTTCATGAGAGAGAAGAGATTGCTCTCCTAGGGTGATTCAGACTAAGAATATGTATTGGTAGAAAACTTTTTATTGAATAGATTCTGCCTGCAACAACTTATTTTAAATATTCCTATATAGCACACGAGGACTTGCACCAAACCAAACTTCTTCTTCTTCTTCTTCTTCTTCTTCTTCTCTTCTTCTTCTGTATATTTATTTATTTGGTTGTTATTGAGAGAGAGAGAGAGAGAGAGAGAGAGAGAGAGAGAGAGAGAGAGTTGGGTTGGTGTGCGTACGTGTGTATGTGTGGGACTGATCTTTTATACAAATTGAAAAACTCTCTCTGTCTCTCCAGAAACTTTTGTTGGATCAGTTAAAAATTGAAGAAGAATCCTCTGAGATTTCTTGAATAAAGTTTCAATAATGTATCACACTACTAGCTTTGCCATGCTACTATGTATTATGGTGCCCATATTAATCTCTACATATTTATCCGTTGACTACATAAAAATGACCTTTAAAGCAACAACTTTAGTATAATTATTGTCATTTAAACATTTATCTATCTTTCTTGTTGCAAACTCATAGAGATTGGTAGGTCCATGGAGGTCCTGAAAAAGGAGATATTTTATTTATTTCATTGTGTAACGAATTAACATTACAATATATGTAACCACTTAACATTACAATAACTTTATATTGAAATTTTGACGTGGGGAGTTAATGGTTTCATATTATCCCTGTAGTTTGTAGTGAAATAGCAGACTATTCAAATTCTATGTACTATTTCACCTTATCAGTTATGCGCTTTGGGCTTATAATTGTTATCTGTGTTGTTCCAATTATTCTATTATGCTTAATTATTTTGTTCTTATTTCGTATTGTCAAATTTGGTGAACAACCTTGGTACCATTGCAAGGTCTGGCACCAAGGAATTTATGGAAGCCTTGGCTGCTGGTGCATATCTTGTTGTAGATAAAGTTATTGTTACCACCAAGCACAATGATGATGAGCAATATGTGTGGGAGTCGCTCCGATTCAATGTTTATGGTATGTGGAGTGATGAAGGATCAATTAATTATGCAAATGAAATGATGTAATTGATTTTGAGTGGTATGAAGTTGTACACTTTTATTGTACCGATTATGCAAATGAAATGATGTAGTTGTTAACTTCCAATAAGTGGTATGAATAGTATAACAACTGTTCATACCTTGCAACTAAGTTGATTTCTATGACATAGTATTAACAGTGTACCTTTTTTTTTCCTTTTTGTAGAAGTATTTCTTTTTGCCTTTGCGATTGTATATGATGAAACTATGAACAATTGGAGGTGGTTTATGCAAAAGATATCAGATGTCTTGCTGGGTTGTTTTAGTTTTTTTTTAAATTTTTTTGTATGAAATGGTATTAACAATATACTTCTATAAAATGTTATTAACAATGTACTTCTATCACATGATATTAACAGTATACTTCTATGAAATGATATTAACAATGTACTTCTATCATATGGTATTAACAATGTACTTCTATCACATGGTATTAACAATGTACTTCTATCACATAGTATTAATAGTGTACAAAGGTTCAGTGGAGAAGGGTCGTAAGGATAGCTCCTTAATTTTCACGATTTTTTTTTAGTTTGGGTTTTTTTTTAAGTTTGGGTTGGACTTGTTTTGGGTTCTTTTTAGTTTTTTGTGTCGGGCTTGTTTTAAGTTAATCAATGGTAGAGATGTAATTTATAGGAACTTCAACACTCATTTCTTATTTGGTAAATAGGTTTTGGGTGTGTTTCTAAAGTGCATTTAATGTGGGGTTTTTTTTAATAATTTCAGACCCTATTTTGGGTATATTACTAAAGCTCCCAAAAAATTATACAAATTTATAAATAAACCCAATCCTAGACATGTATTTATAGAAAAACCCAAGCACTATTTAAACATAAAAACACACCCAAAATCAACATCAAAGTCAACTTTTTGGGTGTGTTTATAAATGGATTTTGAGTGTGTGTAATGATGGGTCTTGGGTGTGTTTATATGTTTAAATAGTGCTTGGATTTTTTTATAATTTAAGCCTCCATTTTGAGTGTTTTAGTGAAACTCCCTTATAATCGTCAAAACGTTCGAGAGCTTTGCACCAAGTCCTGTATGAAAGTTCGGCGACAGGTGTTGGAATTATAATATTATTATTATTCCCTCCTCCTTTTTGTTAAGCCAAGCCACAAACTCTGAAACTTCGGAGCATGACAAAATTTATTTATGAATAATAAATAGACTCTGACGCTAAAATTCATTATGCTATTGCGTCCAATAAAAAACTATACTCACCACTTTGCCAATCTTCCCTATTGTTTGCCATTAATATTCAACTATGCCATTATTGCAACACAAAAGTATCAACTTTCAAAGATAAGAAAAAGCAGACATGGGATTAGCCAAGTTGGCTAAAGCGAATGTGCTCCCCATTATGCACCCGAGTTCGAATACTTCTTCTTGTAATTTAGATTATATTAAAGTATACTATCGCTTGTATAAAGAGTTAAAAATAAAATTAAAAAAAGCTTTCACAAATGGTCTGAAGGCCGTCCATGCATATTTTAACCTTATTATTGTGCCAGTAAGGTCAACAAGTTCCATTCAGCTACTTAAAAAGAAGATTCTTAACCAGTAGACATGCGCAAAAGCAAATGAAGATAATTCCTGACAGAAAGTTACAATTGACTGCAAGCTGCTAGTTACTTGTTCAACTAATAAGGTATCTGAGTTCTGTAGAGGATGTGTCTTTACATATCCTAATCATGGATCATACATCTCATCATGCTATCAATTCTGGATTATCCCCTCAGCTCTCATGAGATGGCACACTTTAAACATGAACCTAGCTTTTCAAAGATGCACAAGAAAAACCCTAGTTGTAGAAAAACATGGCAGGATAGGAAATTGTGAATGCCACGAAACCATGAGGTTGGGAATGGGACACAAGTACGTTCAGTATTAAGCAGAGATGAAAAGTAAGCCTTCAAAATTGAGAAGTACATTGAACCTCTTTGTACTGATCTTGTTGAACCAATTCCACAATTATTTTAGCAACAGAGCTTGGTTTTTCCACATGAGGAAGGTGTCCGCAATCTGGTATTTGTCGTATAACTGCATTTGGCAGTTCACAGTGCAATCTCTGCCATATATATAAATATCAAGAACCACAGGATTATCAAACTGTACAGAATTGTCATATGTGGAAAGATGAAATGTTCAATAGGTCAAAACACTACCCAAATAAGAGAGAAAAGTTTGTGCACTGTCAAAATTTCTCTTCAAATACCTTTGAAAAGATTGTTTCCAGATATATTTAATAAGACATGGCAGTCATATTTGTATCATGATCTCTATTTATGCCTAAAGAAAGAAGAGAAGTACTACCACTCCAAGCTTGCTGCTAATAATCTGGTCATCCTCACCCCATATGATAAGAGTCTTCTGTTTTACCTGCCAAACAAAATGCGGATGATATTATGAAACAAATATCAGATTTTGGGCATTCTAAAATGAAGAAAACTTCAAATGCAAGGGCATTTCATCCATACGTTCTAAGAGTATAGAAAAGCTTAATCCAATCAAGTTAACAAAAGATTAATTGATTTTATTCCTCTTGCCAAGAGATAAAGGACTTACGTGAGTATAAAACTACAATCTCTATCTCTCTCTCTCTCCTGTTTTGTCTTTTTTTATAATCATGTGAACTAAGAAACTTGCAATGTAGTAAAACACCACCTATTCACCTTTTGGCAGAAGGGATCCTTTTTCCCATAGGCAGGATTATTTTTCAAAGAACTTCTCAACTCAAATATTTATTTATTTATTTTAAAGTCAGACATACCTGTTCTATCTGGGCGCTAACATTATAACCCCCACTCATCATGAAATCCACAGTTGCATCCTCCCACCAAGGAAACAGACAATGCAAGCGGCCCACCTATATAAGATTACAACAAACAACATAATTAAATCTCTCCAGCCTCAGAAGATCCTGAGGGGATAAGAAATTGTAAAATTTATCTATATAAATATTGCATTATCTTCTTTCAAATAAAAACACTTACATTAGTCCAATCTAAACTGGTACTGAGTGATATGCCACTGAAGCACAAAAAGTTTACATAGAAGCGCAGTGGGAGACTCTTTAATAAATATACCTGGCCAAAAAAATTCCCTGTAGTCATTGTAATGAGGATAAAATGATCAACATGGCTTTGGCAATGATCTCAGAATCACAGAAATTATAGCCTTTAGGAGGACATGATCTTAACAGAGAAATGGTGAAGATAACGTGTAGACAACAATGGATTTGAGGAAATGGTGAGTTGAGTAAACTCTCACTCCAGCATAGGCTAACATTTTAGGCATGCTTGCTAGATCTCCAGTGCCTTCTGTATACACACTTGCATCAATCAAAACCAGCCTTTCGACCTGAAAAGGTAAGCTGAAGACTTCTAAATTTCATGGTACATTGAAGATACTAATTATAAAAACCCTGTTCGATGCATTACTTGGAATTTCTTTCAAAATGAATTTTCATTCTAAGATCAAACATTAGAGATCACTTACAGCTTCTGGATGGCTGACTGCAAAGTCAATTGCAACAGCAGCACCAAGGCTTGGTCCAACCAATATCATTGGCTTTTTGATGTAGGACTTCCAAAGCTGCCGTGAATTTGAAACAAATCATTGCTAGTCTGATCAGCAGATAAATACAGAGTCTACTCAATAATATTAGGAATAACTTCTTCCCACAAATGACTGGCACAAACTTCTCTTCATATTAAATAAACAAAACCAATGAAAGAGGCATTCAAGAAATAAAATAACCCACCTGGAAAAAATGGTCACGCTTAGAGGCCACATTGCAGGAGGGAAGTCTTTCTGACACATACAAAACAAAATGTGCAAAAGAAAGAAAGAGTTAATTTTTCTTTCTCTACGAAAGGATATGACATAAAAAGAGGGCAATTATAAAAAAAACAAAAATTTTGGTCTCAAACAATGAAAGGAGCAAACCCAAATCAGAGAAACCCCAGCCAAGAATGTCAACAGCCCAAGTCTCCAAGCCAGCTTCCTCAAGCAATGGATAAGTGTATCTCCATTCTAAACAGGAGCTGAAAAATAAGAGACTGAGAACTTCAAAGACAAATATATTTAAAAGTAAAAAACCAAACCAAACAAAAAAAAAAAGATTTTTCCTAAGGACCTGTCAAAACCATGGAGAAGAACCACTGGACTTGCGTTGCTCTGTACCAATGGCTTCACACAACTACTCATCACACAATTTTCTCCAAAACTCACCTGCATTAATTTAATATTGCCCAGGTAGCTACAGAAATTAAACACACTAAATTAAAGAAAACCGTGAAGAGAAAATTGAAGAAATGGATGGGAGAGCTAGAGTTACAGGCAGCCTTTCGATTCGTGCAGCCAGCTTTCGAGCGAAAGGGTCTCTGATCTTCTCGACCTCTTTGGGAAGGAAAGAAGGGAACCCAGCAACGGACCGGACCCTGAAGCCTCTTTGGATTGTGCATTTCGCGGCAATGGATGGTGTAGAGCCGCCTGCGAGACTTAGCATATTTGGTCACCTGCAGGGGAGATTAACATCGGGCAGAAGTGAAACGCAGATGCAGTGTTTTCTCTATCGTCTACAAACTCTGTTTACTCTATCCCCGAGGAAGAAGACGTCGGTTTGCGTGGCATCTTATGTTTGTGTGGCGGGAGCTTATTGTCAACACGGTGCGTTTCGCACTTGTCCTCGCTCTTGGTGGACTGGGCCAAAGCCCAAAGAACAAAAGTATTTGGACCCAATAACACGGTAACACCTCACATACGGACCCTTTTTTGATGAGTTTTCAACACATGTTATAATGTGGCTGATTTTTCACTACCATCCTTTCCTGTAGGGATGATAAAGGTCCAATTCAAGGTCGGGTATGGCAATATCATCTTTGTCCTCGTCTTCCTTGCATGTTCTCGTCTCTGCCCCTATTTCTAATAATTATTTTTAAGGAATTCCTATAAGGAGCTATCTCTCCAACCCGTCTCGAATCCCCAACTTTTTTAAATTTAAAATAATATTTATTCTACATTTATAAAACTACCCAAATTCATCTAAATTTAAGTTGACAAAATTAAATAAATTTTATATTATATCAATTTTTAAAATTTAGAGATTCTTGTACCCACTCTCGATTTCCCCTAATATCTCTCCCTATTAGAGGTCAGACCCGATGTGGACTTCTGCAATTCCTAGTAGCACATAATAAGTTTTTTCAAATACATTTTTTTGCCTACATGACCAATTTTTATATAATAAATTTATTTTATAAATAATGAAAATGTGATTAACTAATATAATAAAGAATATTCTCTCTTTTATTTAAAAAAAAGAAAAAAAGAAAAAAAGAGAGACTATTCTCTCGATAATTTAAAATAAATATCGAATGAGCCCAATTTCTGAATTTAAAAGTATTTTTTAGTTTTTTCTTGTTGGTCACCGCGGGAAGAAAGCCGTTGCAACGGCGAAATAGCGCCAAACGTACACATGAATTTCATGGAAGCTGGACTAAAACTCTGGACCCACAATAGTCAGTCTAAATATGCTCCACGTGTAACTTCACGTTTCATCCGACGACCATAATCCAATACAGACCCATTGGGTTCGCCCTCCAAATAGCCAAATCTCCGAATCCAATTTCCTAAAAAGGAAAACAAAGAAGAAAAGGCGTGAGAGCTCTCACACAGTGAAAGAGAGAAACCGCCATGGATCCACAGCAGCAGAGACCAGGAGCTCCACAGCATCGTCCTCAACCTCCGGCTCCAGGCGGAGGCGGCGATTCTTCGGCCGTTCTCTTCGTACTCTTCGGTTTCCTAGCCATCTTCGCCTTGGTAACCCCCTTTACACCTTATGCTTTGCTCTCGTCCTGAGAACCATGGCGTTGTCCTCTTTGTCACCTTCTTCATCAAACTCTTTTTTCACTACTGATTTCTTTTGTATTTTAGGATATTCTTTTCTTCCATCGGACTTTAGGTTTTGCCTTCGAGCTTAAGTTTGGTTCTGGTTGAACTAATTGCTCTAGCTTGTTTACAATGTCACTGCTCTTGATTTTCACGTATTGCACGCTTAAATTTCGTTTTTCATATAGTTTACAGTTTCTTAATGCGTTTGTTCGTATCATTAATGCTTAAATTTTTGCAAAGCTTGCATGTATCTAGTAAAGTGAATCTGCTCTTGTTATGTGCTTATTCCATAGTAATTTACCTCTTTATTAAAAGCAAAGAATTGATTTCGAAGTATGTGATTTCTTTATAATGGTTTTGAATCCATTTTCAGCTATCTCAATTGTCTTTCAGGAATTTGATGCATAACTTATATTAAATACAGCATGGCACTCTATGATGCGGAAACTAAGATTATTCCTGGCATGTCAAGCAATTACCTCAAACAATTGTGATTGTTAAGTGTAGCATTTGGCTTAATACATGTGTCTATAACGACCTACTCAGGTTACTGGTCAAATACAAAATAGATTATCATTCAGAACGAGTCACGAGGCATACTTCCATAATGATAGCCGTAGTAGATTGGATACAATTTTTGCTAATTGTTATGATATGCTAGCCAGGGAACTTCGAGTATTATGTTAAATTCTTAAAACCTGGGATGTGTTCATATTTACAGACGATGCTTCCATCAACATCATTATCCATTCTTCACCAAGTTCCAGAAGGTCATGTCGGGGTATATTGGAGAGGAGGTGCACTTCTGAAGACTATTACTGATCCAGGTAATTCGCCTTGAGCAGTTCCTTGCATAGGGACTTAAATTTTTTCTGCTTCTAATTATTTCAAATTTCAGGTTTTCATCTCAAGCTGCCCCTGGTAACCCAGTTTGAACCTGTTCAAGTCACCCTTCAGACTGATCAGGTAACTTTGTTGACGCTCTGAAAATTTAGGATTTTGTCTTTCCATTCTTATACTTGAACCCTTCTGTCAAAAAATTTGCAGGTGAGGGATATTCCATGTGGTACAAAAGGAGGTGTCATGATCAATTTTGAGAAGATAGAGGTAGGGCTATATTACTGAGAAGTCAGATTTCCAATATTCTCAATGTGTGTGCACTGAGTGGGGTTCCTTTTTCAGGTTGTAAACCGGCTTCGTAAAGAATTTGTGTACGAGACACTTCTCAATTATGGTGTGCAATATGACAACACGTGGATATATGACAAAATTCATCATGAGATCAATCAGTTCTGCAGCTCTCATTCTCTTCAAGAAGTATACATTGATGTGTTCGATCAGGTAAGCAAATGACCGTCACCTTTTTCCATATGTAGTTTCTCTACAACATATGCAGTCTGCCCGATACAGAGCATAACTTTTTTCCTTTTCTCTTTTGTGATGTGAACCTGAGGGTCGTGGCATACATTGGGAAAAAATTATTTGTTGGCTCTGGCATTTGATTTTATGTTTTCCTCCTGGGGTCAGTCATGCGTTCTACTGTTATGTCTCCACAAAGGAGCTGTTGATTAGGTGCTTTGCTGTTGCTGTTATAGATATTTGTTGAGCTTCTGATGCTGTTAAGGATCTTGTGGCACTTCCCTTTCTCTTACCATTTTGGAACGTCCTGTATTAATGAGATAGTTTGTTTTATAATATTCATGGCTTAAATTTTTTTATCTTTTAGTTATGTCCAAAACCTCATATTTTTTACTTGTCTATCATCCAAACAATATATTCAACCTTTTCAGATTGATGAAAAGATGAAAGAAGCTCTTCAGGGTGACTGTACACGTTATGCTCCAGGTATTGAAATTATCAACGTACGTGTTACAAAGCCTGCCATCCCAGAGAGTATAAGACGCAACTTTGAACAAATGGAAGAGGAACGGACTAAGGTAAAGATAAGAAGAGTTCATTTCATTCTATTTCTTCATCCATAGTTTTGTTGCAAACGTTGAATGATTACTAAAATAGAAATTTATGTATCCTTACACCGCATCTAACTTATGCAATAATTTATCTATTCTGATTCTACTTCCTGCTCTTTTAGGTTTTTTTGTTGAATTTTACAATTTTGTTTACACATTTTCCCTAAAAATTACAGTTCTCCAGTGCAATTGACACATAAGTCTCTTATGCGTTCAGTTTTACTCTTCCAAGTACTTGATGCCCAAACATCTGAAAAAAAAACCTGTAGTGAGATTTTAGGCTAACCTTTTCGTACAGTTACGGGATGCTTTATCATATCAGGGGTGTTGGGTGTTACTGTGTAGGTCTTAATTGCTATAGAGAGACAGAGAGTGGTGGAGAAAGAGGCAGAAACCAAGAAGAAGATGGCTATCAGTGAGGCTGAGAAGAATGCCAATGTGAGCAAGATTCTCATGGAACAAAAGTTGACGGAGAAGGACAGTTCCAGGAGGCAGGCGGAAATCGAAAATCAGATGTATACAGCGAGGGAAAAGAGCCTTGCAGATGCTGATTTCTATAAAGTAATGAGAGAAGCTGAAGCAAACAAGTTGAAGCTTACTCCACAATTTCTTGAGCTTAAATTCATCGAGGCCATAGCTGACAATACCAAAATTTTCTTTGGAGACAAGGTTGGTCCCTGCCTCGAATGTTTTATGTGTTATTTGTGTTTTTGTGTCCTGGTGCAATCTTTACTGAGTAGCTTTGTTCTGCACTCTGCAGGTACCTAATATGGTTTTGGATCAGAGGTTGCTGGGGAACTTCTTGCAGGTTTCCAAAGAAGTTTCCAAGGAAGTTAACTTGGAATCTGGCTCTGGGGAGGATAATCCTGAAGTTCAATTTGTCTGATGCATTGCTATATCTTAAATGTTTGGATTGGTACATACATACTCTGAACACAATAGGGAGAAAGAAAAACCATTGAATTTTGCAGCTAAATTTGTTGATTTTTCTCTTTAGTTATATGTCCTCAATTGCCCTTCTCTATTTGCTCTTTAAGAGCTTAAAATTTCAGGTTAATATGTTTCCAGAGATAACCTAAATTATGCTGGCGACAGTCGCTCACTACATGCAGGTGGCTCTGTGGAGTGGCTGTTAACATTTGACGTATTATGAGACCCGGTTAACAGCCACTTGCCGCGTGAGCCGTTACTCTATATATGGCATTAGTACGTTACCTTATTTTCATCAAAACATATGTTGGTGATTACGAGTAATCGAAGCACATTGGAATTGTTTTCTGATTATAACATGCGGATCGTTTATTTCCGTTTTTGGTCGTGACTCGTGACAAGGGGATTGTTATGTTATCTCTTGGACTCGTGTTAAGAATTGAAGGGGTTGCTGTCATGGTGTCCCTTGTTGTAGAAACTTCTCTTTTTGACACGTGCGTACTCTTCAGAATAAAAACATCACGTGTCACTGTTGCTCTTCTCATTCGAAAGTTCCAATTTGGAAACGTACGTGTGACGAAGAGTATCCATATCACAGAGGTCTGATGTGGCATGGTACGCAGTGACTGCTATAAATGCTCACATCTCAACGATCTGTATTGTCAACAACGATGCTTCATCCCCATCAAATTTTTGGGTGCCAATATTGATATCAAAACGTGAATTGAAATAAAGCCAATATTGATATCAAAACGTGAATTGAAATAAAAAAAGAAAAGAAAAGATGCAGGACCACCTAATTTTATCGCTAACAACTAAAACAGAGGTTCTTTTTTATTTTTTTGGGCCAAAAAAGCCAAAAAGTTTCATAGTAAGGAAACTTTGTATGAACAAGGCAACTCGTATTATATTTTAATAATTATTGGCATTTTATTGTAGAGTTATTTACATTAACATCCCTTAAATTTTTTTGGTGTTTTCACAAAATCCTCAATGTTTTAAAAATTAGGGCTTGTCCAATATAGATCCATACATTTTCTATTTCCTAGACATATACCCATCACTCCATAAATCTATGTGTAAAACCCAATTTCAAATTTAAATGACCAGTAGAATATAAAAGGTCGTAGTATTTCTATGTTTTTACATCGTTGCCACTAAACTTCATATTTTATTTATAATTTATTTCAAGCATTTCATTAACTGTCATAATTGTAATTAATATACTCCCTATTAATAGCATATCAATCACCCCATTTCTTATAGTTGTCATTCCCTCTCACATCTCGCCCCCTAAAATTGCAAACAAAAAAAAAATCTGTAAATTACATATCCAATAATGTACTTATGAAAATTATAATATAAATATATACATATAAAATATAGGTATCCAATAAATTACATATCCAATAATGTACCTATGAAAAATAGGTACATTATTAGAGGAAAAAAATAGGTAAGTTATTTGGAGAGAGAAAATAGGTTCATTTAAAAAAATTACTTTTAATAAAACAAATAATAGGTACTTTATTCAAAGAAAAAAGGCTATATTATTTATAGAAAAAAAATAAATTACATTATTTAGATAAAAAATAGGTACATTATTTAGATAAATAATAGGTACTTTATTCGTAGTAGGTATATTATTCAAATGGTAGGTACATTGGATGACATATAATACCTAAATCCTAATTGTAAGTACATTAAAATTAATGTAGGTATATTGGATGTCGTATAATGTAGGTATATTGGAATAGATAATTATGTACACTTTTCATACTAGGTAAATTATATTTTTCATAAAACAAACAAGTAATAGGTACATTATTTTTTCAACATAATTAGTATGTATAGTTTTATTCATAAACAATTATAAAGTGGATTATTAGTCATGTATAATTCATAAAAAGAAAATAACATAAACATTTTATTAAACAAACCGATTACCCAAATTTGAATTTATTGTTAAATTTTTTTTTAAAATGTTTCAAAATTAATTCCTACATCCATTACAACCATTTGGAGATCTTTCCAAATTCAACATCTGTCATTATATACAATTCAATTACAAACTGTTTCCATATTGATTTCTACATTAATATACAAAATGCAATAATGGCTTAGTTGGGGTATTTTTGGAATCTAAAAAGTACAATAAATCAGATTTTATGCTTAATTAGGTAACTTGCTGAGTTGAATCCTAGTCATGGGTTTTTACTTATACAAATTGGGTATTATTTATAGGAACAAAAAGTGAAGGGTTTTAGGTACGGCAAATTGAATTTGAAGGGTGTAAGCCAAATTTACTATAAAAATTACACAAACAATCGTTCAGGTTTCAGATTGTTTTCACAAAATCCCTTTTCATTGATTGTTCGTCCAAAAATGGATGATTTCATTTAAGAAAAGCTTATGTAAATGAAAAAAATTAACTTTAACTAATGCACGTGCAATCTAATCTCATAGGTTAACTTTGTCATTTGGAGAAATCTTTTTATATAATAAAACCATCAATCTTCGGACGAAAATAAATGAAAATGTGTTTTATGAAAACAATTTAAAACTTAAGTGGTGTTCGTGTAATTTATAAAACTTCAGAAAGTTTTTGTGAAAACACTGAAAAACTCAAGGATATTATTGTAAATAACTATGTATTTTATTTTATATTACAAAAGGGGTTATGCATTTTCCCCTAATTTCGGAGGCAAAAATTGCTTCATTTTAGAAGATTTTAAAAGAGACTTGATGATGTCACTGATACCATTTTTTTTTCATTAAAAAAAAAAAAAAAAACAACAAAAAAAAAAAAAAAAAAAAAAAAAAAAAAAAAACTTTCTTCCGTTGATTAAAGTTTGGAATTGGCAATTATTTAACTATGGTCGAGATAAAATATTCTACTTTCTTTAAGAGATGGCATCATCAAGTAAGGCGATATGTTGACTATTTTGGGCAATCATGACACGAGCCGTGGAAATTTCCACGAAAGCAAAAGTCCATCTCAGGAAACACATATTCATTCAAGATTCCAGTTCACCAGAGTCGTAAACTATTGATATTCTGAAAACCAGGCACTGTCTAAAAGACGTACTTTTCAACGCCTTCAACAAAACCGCTACATCTACAACTACAAGTTCTTCACCTTCTCTGGTTCATGTTCTTGCATCCTCCAAAAGCTACTGTTTTTATTGAGCAAACCGGTTTCATATCAAATGGGGTTCATTGAAAGATTCCCAAGGCTTCTGAGGAGAACATGAGGTTCATTTCTTTCCTTTTTATGGTCTTAAGAAGAATATGAGATTCTTTCTGTGATTGTGACATGAGATGAGTGCTTTTGGGTCCACCCAAATAGTTAGGTTCATCATTTTCTTGATTGGTAGGTGATCTTTCTCACTCTACTAACTCCACATACTTTCAAAGTAAGTTCGTTTGTTTGTTAGTTTGTTTTGTTTTGGGTTTTCCTTGTCTTGCTTAGACTTGCATATACTGAGTGGTAGATGAGAAAAACCAATTCTGGTGTTCCCCAGAATTGGTTTTGCTCTGCTATGGTATGTAGCTTGTATTGGGAGTCTCACTTTCTTGCATCACTACTAATCTTATGCCTATGATTTTGGATCCACGGAAATTTTTGGCATCCTTTGACTTGCATATTGGTCACTTTTTCTGTTTTGCTCCTGAGACTATCTAGTCTTTTGTGTAATCAATTCTTTTTTTTTTTTTTTTTTTTTTTTTTTTTTTTTTTTTTTTTTATTCCAGTACAAATGTTTCATGTAACATATTCCCTGTCTGAAATTATAGCATGTTTATTCATGGGCTAGGAACCCAGTGATATGTATAGAATCGCCTATGTGCTGTGCAGGATCTCTCTGCTATTCATCTGCTGATTTTTTTACCATCTGAGTGGAATTTTTCAAGTGGGTTAAATATGTATGTGGTGGAAAGCAAAGGAGGTGCTATAGCATGCATGCTGCTTGCCTTGATCTTCTTGGGCACATGGCCTGCTATCCTCACTCTCCTGGAACGACGAGGCCGGCTTCCTCAGCATACTTATCTGGATTATTCAATCACAAATTTCTTGGCTGCTATACTTATTGCTTTAACATTTGGTCAGATAGGCAATAGCACACCTGAGATGCCAAATTTTTTAACTCAACTTTCACAGGTGATTTTTCATGGTTGTTATATGAATCATTCGTTCTCCATAAGCTTGTATTTTATATAAACCCAACTACCCACAAGCCAAGCCAAGTCTCACTATTGTACTATGTAAGGACAGAGAAATAATGAGTTGTTTTGAGCTGGTGTTTGTGATCCTCATCTGAATGAGGACAACTGAGTATTTTCTTGTGCATTTTCGAATACCTTCAAAATTCTGAAAGGGGTGCTGATATAATGTCATTGGCAGAGATGGCTCTTGTAGCTCGGTGACATTGCCTTATTTTGTTGGCTATTTACAATCCAGTCAGTGGCTCCTGCTACTTAGTGAAGATCACAAAAAAAAAAATAGCCAACAAAATAATGGGTGCCTTGGATCTTCCATGATGACTGATGCTGGTTCCAGTTACAACTGGTTTTTCTGAAACTTCTTGGATGACATGTGCAGGATAATTGGCCCTGTGTTTTGTTTGCAATGACGGGCGGGGTGGTCCTCAGCCTGGGAAATCTTTCCACACAGTATGCTTGGGCTTTTGTTGGTTTGTCAGTGACAGAAGTGATCACTTCAAGCATCACCGTTGTCATAGGTCTATCTCACAACACTTGGATGTATATATCTTTATGATTGGCAATGTTCTGAACTTACTTGTGACTCTCTTCTTTTCAAATGTAACAGGCACAACCTTTAACTATTTCTTGGATGATAAAATTAATAGAGCCGATATTCTTTTTCCCGGGGTCGGTTGCTTCTTGATTGCTGTTTGTCTTGGCGCTGCTGTTCACTCGTCCAATGCAGCTGATAACAAAATAAAACTTGACAGCTTGTCTAGTGATCACATAGATGCAATGAAGTACGTTTCTTCTTCCTATAGTAGTCTGAAATAAGTGTTCTTTTCACTGGTTTTCCTAGTTGGCCACTCTTTATTGGAAAAGAGCATTATGTGATCTCCTAATTGACAATCATGCCATAGTTTCCATGATTGGCTATCAAAGATTTAAATGCTGTACTATAGTGGTTGATTTTAATCTTGTGGCTTATTAATTTCTTTTGTATCAACGATGACATCACACCAATTTTAATGTTATGACAGGGTTTCCAATACTTCCATGATCCCAAATGAGGGTAAGAAATTCTCTGAAGTTATAACGTTCTATTCTGTACTTGTGTTCTTACTGTTTATGAGTTATGTAATTATCTTTCGATATTTGGATATCCACAGCTGCGTCGAAGGATCTGGAGAACGGAAATGACCCTGCTCAGAAGGCAAAGGCTGGAACTGCAGGTTTTCTTGTACAGCTTGAGAACAGAAGATCAATTAAGGTTGGTGGTTCTACTTCATATTGCTTTTCTCATTCAGTATTGAAAATCCAATATCTGATGCATTAATATGTGAACTTCTCTATTCTGCTTGTGCAGGTTTTCGGGAAGAGCACTTTTATTGGATTGGGAATAACTTTCTTCGCCGGAGTTTGCTTCTCTCTTTTCTCGCCTGCATTCAACTTGGCCACAAATGACCAGTGGAACACTTTGAAGACAGGAGTTCCTCATTTGGTTGTTTATACTGCGTTTTTCTACTTCTCATTATCTTGCTTTGTCCTTGCCGTCATTCTAAACATCACCTTCCTTTACCACCCTGTACTGGGCTCACCCAAAACATCCTTCCAAGCTTACCTGAGAGATTGGAATGGTAGGGGCTGGGCCCTTTTGGCTGGTCTCCTATGTGGATTTGGCAATGGTCTCCAGTTCATGGGAGGTCAAGCTGCAGGATATGCAGCAGCTGATGCAGTTCAGGTTGGTTTCATGACATAAACACATGCATGCATTTAGTGATGATCAACTTGTCTCTTGGTGTGTGATGTTCCATACATGTTTAGTGTTTTTAACTTGCCTATTTACATGGAATTTGGAGTGGTAATGGCAGGCACTTCCACTGGTGAGCACTTTTTGGGGCATCCTTCTGTTTGGAGAGTACCGAAAATCATCCCGAAGAACGTATGTATTGCTTTTCAGCATGTTGTTTATGTTTATTACGGCTATTGCAGTCCTTATGGCATCATCAGGGCATCGCAAGTGAATATTCAACTGCAAAGTCCACGTCCGGTGATAACAAAAAGGAACAAGAAGAAAAGATTTCCCAAGTCTTTGTCTGGAAATCGTGTAAAACAAGAATTTATAAATAATTGATGAAATAGTCGAGAGCAGCTGATTGGTGAAGATGCATAATGGCCCTCATGAGTCATGAAGATTATTGATTCTGCAGGTTCTTCCGAATATCCCAAAGACACTTATTCCCTTTGGTCTTTGGAGAAAGATGCAGTTTATACAAAACAGAAAATATGGGGAAATCATACAAATATTTTAGTGTAATTTGTAAAATATTGTATCAGATTTCTGTTTCATTGATGTACTATTGTGAATAATTCCATTTGATATCATTGTTTCCAACGTTCCATGTTCATTTGATCTTTGTTCTTTTTCCCTTGTTTTAACTGAGAGATTTGAACCAAAGATGCTTTTCGCATTAGTCTATCTCATCCCACACTAGTTGAGCTATAAAGAAACTTCATCTTGTCACCCCAAATTTTTTCTTTTTTTGTAGAATAACGTAGATTAATGTGTAACATTTTGCCACCCAGAGAAAATTTATCTGCTCCAATACAGACATGGTGAGACCCTTCTTCCGGTAAGTAGCCAGAACTGAGGGTGAAATCATGAATAGCAGCTCTAAAAATCCTGTGGTGGTTGTACACCATCTAACAGTTTATCTTGGCAGATGACCAAGATCCCATCAATGGCGACCTCCCTGTCAAAGCACTTCAAGTCAATGTTACAGACCATCACATTCACCTCTTTTCCGTTTTTTAAATAAAGTTACTAAAGATTACCTAGTCAATCTTCTCATCTGAAGACCCACAGATCCAATTTGCCTTCCAGACGATTGTAGGTGATAAAAGGCGTTCTGTTTTCCAACCCGATACCTTTAACTGCAATATAATGAAAGGATAAGATGTTCAGCGAACCTCTCTAAATCTTTTGACTGCATTAAGCTGTAAAATATAGTACCTTCTGGATAAATTCTTCATAGTGTTTATCCATCCATGTTTGGCTTTCAGAATGTAGAATTCGGTGTTTATCTATAAGATTTGCCATAGCATTTGCATGTAAAAATGACTGCAAGACATCTGTGGCAGTGGAATCTTTGTGCATAACAATGCAGATGTTTCCTTTCCTCTCCATTAGCAAGTACTTGGCTAAAAAGTCCAGCAGAGAAACAACAAAATAAATAGCAAAGTTCATGGAAGCAACTCAATTGTCGGAAGTACAAAGCAGACATCAACCTTTCTTATAATGAGATCCCGCAAAATGTAATAAGTCCCTCCTGATTAAGATTGTAACTCAAATTGTCAGTCATATATGACTAAGAGCCAGCTCAGAGCTGCTTGTGTTGCAAAAGTAGTTACTATCAGGCCACAATATTGAAAGCCAAACATCTAAAGATATGCACAGCAGCGATCCAATGGTGGACCGTGCTTCCACAACAACTGTTACAAGACTGCTACCAGAAGTTACCGCTTTTTAACCTAAGACCTAAACGAAAATGAATTTTACAGGGAGAGCAAAGAAACTCACAGTTCCAGGTGATTTAGTGAGGATACTCTGACACCTAAAGATACTCTCACGTGTATAAACTCTGTTTTCTTTGAGCTCCATGAAGATGCCCATACAGGCAAAATGTGCTCCATCTTAGAGACCTGCTCGGGGGAGAGAACTGGAAACAAATTCAGATGCAGGAATTAAAATCTCACTAAAATAAGATAAAGATGAAGTGTGAAGTGAACTGAAACCAAGCACAGTACTCTTGCAACAACAAACATGGATTGTGACAGAAATTAATGTTACATGAGAGTCAACATACCACTCAAGTTCTCGCATTTTTCAATAGCAGAGTGCTAAGGCAGGTTAAACCCAATCTTCCATAGGAAACTATTTATTGGACAGTCATTTTGTCAAATCACTTTAAATTATGACCATTGCAAAGATGGGGAATGGGGCAGTTTAGATCATGTACAGCTGCCAATATGCTGTTTTTCAGGAAAGTTCTTTTGATGACCCCAATTATAAATTGTGGCACCAGGAAAAGATAATCAGCCTTAAGGGAACAAGGAACAGTAGCTGCATACCTTGGCCAGTTCTCATAAAATGCTGCAAAAGAATTGAGCACCTCTCAGGGTTCAAAGAATTTAATGCAAGGCACCGAACAGCCATGTAATTTGCTGCACAGAAAAGACACGTAAAGCCTTTAAACTTGTTTTATTAACATATAAAGACTTCGTTTCATTTTTTTTTCTTCCTGTTTTGTATATATGAACTGTTCATTCTATCACAACCAATAAACTGACACAAGTGCCAAAGTAATATTCAAGTTTAGTGATCAAAAGGGTCAAATTTAATCCTTGGTAAAGTCAATGGTAATGAACATTGATGGGGGGTACTTACCATACATATGGAACATGGTGAGCGACAAAAATGAAACCCAAATAGCTAGTGGGTGTCCCATAGTAATGTGAGCAAGAAGCATACCCAGCGCCATACCAACCATCGTTGCCACTGTCTCTTGACTTCCCTCCTATCAATGTAAAGAAAAATGTTAATGGACAATAATAGCTAACATACATAAGACAGTCCTCGTCTAAGAATCAGAACCATTGTGCTGGTACCTTAGCAGATATATCTGCAGCATTACTCTGAAGAGCAAAATGTTGTGTCAAAGCAGCTCTAGTAGCTCCACTTGCAACACCAGCTAAATGAGAAGAAAAATTGTAAAACAACAAAAATAGAAAATTATGATCAAGCTCTATACTGCATTTGTTTGACCATTTACTTGATGAAGAAAAATATTTATAGATGATAAAGGTACAACTGCCATTGTAAGAATAAAAGGAAGAGGAATACATTAAACCAATTAGTGTCATTCACAAGTTTAAATATGTGGCACATCACAACTGGTACCAATAAGTTAATCAATGCTCATTTAATAATTATGACATACTTAGCCAACAAATATCAACTATCACATTATACAGATTACTATATTTTCATATTATATTAAATTTATATAGGAGCTTACTGAATGATCTTGATATGCTTCCTAAACAAACAACAAACACAAAAGCTGATGGAAACAAAGGTGAAACAAGGTCCATCAACATTCCTGCAACCAAATAACAGTATTTCTTGTCATTTTAAGACAAAGGATACAAAGAACAACCTTGAACTACATAAAGTATAAGGGTTTGAAGATGATCTCCAAACTTAGGATAAAAACAAAAGAACAAATGGTTAGGTCATACCAAGATCATTCATAAGGTCTGCAACTAAGCGCCACATTTTGGCATTGCTATCCAAATTTGAGCCCTGAAGAATAAGAGGTTATTCAAGGCAAGAAATGGTAAAGAAATGATGAACATAGAATTGAGAATTCTTAGAAAAGCAAACTTCAGTCACGGAACCACTAGCCAAAGGCACCGCTAAAAAAGCATAGAGTACCATGCATGCATAAAAGGGTACAAAAGTTCCAAAATTTACAATGTAAATTGTGCACAGAATGAGCAAAAGAACAGGAGTATCACACCTGATAGAATGTGAATAAGATACCTCCCAGCATTCCAGATAGGTCTCTCAAGAACCACTGCATTCAATGTCAATAAAAAAAAAAAAAAAAAAAAAAAAAAAAAAAAAAAAAAAAAAACATTTACTGTATTGCAAGCTCGAATACTCAATGAAGCACCCCAAGTCCCAACATTGATGCTAGATATACAAAATTTGTACCTGAAAGGTGGCACCAATTACAGTAGCCGATTTCTCACCGACCCCAATAGCACTCAGTAGAGCCTTAGAGTGAACAAAACATACAAGTAATTCATTTAGCAATCACCAGCAGAATTTCATTAAGACTGTATTAGTATATAAGATGCTTACTTGTGTAGAAAGCATGGTCCTTATGTAAGTAGAAAGACCCTTGAAAAAGGAAATTAAGAAATTAATCATGCTGGATAATTAGTACTAATCATCTACTAATTTAATTATTAGAGCAGTAGAAATCACGAGCTGCATATATTTGTTTTGTATATTTACCTGGAGTAAATCCCAGACTTGAAAAGGGGCATAATCCGGAGTTACACTGCTGGGAAAGCCCTGCATACCAAATTAAAAGAAAAAGAGAGTCCTAATTTTTCCCCCTTCTTAAATAACAACAAATAGAAGCCAGAAATTAAAAACAGAAAAAAGAAAATACAGGGGATTAAATTTTTTTTTTCTTTTTTTTTAAAAGCTTGCCTCGGGTACAAATGCTTCAAGAATTCGCCGCCAAACATGGTGGAACCGGCTACCGGATCTTCGAATTTGGAGAAGAAGTTCAATGTTTAATAGAAAGGAAATGAACAACAAAACAAAAACAAAAAGCACCGAAAAAAGAAGCAACCTTTGGATAGAGAGTGAAGGAAACGCGGTTATGGTGGCAGTTCTGGAGAGTTTGGTGGAAGATGAGCCACTCCATTCTTCCACTATAACCTCCGATGTTGATGATGATACTTCCATGGCCGATTGCTTCAGTGTCTCCGTTGATTCAAAAGGGACGTTGGAGAGAAGCAATGACTTTTAATTACCTTAAAAACAGAGAAATACAAAATTATATTTCTTCCGAGAGGAAAAAAAAAATCAAAAAGCGCTAGAAGGAGGGTTCGAACCTCCGACCTTGTGGTTAACAGCCACACGCTCTAACCAGCTGAGCTATTCCAGCTATTGATAATAAAAATACAGAGAAATCCAAAATTATATTTCTTCCGAGAGGAAAAAAAAATCAAAAAGCGCTAGAAGGAGGGTTCGAACCTCCGACCTTGTGGTTAACAGCCACACGCTCTAACCAGCTGAGCTATTCCAGCTATTGATAATAAAAATACATAGAAATCCAAATTATATATCTCCCGAGAGGAAAAAAAAATCAAAAAGCGCTAGAAGGAGGGTTCGAACCTCCGACCTTGTGGTTAACAGCCACACGCTCTAACCAGCTGAGCTATTCCAGCTATTGATAATATGTTCTAAATAAAAATTATTTATTGAAAAAACAAAAAAAAACAGAAACATGAGCTCTATTAACCAGACCAGAGAGGAGGAAGAGAGAGTTTGAGTCCTTGGATCATAAAATGTGGAGAAAAGCTCTCACTTTGCTTCCACACAGACCCTTTTCATCAACCCCTGAAATCCCAACCCTCTACTCCTTCCTCCAACCCTCAGTCTTTGCCCTTAAGAGGGACCTACCACCCTCCCAGAAATCTCAGTGTGACCTCCCAACCCCACCTCCCAAAACCCTAGCCCCAGACCACATAACCACCCTAGAGACCGCCCTCCACAAGTCCCTTATAACCCACAACACTGATGAGGCATGGAAGTCCTTCAAGACTCTCACAGGCAGCTCTGCCTTCCCGAGTAAGTCCCTCACTAATTCTCTCATCACCCATTTGTCCTCACTCGGGGACATTCACAACCTCAAGAGGGCTTTTGCTACGGTAGTTTATGTCGTGGAGAAAAACCCAGGATTTTTAGATTTTGAAACTGTTGGGACTTTGTTGAATGCTATGAAATGTGCCAATACTGCTGCACCTGCTTTTGCTTTGATTAAAAGTGTGATCAAGAACAGGTTTTTCTTGCCATTTAGTGTATGGGGCAATGTTCTCATTGAAATTAGTAGGAAAAATGGTAACTTTGTTGCGTTTTTACGGGTTTTTGAAGAGAATTGTAGGATTGCCTTGGATGAGAAGTTGGAGTCCATGAAACCGGATTTGGCTGCTTGTAATGCAGCGTTGGGGGGGTGTTGTCGTGAACTTGAATCGGTGAGTGATGCCGAAAAAGTTGTTGAAACAATGGCGGTTTTGGGTGTTCGGCCTGACGAATGGAGTTTTGGTTTTCTTGCTTATTTGTATGCATTGAAGGGTCTTGAGGAAAAGATAACTGAGCTAGAGGGATTGATGGGTGGGTTTGGTTTTTCAAATAAAAGGGTGTTTCAGAGTAATTTGATTCATGGCTATGTTAAGTCAGGCAAATTAGAATCTGTTTCAGCAACTATTCTGCGTATTCTCAGAGAAGGAGATGGAGAATGTTTGAATCTGGGTGAAGAAACTTATTGTGAAGTTGTCAAAGGATATCTTATGAATGCAAGTGTGAAAGAGTTGGCGACTTTGATCATTGAAGCTCAAAAGTTAGAGTCTTCAACAGTCATGGTAGATAGATCTGTTGGGTATGGTATTGTTAATGCTTGTGTTCATATTGGATTATCAGACAAGGCACACAGCATTCTTGATGAAATGAATGCTCAAGGAGGTTCCTTGGGGCTTGGTGTGTATGTGCCAATTTTGAAGGCTTATTGCAAAGAGCATAGAACTGCTGAAGCCACTCAACTGGTCATGGATATTAGTAATTCTGGGCTTCAGTTAGATACGGGGACATATGATGCTCTTATAGAATCATCCATGTCAAGTCAAGATTTTCAATCGGCTTTTTCTTTGTATAGGGACATGAGGGAAGCAAGAATATCTGACTTAAAGGGGAGTTACTTAACAATAATGACAGGTTTAATGGAGAATCATAGGCCAGAGTTAATGGCTGCCTTCTTAGATGAGGTTGTTGAGGATCCTCGAATTGAAGTGGGTACCCATGACTGGAATTCCATTATTCATGCCTTCTGTAAAGCTGGGCGTCTAGAAGATGCGAGGAGGACTTTTAGAAGGATGATATTCTTGCAGCATAAGCCTAATGAACAGACATATTTATCGTTAATTAGTGGGTATGTTTCTGTGGAGAAATATTTCTGTGTTCTGATGCTATGGCATGAGGTGAAGAGAAATGTTTCAGTTGATGGAGAAAAGGGGATTAAATTTGACCACAACATGGTTGATGCATTCCTATATGCTCTTGTTAAGGGAGGCTTTTTTGATGCAGTAATGCAAGTTGTCGAGAAATCTCAAGAGATGAAAGTCTTTGTGGATAAGTGGAGGTACAAACAGGCATTCATGGAAACCCATAAGAAGCTTAAAGTGTCAAAGTTGAGAAAGAGGAATTTCAGGAAAATGGAAGCACTTGTTGCTTTCAAGAATTGGGCTGGTCTGAATGCATGAATTTAGGTGCTGCTGGGAGCAAAGTTTGTCAATTTGAGCGTCTGCTTCCAGCACTAATTACATTTCAATAATTCAAAATGGCAATGAGGTGGAGGTGTATGGCCTGTAGGCTAAAGTCAAGCACATGAAATTCACATTGCTGGAGGCTTTTGTTGCAGAGAGTGTTTGCTGGCAACTTTCAGATGCATGTGATAAAGAAGATCGTTTGGAATGTGAAAGCTCTTATGACTTTATAGGGGTGATGTGAACCATAAGTCTGACGAATATTTACTTGGAAGTGTTGTATAATTGTCGCAAATCACAAGAGTTCCAAAGTTTGACAATCACAAGTTGAACACAGTGAATAGAAAGATGGGGCCTATAACCAGGTTCTGTATCCTGGCTCCAACTAAAGTAGTTGGTATTGGGGAAGATTAACTTGAGAATTCACTAAGCTATAGCTTTTCTTATTTGTCAGTTGGGTTTCTCTTGGGTTGTTGAATAAAGAGCCAAGCAAACCTCATCATAGTTTGCAGGTCGTGACTGATGCAGTGGAATGAAGAACTGCTTGGTTTCGAAGTACGTACAATGTCACCATTTTTTTCCCCCAAAATATATAGATTTCTGTAAATTTTAATCAATAATGGCTGAATATTAATACAAAGTAATCTGATTGTAAGCAATCAATGAACAGTTTAAATTCATTCTTGCATTGATTTGTTGCAGTTTGATGAATGCATCCAGTAATATTGGACTTGTACTTTGAGCTGGGACTTGGGCCGCTCCAAACCTTCAGTTAGCAAGTGTAAACGGTTGTTAAATCTAAAGCCATCATCCTTGGTGAGGCGAACATACCAGAAAGTAACAATTAATTGTGATGGATCAGTGGGCTGAAACAGAAACCTGTTTCACACTCAAGCACCTTCTCTTTTACTATTATGGAGTTGATTTCTCTCCTTTTCTAAATCCTTTTGAAAATGCATATTGCTTTATAGCTAGAACCCACATAAACATGGGCTCTTCTTTTTAGGAAGAAAAATTAGGAAGGATGTTGAAAGTTAAGTCACCTCCACCGAAAAGAACACTCCCCTTTGTGTTCCTTTACAATAACACTTGCTCATATTGTCATGTGAAAGTTGAAACGCTTCTTGCATTACTGTTGTTCTTCAGTTCTTCAGTTCTTCATTTCAAAAATCTCTGAACTCCTTCTGAACCCTCACCTATGCCATCTGCCTCAGAAACCTTGCTTCTGATCACCATTTTTCTCTTGATTCCTCTCCACGCCGTCTCATCCACCATCCATGCAGGCCATGCCATCCCTATCAACGGCCTCTGTCGTGACACATGCGGCACAATCCCAGTAAAGTTCCCATTTGGCACTGGATTTGGCTGTGGCCACCCTGACTTTGTTAGATACATCAAATGCAGTTCAGAAACACTTCAATTCTCTACCGGCACTGGTATCTACACCATTTCCTCTATAGACTACAACAGTAGCACCATCGTTGTCACAGACCCGCTTATGTCAACATGCTCTTCTATGCAAAATTCAGGTGGCTTCAGCTTAGACAGGACCAGTCCTTTCACTATAAGAGAGGAGAACATCTTTGTTCTACTTGGCTGCTCAACAACATCCCCTGTGTTTGATCCCAATGAAGATTTGTGTGACACCGGGTCGGGCTCCCGGGTGTGCAGAGGGTTGTACTCTTGCAAGGGGGTGGCTGGCATTGGGTTGCAACAGAATGCACCAATTTCCACTTGCTGTGTTTATGACTCTCAAGTTGGGGTTGGCTCAGGTTATGCATTGGTTCTCCCAAAGCTCCAGTGCTCTTCCTACACATCAATTTATGAGTTTGGGGATGAAGGGGATCCAATGAAATGGAAATTTGGAATTTCTCTGCAATATAATGATTCTTATTACACCAATGCCTGCAAGGATTGTGAGGCAAGTGAGGGCTTGTGTGGCTTTTCTGGTTTGGACCAGTCGTTCGCTTGTATTTGCCAGAATGGGGTTAACACCACCAGAAGTTGCTTTGAGCAAGGTTAGTGATTAACAGCTGCCATTATATTAATTTAGTTCAATTAATTATCTCTGATATACGGTTTTGATATGATTAGGGTACGCTTTGAGTGGGGTAGTGGAACTAGAAGTTCAAATTAAAACCATTATTGGAGGTACGTCTGCTAGCAACTTGCCAGTGCCTTTTTTGACTTTCTTTACTTGATGTTGTTCGTCACCTTCTCAAAAAAAGTACATTACTTTGAATTATTATTATTTTTTGGTTGTAGGACTTTTGGTCTCGTGGGTGTTACTATTGACAAGGAGCAGATAGCTAGGGTTGCTTCAAACTTTTTTGGTGCACAAATTTTGCAAAAGAAGGAGCTTCAAATAGCTGTAGGAAATTATCTAAGCTATCACCTTTTCGATGAAGCTACCGAGTGGTGTTTTTGGCTATGTAATTTTTATTTTATTTTTATAGTTAATGAAATGCAAATTTCCCATTCAAATTAATGATGCCTATTCTGTATTAAAAAAAGATTTATCAAATTAAAAACATACTAATTAACTAATGAGATCTCTTTAGAGAAGCTTCCAGCAGCTAGAGCCTATATTTAAGCATCGGCAATGGTAACCTCAACCTCGACGCCGGCTTCCATCTGTATATAGATAACATGCTTGACCACCTCTGGGGTGCTGAAGAGGTCCATCACTCTTTTATGAACTCGCATCTCAAACCTATCCCGAGTGTTGGTTCCCATATACACATATATGCACCCACAGCTTATTCATAAATATTCATCTTCAACAGAAAAGAAAATGAACGCTATAATATGGACATTTTATGTCTATCTCTCCCATCAAATAACGAGAAGTGATATATTACAATCAGATTTTTCTCCTCGAAAATAATGCATATGATAAGATTTAAAATGTACCTTCCTCGAGGATTTTGACATTCTTGGAGGAGTGTTATTCTAGTCTTTCGAATAATCTGCTCTTGGGGTTCCTCCAAACCAAGCTTTGCAGGCTTCATCATGGGACCTGCGTGTCTCACGGGTGGTGGTGCCACTGTCGCCATTGCCATATATTTATATTATTTCTTCTTTTAATATCACTCTGCTGCATGCGATGTGTTAATGGCTCATACCACCACTGTGAGCCGAGCCTATTAGAACACACCACGTGGCCATGGTAGGCTGGGTCACCTTTTTACCAACCCGATCATGTGTAATACCCTAGGTATCGACAAGAAGCTCCCTAGTCAGAACCTGACAGGATAAATGCGAAACTCTGCTCGAGTAGTCGATCACTGACCCGACCACTGTGGTGTCATGTACTATCAAAGGCGCATTGATGATATGCAGGTGTGATTAGACCCTTGTCAAGTCAATCACTCCACAGGGCTAATCAACAACCTAGCGATGGAAGGAGACTAATTAATGTACTTCCCATCCAAAGTCACGTGTCACTTCGCCACCTGATCTCTGTCAAGTAGCATGGTGATTAGGACAAGTCATTTAATGTGACCCAGTCCCACCAGAGGGAAGGAAGATAAAGATCTCCTCCTTAAGAATATATTTACATTTCCTTTTCTCTCTATAAATACCCCTCATCTAACCCTGGACAAAGGTAATAAGTATTCTCTCTACATCCATTTTCTATCTCAAAACCACATCTGACTTAACCATCGGTGGGAGTTCAACTGGGACAAAACCCCAATTCACTCCTATTCTAATGGATGTTCAAAGTGTGTAGGTCTTTTCCGGAGAGCATTTCAACCTGGGAGATCTAGTATAGGCCCTAGCCTCAATCCAAGTCCAGGCTATACAAGATATGTGAAGGATACGCGGTTTACACGATGGATACACATATACAAAAAGAGCATGAACAAGAGATTTATATATGTTGAAAATACCTACCTAGAAGCTTCAAACTTGTTTGACTTCAACTTTCGCAAGAATGAGACATATCTTTGACTTGTGACTTACATATATGTGTTTTAGGGTTTTGCAAAACCCCATGATTTTTTCTCTTTCTTTGCTTCGAGCCCAAGATAAAAGCTTCTGAAACCCCATGAGTGCATTTCAGCGCAGAAGGAAAAGCAAGTAAACGGTGTCGTTAGACCACATCATTATCACTTAGCTTGAGAAATTCTATAGTGACGACCTTATCTAAGGCCATTAGATAAGGCAATATATCTTAATTGTTGAATTAAACTAACTAATTTGATCCAACGAGTAACCAATTTGATCCAACAACTAAGGTATATGGCCTCATCAAAGGACCTTGTAAGGCTCTCGCTATAGAATGACTAGCTTAGCTCCACTACTCATCTCCAATGGGCAAGAATTCTATAAGACCCTATTTATTAACCGTTTGATTAAATTGATTAGTCGTTAGATCAAATTGATTAACATAATCCAATAGTTAAAAGATAAGACATCCCTCACTATAGAATGACTCCTCCAACGAGAGCATATCAAACAGATAATTTGGGTTTTAGCCCAAAATCAGGCCAAATTAGGCCTGACATTCCAGTCCGGGCAAAATGATGGAGCCCACAAAGAAAACTGGAAGCAAGCCCGCGTGAGGAGAGAACTGAACTGCTTGGTTTGTTTTTTTTTGTGTAAGTCTGAAAAATATGAAATATCATTGAAATTTGTCAAAATAACGAACATCAGCAACGTTTATAAATATTAAAGAAAACATAAGGCATCAATATTAAATAGAAACGTTGCTGGTGTTCTTTCTATTTTTTTATTTTTAAACGTTGTTGTTGTTCCTTTTTTTTTAAAACTGGCTGAATTTTCTTTTTTTTTTTTGTCTTTCTTTTTTTTTTTTTTTTTTTTTTTTTTTTTTTTTTTTTTTTTTATAACTAAAAAAAATAGATTGCTGATGCTGCTGCTTTTGCAGCAGAATTTTTTAAAAAAATCTGACTACAAAAAATCATGTTACCGAGTCATAAATAAACCCAAAAAAAATTATGGAAACAAGTCATAAATATCATTATGTTTTGGAATTTCAATCCTTTTCGGTTAAAATAATCAGAAAATTAAATCATGAAGACTTAATACAAAAGTGAGGTCAAGAAAATTTAACGACAAAAAAATAGTTAGGGACTAACCATTTTTAAACAAATTAATAAATTTACGGACTCAAATTTTGAGTCTAGAGAAATTAAAAAAAAACTATTTAAGTACAGTGAATACAATACCCTACAATACAATAATTTTATAGGAGGGAAATTTGGGTTTACCGTTCGAGGAAGGCCTAACGGCTATAAAGCCCGGGGATTTTTAAAGCAATTGAATGTTTGACTTGCCATGTAAATCTGGATTGCGATCGAATCTTCTTTCAAATATTCGCAAAGTCCTTGCTTGCAGCAATCTTTTAAAAGGCCTGGACCCTCCGATAAGTAAAATACACTACATATCATTAGTACCCATCTCTTTAGCTTCAGGCTTCAGTTTACTGTTTTTTCAACAGGTCAGTTCTAAATCCTGCTTCGTTTGTTTTCTTGTTGCTGGAATTTCAATACCTATTTGCTTGTTTTGAGTTTTTTTCAGCTAACTGTTTAGGATTTTGCTAGCCTATCAGATTTTCATTTTGTAAAGTTAGAAAAGTAAAGATTTTTCTTTTGGTGTTTAGTTTTATCTTTTGGAGATGGTGAATTTAGACAATGGATTTTCCGTGATTTTCTTTGGACTTGGTTTTAGGGGGCAGGAGGATGAGAAAGTTGCGATTTTTCTTCTTGGCAATCGCAGCGGTTCTTTCAACTCTTCAAGAAGTGAGGTCTCATGGAGATCAGCCTTTGTCGAAGATTGCTGTTCACAAGGCAGTATCTGCCCTTCATGCCCATGCTTTTGTTAAAGCATCCCCTGCAATTCTTGGACTGAAGGTGAACTTCTTAATCACCCTGTTTGGAGCTTCTCATTAAAAATCCGCCCTTATATCTAGCAAAGCAACATGGTGTCATTGAAATTATGGTCTTTAAGTATTATTCATTTGGAGACTGAATCAAACAATTGATTTCTTTTTTGGTTGAAAATTTATACTTTTGATCACTTGGTGTGTGTTTTTGGTACTGATGTACTTACTCCTAACTCGTTAATTTAGGGGCAATATTCAGAATGGGTGACATTGGACTTCAGTTCTCCAAACCCTTCAATTGATGATTGGATTGGAGTATTTTCTCCTGCCAATTTCAGGTCAGTAAATGAACTTTCTTTGGCTCAAGTCAACTGATGGAAGCTCTAGCATGCTTTTTTCTCCAATAATTTTGCTTCTGTGTTTCTTGATCTTTAGCATACTAAATAACATTGATTGAATTGAAAGGATTTGTTTGAATTTGCAGTGCTTCGACCTGCCCTCCAGAAACTCCAAGCACTTCCGCTCCATTTTTGTGTTCAGCACCTATAAAGGTTACCACCCCAGTGGCTGCTTTTCCATTGCTACTTTTTATACATGGCTTGCAAGCATGTTTTACATTGAAGGGGATAGAGATATATTTAATCTGTTATACTTTCTTTTCTCATTTTTGCAGTACCAGTATGCGAATTACACTAGTCCCCGGTACAAAGATACTGGGAAAGGCTTCTTGAACCTACAGTTGATTAACCAGAGATCAGACTTCTCTTTTGCACTATTCTCTGGTGGCTTATCAAACGTATGCTATTCTTTTGACTCGTTTATAACTGGAATTTTATGTGAATACTACTATATGTTCTTACATTTTTGAAATTTGAGAGAACTAATGGTTGTTATCTTCTCCTTCATACTTTTTCTTACATTCAATTTTCTAATTAGAGGACAAAATTGACCTTTGAGCGTTGGTTTAGGAGATTTCTTAAGAAAATTCAAAAAATTATTCTACAAACTACTTATTTTCACTATCTATGTAATTGTCCCCTGCTTCAATCTATTTATATCTACTTTTTCTTTTTTCTTTTTTGTAAAATAGCCAAAGCTGGTGGCAGTATCAAATAAAATTGCATTCAAAAATCCTAAAGCTCCAGTTTATCCACGCTTAGCACAAGGGAAACTATGGAATGAAGTAAGTACACTTTCTTCTTGGAAATTTTCTGTTTATGTACAGAATATTATGTTGCAATGTTTTTTCCCCCACATTTCACTTCTTTTTCTTTCAATCAAAATGTTGTCCTTTGTCAAAGAGCTTGTGTTCATCTATTTCTCAAGTAAATAACTTGTCTGACTTGATATTTAGATGACTGTAACATGGACAAGTGGATATGATATCACGGAAGCTACCCCTTTTGTTGAATGGGGTTCAAAAGGAGAACTTGTGAGATCGCCGGCTGGGACGTTGAATTTTGATCGCAACAGCTTGTGTGGTGTGTTTACTTTTCTTTGCACATGCGAACCTATCTTTGTAATATATGTCAGGGGTTGGCTGAAAGAGCATTACCTTGACTATGAAACCACTGATGTCTCAGAAGTTAATTTGCATGCAAAATCATGTGCGAATTGAAAATGCATATATATCAAGGTATCACATTAAAGTTGAAAACTGAAATATATATCAAATAAGAGGACAAATAACTGCAATTTTCTCCGTACATGATGACTAAGGTTTGTTATGAGTAGTGAAAGTGGTTGCTGTTGCTAAGATTTCTTTTCATCTGTTATTTTGTCCAGTTGATAAAACTTGTAGAAGTTGTCATATACGTTAATTATTTAAGACATGATTCACCTTAACCATGTATATACTTATATACACAGGTGCACCAGCAAGAACAGTGGGATGGCGAGATCCTGGATTTATACACACTGCTTTTCTGAAGGAACTGTGGCCTAACACAGTGTATGCTACATTTTCTTCTGGCAGACACTGTTTCTCTTTTGATTTTGTATAGATTTGAAACTTTTAGTGTGGGTTCTGCCTTCTAAGCTTCATTTCTTTATCTATTGAATAAATCAATCAGTGTAATTCACTTTAATGTCCAACGTTTAAATACTATTCAACTTGTAAAAGCATACTAGGATAGATATAAAGGGTTTATGCTTTGAACAACATATATTCAGTCAGTAATATATAGAGATGACATGTCAGTAAGTAATGTATGACTTTTTTGTGTATTATTAGATTAACAGTACATGTAATATATTAAAAAGTCAGCTGTTCATGTACACGATTCTTGATAATTATGCAGGTACACCTACAAGGTAGGGCACAGATTGTCAAATGGCTCATCTATTTTGAGTCAAGAATACCAGTTCAGAGCGTCTCCTTATCCTGGTCAAAATTCTGTTCAACGTGTTGTCATATTTGGTGACATGGGAAAGGTTTGGACTCTCTTTAAAAACTGTCCACACAGGATGCTGCACCCCTGTTTTTTGATATGCCCACGTGCATGCCTGAAGTAACAATTTTATAGGATATTGAATAAACGTGTTATTAGTTCTCTCTTCTTGATTTTTTTTCCCCAATTTATGATATTATCACACTTGAGAAATATTTCGCTGATTTGTGAAGTAGCCTATGAGGAATAAGGGACTGGTTTTATATATATAATTTAACTGCATACCAATTACTCGAATTTTGTTTACTTGAATGTTTTGCTGCTTCATGTTTAAGTTTGAATGTCTGTCCAATTTTGTTGTTAAATTTTAACACAATCAACTCAACAAACTTACACGCTGTTTCTCAAGTACTTTGTTTAATGTTATACCTTGCAGGATGAAGCTGATGGATCCAATGAATATAATAATTTCCAGCGTGGCTCTCTCAACACTACTAAGCAGCTTATCCAAGACTTAAAGAACATTGATATTGTCTTCCACATTGGAGATATATGTTATGCAAATGGATACATTTCACAGTGGGACCAATTCACCGCACAGGTTGAGCCAATAGCATCTGCTGTTCCTTACATGATTGCAAGGTTTGTCACACAATACACTTGCACGGCTTGATTGAAATGTAATTTTCCTTACTTGGTCTTATGTGCTGATATATGATTTGTTCTTCCAGTGGTAATCATGAGCGTGACTGGCCAGACACGGGATCATTTTATGGGACCACGGATTCAGGAGGGGAATGTGGTGTCTTAGCACAGACCATGTTTTATGTCCCTGCTGAAAACAGGGCTAAATTCTGGTATGGAACAATTCCAGGACGACCTGTTGAAAGGTCTAGGAACTATTCTTGAACGTTGTTAGTTTCTGTTTCCAGGTATTCAACTGACTATGGCATGTTCCGATTCTGCATTGCCGACACAGAACATGATTGGAGAGAGGGAACAGAGCAATATAAGTTCATTGAGAACTGCCTAGCATCAGTTGATAGACAAAAGCAACCATGGCTGATATTCCTGGCACATCGGGTGCTCGGTTATTCTTCTGCGAGCTTTTATGTGGCTGAAGGTTCCTTTGAGGAGCCAATGGGGAGGGAGAGCCTTCAGAAACTATGGCAGAAGTACAAGGTTGACATTGCAGTATATGGTCATGTGCACAATTACGAAAGGACATGCCCTATTTACCAGGTAAACCACAAATTTTATGCGTTGTAAATTTCATATTGTGCTACATACTCCTTGACATGATTTGAAAACTTATACTCCATGACCAATTGAGTTTGCAACCAAGATATTGAATCCATATACCTTTAACTTAAAATTGAACTGTCTCTTTTATTTCCTTCTGCAGAATATTTGCATCAATAAGGAGAAGCACTATTATAAGGGTAGCTTGAATGGGACAATACATGTGGTTGCTGGTGGTGGAGGAGCAAGCCTTGCAACTTTTGCTCCCGTTCAAACAAAATGGAGTATCGTTAAGGACTACGATTATGGGTTTGTCAAACTTACAGCATTTGATAGCTCAAACCTGTTGTTCGAGTACAAGAAGAGCAGGGATGGAAAGGTTTACGACTCTTTCAGAATATCCAGAGATTACAGGGACATCTTAGCCTGCGCTGTAGATAGTTGCCCAAGTACAACACTAGCATCTTGAATTTTGAATATGAAATGAAATGAGAGAGAGAGAGAGAGAGAGAGAGAGAGAGAGAGAGAGAGAAATAATGATCATGCGCTGGTTGGGGATGGCTTTCAGTTCATCATCATGTTCTTGTTGTAGATAACAATGCTTGGCTCCTTACATGATAATCATCCCCTTCAGTGCAATATACAATTTCCATCCAAAATTATATTTTAATTGCTTTTTTTATAATGGGAAAACCCAATTAAAACAGGAGGTTTGGAATGCCTAGTAATTAGACCGTTGGATCAATTCCAAGATCCCGACTTTATTCCACTTGTCGCTCTTCATGCAATATGATGTCGTTCAGTGCAATTTTGAAAGGCTAAAAACTCTTTATGGATTGAACATCTAAGGCTTTTTTACCTAGATTGACTTTAGGTCCATTCATTCATATCTTACATGAAAATTTGTTTTATGTAAAAATATTGATTTAAGTATGAAAAATGATTTTTCGAAATAATCATTTTCTCAAGATAATTTTTGGCGGTTTTTATTCCTTACACATCAAATAAGAAAACTTGATTTTATGAGATTTTATTATGAAGTATATATTGACTTAATGAGCCTTTATTTTTAACCTAAATCGTATTTTGCACTAAAACCGATTTTTCATATTTTGATTTGGTGGGAATTTTATTTTCTAGTAATTTTATTTGAATCCAAATGGGGGATACTTCATTATTTACATTGTAAACTTAAGTAAATAGAGTAATATAAAAATAAATAAAAGTGAAAGGACAAAGACATAATATAAAAATAAATACAAAAATAATAAGGTAATCTGTGCACCATCACCAGCTGAGCAAAGAGGCAATTTGAAGCACTCACAATGGTTTTTCCGGTGAGAAAAGGTGCAGCTGCACTCCTCAAGCCTTAATAAATCCGCCACTACTAACAGCGACAAATTTTGCCCAATTTTTATTTTGATAGGTGAAGTTAAAACTGTAGAGGCACTGTTTGCTGAAAAGCCTTTAAATGGGAGCACGGTCGAATCTTCTTTAGATCCCATAGTTGTTGCTATCATTGGAACTCACAAACCCATCATCTACAGCTGCATCACTCTCCCATTGAACTGCAAACTAAATCTTCTCTTCTTCCACATTGTTGATGTCTTTTTCCACCAGGGGTGTAGACTCTGCAACACCAATGCCCCGAGTGTGTCAGTAGACTGGCACTGCTAGTTTTGGCAATGAGTTAGTGAGCCTCCAAGTGATCCAATTGAAAGTCGGATTAGGCTTGAACGAGAGGAACTGGCCCGGCCCCTTGCTGGAGAGTGAAAATCCGACTACTTCTCTGAGTTCTGAGTTGTTGGATTGCGTAGGTGTGCCACTATTAGGATTGAAAGCGACCCAATAGAAATATGTGTATTTGCACGATTATGTGTTGGATTTGCGCTGATCTCGACTTCTAATCAAACTATTATGCTCTAAGGGGGCATTGGCTTGGATTAATTCTTTTCTATGCCTCAATTAAGATGACTTCAATATTCTTTCACTTGTGCGTTGATAGTATGATAGGCACATGGCATATCTAGTTAAACAGAAAAACCATATTTTGGTCAAAGAATCCCTTGATCGGGCTTAATAACCTTGATCGGGCACAAAGAAACTTTACGGTAGGCTCGTTTATGCTGATATCAGGTCTGATAGTATTAATTTAACCTTAATTACCCTTTATCGGGCAGTATATATTTTGATCGAGCAAGAAGAAAACCCTAGATCAAGCTGCTCTTGTTGGATAAACCTTGTATGCCCTTAATAGAATCTAAAATAAATATTGAAATAAATTGCTTTCTAAACGCAAATAAACGAATACTTGGAAATGAAAATTTCTTAATTCTAATTCAACAGGAAATGAATGAAGACACAAAATCATTTATCTTAATATAATACAATTACACTAAAGAGGAATGAAAGCTGTAGATGTCTTCATCCAATTTGAATGTTTTGGCCGTTTGGGAAATATTAGCAGTGATGCTAGTGAATCATACCAAGTATTTTGGCAGAACAATAAAGAAGATGATCGTAGGAGTTGTTGACTGGATGATCTTTGAGAGTGAGATTGGTTTAAATTGAGAATTCAATCTAAGAAACGTTGCGTCTGATTTGGAGAGAGAGTCCCAGAGCTTCCTATTTATAGGCTGAATATTTGAACCTAATGATGATGAACAAATAATGGAATTTTGGGTTCAAACAGCATTATTACGAATTCTATCTTTTTGTTAATTAATCTCAAGTGGAGAAGGAAAAGGCTTGGTAGCGGGTAGAGCATCATCAAAAGCTCTTGTTTGAGCTTTGTATTGGGGCCGACTGCCTTGCTTTTGCTATTGGTGCTGATAAAAATAGTTGATCTTGGTTTCCTCCCTATATTGTAAAAACTAGGGGTGAATATGGTTCGGGAACCGCAAACCACCTGAGACATTGCGGTATTTCATTATTTGGGACCGCTACCGTCCGCATAGTTGCAATTAATCGTGATTCGATGGAATTGCAACTCCGGTCGATGTCGGCAAAAGATGCAATATCCACCGATTGACTGAGAAAGAGGGAGAGAGGGAGAGAAATCGACAGAGAAAGAGAATAGGGAGAGAGATGATAGAGAAAGAGAATGAAGAAAAGAAATCGCAAATTGAAAAGAGGGAGAAAGAAGAAGAAAAGTCGAAGAGGGAAAGAGAAAGAAGAAGAAATTTTGAAAAACTTGTCAGACGAAGAGAGGAAGAAGGAGAAAAAAGCCAAAAGAAGACTTTTTATCACAAATGGTTCCTAAGATTTGCGAAATTATCACCTATCGTCCCTTACATTTTTTGTGACACTAATGTTCCTTAAGGTTTTCCTACACACATCGAAATGGTCTATACCGTTAGCTTACATCAAATTTTTTGTTAAATTGTTGTTGTGGCACATCTGTGGAGCCCACACATCTATTGGTATAGAGTCACATCGCTTTAAATCTTCATTAGTTTTTAATTATTTTAATGGATTTTAAGTTTTAAAATCTTTATAAAAAAAAAAGCCATGTGATTCTATACCAATGAATGTGAGCAATTTAACAGAAAATTTGACGGAAGCTAACTATATGGACCATTTTGATATGTGGAGAGTAACCTTAAAGACCATTAGTGTCACAAAAAATGTTAGAGACGAAAAGTGATAATTTCGCAAACTTCAAGGACTATTTATGATATAAAGCCAAAAAAGAAAGAGAGGGAGAGGGAGAGGAGGAAGATGAGAAAAGAAAATAGAGAGAGGGAGACAAAAAGACGGAGATCAGGAGAAGAAAAAAAATAAGGTTAAAAAAAAGAGTCTTTGATCTTGGCGCTATCTCATCTCCCCAAATGTCTATCTTTGATTTTTTTTTCTTTTATTTTAATTTTTTAAAATATAAAAGAGTGTGAATTTATCAAATTATCCAAATTTAATTAATAATTTCAATTCTTAATGTTTGCATTAACTAAACGCATTTTCTGGTATTTTAAATGTTTTACCGTTCTCTGTCTTTTGGTATATATATAGATGATATTGCAGTATATTGCAACATTAGGATTTGCGGAACCGCATCCATAACCGCATATTGCAGTTGGTTATCCCGACATCACTGCTTCATTATGATGAAATTGCGGTTGGTTTTTGCGGTTTTCTAGTTTCGCCTTGGAAAATGCCAGCGCTAGTAAAAACCATACCTGCTTGGGTCTGGGCATCTTTGAGGAAAATAAATTAAACCCTTATTGGGCTTTTTTAATTTTTGGTACAAACACACATGTTCAGTGTTTCAGGTTTGTAACTTTCTTCTCTTCTCCTTACTTCAGTTTCTTCTTCTGAGATTCTTGATTGAATTTAGCTGCTGGGTGTGATGAAAGAAATAAAACTGAGGTTGGCAATTCTGCTGGTTCTTGCAACCCTTCAAAACGCAAGTTCGCATGGGGAGCAGCCTCTTTCAAGAATTTCTATTCATAAGGCAACCTTTGCTCTTCATGAACTTGCTTATATTCAAGCCTCTCCAACAGTTCTAGGATTAAGAGTAAGCCTCCTCGTTTGATCTCTTTCTCAATATTGAGCCTCTCATAATTGAAAGGGTAGTTTGATTTTGATTGCCTCATATTGTTCCGTGGTGACATAATTTAGATGTATTTTGAGCTGATGGGTTTCTTTCACTGTTTTAGGGGGAAAACACAGAATGGGTGACGTTGGAATTTGGTTCTACAAGCCCATCAGTTGATGATTGGATTGGTGTCTTTTCTCCTGCTAATTTCAGGTACATAAATGTTCTTGCATTGCCCTTCTGCATTGCGGAGGATGAAGGAGCAAGAGGTGACAATTTTTTTTTCCCCCCAAAATTTTGGGGTGACAGCTGTCAAAAGCTCATTGGATGTGGATACTTAGGTGGATTTCTTACCCTGGCATCCCCGTGCTAGGGAAGTTTTTCTACTAAATTTGGGTTCAGTGAATATTTTGACCTTGTTGAAATGATTTTCTTCAAGTACTTTCCTTGGTTCTTGTGTATTGTGGTTAAATTTAATGTCGCTGGTCTGATTGGAAGCAATTCGACTTCATCCGTTTCAGTGCTTCCACCTGCCCTGAGGAAAATCCAAGAGTTTATCCTCCATTTTTGTGTTCTGCGCCTATTAAGGTTCAATCCAGCACTACTCTGTGATGATTTTTTTTTCTACATTGTTTCTTCAGCTATCTTTTCCTTCCAAGTGTAAAAAGAGCTACAGAAGTGACATGAAACTGTTCCCTCTTCCAGTTTCAGTACGCAAATTACTCCACTCCTGAGTACAAAGACACTGGAAAAGGTTTCTTGAAGCTTCAGCTGATCAACCAGAGATCGGACTTCTCTTTCGTGCTATTCTCTGGTGGTTTATTGAATGTATGCTAAAAACTGTCTTGGTTATATATTCTGCATAGTCGGTAACTAGTTTGTCTTACAAACCAATTAGTAAAGAATTTGTTGTTGTTATGCATTGGCTTGTTGTA